CTTACTAAGTACTGGTCGAACATCAATAAAGAAAAAAGTCCGAGAGACGTAATCTACGCACTGCGGAAACCTGGCTCCCAGGACCATGTTAAACGCTCCTCGGATATGGCGGAACTAGCCCGTCAATACCACGACTCACTTCAAACAGATGATGACGATAAAGTGAATGATGATACACGCGCAACGGCAACCTCTGTGGCCACAAACAATATTCAGCAGTTCCTGAGCTCTCGAGACAGCGAAACTCTCAAGTCCAAGATCAGCATTGATGATATCAAGAACGCACTTAAGAAAGCCCAGACAGGGAAAGCAAGCGGCCTTGACGGTATCCCATATGAGTTCTGGAAACAACTCCAAGACGATGATCCTGCTGACGAAAATGCATCTTTCAATAGCAATGCTTACCTCCAATATGTTCTTGAAGATATTGACACCTACGGCATTGACCCAACATGCGGATTTGCGGACGGGTGGATGTGCCCAATCTACAAAAAGAAAGACAAGAGGGACATTAGCAATTATCGACCCATAACGATATTAAACACTGACTATAAACTTTACACTCGCATCATGGCAACCAAGCTTGGGTCCGTTGTAAAAAGCATCATTCACCCTAATCAAGCTGGATTTATCCCAGGAAGACAAATCTCAGACCAGACTCAACTGTGTCGAACAATGGTAGACTACGCTGAGGCAACCGAAGATAATGGAGTGATCGTCGCATTAGATCAAGAGAAAGCGTATGATAGGATAAGGCACGACTATCTATGGGAAATACTACGAGCCATGGGCCTACCTGAATCATTTATAACCAAAATCAAGAACCTATACAAGAATGCAACGACAGTGGTCATTATCAACGGCGAAGTCAGTAAACCTTACCGAGTCTTCAGAGGAGTTCGCCAAGGAGATCCGTTATCCTGCTTACTATTTGACCTTGCAATTGAGCCCCTTGCATGTGCCCTAAGACGCTCCAACCTGCGCGGATTCCAGATCCCAGGTCTCACTGATCGAATTATCACTTCGCTGTTTGCGGACGATACTTCAACCTATCTTGCACAATGCGACAGCTGGTCCGACCTATGGACAATCCTCAACAACTGGTGTTCAGCCTCGGGAGCACGTTTTAACTCAGGCAAAACAGAAGTCATACCTATTGGCTCCCCTGAATACCGCCTCCAGGTCACACGAACACGCCGCATCGACCCTACGAGTAATGAACCCACCATCCCAGAATATGTGCATATAGCAAAGGACGGTGAGGCGGTACGCATCCTTGGAGCATGGATTGGCAACCAAACATGTGCAGCCGCCATTTGGATACCAACTCTTGAGAAGATCGACAAATTCCTTATAAGATGGGGCCGATGTAACCCTACGATGAAAGGTAAAAAGCATATAATTCAGATGGGCCCGGGCGGCATGACTCAATACCTCACCACCGTTCAAGGCATGCCAGCCGCAGTCGAAAAGGAACTCACCAGAAAGATCCGAACCTTTGTATGGGGGATAAACGGTACCCCTCTAGTCAACCTAGCGACCATCCACTCGCCAATCTCCGAAGGCGGCTTAGAAATACTGGACATCTGTACACGGAACGAAGCCATAGAACTCACATGGCTCCGCAAATACCTTATGCTATCAGACTCCCGACCCGACTGGGCATCTGTTGTAGATATCCTAATAGCGCTCCAAGTTAGTCGATCTGCAGGCGCCATCCAACCCACGGCACAGATTAATACCTTCCTGCAAAACTGGAACCCAGCAATGCATGCCGCGTCTCCCTTACCCCACTATATAAAGCAACTGCTGAAGACCGCTAAAAAGCATAAGGCCTCTTTCGGCGCAATAAACCTAAGCAATGAACTGAAAACCAAACTTCCTGTTTGGTACCATATCAGCGCAACAAAGCAGCTAAGACGTCTAGACAATACGACACTCAGCAAATGTTTGCGACATAACCACCGAGTCCTACTCGTATCGGACATCATGTCGCTGGCTAGACATGACTTCGTCCCGGTCCTCTCATCTGACTCCTCGGTATGCTCATGCGTACCATGCAAAGAAGCTGAGGCAAAAGGATGTCATAATCCACTTAATTGTGTAGAAGCGGCACGACGTCTACTCACCTCTCTCAACGACAAATGGAATCCGACGATAGACCATACCCCCGACGGCCTCACGCTCACTCAACATAGACACGAAACCAACAGTGCCGCCTTCAAAAAGAAGGATGGAGAAGCAATATTCAACCCCTCCGTCACTGAACGTGGAGGTATATCCGAAGTATTCCGCGTATTCATGAACGATTACACCACCGAGAACCCTCCCAATATGCGACAGAGACGCGGTACTCGATTCCAAACAATCACAGTGTACGTACTTGAAGCTAAACGCCTCTTCAAGCATGGTGAGACCCGAATAGCCCCAGAAGGTAGTGGAATCTTCATGGTCAAACAAGCCCACCAAACTGCGGCCCAGCTACTTCGACCTCTGGCCAACATAGTAGACCTAACAACAAGTGGCGAAATCACATCAGTAGCCTACTCAGTACAGCATATACCGAAAGACGTACCGATCCGATTCGTATGCGAATCACTCTTCCTACGCGACGCCCTGTGTAAGAACCTACAGCGTTGGGAAGACACTGATTGGCTTGGCATGCCCAATAAACTCGCGCTGAAAGACATAATAAACGTTCTACGTCAGAGATGTGCCCCTACCTCATTCCGGTCGGCCAGCACACACGAAGAATGGCATATCATTGATGAAGGACGGCACCTTGTAAAGCACCTCATAGACAGCAATGGCCTCAAGACTGTCTCCATGAACCTCGACCCGACCCTCCACCTTTCAGGGGCGAAGCTGTCAAACATGTCACAGCGAACAGCCTACCGTCTCATCATACAACGACGCTCTATTCCAGAACGACGATCCACAACGCTGACTGTCAGTGCAGTACTACTCAGCATTAACCTAATCTCAGAAAGCTTAGTACCCGCCGCGGACCTTTGGAAAAGCATTCGTAACCAGGACTTCCGCCTACCAATCTCAGACTTCTTGTGGAAATGCCTCCATTGCGCTTTCCGAGTAGGCCGCTTCTGGGCGAAAATACCGGGCTATGAAGAAAGATCAATGTGTCAATACTGCGGTGTCGTAGACTCAATGACACACATACTAACAGAATGTACGGCCCCAGGCCAAGAAGAGTTATGGTCGATGGCCGGCAATCTATGGCAGCGTAAACAAGCTGCCTGGACCAAGCCAGACCTCAACGGCATCCTTAGTGTAGGTATGCGCCGGTGGATATCTGAAAGAAAGAAACGACGGCCCTTTGTAGAGCGTATGTGGCGCATTCTGATCTCTGAAACCGCCTACCTTATATGGTGTCTGCGCTGTGAACGAACCATTGGACACGCTTCAGATGAACAATGGACTCACTCAATGCCTGAACTCCGTGCAAGATGGGGGAGCACACTCAACCGAAGGCTCCACCTTGACATCGCCATGACTCATAAAAGACACGGAAGAGCTGCTATATGGCCAACCTTAGTCACTGGCACATGGTGCGGAACCTTACGCGACGAGATTGCGCTTCCTGACGACTGGACAAAGATCAATAGGGTTTTAGTGGGTATTGATCCTAGCACCTACGATATCTGGGATGTAGGATAAATGAGCCCCACACTGGCCATGAACGGCCGTGCGTAAACGCATTTTTACCCTGGACTGCACAATGCGGGGGAACCCGCCGGCTGGCTGGAACCTGGGGCTGACCAATCGTCAGTTGCCGGTTTCCGTTAAGAGCCCTCCAAAAAAGAAAAAAAAAAAAAAAATGAGAATTACAGCCGTTTTCAAAACTATGCGGAATCGCGAGAAAAACGAAAACGCGCCTCGGGGTCTGACACCGGCGCTCCGAGTTGATCTAGATTAGATAAAGACCGATCATGTTAGATAAGCCTGTACCGCCGCGTCACGGTCAGTCCCAACGTCGCTTCCCTTCCACGACACCGAACGATGCCAACGCGAACGATCTCGAACGACCTCAAGGAGCGCATACCAATCCTCCGGCATGGGGAGGGTCTCAGTGTCAAGACAATATGCCGTCTTCTTGGCATTAGGAAGACAACTGTTTACAACTCCCTTCGATATCACCACCGATTCGAAGTGCCATACAACCCCTTCGCTCTCCGACGCGGTGGCCGTAACCGTATGTCATCCGACACCATCCTCAATTACATACGTTCTACTCTAGAGATGCATCCTCTCCTCTATCTTGACGAGATCCAGCTGCGCATCTTCCAAGCTCATCATATCTTCATCTCAATCCCAACCATCTCACGTACCCTCCGCCGCATGCATTTCTCGAGCAAGTTGGTGACGCGTGCAGCTGCAGAACGCAACAACCTTCTTCGCGCTGTCTTTATGAACAGGATCGGGGAGCTTGCCCCTGACCCGAACATGCTCATGTTCACTGATGAGAGCTCCAAGGATGGGCGTACCAGTAACCGCAGGAGGGGCTGGGCACCACTTGGGGAACGGTGCGTTACACGGCAGTGCTTCATCCGAGGGCAGCGGTGGTCAATGTTACCGCTGTTGACTCTTGATGGCATTGCTGCTTTCAAGACAGTTGAGGGATCAGTAACAGCGGAGAAATTCATTGATTTCTTGAAGGAATTTGTTGTATGTACAGCATTCGGTTCATATGGCAATTGACTTACATAAATTTGGTCTAGATTCCTCTGACTACTCCATATCCAGGACCACGTAGTGTCCTCATCCTTGACAACTGCAACATTCACCATGCAGATGAGGTGCGAGCCCTTGTCGAAGATGATGCATGTGAGTGTTGTGCTCTCATGTGCATTTCCACAACTGACCGTGACATCTGAAGTGTGCAAGCTTGTTTTCCTCCCGCCATACTCGCCAGATCTCAACCCAATTGAGAATGCATTCTCGTCAATCAAGGCGGCAATCCGGCGCCACGAGGATGATTCGCTGTTGACAATTGCTCAGGCATGCATAGGGATTACTCCACAAATGGCTGCAGGATGGTATAGGGCATCTGGCTACATGTAGCTTCACAGAGACACCAATATGGATACTGTAATGCAGGCATGGTCACTACTATAAAATCTACAACCAATCTCCCTCATCCCCTTGTTCAACAAATCCTACTGGAACCTCAACCCATATTTGTAGGATATCACTGAAGTACCACACCGTATCACCTTTCCTGTCTGGTGGATCCTCACGCTCCTCCAGGCGCCTAGGGGGTGGTCCACTCCAGCGCCGGCCTCCACCGTCAGCAAACTTATGCTCGTACTTGACAAGACGGACAGTTTCCTCAGGCTCAGGCACAATACGTGACCCAGAAGCCAATGAAGCAGAAGGATCGAAGTCCGAGTGAGTGGCACTGGGAATGTCAAGGCGAGGAATCTTCCGGGAGCCATCAGGTTCAGCAAGCCATGCCTGAGCACCCAGCTTCAGACGCTGGGCACTGCCTAGCTTGAGCTTCATTGGACTATGCGTGAGATCCCGAAGCTCAAGCTGGGCAAGCACGTCAGGCCCAGCCTCTGTCTCATTGAGCAGGTCACGGAGCTGCCATGGGTCTACAATCCCATGTTCAGGATGAGTCCCCAGGTACGCAAGGAAATGGTCAATGTCCGAGGCACTCGGAGGGCGCTTGTGACGTTTCTGAGGCGTCTGCGGAACCTCCGATGATGCCTTGGAACCGACCACCAGCCGCAGTATCTCTGCCATAGCGCTGACATCGCTCTGTGCTGGAGCCACAGGGGCTGAAACAGGGGCTGGGACAGGCATGGACACTGAACTGAGGCTCACAGAATTGATAGCCGCCATGAACGGCTGCACCGGTGGAGGCTGGTAGATGCTCGCCTTTGCTTCAACCTAATCCTTGTCAGTTATGTTGTCTCTGATATAGGACATGAACTTACTATAGCCTCGCACCATGTGCGCATCAGCGTGGGTGTCAACAGCAGAGTGCTGCCGTCCGGGCGGATGAAGTTCACCTCGCCGGTGTTCTTGTTACCCCATTGCTTCATGAGCTTCAAGCGGTTCTCAGCCAAGCGCCGCTCATGGTCACTGATGTCCTCCTCACGGAGCCGCTACAAGAGAGATGAATAAAGAATGCTAGAGATGCACAGCCACCGACGTACCTTTCCCGTAGTGCCATCCTCATCGTCATCCGACTGGGCACTCCTGCCATCACTCTCGCCTCCATCATCACGATTGCCCTTGCAAGACGTCATGAAATGCCTCTGATATGAAGCAGAACAACATACCATGCGGACACACTTCTTCTCAACCTCACTGAGCTCAAACGTGATCCTGAGCGACGAGATGTTGGGCTTGTCTGCCATGAGCTTCTTGCAGAGCTCCTTATACTCCTTCTCCGTGTCAACGTCAAGGAAGTTGGTCTTCCTACAATGCTCAAATGAGAGATTATGCCACAAGCAGGCAATGTTAATACTCACGTCATCGGCTTGTGGTTGTATCGGAATGCAAAGCGATTGCGCATCGCAGAGACCTGATACTTCGCCAAGCCATGGCTATCCAGAGCCTTCTGCAAGAAGACAAGGTATGTCATGCTGCTCGGAGCAAACGCAAACTCCTTCGTCTTCTCGTGCTTCTTCGACGCCGTCGAAGACTTCCCTTTCTTCCCAGCCTTGTCAGGCTTGACATAACTGATCATGACGGCATGACAGTTGACGGTGTGTGCTGCTGGCGGTTCAGGGCTTGACGGGGGAGACAGTTGAGGGGGTGCAGGAGAAGACATAGTTCAGGAGGCGACGTGCGATGGAGGTGAGCGATGGTGAGCAAGGGCGAGGTCGCCGCCGCGACGAGCGATCTTACGAACACGACGTGGACACGCGGCGATGCCGGAATAGGCACGGGCGCCTCGGGTCTTATCTTATCTGGACCCCCGGAGCGCCGGTGTCAGACCCCGAGGCGCGTTTTCGTTTTTCTCGCGATTCCGCATAGTTTTGAAAACGGCTGTAAGTACCTTGTACTCTGCGTCAGTCCCCTGCGACCTCGGTCCGAGTCGCCGAGTCGTGACAGGTCCGCGCCCATCCGTAGAGTTCACTGCCTCAACGAAGCCTTGAAAAGCTCCGGTTGCACCACATCAAGTAACACTTGCGCGCCTTGAGCGTGAACCTAGCTCGGCCACTGAATGTTAGAACCTTGACTCATCAGTGGAGCAGTGGTCGGTGGCATGTTACTTATCTACATGTGCCACTGGCCGCAATTTGAATGATACGGAAGACATGTACTGCGCACATCTGGTGCGCGTAGTCAACGGTCAGCCTTACATAGAATACCAGTGAGTCACAATGACAGTGACATTATGCGTAGGATTGACGATGGATCCATGGGTTCATGCATATGATAATCCACTGCGCGGCGCGGCGCGTGGTACGCGCGTGTCACGTGGCTCAATGTTTGATGGTTGTTTTCCGGTAGTCTGACCTGGTAGTGGTACCAACGTCCTCCTCCTAATCTGCTGAATACACTCTTCGTTCTAAATCTTCGTTCCTCCTCCTCCGAGAGTTCCTGAATCCAGAGACCTGCGGCGTGATGCCTGAGGTCTCAGGTCTGAGCCATTGACAAGGCGTGGGAGGTACTGTGCGTATCGGCGTTTGTGTAGTACTGGTACATGCTCACTGCTGCGCCAGCCTAGAAACACGTAGCTAACCCAATAAGTCAACTGCGAGACTAGATCGCTGTCTACGTCCGCCGTGAGTTTGCGCCAGGATGCCTGACGAAGCGCCTCACAGCCTCTGAGATCCGAATATGTGACAAATGCCACCCGCTCACGGAAATGCGCGCGCTAAGAAGGTTTGACCTGGGTTTGAAGCTTCCTTGCAGACAGCTCGTTCACCGATCATTCGGAGGAAGAGAGGCCCTCCGCGGCTGCACCCGGTCAAGAACACGCAGCTACTACTAAATATGTCTCAGGTGCGGTCATGTGCATATCTGTGTCTGCTTCGAGTTTTCTAACCTCTAACTTCGGGTTTGGGGTGCCAAGGGCTTAGGGCACACAAGAGAGACAGAGACATGTGATGCAGCCTTAACCATGCGTCTTGGGTCATACGCGGGGACGCACTCAATGAGGCCCTTGCTGCGGTCATCCAGGTTAGTGCGTCGTTATGCTAGTATTATGCCCTCATGACCTCCCACAAACTTGCAGGGGTCGGTGACACTGATTGTCGCCAATTTGAACGTTCTGGTGGCCCTCGCATTCCGACATGGAGCAGATGACAAGGAGACAGCCCCGGCACCGTTGGAGGTGAAGTCGATCCTCACATTCGGCCAAGGTGACCCTCGTCGGAAGAGGAGCAAGTTTGGTGGCAATGTGCTGAATGCTACGCTGTTGGCCACGCAAAACGACGAAGCTTCGACATCGACCATGGTCATGCTGGACACCATGAAAGATCACTCCGAATCGTACGAGACTGGAAACACTACCAAGTACTCGAGTCAAGCAGGGGCCGGCGATCCGACGATGAGCTCGGAGAATGTGCAGAGAGTCACCTGGGGCAGTGACAAAGTGTAGATAATACATACGCTACATAACATACAAACTGCATACTGTTTCTGTGACGGACGGACTGCGTTTGGATAGAGGCTGATTAATGATTAGCTAGTTTGTTTCGTATTACTGGACATGAGGAGAGGAACGAAGAGAATCACCTAGTGATGAAGTGCACTGAAATAAAGCTGCGCGACCTCCGCGGGGCCTGAGGCCTATGTAGATCGAATGGCCCGCCCTGGAGGGTATACCCGGGGGAACACTGTCACCCCACAGCGTACGGCTCTCCGGGCGCGTTGACTCGACGTAGACCAGGTCGCCATCGGGATGGCGCATTTGCGCTTGGCCTAAGTCATCTGGTGACGGTAGGGGGATCTTTCGGGGCTTTCGGACGTGGCGTCCGGGAGGACCCGGGATGGCGGCTGCATGGGTTAACGGTTGTTGTGTCGTTCGAGTGTCCTTTGGTCGAAACCATCCGGTCAATGTCCGCGTGTTGTGCTCGACAGGACTCGGGTACGCTTTACTCTGGGGGAATGCTCACCACAGCAACTGCTGCATTTGCACATGGCGATAGAGCGTATAAGCGGCGGACGGTGCTCCTATTCCAGGGCAGGCCAGTGGTGGCGGTATGGCTTCCCCGCGCCCCCCTCCCCTTACCCCGCAGATTTCGGGCCATGCGGCGGTCGGCCGAAGGGATGCGAGCGCAAATGCACGCACCGGTGCAGGGAGCGTCGAGTCGCCGAGTGCGGGGCGGAGGCGGGACCAAGATGGGCGCCTAGAACGTCTACCCCGCACTATACGGTATGTCAGGCCAATCACATGTGCGCCCGCCCTCTCCAGATGATCGGTTCTAGACGAAGCGGTGGTGCTCCAGAGGTCCTTAACATGCCTGCCTTGCAGCAGCGCGGCCCCCCGAGATCCCCCTGCAGTGCTCCCTCTCATTGTCACTCAAACGACCACCATGACCACCGAACGCGCTGCTTTCCAGGCTGAAGTCGCTCGTGTCGAGCAGTGGTGGAAGGTTCGTTGCCTCCTGTGTTGAGACGAGTGGTTTGTTCATCGTGTGCGTCATAGGACGAGCGGTTCAGCCGCGTGAAGCGACCGTACACCGCCGCGCAGGTCGTCTCGAAGAGGGGGACCCTCCCCATCTCCTACCCCTCCGATGTCCTCGCTAAGAAGCTTTGGGCGTCGCTCTCAGAACACTACAAGAATGGGACACCGTCGCACACATACGGCGCGTAAGTGACGTTGAATAGGATACGAGGATGTTTGTTGACGCGTCCATGTAGCCTTGACCCAGTGCAAGTGACCCAGATGGCGAAATACCTCGAGACCGTCTACGTCTCCGGCTGGCAATCATCAAGCACCGCGTCGAGCTCAAACGAGCCAGGCCCGGATCTTGCGGGTAAGTCGCGTGCCAATTCCCGGTGAATGCCCAAGCTGACCCGGCGTCCCAGACTACCCCTCGAACACCGTCCCGAACAAAGTCGAGCACCTCTTCATGGCACAGCTCTTCCACGACCGCAAGCAGGCCGAGGGGCGGTCGGAACTGTCCGAGGCCGAGCTCAAGAGCACGAAGCCCATCGACTACCTCCGCCCCATCATCGCCGACGCGGACACCGGCCACGGCGGCCTCACCGCGACCATGAAGCTCGCGAAGATGTTCGTCGAGAAGGGCGCCGCGGGGGTCCACATCGAGGACCAGGCGCCGGGCACGAAGAAGTGCGGGCACATGGCCGGCAAGGTCCTCGTCCCCATCCAGGAGCACATCAACCGGCTCGTGGCGATCCGGCTGCAGTTCGACATCATGGGCGTGAACAACCTCGTCATCGCCCGCACGGACTCTGAGGCTGCGACTCTGATCACGACGAACGTCGACGAGCGCGACCACGCCTTCATCCTGGGCTCGACGAACCCCGACCTGCGACACCTCAACACCGTGCTCAACGAGGCTGAACGGGCGGGCAAGACCGGTGCTGCACTGGAGGCGATCGAGGAGCAGTGGCTAGCTGCTGCGAAGTGCGAGCTCTTCCCCGAGGCACTCGCAACCGCACTCAAGGCGCAGACAAGCGCGAACCAGGTCAAGCTTGAGCAGTTCCACCGGCGGATCGCTCACCTGTCATGGCCCGACGCCGTCGCCGTCGCGAAGAAGGAATTCGGCCTGAAGAGCGTGCCCTTCTGGGACTGGGACGCGCCGCGGACACGCGAGGGCTTCTACCGCTACCAGGGTGGTACGCAGTGCGCCGTGAACCGTGCGATCGCGTACGCGCCGTACGCGGACTTGCTCTGGATGGAGACGAAGAAGCCGATCTACACGCAGGCGAAGGAGTTCGCGGATGGCGTGCACGCCGTGTACCCCCAGCAGTGGCTGGCGTACAACCTCAGTCCGTCGTTCAACTGGGAGGCCGCTGGCTTGACGACGCAGGACATGAAGGCGTTCGTGTGGGAGCTCGGGAAGCTCGGTTTCTGCTGGCAGTTCATCACGGTGAGCCTTGACTGGTTCTATTGGCATGTGTCCGGATGCTGAAGAAGGTCTTAGCTCGCTGGTTTGCACTCGAATGCGTACATCAATGACCTCTTCGCCAAGGCGTTTGCTCAGGAGGGCATGAAGGCCTACGTCGAGCTCATCCAGCGACGCGAACGCGAGATCGGCTGCGATGTCCTCACTCACCAGAAGGTACGTCCACTCATATATTGTACCAGCTGACTGTGCTCATATGTGGTTCAGTGGAGTGGCGCGGACTACATGGACAACCTCATGAAGACAGTCACGGGTGGCGTCTCGTCCACAGCGGCCATGGGCAAGGGTGTCACAGAATCGCAGTTCGGGGCTAAGCTCTAAGTTTGCTCGGGGACGTTGTGGATATCCGGCTGTCTCATCTAGCCTGCTCGTATACATGTATTTTAGGTGTAAAATGGATCAGCATTGTGCTACATGGTCTGGCCGAGAAGTAGGAGATCGCGACCTGCATGATGCGGGCCGAGTCGGCCTACCAGTATGATCCATCTAGGCCACGTCGATATAGTTCTCTCAAAAATTAACACCCGCCCACTGGCTACCACTCTCTTCCTCAAAAGGAGCAACGCCAGCTGAGAGATGTTGAGATGTCGAGGAGACCTAGTAGACCAGTGCCAGTGGTAGAGACTCGAAATACATACTTCCAAGAAAGGCAATATCTCACTTGACCGAGTCGACGTCTCGGAGGAGCAGCCACTTGCGCGGCGCTCAATACAGACTCAACCGCCTACAGCGACTCCGAGACCTCTCCTTCAACGCTTACATCCAACTCGTCATACTTCAATCCATACATTAGAATGGATGCAACGGAACGCCTTCGAGCTGCGTCCAAGTTCCTTCTGCAGTCCCCTCCGGGTGAAATCAATGATGTCCTGAACGGCGAGTCTGTCCCCTCTGTCAGTTGCAGCGCGCGGCCAGGCGAAGGTCTGACGCGTATTCCTGAGCAGATGTGCGGAACATCATCTCGGACGACGACTCTTTGCAAGAAGGCGTGCTGTCATCGTTGCGAGAATACAACCTCGCACAATTTACGATTGCGGATGTCCCGGGGCACAACCACCAGGTGAGCGCGCTCTATCACGCGGCAGAGCTGGTATTGACGCGACCTATGGTGCACCAGTCAATAATCAGCGAGGCTGCGCGTGTGTCGAACCTTGCTGGGGACAACCAGGAGGGCGAGCAGCTCGATAGATTCTGGGATCCACGGTCGAGAACAAGTTTCCGCTTCGACCATCTGAGTCTGGTGAGCGCGTTTATTGGATGTGCGACAAGACACTCGTTTTAACTGCCCTCCCTGGCCTTGTAGGAGACATCCGATCCGGAGCCCATAGAGCCCGATCCCGAATCAGAGCCCTTCCGGTGTGTAGTCTCCATTACCACCTCTTCGGTAACCCAGCCGACTGTGTGTCCGCAGGGCAGCGTTGGAGACGGCATCCATTACATATCTCTCCGCGCACTTCCACGACGGTGTCACGTCCGTGTTTCCTACCCCAGGCCTCGCGACGCGTTTCTTTGTCCAGATCGTCGCGAACAAGTATAACCCTTCGAACTTCTGGTGCGATCTTCTGAGCATTCAATCTCTTTGATTACTGATCAAACTACAATCAGGTCTGGTAGATGGCGGTCTGAATACGTCATCGATCTAGAGTCGAAACAGATCAAGGGTCGCATGCTCGTGAACGTCCACTACTACGAGCAGGGTAACGTGAGTACCCCCACACCCTCGCAGCCTCTGTCACCCTGAGATGATGTTCGCCTCAGGTTCAACTATCTACCACCCACTCTACCGACCTCGCCCTGCCGCCTGCGATCACATCAACCTCAGCCACGGCGTCTGCTAACAAGATCCTCGCCTTGATCGAAGCTGAGGAGGGCAAGTACCAAGCATCGCTGAACGATGCGTACGCGGATATGGGTGAGAAGACGTTCAAGGGCCTCCGACGAGCGTTGCCTATGACCCGCTCCAAGCTAGACTGGGACAGGGTGCGTAGAACAGCTCCTTGTATGCAGGTCGCTGTGTCTGAAGCCAGCTTTGCAGGTACTGGGCTACAAGCTCGGTGCGGAGCTTTCGTCAAACAGGGGTGCGTTCGGTTCATCATGACACCTGGGTTGAGGTTTTGCAACGTGGAAGTAAAGCGAAGAATCTGACAATGTAATCTTGACCTCGTCTACTCACCACACTGCTGTGCATCATGATTGAACATCCCGGTCCACGCGAGTCTCATGATCCACCAAGATCCACAAAATATCATGTTCACGACGACATAGCCCTGCACAAGCTGACTGCAAGCATGGAAGACAAGTACTGCCGATCATTCAGAATCAGTGACCTGCCTCGTCGCACCCAATCACTTCCTGCCACACCGTCGAGACGCCGTCCTCCTCACATCCCACTTGCATGCCGTTGTCTCGTAGAATGTAGTACGCCCGATGAGGTGTCTGCACAATCGCGAGAGCGGAGTGCAATCCCTTGCCGCGAGACGAAGTAAAGTGGACGCTTTCGACGTGATGATGTCTAAAGGCGAAAGCTGCAGTCGCTGTACGGGTATCCGATATTGAAGTACTCACTCTGGCAGATAAAGGTTGACCTGCGTGGCCTTGGGCCGGACACTAGAAACGTGGCTGCGCGAAGAGAGCCCTGCAAAATCCTGCGCCATCTCCGACGCGGACATCCAGTGCCCACTGACACTGATGCGCCATATTGACTAGATGGTCAGTCTAGGAGTAGCGAAGAAAGGAGGAGCCCGACCTGTTCGCAATGACACATGCAAGGACGTATCGTTCTGCTACGATCCGCTTAGCTTGGCCTAGCTCCCCTTCCCGTTGGGATCTCTTCAGCCAGACGTGGCTGATACCGCGCTCGTACTCTTCATGACCTGCCCACTTCAGTTGGTCCAGCAGCTTGATATGGGCGGGTCCATTGCTGGAGCGGAGTCGATTGATGTAGTCCGACCAGTCTGCGCGTACGGGCACAACGTCGAGATGGCCGTTCTGCTCTTGTTCCGGCGAATTTGCCGGTCCCGGACAACCGACAGGTTCGCAGGTTGCCTCCAGAACGTAAAAGGTTTCCCTGATTCGACTAGAACCAAGGTCATGTTCCACAGTGACGCCCCAGATTTCTCCAGAAATGATGGGCTGCACGTCAACCACCACAGCTTGCAACCAGGCGATCGATATCGAGTCGTTGTTTCCGGACCCGATAGACAGAGCAAACCAGAGCCTAGACAGAACAAACCTAGACGACGATCTGTTATAGTTTCCTTCATGAGTGCAACAGACGTACTTCAGGGCGATACCAATCTGCTTATGGTCGTCCGGACTGGACCATAGGCGATCAGCGATCGGATTGGGCAATCCTCGAGAGTAGATGAACTTCGCAAGGAACGTCGCTTCGTATATACGCCGTCGTTGCAAGGCTTCTATCACGCGGAGGCGAAGGTACGGCCACATGTTCGTCATGGCTTGCGAGTACTGCGAGACGTCTTGGGAGAATCTGCGACCGTCATGTTGACGCTTGAGAACATGGAAGGCGGACAGGTACACTGCAAGGTAATCAAACAATACGTCAATCCTGGGTTGCCAACGGCGCAGTGAGATCCAGATCTTTTACCAGCATAGCGAAACATACGCGAGACCACAACGCACTGTCTGCGTTCGGCGTCCGACAGTCCGCTCAGGATAATGGCCCATTGCTGCACGCGTTTGCGCTGCACGAGCGACGGCGGGAGAGTGATTGGCGAAAGCGGCGGGGCAGGTGCCCGCTTTGGGAAGTCTAGATGATACAGAGAGGGAAGTTCTGTGCTTTCCCGTGGTGCATCGACCTCTTGATCACTATGGGTACGTGTTCCTGCAGTGGGTAAGGCTTCTGGGCGTTTGGTCACTACCAGCGCCTGGAACCGTTTGCCAACCGGCCTAGGTAGTGACGGAGGTAGACTCTTCAGCGTGGTTGATCCTTGTTTGGGCACTCGTTGAGATGAAGAAGACATCGCAGGATCCTTGCCAGCCATGGCGTCCGGTGCCTCAGCATGGGTAGAAGCGAGAAAAAAGGCAGGATTGAGACGAGACAACGGCGGTTTAGCACTGGATATACTGGACGGATTTGATACAGACACGAGCGGAACGCCCAGATCAGAAGCAGGAGACTTAGACAGAGAATGCAAAGCAGATCTCGGCGATGATTGTGTTACGGGTGCCTTCGACGCTTGTGATGTAGGAATGGTCTGCTCTTGTTCCAACCCTTTCTTCTGTACCTTGCGCTTCTTTGGGACACCGACGACAGAGGAGGGTGTCGGCCGTTTCTTGGCCCTTGGGACAGCAGTCTTGTCCTTGCGGGAGCCAATAAAATCTGCGCTTTGCCGAGATGCGGGTCCAGCAGGCTGGGAAAAAGCCTCTCCGGCGTTGCCAGGAAGCTGTGTAGACATAGTACTGTTGTGTTGGTTGGCATGAGCACTTGAAGGCACGAGCGTATGAACGATCGCAGCGCCGGCGTCGGTAGCTGGGTAAATGGACCAGTCAGCGCACACATTCAATGGAGGTTGAAAAACAACGTTCGCGGCCCAGATAAGTGCACATGTCTCAGCGCAGATCTGATGAGCCTCTCGCACGCTTTATAGCCTCTCGAGCTGAGATTGGTTCGTTGTACAAGCATAACAACGCTATGCTGCTCGGACTTAACGGAGCGCGGACTGAGATTGATTCAAAATACGACTCACCTTCTCTTGAGGGCTCGGCGCGATTGCCACAGGCATGAACCTGGGTTGTATGCGCATGGGTAACGTCATTCATAACCAGAGTTGGATTTGACGGCGTCGAGGATTCCTGAGCAACATAGCTAAGCTCAGAGCCTATCTGGACGTCCAATATTTTGGATCTATCTAAGCGTTTGGCAACTTCGTTGAGGGTGCCAGTCTTGGATCCAGATAACTTTTCGATGAGAGCAGCTTTGCCGAGCTTGGAGTACCCGGTTATCTTTCGTTCCTTGCATAAAGTTTTAAGTTGAGGGACAGTTAATTTCTGAAGAGAGGCCAGGGTAGTGGTGGCTTCGCCCGACATGATGCAACGATAGGTTAGCCAGGTAGATGGCGGTATGTGGTACGGGATTGAGACGCGTCTGAATACGCGCGTCTCAGACTCTCAGAGCACGACTACACGTGATCAGAACAGCCACAGACGCGTCGCCACCGCGCAGGGCCGCGCGCCTCGTGCCTGATACAACTCTCATACTCAACTCATACTCTTGCTTAACTTACGCCCACTGGGTTGTGCTCTCAACTGGCTGCTCAATTAACTCAGGGAATGGCCGTAATGGACTCGACAAATGGAGAACAAGACATCATGCGGATATGGTCTCTCCTCACGGAGGTCTCTGAGCATCTCACCCAGAACCGCTCGATGTCCATCTCAATACACAACCTCACGAGCGGTGTCAAGGTGTGCGGGCGTTTTATACGTACAGTATAGTACTAACTCCTACCATATCTCAGAGCCAGGCAGTACACTCGCAGACAGGGTTCGTTCTGAGACGGTAAGCTGTCCTAGTTGCTACGGCCAGTTCTTCTTCTCATATGCTCCTAGATTCAATCTAGACCAGCCGACGGGTGAAGAAAGCGTTAGCCTTTGTACGGAAGCTTGCTAACGCTTTTGACAGAGGTCTACGACGCAGAGCTGGAGCGCATGAACGCTGCGATGGCTGCAGAGAACCAGACGTTACAGAACGATAATAGGCAACTCAATGCCTTAATACGCGAGTATGAGCAAACGTTGGAGAACGTGATGAGCCAGTTTCGCGCCCGTGCTGTGAGTCCTCTTTGGGTTTCGCAGCGTTCCCCCTCCTCAATGCTCGATCGTCCAGTACGAAGTACAACAGCGCGAGCTCGCACTTCTGCGTGACTACGAGAACGCGATCGTCGAACGTGAGACAGAAGCACTCGATGCTGCGCTGTCAGAGAACAACTCACGTTCCGAGAGCCTTGCGCGGCTTGGTCGGCTGCTGCGTGCACTCATCCAGAAACTCAGCGGCGAGGATCTTCCCTCGTGCGAGGCTGCGATGACAGTAGAGACGTCATCCCAACCTGTGGCCTCAACTTCACAGGTCCCTCCACCACCCTCCGCAGAGCATCAATCCAGTGAAGATCAGGCTGGCGACGGCGGTGAGGGCGCAAAGGAGGGCGGTGAAGCGGAGCTCTCAGAGGAGGTCGACGATAATGACGACCCTGAGAAGCTACAACGGAGAATTGCCGCCGCGGAGTGGGCCCTCGAGCGCGAAATTGAGCTCGCGCGATTAGAACGGGAGAATGAGGAGCTACGGGCACTGCTGCGAGGCGTCCTGAATGCCGAGACAACCCCAGTGCACGCAGCGCCGGTAGCACGAAGGCCGGACCAGGAGCTGGCAGAGATCAACGAGGATGGTAGAGCTTCACCAGCGCTGTCGATCGCATCATCGGCGGCGACGGTGAGACCTGGTGGGAGGAAGCTGGGCGGTCCGCCGGGGACTGTGGGTCCGTTCGGCTCGTACAAGATGAGGATGCAGATGACTGGTCAGTGAAAGGCATTTGTACTCGGAGGTGCGTTCACTATTGCTGTGCTGCCATTGCGAGGCTGAAGAGTACACAACATACAGACTTGTAGCTATGTAGCCCTGGCTACTGGTTGACCATTTGGGTGTTTGTATGTCGAATGTCACACACAATAACTGCCAAGACACCTTGCCTTACCAGTCTACTGTGTGCATGAAGTGCCTCCTGGGTCGCCCCGCATGTAGGGATTAGATGTCCCTGCCATTGTTGTCTATGGAGGTGATGGAGATATGATCCATAGTAGTGCCCACGACGCCAGCATCCCACTCAAGTTATGGGTCCGGTCGCCGAATCGACGCTAATTAGTAAGAGACGCTGACGCAGCCCTCGGCGGCTAGGCGGCTAACTGTCTTGCTTCTGTCCGTCACCTTGAATCTCGTGCAGTGAGTGAGCAGTTTGATGTTGACTGCAGACTGGATGACTATGTACTGTTACCACACCGTCTTAGTTCATCTCTGTGTGCAAGCCGAAAGGGCTACAATGTCTCAGCCACGCGCGAAGGTCGAGAGTCTGGACGGCAGCCCCAACCTGGGAGCACCGGATGTCGACCACAGCTTTCAGTTGTACGACCTCCGCGTCGAAGTAATCTGTCCACCAGGAAAGCGTATCTTATGTGGAGCGAAAGCTGGCGACTATTTCACACTCGAGGGCGAGATGCTCAAGCTCCCTCCTGGACAAGGCATTTCCATATATTCACTAGGTAGGTCTGGCAACATCTTCGAAAGAGAGCGCGTGTGCCGACGTGAGAATTGGATCAATCATTGTACTAGGCGCACTGCTCCCTCTGCTCGCGGCCAAGCAGCGTGTTACGTCTCCGTACGACTGGATGACTACCGACAGTGACATCGCATGTCCGGATCCGAACTGCCCCAGCATAACGCGCATAACGCGGACGGGCCTACGGACGTTCATGAGAGGAGATACGACAGTTGGCCCTCTGCCTCCCGCGTCCACCCCGAGTCAAGGGGAACCCTCTCGAATCCAACCCGCACCAGACAAAGCGGCGATGGCGGTGGAATCGAGCACTCCGAGTTCGGTCCCGGCGTCGCCGTTGTTTACTGACGGTGTTGCGGAGGAAGATTCAACGGCAGATGTTGCGACCGCGGTTGTGGAAGAACAACATGACCTTGGTGAAGCACATCGTGGCCGCGGATTTGGCTACTACCTCAGAGCCGATTGGGGGTGATACATAGCTTTCGTGGCATATATGCACGTCCTTTACCTACTGTCTCTCCACTCAGTCAGCGTCCAGTAGCATGTTTTGTTTCATTTTGGCTACTAGAGCATCGAGCAGATCGTGTTAGAAACATTCCACCGCTGTAGTAAGAGAGTTTCCACCTTGCATGGCTGAGTTCCGTCGCATAACTACCTCTACTAGATTGCAACACGCTATGCTTATGCGTCTATGTCATCTGCAATCGTGATACTCCTTTCGTCCGCCATTGCTCCTGGTTCACCTTTGAGATATCTCCATCTGCCCAAGTTATACCTATGGTTGACGTTCTTCAGAGCAGGCACACATGCAACACTTCCGCATCCCCCTGTCCTCGACATCGGTGTCAAGTAGAAAACTTCTTTGACGCGCGAATGGAGCAGCGCCATGCTGCACATGATGCACGGTTCGTGTGTCGTGAAGAGCGTGAGAGATGTGAGAAGGTAATGGGCCCCGTTCTGGGGCGCTTGCACTTCGGCCACGAATCTTGAGGTCCCGGCCGCACCTGGAAGGGGAATGGATGCGGATGAGTCCGTCGGTGGTGGAATGGGTGGTGGCGTGGGTGTCGACAGTAGCGATGTAGAGGACGAGGCACGGTAGTCGGCGACGGCGCGGATAGTGTTAAGGACAGCGTGACGGAGGGGATGGCTGGTAGACATCCTGGTGTCGTGCGCTAGGAAAGGAGCTGGTAGCTGTGCCGCGTCCCTAGTTTCCTTCTCATATGGAATAGGCACATGCGCAGTGATCGGTAGCTGCAGGTCCCGAGATAAGCTACATATCGCCCGCCAGTGAATGAAAATCCGCGTACTTCGCCGCGGCGCCCCGCATCTTGCGCCTCCTCCACCACGCGTTTCATGGCTTTACAAGCCCAGAGTGCCTTACCTCGTGTCCATTCTTCTGCCTCCCCCTTCCGCCTGGGCGCATACACGGTCGGCCAAAGCGTATTCTTGTGCTTCAGCGAGACTTGCGTCAGGGCCACCGTGCTAGGTACGTGCACCACGTATGGTTCGGACAATCCGGGGACGTCGGGTAGCGCAGGAACTTGCGGGTACTCTGGCGTGAGAGCGAGGAGAACGGTCAGGCTGCCGTCTTGTTTTCGGATCCTCTTTAGATGCGACATCGTGGGAGTCTCGATCCCACTCTTCTTGAGCCAGCTAGGTGACAATCAGTGGGGCACACTTCTGCAATTGAGGTCGCTTGTACCTCAGCATTGTGGCTGTATGCCGCGCATCGGGCACATCGACTACCCACGCTGGCTCTATAGGTTATTGTGAGTATACACGCTATTATAGTACGTGCCGAGAGGAAGACTGACGTGTATTTATCGCAATTAGTTCGTCTTCTTCATCATCCCGTACAAGTCTGATCCGCGTAAATGGCAGCTCGTCTTCCGGAATAACGTCTTGTGCGTTGCCGTGAGCGTACACTGAAATCTGTATATCCAGTGCTGATATGTCTTCTTCGTCATTATCGACTCCGGCGAGTCCTCCCCACCCATCGTCAGGATCTTCGAGGATCGGTTCAACCGTACCTGCGTCTACTGCGTCGAACCACAAATTATGACCATAGAAAATGAAGAGCTCCTCGCCGTCTTCTATCCGACGAGTCGTCGTATATCTTATCGACTCTGTCTCCTTATCAAGGGTATAAGACACATTGGGCTGCTGCGAGTGATTGAACAGAGATCCTGACGATAGCAAGGTCAGCACGTAGTAGGGGACCACTGAGTGCCGAGACCGATTGACCTAGGCCAAGAGCGAGGGCCATACGCCCATCTTTCCACTTGAAAGTGTAGTGGTCCAACACAGTATGGCGGCCATGTTCTCTGTATTCTGCAGCGGAGAACAGAAGCACCGGACTGATCTCGATGACGGTCCGCGGCTCGAGAGGACGAGCAGCTGCAAAAAATTTTCAGATAGCTCGCTCGAGTAAGTGCTTTAAAATATGACCTACCGTATACGCCCCTGCCTTTCTCTGCAGAGAATCCAATGCGAAGACCACTACTATTGAGGTGGTCTGGAACCCGAGACTGCATTGCGCAAGTTATCTGGTATGGATGTTGATTTCTGCGTGATATCAACTGAATACAGCGTAGTAGACAGAATGAATGTCGTGTGAACCATGGAGCGAAGTGTAGTCGGGCATTGTTCACGTACGAGCGTTCTGACTGACTCGAAAGTTTGTTCTGTGTCACCGCAAACCCGATCTGGCGAGATCTGATCGATCCAACACGAGGCTACTGTACATCCGCAATAAGCGCCCATATCTTGGGCGTAGCCATACAACTCCGAAACAATCATAGGACAGAGTAGGCAAGGAACTAATTGCACTCAGGCTATTACATCCCGAGTTCAATCTGATCGTGCTTCCCTCTATGGTTCCTCTTGACATATGAGATGAATGTCAACTGAATGATCTGCTGCGTCTATGCATCATTCTTACTACACTTTTGCCTCTCCTTCGGGGTTTTCTTGCTCTGATCATCTACTCACTTTTTGATGGCATATTCGTCTAAGCCTCCGCTATCGCAGGAGCGGAGCGGTGGCGGTCTTTAGTCTTTGTGACATATGTACATCAAACCTTATCTCATCATGCAGTCTGGAACACAAGTACTTCATCCTCCTTGCGCCGCTTGTCTTTATTTCCAAGCCGCTGCGTAGCAGCCACTTTCCTCGGCTTTCGCGGCTCATATTCTGCCTTCCGAAGCTCAATTCGCTCCATTCTGTGTTCCAAAATCGCAGAGACCGCGTCTCCACGCCCGTTCGGGAACCGCTCGTTCTGCCAATCGAATACGAGCCGTAGTTCCGGTACGGACGGACGCTGTGGTGTACGACTGTCCTTTCTCGCGTCCATACTTCGGGAGGCAGTAGCCGGCTTAGAAGCACGGATAGACTCTGGCGCGGGAGTTGCGTACATGTCGTCGATGTCATGTGTGTCGTACCGGCTCGGTGGCCGCGTTGCGCGTGCCGGTAGTGCGGGCTCGGCGTACATGTCGTCGATGTTGTGAGTGTCTGCACGGACATTGCGCAGTTCCGGTTGTGGGGTTGCATACATATCGTCGATGTCGTGGGTGTCATATCGACCGCGGGAACGCGAAGACTCGGACGTCGGGGGAGGCGTGGCATATAGATCATCTATGTCGTGCGTATCATATCTTGCAGATCTGCCGGAAACGGAAGGGCGCGGAGTCGACTCTTGGTCAGAGAGCGAGTCCGCGTCCTTCTGATCCGATTGGACCACCTCTGGGTCTAGGGCGGGTGGACCATTCAGCTTACCCGCTGCGCGTAAACCAGAGATCAGGGTGCGGAAGTCTGGCATCCTCTCCTTCCCCTTCATGACGTAGGGAATGCGCGGAGAACTGGCTCGCACACTCGGTGTTGGGGTGCTATCTGGTTGAGTCGAGGACGAGGGCGAAGGCGACGATGGAGGAGGTGCCGACGATGCGTAGAGAGATGTGGCATTGGAAGCAGGAGTAGAGAGCCGTGATGGCGCCTGTGAGGAAACCGACGGTGTATCATTGCTGGGAGAACATGTGAGTGGGGGCGAGGAGGCAGTTGAGGATGGCAGCAAGAATGCCGGCGAAGAGCGCTCAGTCGGGATGTCAGGCTGCAGCATCTGTGAGCTGCGAAGTGGTGGTCGGATCTTCTGTATAACGGAATGGTCAGCTCCATGCTGTGCTATCGTACCAACATGTTGACTTACAGCTGCGTTGGTATCTGCTGGAGCATCTTGTCGAGAGCGACTCGCAGTCTTCGTCGCCACTCGTTTCAACGGGGGAGGCCGCAGCAGGTCTATATGTGGTGTTTCCCGGCGTCGTCCTTGAGAAGAGGAGGCACGCACTGCTTCTGCCTCTTTGATCGGTTCAAGGGGGAGCGATACAGATTCGTTGACATGGACATATGAACGAGCAGGTCCTTCAAGGTCTATGGCACTTGTGGATCGATCCGGTCGTGACTCCGATGCTTGAGACACAAACTGTGTAGGCATATGCGATGACGGTCTCTCGTTCGCTACACGCGACGAAGAGGATACATCTGGAGCAGTGACCACAGTTCTCACAGGAGCATTGGTTGGAACTATCTCTCTTGTATCGTTCGATCGTTTCGAGCACCGACGACAGACCCAGCTTCCCAGTCCATCCGCAGGCCGGTTGCTCAAGTCGGCGTCAATACGCTGCAGGACTTCTGCTTCAGCTACAGGAGGGATATGACAGGCTAAACAATGCATGGGTGGTCAGCAGATACGAGAAGCGAGCATGTTGAGTGCAGATGACTGACGATGGTGCCAGGCACGTAGGCACTTGCAGCACTCCATGAGAAACTTGGCGGGATTGTGCACAGTCTCATGGCATCGCACGCACGGTTTGCGTGGGACTGAACTTGACGCCATTTCCTGAGGCACAGGTACAGCCTATTGGTGATATTTGCCTGCACTGTACGGACCAGATGAGAATTGGATGAGAACACCTTGATTTATGTAAATTATTGGCCGATCGTGCAACGAAGGCGCTGACTAATACACGCGCTCACGTGTGCCGGTTTGGGCAGGTATGACCTCACACGGCATGGCATTGGCACGGCGCAGCGGCCGCAACCTACAGTACGTTGGGGATAGTTTTTGGGGGTGAGTAGCTCCCTTAATGTCAGGCTAGTATGCCATTTCAGCGAGCACGTTGGGAGCATTCCATAACATTATATTTTATGAGCTTTTCGTGGTTCAAATTACATACGGTACGAAGCTTCTTCGGAGTCTGAACATGTCAGCCCTCCGAAAAAACCCTTTAGGAACTTTTCTAGTCTCCGTGCTTTCGGAGTTTCAACGTGTCGGTTGCACGGTGCCCACGGCGCTTCGCACGACGCGGGGTACATTGTTCGACTACGCCCTGCTTCGTCTCCTCCGAAGTGACTGTCTTTCCTTATACTGTGTCGTATGTTGCATTCTTGCACACTTTCTCCATAACACACCATCACCGGACTCGAACGCAGCAGGAGTAGTCGTCGTGATGGCTAGCGTCGCACGACCTCCGCATTCCTTGCTCGACGTCGTCCACGATGCCATACAACACAAACTAGAGGACCACGAGACAGACCATGACCGTCCGGAGCACCCCCTCACCCCGCCTCTCGGCAAGACCAACCAAGCCGAGCGGCTTGTGAATCCTGACGCGGTCCAAGGCAACGCGAATGAGCAACCACCGCCGGATGAGCACGGCGAAGCAGCTCCGACTGCGGTTGCGCAGGAGGTATCTCGACGGACGGACTCACCCGAGCAGGACGACGAACCACCGTCACCACTCATCTCGCGTGAGCAGGCCAGGCATAGGCCGCGCCTCTCCTCAGGCTCTGGTGTCCGTCTACCACCTCCGGACACGCCTTCTGGACGCACAGGTCCTCCCCGTTCCATCTCACGGAGCTACTCACTCTCACAGTCCGGACGCTTCGACTCGAAAATGCATCGCAAGCGGGCGTCGGAGCCAACCAATCAGGACGAGGGCGATGGTCCTGACCGCACCTCTGAGTTCCGTACAACTACCCCCTTCCGCGACGCCATGGACTACCAGGACCCCCACCAACGCGAGCGCGAACGGCACAGAGCCGAGAAGATGGCAAGAAGACGTGATAGCGCGGCGGGCCATGACATCTGGAGCGCGATGAAGAAGCGGCTGGACACCCCGCGAGAGGAGCACTCGCAAATTCGATGGATGATTGAAGGTGGTGAGGAGGAGAATGAGAAGGAGAAGGGAGCCGAGGCCAAAGGCAAGGAAAGAGCTCAGGGAGGTGCGGAACCGGAGGCGAAGGAGAAACACGAGAAGGTAAAGGTCGGAAGTCCTGTCGCGGACAAACACCCAGAGACAGCACACCCACCAGGCAGTCCGTCCAGCTATTTTCAGCAACATTCGCAGTCCATGCCGCACATTCAGCGCAGTCAGTCTGAGCAGCCGCCGCCGCCGCCGCCGCAGCCGCCGCAGCAGCAGCAGCACGCGAACGTCGCACCGAAGTGGAATCGACTGCGCTCCCTCATCCCCCAGATCGCGGCTCAGCACAAGAGCCAACATGCGCCCCCAGCGTCCACGGTAGTCCCGCAGTCGGTGAATATCACTGACGAGCTGATTGCGGGAGGCTTGTCTGCGCTTGTCCTGAGACTCTGGTTTGAACGGGACGAGCGGGATCATAGGCGGGTTCCTATCCTCTTCCACCGCTTGCGCATTCGCGTTAGCGATAGCTTGCATCCGCTTCATGGCAACAAGGCCGTCTTCCGCATCGAGTGCGAGTACGCGAACGGTGCCGTGCGTTGGGTGGTATACCGACAGCTGCGCGAGTTCTTGTCGCTACATGCTCACTACACCGTTTCGAATGCATACTTCCGAAACGTGGAAACGCTCCCAGACTTCCCCATGATGAGTACGTCAAGTGTATTTACCGATGTATTTCATTACTCACGGTAGGTCTAGGTCTGCCCTACTTCAAGTTCCTCAAGGAGCGAGGACGAGATGTCGGACGAGCGGATTTTGCCCGTATGCAACGTGAAGCGCTTGAAAACTACCTCATCGGCCTCGTTCGCGCAGTGGTCAGTACGTCATGTACTGAAGCAAGTCTCATTTTATAACGTTCTGCGTAGATGTGGCATCCGTCAGCGAACCGTCTGGCAGGGTTCCTTGAAATCAGCGCACTTATGGTTGCACTTGCGCAGTCGGGTGGCGCCCAGTATAAGGCGGGTACACTGCGAATCGACACTATAGGCAACAAGGGCAACCTAGGGCGTCGAGCGACCTCCTGGCGAGAGCGTAAAACGCCGAAGTGGTGCTCAGTCCGCGAGAGCTACCTGGTGGTACATGAGGAAGTCGGCGAGGTAATGTGCGATCCTCCATTAACTTTCAGATCATCGCTTATCTTCACGCATAGCTTACTGTCTGGGACGTGTTCTTGATCGACACGGATTTCAAAATCGAGCGACCGACGCGTTATTACCGGCAAGGTCTGAACCTTCTTCAGCACTTCGAGGACGATCACCCGGAAGTGGTGCCACAGTCCGGGCACGAGAGCGCCATGGTCGAGCACCACGAGGACCACCCTCACACCTGGCACAAAATGAGTTCAATTAAGAGCCACATCGGGAACCTTCTACACATCCACCAACACCAAGACTCCGAGAAGTCCCGGTCTGCGTCGCATGTCAACGAGAAACACGCGGATGGCGATCCCCGTCATAGCAATGGTCGTGCTGGTACCGATCCTGGGCATCACAGACCGTCTCTTTCGGCTACTTCATTTTCGTCGTCATCGTCATCGTCGAGGCCGGTGACACCGATGCTCGATCCTTCAACGAACACGAATCCGTTGCTGGGACCCGAGGACCATGATGAGTTCAAGCATGACGAGCAGGAAACAAATAGCAAGAAGCGAAAGAGTCGGTCGAGGGCGAATGAGGTGTCGAAGCATACGTTCTACATCGAAAACTCGCAGATGCGGCTCAAGCTATTTGCTAAGAATGAGGTAGGTGACCTCAAGTGAGATATCAAAGAGCTTGGTGATGACGTAACGTGCAGCGACAGATGCTTCAATGGATCGCAGCGCTCGAGCGAGTCGCAAGAGATTGCCACTACACGGGAAAGAACAGGTTCGACAGCTTCGCGCCAATCCGTCTCAATGTCGCAGCTCAGTGGTTGGTCGATGGTGTATGTCTCCAACACCATGATATCGTTCGCTGACTGACTGTCCATCAAAAGCGTGACTATTTCTGGAACCTCTCTCGTGCTATCATGCTGGCGACGGAGTGTATATACATTCATGATTGGTGGCTATCTCCTGGTCAGTGTTTTGCCAACGTTGGTTCGTTTGGTGTTCACTCAAGTGCTGAACTCGCGTTTCTAGAGCTCCAGATGCGTCGACCTGGCTTGCCCAAGTATCGGCTGGATAATCTCTTGGAGCGTAAGGCGAAAGAAGGCGTCAAGATCTATATCATCCTTTAGTAGGTACATCGGCTTGGTTTCGAGGTATTAATCTCATGGCTGTCATCAGCCAAGAGGTGTCCAACAGGACGACACCAACGGACAGCAAGCAAGTACACATACACTTTTGCTGACCGCCAATTGACGAACCTATATTCTAGCTATACTAAACAGAGGCTCACATCGCTACATCCAAACATCATGGTACAACGGTCGCCGTCGCATTTCCAGACGGGAACTTTCTATTGGGCGCATGTAAGATTCCTAAACTGGCTCGTATGCGATGTTCTCATACAGTCCTGGTAGCATGAGAAGATGTGCGTGATAGATCAAGCCATCGCATTCATGGGAGGTTTGGATCTGTGTTTCGGACGGTACGCTGTTTGCACTGCTGGTTCATGATGCGTCTGAGCCGTTCAGCAGATGGGACACTCCACAGCATGTCATCATCGACGACCCGGAAGGCATGCAAGACAGCGCCGAACAGATCTGGCCTGGTATGACTTACTCACGGACGCTGCGTCGCCTGCTTACATTCTCATAGGCAAGGACTACAGCAACCCCCGTGTGAGCGACTTCCACACCCTCAACAAGCCCGATGAGGATATGTACGATCGCGCCAAGATTGCAAGAATGCCTTGGTAAGATGAAGTATATGTTATCGTGGTTAGCTATTCACCCTGAGGTGTAGGCACGACGTAGGCATGCAAGTCGTGGGGCAACCCGCTCGTGATTTGGCGCGTCATTTTGTGCAGAGGTTGGTTGATTCAGTGCGGCGTCTCGATTATGTTGACTGAGTAACACTCACGTTTAGGTGGAACCACCTCCTGAGAATCAAGGTTTGACGCAGAGTGTTGCGCGTATGACGGCAGCTGATGACCCTGCTAGAACCACACGCGCATGATGCCCATGTTACTGCCGCCGCCCGAATTCCGGCCTGGTGAGCTCACGCAAATGGGACTTACCGGGACATGCGAGTTCCAGATCTGCAGATCGGCAGGACCGTGGTCATTGGGCACGCCCGAACGGATTGAACATTCTATCCAGAATGCCTATCTGAAAGGTGCGGAAGCTCGATCATACGGGTTATGCGTTTACTGACCTCCCGGCTAGCCATTCAGATGTCGGAGCACTTCGTCTACATTGAGAACCAATTCTTCATTACATCGTAAGTGACGAACCCTCGCGCTCAGTATGCAGTATTGACTCTCCTCAAGCACTGTCGTGAGCGAGGTGCCCGTAGAAAACAAGATCGGGGACGCTCTTGTCGCTCGCATCATTCGGGCGCACCGAGAGAGGACCCCGTGGAAGTGTTGTGTGATCATACCGTTGATTCCTGGATTTACATATCCCATCGACCACAGTGATGCTACTCCGGTGAGAACTCTTCACAATCGACTTGCATCTGGCTCAACTTTGCGAAGATTCGCATAATCATGGAATGCCAAAATCGTACCATTTGTCGCGGCCCTAACTCAATCTTCGCCCGCTTACGCAAAGAGGGTATAGATGTATGCCCACCGAGTTCCCGTTTGGATGCTATCATTGAGACTTCCCTTAGCCCGACGATTATATCGCAATCCTCTCTTTGAGGAACTGGGGCAAATTGCGTGACGGGGTTCTGACAACAGAAGAGGTAAGGGCGTATATTTGCTAATCGAATCTTGTACTCACATTGCCCTCAGGTCTACATTCACGGCAAGGTCAGTAGGAAATCATGCTTCCCCCGCCAATCCCACTGACATAGCAGAGATCAGGTCTGTATAGTAGATGATCGACTCGCGATCATTGGGAGTGCGAACATCAACGAGCGTTCCCAGCGCGGAGACCGCGATTCAGAGATAGCAGCTGTTATCCGCGATACTGACATGCTTGAATGGTGAATCGCTTCATTGCTTCGCGTCCGTGCCCACCTTGCTAAATCCTAGTGTCCAGCACAATGGCCGGCAAGCCATTCAAAGTCGGGCGATTCGCTCACACTTTGAGAGTTCGGCTCATGCGCGAACATATCGGAGTCGACGTTGACGCGATGCATGAAGATGACCTGATGGCCTATGAACCTACCAAAGCTCCTGATGAACAGAGCGAGTGGGATCCGGAAGACGAGGAAGAGCACGGCAAGGAAACAGGTGTGACACATATCGGCAAGAGGCAGAAGCGGACTGCGATGGGCAGCCTCTTCCGCGACACCCTGGACGGTGTGGAGCAAGGTCGGTTCAAGGCGCAGCTCTGGTCATCTACGACTCACATAGATGCCATAGCGATTCACGGAACGGGCGAGGCTGGCAATAAAGACCTCGGCATGCTTTTACGCAAGACCGGTATCAAAAGCAAGGGCCTGGACCTCACAACAGACGAGCGGGGCCTGGTCGCGGAACGACAGATGTACAACCGTGAGGGCGAACAAGAGTCTGGCTTTCCTAGTTCAATCGTACCGACTCTGGAGGAAAAGACCGTCGCCGAAAATCGCCCACCGGAGTCTCAGGCTATCGGCCACCCTATCGAGGCCGAATTGAAGCAGGAGGGAGTGTCTGGTGGTGCAGGGCAACCCGAGGAAGTACGAATGTCAGATGGAGAACTTCTCGGTGCACCCGCCAACGCCGCGCCCAATCCTCAGATGGACAGGGAACCTCCTCGTGCCAAGGACGCAAGCGACGACGCTGTTGGAGAGGAGGAGGTGTTACCAGGCATCCGTTCACTTCTCAGGAAACAGGTAGCAGCGAAGCTAGGTCAGAAACCTTGGACGCTTCCTACTCCTACGCCACGAGTAGATCCAGATGGCTTTGAGGATCCGGTCTGTGATGAGTTCTGGAAGAACGTCTGGTTGGCATGTGCCGTGCATAATGTAAGCATGTCCTATTAGACCATCCACAGATGTAATGACATAGATACTGACGTACCACCAAGACGGAAATCTATAGGAAAGTGTTCCATGCCGTTCCCGATGATCTCGTCACAACATGGAAGCAGTATAGAGAGTTCATTGCACATCACGACCGGCTCAACCAACCTGTGGGTTGTATCAACGAATAACTATCGCGATGGCTGACGGAGCTTTGATAGGTGAGGGAATCAAGTTCCCGTGAACCGCTCGGCCGTATTCCGTCAGAATCAAGGGATCAAGATGCACCAGGCCAGACACCCCTCTCCGAGACTACTGTCCATTCCGTAGACTACGCACATCTCGACAGCGCCGGTCACCACGACACACCTAGCAAAGAGCATGCCAACGGGGATGCCCAGACGTCGTCCAACTCGACAACTCCACCTGCTACCGCGCCCGAAGACAAGACACGAGGACGCAAGACTTCTCGTACGGCGGAGCCTTTCGACGAATCCGAGCGAGAAGAAATGGAGCACCTACTGCAGGAGCTACGTGGTCACTTAGGTAATGTCCACCAGGTACGCAGGAAATGTTATCGCTGATATGATATCCCTTTCAGTCATTTACCCCACCCGATTCTTGGAAGGAGAAGATGCCGCAAATAATTTCTTGTTCAATGCTGACAGGTGCGTACTCCAGCTACCAGTCCGAATGATACAGATTACTCATTCGACACAGACTCATGCCCCTACCTATTTACAACTGACAAGAGGACTCTGACAGGGACACTTCGCACACCAGGACACTACGCACGTTCACTCCAGGTCATCGACTAATCTCGTTGTATAGTAGTAGCACTGATTACCCTGATCATCCGACCTTTCCACAGGTCAATAATCCTTGTTCATAGTACTGTCTCAGTGTTGAGATGCATTAACGTATTCATTGGCCGCGTTACTTGGCTACCGTCGTCGTTCGTGTGCGCTCCGTTGACAGCTCTGCTTCAGGTCACACGATATGGTAATACTCTATGATCTATGCGTATCATGAGACGTCAGCATGTCGTCCGTCTAATTCTAGTACGATGTACATGAGGCCTGACACCCATGACAGATGAGCGTGTTCTTTCCACCGCTTTAGACCACGCTGAATATACACGTAGTCATTGAAGGATACATGCATGCTGCAGTGTTTGGCTTCTGTCCAAAACCACCGGCCCGTAGCCCGCCACTGGGTGTCGCAGCGACCCACCTCAGCGCTCATGGACTGCTTTCAACAGTCAACTGACATTGTGCATGACGTCCACGCCGCAAACGTCCTTCCTTCAAGAATCCACGTACGTCGAAGACAACTGTCAGTATCGTTCGTCAAACTGCGCGATGGTGAGGTTTGAAGGGCATGATAAGTGCACCGTAATTCGATCTCGTGCTAGTGCGTGTCTCTTGTCTCTGAAGCAATCACTTACATTCGGAATTGCTGTATAGAGCTAAACACAGACCGTCCGACCCGGCATCGGCTCTTGCTTTGCGAACATGCGTGACGTGCTGTAATCGAGTAGAAAAGAAGTGAGCCAATGGGCAATCTGACTCAACATTCTACGCGACGTTTTCTCCTCGTCTACAAAGCATGATGTCACAAGCGACGCAAGCTTGCGACCAAGGAAAGGCTGCCCTATTCAGTCTCGCTAGTCCAAATGCAATACAGGCAACATCAATGGTCCAGTTAGACGAGCCCCCGGACGGCGGCGGATGCTCGTCGTTGCAACTATTAATCAGCTTCATCGGCTTTGGAACTGCGACCATCTGTAGCGTCTTCCAGGACGCGTATAGCTCGAATGCAAGCTCGCGATTACGCTACAACAGTCCAAGCCGGGGTTCGTCGGTGGCTGCGTAATGGACTTTGGCTTGTCGTTGAGGCCATTTGCCAACAACTACGAAACTTTGGCATTCGTGCGCCCATCTTCGTGGGCGTACTCATGATGTTCGCGCTTGCCTTCGAGCTAGCGTCTATATGTCATCTCTAATGGTAGCTCTTCCTCTCTCCAGGGCATTCTGTTTGGGTAAGCACGTTAGGTATTCTCCTCCGAATAATACGCATGAGATTTGATGCCCCTTCCTACAGCCTTGGAGTATCATTGTCCTGGACACCAGCCATAGCACTGCCGTCTCAATGGTTCAAAAAGAGACTCAGTCTCGTTTCGGGCATCGCAAGCGTATGTCACACATGGTCCTACTAGTATTGGTATCCTTGCCGAGCGCTCATGCACGTCTGTAGTCAGACACTGGCGTGAGCGGAGTGCTCTCCCTAATATGCCAAGCTCTAATTGACCGCACGTCTATTCGATGGAATCTCCGTCGCTTGAGTTTCAAGTTCCTGAGCCTAGTTGTGGGCCTGGTGGCCGTAGCGCTCGTGAGGCAACGTCACGCTGCTCGGAAGCACGTAGAATACCGCATTCTCGACCTATCCTTATTTCGCATCCAGGGATACGGATTGTATCTTGCTTTGTGCTCTGTGCAATTCTTCTGGTCTGTAACCCCTGTTCTACATACCCAGTGAGCGATCTAGCATCATTGATGATTATGCTGGCTGATGGCTCGTCTCAGGCTACTGCCTTGCGATCGGATTATAGGCTCAGGAGTTCTGTCAGTCGCAACCGCCATGAATGCTGTGGGACACATCATGGCTGGTTCCTGGCTGACAGGGCCGGAACCGATCAAAGTTCTGATTGCAATGCATCTCCTGACGGCTCTGTCATGCATTGTTATTTGGTTCTTCGCGAAGAGCATCGGGGTTATGATTGTCTTCGCGTTCTTCTGGGGTCTGTTGAGCGGACGTAAGTGCCACACATGGATCTCATGATGTGTGAGGTATTAATGAAACCCCATATGCAGCTTATTGGCCGCTTGGTGTACCAGCGTGTGCGAAGATCGCTGGTTAGTACGGTCACGATACATGATGCGACTAAGCACTCTTCCACCTCACAGGCATGGAGAAGCTAGGATCCGCCGTAGCCTCATGGTCGTTATCCCACCCATCTCCTCAGTTCCGACGTCCACCGCCGCGCCATAGTACGGGGTCTCGGAGGACTCGCGCGAGGCGTAATGGTACCTCCGACATTGTGTGGTGTACCCTTGTTACGACAGTGGCGTCCATGCTGCTCATACCAGTGCGTCTTCATTTTGGTAGACAGCTTTGGCTGAAGGTATCAGTACGTATCTGACAGTAGTACCGATAGCTTGCGCTCATGCTATTTTCGTTCTGCCGGGTGCAATCCCAGTCATATCGCTCTTTCATTACTTGTATGACGAAGTAGCGTGGGCCATGAGCGATTTTATAGTTGTTCAATCCCACTTCTATATGATATATTGACAGCTATTGCAATCGCAAGACAATCCGGGTGTCGAAAGCTCCTCGATCACTGGCAGATAGCTTACTATCATACTTTAGTAGTGAGGAGCACCGGTGTCGTAGATCTTTATGTAACCGGAGAACGCCGAACCGAAAGCAGTTCTGTAGTTGCCACTCAGAGCCGCTGGCTCCCGGTATCGAGGTCACGGTGGACTCGACGTCCACGTCCTGCGGCTTTACCTCCCATCTTTCAACAAGTTTGTCGTTCCGAATTACGATCCAAGAACTCCTTTTTCCACCGTTGGCAGTCAACGCCGGCTACGAGCACGTCGAGGACTTTGAAGCGGTTTCGTTTTCGTGCGAAAGGCGCCGATTAGTAATTCCTCTGCTGCCTGAGCCGAAGCTGCACTGTTCCCGGCCTCAAAAGTAGGATCGAGCTCCATAGTTCTGCTTTCTAAGTCAGACGGCTGATAGTGACGACCAACTTGCTCTTAGCACTTGTTCCGCGAGCTTACATGTGGATATGCCCGACTACGGCATCGCGTGCTAAAATTGTCCACTCTTTGTCCCGCGGACCGAAGTCCTCAACGCATTGCATCCGGAACATGTCCATTGATCTGTCCCTCGAGCGGATCCGCAAGCTACAGGCGCACCTACCTACCTATACTCGACCTACCTGTCACATAACCGGCACCAACGGGAAGGGGAGCGTATCTGCTTTCCTTTCCTCTATATTCCGAACGGCCGCGCCGACCGCGCAGTTCAAAGTGGGGCGGTTCAATAGCCCGCACCTTATCTCTGTCAATGACTCGATCACACTGAACGATGTGCCAGTACCCATGGATCTATACGCCTCAGCTCACGCTCGTGTCGTGCAGGCGAACACGGATCGCGGAATCGGCGCGAGTAACTTCGAGTTGCTTACCTGCACCGCCTTGAACATCTTCGAGACTGTTGGAGCCGAGGTGGTCGTCCTTGAGGTCGGGATGGGCGGGCGGCTCGATGCTACAAATGTAATCCCAGACAACACAGTACTCGCATCTGCGATGACGGCCGTCGATCTCGACCACCAGGCATTTCTGGGTGGTACAGTCACCGCCATAGCGCGCGAAAAGGCGGCCATCGCCAGGCCCGGGCGCCCGTTCATCCTCGGACGACAGAGTCACTGCGAAGTTGAACTCGCCGTGCGGGACGTCATAGGACCAGCTGGAGCAGAGTTACTCATGGCGCCGAACGTCGACAAGCGGGAGTGGGATGAGAGCCTGGACGGTCCGCGCCCATCGGTCGACCAAGTCCCCCCTCCTCCTACCCCAGTCGAGGTCAAGCTCCCTTGCTTCGAGGATCCGATCCGCGCGTTGCTACCCCTGCAGGGTGGGCACCAGCTCGCGAACCTCGGAGTTGCGCTAGGCATCATCTCCGCCATCCGAATACGCAAGTCCGTCGATCTACCCTGGATCGACAGGCTTACACCGGAAAACATAGCGCAGGGGGTCAGAGACACTCAGTGGCCGGGTAGGCTGTCCTGGCATAGTCTGCCAGGAGTAGCACCACTTGTGCTGGTAGACGGCGCACACAATGTCGCCTCAGCGCGTACCCTGTCGGCATACATCGAGTCCCTCTCTCACGGAATTCGACCGCTCACACTCACATATCTTCTGGGCCTCTCATCTTCCCCGCCAAAGACACCAGAGCAGACGCTCGAACCACTCTTGTCGCTCTCCGCCGATATCGCAGTGGCGGCCCTTCCATTCTCTCCTCCCGAAGGGATGCCTTGGGTTCGCGATGAGCCCCGTGAGGCTTTGCTTGCTGCCGTTGACAAGCTAGCCCCCCATGCAATTATCTGGAGCGGTGTCGACGACGAAGGATCTCAGGATCCGATTATGCAACTTCGTTCGGCGTTGGAATGGGCGGCGAGCAGACAGGCTGAGAAAGGTGGCTTGATCGTGGTCGCCGGTAGTCTATACCTTGTCGCAGACTTCTACAGACTGCTGGCGAAACTAGGCCGACGGGGGGGATCAAGGGCCGGCGGACGACGACACAGTTTCATAGATCGCTCAGTCCTCATGATAGAGCGGCAATAATACGGTTATCGCTTGTGACGTACGATTGTTTAAAACATGACACCGTTCTGACTTCATCAGTCCACGCGCTGTCGCTTCATCAATCCCTTAGATGTCTTTGAACATCAGCAGCAGCGGTACCACATTGATGAACCTCAGGTATCCGTCTGCCTCGTTCTCTCTTTATTTGTGGCACTCGACCGACGATCTCTGGATATCCCTTCCTCTGGTCCATCAAACGCTTCATGACAGGATCCCGAGATCCGTGAGACGTAGCGTCACGGTGAGCCGATAGACTTGTCCTCGCTGAGGGACACCTCTCCACTGTAAGTTTATTGACCGTGCACGGGACGGCGCAATGCTGACCAGCTCTCATAGCCCGCTGGTGCTCCTCAGTTCGCAGAGCATCTACTCACATACAATCGCTATCTGAGTATGCGCTACCCGCATACGCACAACGGAACCCCGAGGCAGTACGCCGGTTCTACAACCCAGAGTTGCAAAGCCACCGTGCCGAACGCTCTGAAGCGGGAGCTGCCGAAGAACGAGGAGAAGGATGACTGAGCATTCCGTGTTGGTGATGAAGTTCTCGAGCTTCACAGAGCGCGTTGCCGCGTCCGCAGCAACTCCATTGGCCGGCATTTGTCCGGAATAACAAGAGCTATTGGCGCCATACCTGCCTGCAGCCTCGCGCCTTCGATGTGGAGAACGCAGAACTCGCCCGACGCTCGCATACTGATTGCCCACATTGTACAGGAGCAGTCGAACAAGAATACCTACAGCCTCTTAAACATTCGGGCCGCCCGTTCGCGAACTTTGTCGCGGAGAAGCAGAACCTCCTCCACGCCGGGGCAGAGATAGCAGTGGGTCCTATGTAGAGAGCACTTACCGGGAGGTAGGCGCACTTGCCATGCCAAAAACAGTGCAAAAAGGTCGATCCGTGAGTTTGGTATGATCATCGCAAAGATAATTCAGAGGGTGTCACATAGGTCACAAACTTCTAAACGCACTGTTCCCGATATCCCGCATGAAGCCCGACATGTATACCACGTAGCATTGACGCTGCTGCTGCCTGGAAGGTATTCGCCAGAAGGTACGCCTGCCGACACCTCAAAGTCGAGGAATTTGCCAGTGGGCTCCAACGTTCGAATCACTAGCCGCGTAGTCACCCTGAGTCGAACGACGTATGTCCAGAGAGACCGCCTAGTCGACTGAGAAGATCGAACAAGGACCCCATTAGTACCAGGGCGTACTTGAGCGTTGCCCAAGTTGCGGACTATTTGCCTGTGGGACGTTCGGCGGTGAGTCCACCATACGAGACCGGTTGTTGTGAACTCGACGACGTTCATTAGTCGCCAACGCGCTCTAACAAGGGCGCCTCTGGATGGTGATGTCAGTCGACATAGCGACCCGGCGTGCCCCGAATAGTGTGGAGATACTAGCGAGGTTTGTCGACGCACGTCGCAGATGCGCTACGCCAGGCTGAACGTATTTCAGAACAACAGGCGGCGCTGATGCAGAATTCGACAAGCGGATAAGAGCGACGCTCGACTTGCAGCTTCAGGCAAGAGTGGGGAGGCAACACTCCGGCATCAATTGCGGTTGATACACGGTCGTATGTCGACGTACCGTATTCCGGAATGCCGTCGAACAATTGAACGGAGGTCGTTTCTTCCCTCGACCTCCTGCCAGCGTTGAAAGACAATGGCGCAGGTAGGACTATGTGATGACAAGGCCACTATGAGCAGACTGTATATTGTAACTCCAGTCAGTGAATATTCCGTACCCAGTACTGAGATTACCAAGATTCTGTCCTGTCTGTGCCGTCCGGTCGCATACGTACTAGTCCACTGCCTTGGATCCATGTGCGCTAGATGGTCGATTATCTAGGAAGCGGGGAATTTTAATTTGGTCTGAATCGCTTTGACACCATGTGCAGCGAATGCTTGGCCATAGGAGTACTGGAGTACCCGAGTGCGCGGCCCCGAGAGGGTTGCGCATGCACTGTGCCTGACGAAAATGCAGGTCAGCCGTCATCCCAGTGATATTAATACTTCGGAAGGCGCACCGTTTTCAGCCATCTCGAGCTCTTCAACAACGGTGTATGAACTGTACCGTCACGCCAGCGCGAATTAGTGGTAGCAGAGATGCCCCCATCGGGTATGACTTCCACATGCGCCGGCTACTTAAAACGGGAGACCGGTACCATCGCCTCGTATGGATCTTGGAGGTTGAGGTTAGATCCGTGAGAAGATGGATTCGCTTAAGTCTCAGCGAATCCAAGTTTCGATGTGATTTGTGTACCATTAGAGGCAATGTTTCCTACCGGATTACGTCGGTATCCCCGATCGCTCGTAGGCACTGTGTGCATTCATTTCATGCAACTCCGCTGACGACTCGTGGCATCCGCAATATGAAAACTGCGCTCGTCGCAATGTTGTCGCAATAACAAAGAAACCGCGGACGTTGTGCCGGTGTCGTTGTCCGCGGGAGGCAGGAGCAGCGCAACTTGGATAGAAAATGTGCTACATGCTGGATGCCTCTCCGCGTGGCTGGAAAAAAAAGGAGGGACAGTGTCATAGGACAACTAGAAGTATCCCAGGTCGATCGTCTCTTACTATATCGTTGCCGTTAGTTTCTGGTCGTGTACCAAATGTAGAGATCCTCACCTATTTGCCACAGTATTGATTGCATCTGACAAATTCTGTAACGCACTGAGAATCCAATCGAACACGGCCTGAAAATCACCTCTACACTCCGCTCGGTGTTTGTAGATGACGAGCGCACACAATGCCGTCGACAATGTCCCTTACCATTTTGTACACGCACAACTTGGCACGCTTGGCCAATAGCATCCCCCGGTCTTCTGTCTTTCCTCGTTAGCTGAAAAACGCACAATCGCACCCGAGGCTCCAAGAACCGTTGCACAGCGGAGTCACGTCTCAAGAAAAAAAGGGACGCCCAAGTAGAGTAGCCTAGACCATCAGTACGTACAGGCGCACCGCAACACGTTCTCACCCTTCGGCCTGTACCTTCGCACGCGTACCAGCGGAGAGAGCTCTCGTCGAAGATCGCCCGCCCACGACTCGGAGGCAGCCGCCGCGGCACGCCATCGAAAACATTGACCCGTTGCGAGGGCCGAGTTGGGCCACCCGTGCTACGTCAGGAGACACTCATCCGACAGACCGTCCCCCCACCTGTGGATCCGTCGAACACGAAGAAGTTGACTATCGGAGACTCGCGCGCGGCGAGTGCCTTGAGGATGTCCTGTGCGAGCATTCCGCCGACGACCGCGCACACAGGGGAAAGCTCGTGCGAGGCATTCGTCGCCACGGCCCTAGTAGCCCGGGTCAGCCTCGAAAAATCAAATTGTACTGACGCAGTCTCGACTCACTCGATAGACTCACGCGGAACGCTGGGCAATGCTTGCCTATTGACGTCAGCGTTTGCGAGGACGGAGTTTGCCGCCTGCTCGAGGGCAGGCACTGCGCCGGCGTCATTGGGGAGGGTGCCATGACGAGTCTGGTACTCCCATAGCCCTTGGAGATGTAATAAGAACATAGGAGAAAAGGACGGATCAGCTACGCCTACACTCCGCCGACGACGAGAGCGTACCGAGAATGGCGAAAACGGCACCAGGATTGAGTTCTTTTGTTTGTCGCCTGGTCAACTTCGACCAGTGGTGTTCCAGAGCAGTCTGGAGGGGGCAATACACGGTGGTATTCTTGATGTTTTTGCTCGAATCTTTAGGGTTGGCTCGATCACTGATGACGAGCCGATGTGACGGTCCGAGCGCAACGATGTGAACGATAGACTTACGGTGCGATGTAGTCATGTGTCAATAGGTCGCAGAAGATGTATCCTAGCAGTCCGTACGTCCCCCCTGCGTAGAAGGGCTTCCCTGCTTGTCGACATGCATTGTTCACGCGGATCTGAAAAAGATCGATCAATGAATCCCGAGCGAAGGAGAGGCGGGCCTACCAATGTTTCGCGATCCAAATCAGTGACACAAATCAAGTCGACATCTTTCAGCAAAGATTGCAACGCGTCTTCGTCGGTGACATTTCTGGGGAGGGCCTCGATCGTCACGAGTGGGTTGAGGCTTTCCACTCGTGACTTTGCTGCCTCAGCTTTCTGGTCAGGCGAATCAGCGATGGGTTACACTCGCAGCGAACAACAGGGACAAGACTGGCGGTAACGTAATGCTCCAACAACGCCTCAACCTAGAAGACGGACAACAAGATTAAGCGTGCACGTCCGTCCGTAGCCCGGACGACGGGCGGCGGGCGGACTGACAGCACCCCCACGCTGCCGCGCGATCGTTTCGTTTCGTCGGCCGCCGGCAAGTCAACGTTACTGCCCACAGAGCAGCTCCGGGAAAAGCGGTATCTTCCGCGACGTGGAGATCTGGCAGTGTACAAGATGGAGAAGGCCTGCCAGATACCCCACCCTTCGTGATCCGCATCACAATGTGTCCGCGGACGCAGGGGACAGCGGACACCCGACGGGTGCGCCAGGAGCCCTCCCGCTCTCCGGCCTCGAGCTCTGGGTGCGCGCGGCGAATTTGACTTGCTGCGACGAACGGCGCTGCGCGGATTTGTCGCCGCAAGGCCGCCGGCGCCCTTCTGCTTATGCAGAGGAAGAGAAGCCGCGGTTTCCTGCACCATGCATGTCTCGTGCGGTGCGAGGCTCTGGTGCGCCCGCTCTGGACAGTCAGCACCGTGCATGACCTGCAGAACCAGAGTCCGTTTTCCACGCCCGGTGTTCATCCGATTAGCAGACAAAGACTACCGGCCCTCGGCGACGCCCGAGCTCCATCCGCGCGACCGGGCGCACCGACTGAGATACGATCGTTCGGATCGGAGGTTTGACCATGGAACACTTGGTACTGCGATGTGTTCGAAGGTCGACCACGAAGTGGCATCACCCCCAAAATCGAGCGTGTTGGGGTCTGAAGGTAACCTCTGTTGGCAACTTGATACCAGCCAAGACAGTGAGCTTATTGGCCGCGAGGCCGCGAGAGAGCGTCGCATCAAAAGCCTGCAGGGGCATTTCTCGTCCGAGCGATATGTCCTTCGTTCCATGGGTCAGGAGGCGGTTTTCGGAGAATAACCGCTGAATGACAACCGCAAGTCAAGTCTGAAGAACACACATCTAGCCTTTCGAATGTTGTGAAAAACCTGGAGCCCATCGGAGGCCCATTCGAATGGGGGCGTTCGACAGTCTAGCCACCAAAGGTACGACATGTTCAGGAAGGAGGCACGCGAGTCCGCGCCTCGTCTGCTTCGTGTGCTAGTCATCGTGTGCGAGCCGGCCACTTGGCCACAAATGACCAGCCCTCGACCGTCTGCCGAGGCTCTGATCGAACAATCAACTTTACGCTCTCCAGAGCGCGCAAGGGCCAAGGGCGCATCATCGGCCTAGAGCCGCGCGAGATGAATGCGAGTCATGGCAGAGGCAACGCTAGCGCGCCTTGGCTTCATTGAGGCGCATCCATGGTCATGTTCTGCGCGTAGGGGATGCATCAACGTGATAAGGCGCGTCAAACTTACGTTTTTGCCAACATCCTCATCGCGGAAGAAGAATCCGGCGCCAAGGTCCTCCTCGGACACGTTGTCCCCGTCCGCGATGATCAGCTTGCCTATGCCGGCGAGGACAATGTTTTTGATAGCCTCCGTCGCGACGCCGCGCAGGCGGACCACGAGAATCGTCGCATTGCGCATCCTGCCCGCGCCGACGTCAGTGTGGCCCATGCGTGCAGGCCCGGGCATGCGCGCGGACGCAGGAAGCGTTCGCGCGGGCGTCCGGGCGGGGAAGAGTGCAGTAAGCTCACCGCTGCTGTGCTTCGAGGCCCCACAGGCGGATCTGCCTGTCGTACACCGCTGCTTCATCTGCAGGACGAACCGCGGTCAGCGAGCCCCCGTGCGCGCGTGCAGCCCAGCGCGGCCCTCCGGACGGCCCTCTCGCGGGGCGAGGAGTGGTTCGCACCTTCTGTAATTTGGAGAGGCACGTTCTTGCCTGTAGGTTCTGCTGCGGCCATCGCGAGAGGTGCTGGGGTGAGCTGGGGCCTGTGCGGCGGTCGCAATAGACGGTGGGCTGGAGGGGACGCGTGATAGGAGGCCTCGCGGCGGCGGCTGTGGCAGCGGGAGGCAACGAGGTGCGCGTTTCGTACAGACGGTGGCGAGCGCCTCTACCACAGGCGCCTCTCGATCATCGAATGCCCGTTCCGGCGGCGCGCGTCTACCCGTGCCCATCCCAGATCCGATCTCGGCTGTCGCCGTGCCCCTGTGTCGACCGTCGTCCTGGCCACACCGGCGTTCCCACTCATCATAGGCTCAAATTCAAAATCAACTTAAAATCGTGTCCGTGCGCATTCGATTTTGGCCCAGTCCGAAGCAGGCTATGCTGCTTTGGCTCACGGCCCTCCGTGGAGTGGGACCGTGTGCGGCGGGAGAGTCTTGGAGCGAGGGAAGGAACGTAAACCAAAAACGATTCGATAGCAATGTGGACTCAGAATACGATACATCATACGGTACGAACCCGGCGCGTTAGGGAGAGCAGAATTATACAGTCATACACGGTACGGACGGGAGTGGGTAGTAACGCTGGCCGAGAGGCAATCACAACGGGCTGGAGAGATTTAGGCAACCAGAGAGCCAGGGAGCGATGTGCGAAGGGAACGGAGGCACATATGTAGACAGCACACAAAGTGAGGAGAGAAGCGTAGCGATAGTGATGAGCGCCGTGGGCCATCGAGTTCGTAGGGATAGAACAGTTAGAACATGACGACTGCAGTGCGAGAGCGGCGCGGCACAGCCTCAGTTGCCCATGAGGGGCATCCCGTCTCCACTCGCGCCTGGATCGCGGGGCTCGTCGTCCAGCCTGTGATCATCAAAGAGCCTTAGCGCGCCTTTAGATATTGTCCCCAACGCGAGAGAAGCAGGGGCAAGAAGGCGCGGTCGCACTCACAGATAGTTCCGCTCGATCTCTGACAGGATTGACAGGAAGTCCCCTGGTACGTAAAACGCGCGATCAGCCGTGCACTCTGATCAGCGGCGCGAGCCAGATGGCGCAGCGTGTCCGAACAGACGATCGGAACGCGCAGGGTTGGAGGGGAGAAGGAGGAGCGATGTACGTACAGAGATACGCGTGAGCACGGGCAGCGGACGCTGGCGCCGTCTCCGCCTTTCGCACCGCGTCCAGCAGCGTCGACGCGACGAAGCGCACTTTATGCACCTATCCAATCCAAGTCAGAACCGGGGCAGCGACAGACCACAGCGATTGGCCGCACGAGGCCGGCCTATCAGCTGCAGCGGATTCCACTCACCAATGAGGGGCCGTTCGTCGCGATGCTCTGAATCGGAATGCTGTGGGATCCCGTCGCCGTAAGCGAGCCGTTCAATGCAGAGTGGCGGACGGTAACCAGGCCCGGAACAGAGGGCGCACGACCGCGTACGAACCTGTGCAATATGTTGAGGAGTTCGCTGGCAACCGCCTCGCGCTCCTCGGCAACGCGCTGTTCGTCGATGCTCGCCTGGAGCGCCGTAATGAGCTCGTCCCGGTACTGCTCAATGACAAACCGGACGAGTTGCTAGCGCACGACGGAGCACGCAATTAGCTCCCTTAATTTTAGGTTGGTACAGCGGCCCGGAACCTTACCTGTGTGACGTAGACGTTCGCCTGCATGACCAGGAACGGGTTGAGTGCATTCGCGCGACTCGCGTTCGGGTTATCGAAAAAGTCCTTGACCTCCCCAAGCGTCGTCTGGCGGAAGTTCGGCCCGCCGAGTTCCGGGGGAATGTAGTTCGGGCTGAGGACGTGTTTGAGGCGGAGAGCCTCGGGCGCATGCGCGAGCGCGCTCATGATGCGCAGGTGCAGCGCCTCGACCTCCTCGAGGCGCGCGGTTAGAAACTGGCCCTGCGGCGGGGAGCGCTTGTCGACGCGGATGCGCACGAGGATCTCGCCGAGCAGCGCGAAGATGCGCGAGATGTAGTTCAGGCCCGACACGATCGCGGTCTTGCCGTGCGGCTGCGGGAGGTACGCGCTGTGCGTGATGCTGGGAACGGACGGGACCGGGCGAAGTCAGCGTCATTCCGCGTTGCAGATAGAGGAGGGTAACGTTAAGCTCGGCATGCACCGGGATGAGGATAGAAATAGTACAGGGAAGGGCGGAGGTGGGAAGCACGAAGACAGAACACACTCACTACTCGTCATCCAACTCACGAGGGAAGTTACACGTGGTGTCCTCGTCGCGAAGAGAGATGGGACGGCCCAGCAGTATCGACATTGACTTGTCCGCTGTATGTCAGCGAACGAGTGCCCAATTGAGAGTCGTGTGAGCGCAGGCGAAGATGCACAATACCCCCGGACACGTACCCCCAAAAAGCAGCCAAAAGGTCCGTCGACGAACTTCGCACTCAATGAGGTCTAGGCCCTCGTAGGAGGACTCCTCGTGCATGCGAAGCGTAATCGCGATGTGCGCGGCCTCACCGAAGGCAGCGTGTTGTGTTGCATCGTGGCCCTCACAGAAGTGGTAGACCGTGTCACTGGGGAGAGAAGACACGTCACGGACGCGGGTGTGTAAGGCAAACGGTTCGCGGAGCATGAGTCGAAACACTCACAAGTAGCGGATGACTACGTGCATGGACGTCGGCGGATCATACGACGCGACGGAGATGTGTCGCGAGGCTTCGTGGCAGGTCTGCGCGAGCTTGCGCACGGCATACCGCTCCAAGGGCAGGTAGGACCTGGGTACCTGCACGAGCGTCGAGGCCACCGTCGACATCACGAGCGCGAAAAAGAGCGGATCTCGCTCCTCGCGATGGGAGTGAATATCAGCCATGAAGGACTGCTTGTGGATGCAGGGCGTCAGCGGATAGACAAAGTCAAAGAAGAGAGCGAGGATGAGGAGAATGGTGTCCCTCGGGGCGACATCCTCGAGTCTGTGGGCACGGTAGTAGTAGGAGAGTGGGGGTATCGTCGCGGGCGGAGGTATCTGAAGGGTTTGGTGCTGGCGGAAGGACCAGTTGTGGAGGGGATAGGTGCTGAACTGATCCTGCGGAGCCACAAAGTCGTCGCGGGCGGCAGTGTAGGCGGTAGCGACGGAGGGCATCGGATTGAAGTGAGAGTGGAAGCCGTCTGCAGAGATCGGATAGCGCGAAGGGGTCAGGGCGGCCGACGGCATGGTCGGTACGCCGGCTAGGGACTGGTCGAGGAAGGAGATGGCGCCGGGGGCGGGCGGCGAGAGGCCCTGTGCGGGACTAGTTGCGGCATGGGAGGTGGACGCGGGAGACTGAGTCATGTCGGAGCCACTTGCCTCTGCCTGCTGCTGGGCTGCGACGGCCTGTGCTGCGGCGGCCTCCTGCAGCCTCCGCAGGTAGCTGGCGGGGATCAGCGGGGGCCCCTGGGGGCAGAGCGGGAGGGGACTCACAGGTTGGGAGGCCCGCGCTTTTTGGGCTGGTAGTCATAGGTGCAGGGGATGTTGAGGGCGATGCAGTGCTTGCAGGAGGTCTTGGGGTCGTCGGGATTCTCTCGTGCGCATCGGACCTTGCGTGCGCGACACGCGTCACAGCCTGGGCGGGGGTCAGAGCGGGGCGAGAGGGGGGAGAGGGTACGCACTCTGGGACTGGCGCCTGGGGGAGAAAAGGGGCGTCAGCGCTGTGCACGGGCAGCAAAGGGAACGGACAGGACATGGTGTGGGTGCTGGCGGGAGCAGGAGGTGGTGGCGGGAGGAGAGGAGCGGGTGCGGGGAGGACGCGGGGGGCAGGGATGAAGGCGTGCGGGGAAATGTCGGGGACACTTACTTTCTCTTGACTTTGGTGGTGTCTTCGGTGGACGCGGCTTCGCGCGGGGGCGGGGACGTGGAGAGCTCCTTCTTCGTACGCGACGCCATGCGGGGGCGTGCGGCGTGGGGGTAGCGGGGGCCTGGGGCAGTGGGCGAGGGGGCGCGGAGGGCGTGATTTTGAGCGACCGGCTCTGTTTGGACGCGTGTGGCCTGGCGCTCTGTGCAGACGTCGAGAGCACGATCAGCCTAATCTGAGAAGGGCCTCAATTGGAAGGGCCCGCGGGAACGGGTGCGGCGAGAACAGCGCTGCCTTCGATGCACGAGCAACACGCCGTGCGACCGCAGCCTCAGCCAGCCCCAGCAGCACTCAACGAAGACGCCCGCCCCCGCCGCGTCACGAGCCCGGCCTGCGGCTCCCGGCCCCCGGCCTTCATCTGTTCTCCCTCAATATCCAGACGCACACCACCGCTGCCCTTCGCATCGCCAACCCAATGCGCGAATCTGCACTCTATATCGCATTAGACGGACATACACATAGTTTCCCACCAGCCCCGCCCACCCGCCGCAGAAGCCTTCGCAACCACCGCTCCCAGAAGCACACACCGTGCCTGCCCGCACGCGACACAGCCTACGCCCTCGCCCCGCCGCCGATGCCTCCCGTCCCTCCTCCACCCAGAAGATCCCAAGATGCACCACCGTGTGAAGCCTCGCACGCCCGACCGACCTGCGCACTCTCACTGCGCTGCGGTGATCGGGACTGCCCCGTCCTGCCATTGGGGGCCACCAGACGGGTCTCCCGCTCGGGATCCCAAGCTCTGGCAGCCCAGCGCGCCTGAGCCTCCGACGCCGTGCGCCCGGTGCCATGCGTGCAGACCCGCCAGCTCAGCTACCCCTCGGTGCACTTGCGTCGCCTGTGTCGCCCGGGTCGACGACATAAAGCTCACGGAGTCCGCGCAGCATGTACGACGTCTCGGCGCGGTTCAGCTGCCCCGCCGCATAGTGCTCCCGGATGCGCCTCGCAAGCGCCTCGCGTAGTTTAACCTGCGTTCCGTCGCCCCACTCGACCTTGTCCTTCACGAGCAGCTGCCAGAACCGGAACGCCTCCGCGGGGTCGTCCGCCCTGAGCGCAGCGTTCACGCAGTCGCGGCCCATGTTCGGCGAGGGCATCTTCCGCGCCTGCAGGAGCAAATCGACGAGGTCGCTCGTCGTCTGCAGCTGCGCGCGCGGCGACAGTCTTCCGTCCTCGGCGGGGAGCGTCACCGCCGCGCGCAGGAGCGTCCCCACCGTCTTGTACGACAGCGTCACGCCGACCTCGCGTGCGCGCCGGATGAGCGCGGTCGCGAGCGGGAGGTCGCCATGCATGACCGCATGATGGATGACGGACCCGAAGGACACCGCGTCCGGCTGCAGGCCCATCCGGAGCATGCGCTCGATGACGAGCGCCGCCGAGCTCGGGTTGTACTCCGCGAAGATCGAGAGCGCAACGTTGATGTCGTACATGTCCGGCACCTGTCGCGTCTTGAAGAGTTGCTGGAACACGTCCAGGCCGTCCTCCAGCCGGCCCAGCATGAAGCTCGCACGCGCCATCGCGTTGAGCTCCCAGTGGTGCACCCGCTTGAACGACCCACGACTCCACAGGAAGGCGTCGAACACGCGCTCGGCAAAACCCCTGAATTCGGACGCCTTCCGCTTGGCCTCGTTCGTGCTCAGCTCCGACCGTTTCGCCTGTGTGTCGTCTGCCTCGGTCTCGGTCGTCTCCGCAGATAAAGGTTGGGACGGATCAGATTGAGCAGGGAGATCCCCGTCCGGAACTCGTGTTGCACCCGCGCCTTCATTAACGACCTTCGGATCACCATCAGCAGGGCGCGCGTGCGCTAGTCCTTCCGGAAGAGAACATTCGGTAACTTGAGTACAAGGCATACCGGATTCGTCCTCTTCCACCACGTTGGGCTGCAACGACGCACTAGACGAGTCGTGCTCAGTGTTCTCGGAGTCAGACTCGCCAGCGTGCGTTGGATCGGGCACCGGAGATGACGTTCCAGAACGTCCAGGAAGGGCACGCTCGGTGCTCCCCTCGCGCACCATGCTGGCAACTGCAGCATCCACAACGTCGGGCACGGACTCTGCCGAGCGTGGAGCAGCCTTTAGCAGAGCCTGGGACTCCGATCGCCTGCTCAGGCTCACGAAGAGGCTGACCAGCCGGAGCATCGTTGCCGCGTTGCCCACCACAACGTCGGCGTCCTTGCTGTCCTCGTAGCGCTCCCAGAGCGCACGCGCCTGCATCGCGAATCCCTGCGAAGCCAGAATTGCGATGATAGGCCCGCGGGAGTGCAGCGCGATCGGGATGGCCTCGTCGATCAGCTGAGAGGCGAGTACGCGCGCGAGGTGCGTGTGTTTCTGCTTCTCGGTGAGGTATCTGAGGAACCAGTGGAGCATGCCCTTGTCCGGGGGAAGATGGACGTGTTTGTGGTCGTTCCGGACTAGACCCGACTGCGAGACGCTGTAGACCATCTCAGCAAGCTCCGGACAGTTGTGTCGCTGAGCGCCTGCGTAGAACTGCTGCAACACCGCCCCCGAAATCTTGCATTCTGGACAACGCTCCATGAGCTGAACAATGATGGTAGCGGCGGATTGCACCGTCTTGTATGTCGTGTCTACGAGTAGTGTGCGCAACACCCTCATAGCGAGGTCGCCAACGTCGGGTGTGATGGGATCCATGGTAGGGAGCGTCCGCTCTATAAGCTCGGTGGAGAGTCGGCGCCATCCCCATGAGGTGGACGATCGGACGAGGGCGAAGAGTATGATACGAACGAAGTCACCCGAGGAGAGATCTACCTCCTGTATCGCGTGCGAGTCGAGCTTCTTGTCGTGGATGAGCGCGTTTACGACGTCTAGAGAGCGCCGTTGCAGACCGGCGGCTGCGAGTTCGTACGCGAGGAGGTACATGACGGACGTAACCTGCAGGGATAGGGCTTTCGATGGAGTGGAGTCTGCGGCAAGTTTCGGGTCTCTGTTGACGTAGTCCAGAAGCAAGAGAGCGAGCTTGTCTAAGAGTGGGGGGTCAAGTGTGAGAGAGCGAGGCATAGCTAGAATGGAGACGGCGACGTTTAGCCTGGTCGTGTCGGATAATGTCATGAGCTGGGTGAACGACTGGATGCTGTCCAATAACGAGAGTGCCTGCTTCTTAGATAGCAATTCTTGGCCCGCAAGCAGGAGTAGCCGCTCGGTGAACTGGAGGCGCAGCTTAGGGCCAAGGAAGTGTCCATCCTGCACCATGTCCACCACAAGAAGCCGGATGACCTCCAACTGCCGTTTCTTTGTGGCAACCTCCAGCACCCGGAATATTTTACGCGGATCGCCCTCCAAGTCCCGGAAGATGCTTCGGCCCATTCGTCGCTGCGCGAGGTAGGCCTCCGAGGGATCATGGTTATCAAGGGTCCACTCCGTCCTTCCGAGGTTCGCCGTTTCGTCTGCAGCTTCCGTCTGCAGGGGGGCCTCGTCAGGGAACCATGATGAGAGTAGTGTTGGTTTGACTCGCGAGAGACGATCCTGCGGTTCTTCGCTCGCACCCGGCGGACGGGTACCTTCGTCACGAGCCGGTTCTGCGTCCCGCTGGACTCCCCTCTCTTCCCCTCTCGGCGCTGTTTGTGAGAAGGCGCCCGCGTATGGTTTTGCTCGAGGCAAGGGCAGAGCACGCGAAAGAGATCGTCGAGCAAAATGGAGTGTCGTAACATGTCTCGGTAAATACGCTCGTAGCAATCCGTGCCGACAAATGAACATGTAGTCAGCTATGATCCAGAGTTAGACACTGCGAATTTGTGAGTGCATGCGCACGTACCGCATACCGGTGTACCGCCACAGGTCTGGGGGGTCTGAACGCGAACTCGATGGGACGCAATACGCAGGCCGAGCTGGCAAACTTTTCGAGACGACGCACCGGACTCCTCGGCGACGCCAGCGAGCAGCCGTGGAAAAGCATCACGTGCAGACACAGCCACGTGGGAGCAGACCCGGGCCCGCGTGTACTTTAGCGTTCCGTGTAAAACGCGATGTAAGAAACAGAGTACTTTTTTACACGTTTTTAACGTGTAAGAAACGTGTAAGAAACGGGAGGCTCAGAGGGCCATGTAAATAATGTAAGAAAGTAAAGTCACGTGTGGTCTGAGGGCGGCACGAACTTCGAAGATTCAGAGAATCAGAACCATCCGGCGGTCAGTGGCTCCGCCCGCAGGCGGGTGGTCGGTATTAGCTAGATCGTCGATCTCGCAGCGTCGGCGGCGCGTTCGCCGTCCGGTGAATCAATACAGTTCGCGACCATGTACAGGTGAACTTACAGCCTTGCGCGGGAGCCTGGACAATCAGTCCTCGAATGGTGGACGACCCTGAAGAAAATTCACGCCAGTGACGTTCTCGCGGTGAGCTGGCAGATATCATGCCTTCACGAGCCGGAATCTAACATATCGTTGCTCATGTCTTGAATAGGCTACATCAGGAAAAGCCCCTTTTCAGAATACGTCAAATTGCGGAGTATTGTATGGAATAATGAACTATTTCAACTATTCACCTGTTCGCAATATTATAGGGAATTAGCTACCCCCCCGAACTTTTGTACGAATTTCAGACAATATATTGAGAATGCGAGTGCATTACATGTACCTACCTCGATGTTATGTGCCACAGATTGAAGAATATAGTAAGTATGATTCATTATTGTTCATGTTGTTGGAAGCCTCACACAGACAGAATATTTCAGGAACATTAGATGAATTGTGAGGCAGTACTGTGAACTGTCTAGATGGAGCGAGTACATGTGATGGACAAACGAAGTACTACGAGCAAGCCTTGATTAATTCTATGTCCCAGTGTCCGTGACAAAGAACATGTATGTAAGCTGGAAGTCCCATAGAGAACACGTAACATGCACGACAGAACTTGAAGCTTGAATACAAGGTAAGAGACAAAGTCAAGTTTCAAACTATGTTCCATGGCTCAGAGGCCCGCCGCAGATGCGAGTAGGGTGAAGCTCGGCGTGCCGAGCCCCGTAACCTGCGAGAGCCATTATCGTCATCGTCAGAACCCCACAACGCACACGACACAGTACAACACTTACAGGATCCCATCCCTGCGCGGCGTAGAACCTAGTCGTACCCCCGCTGCACGCGAGGTTGTTCCCGCCCACGACATCATTCAGAGCGCCCATACCCGCCGCGGTGCTACACAGCCACAGGTTCAAGAACCCGAGTACGCTCTTGCCCGCGCCGAGCAGCTGGTCATTCAGCCGCGCGACGATTGCCGCGAACATCGGCGTAGAGCAGCTCGTCCCGCTCACGATGAACAACACCGCGCTGGACTTGATGTCGTACCGCGTGCCGTACGCCGATACGTCCGGGTACGCGCGGCCGGTCGCGTTCAAGAGCCTGCTCGAGTTCGACCCAGGCGCGCTGAGGTACGAGACGACGGCGGCGGACTAGTAGGCGGTCTGTACGAAGCACTGGTTCGAGGAGCCGCCTCCGGAGAAGCTCGCTCCGATCTCTGTGGGCTGCTCGGTCGTCGCGCCGACGGTGGTCACATTAGAAGAGGTCAGAGAAGGACGAAGCAGGCTGGGGCGCACGTACTAGGGACAGCTCGTAGGGAAGACAGGCACGAACTCCGTGCAGCAAATTGCTGGATGCCTGGTTGCCGGACACACCACCGTTGGCAGAAGCGTAGAGGAGGGAGACGCCCCGCGCACCCAGGTGGTGAGTTAGGCAGTGAGGAAGGCCAAGAGAGGGAATACACGTACATTTCATGCAGCATCTCAGCCGCGCTAGCCCTCTCTACTCTACATCCGCCGCGTCCTTCGTGAGCACACTGGCGACGCTTTTGCAGCGTCGCTGGTGCTGTTATGTACTGCTGACTCGTTGGGTTGGACGCGCGTTGACGTCTCGAACATGCCGCGGCGTACCTGTACCTCTGACAGGCCCATGGTAGGCCTGTCTCTTCATGTAATGGCCGCCTTTCATGATCTTGAGGCGCGGACGAGTGGCGGACGAGCGGCACAGAGCAAGGGCGTGGAGGAGGGAGTGAAGGGAGGGTCAGCACTTGCGCGCTGGCAGGACGGACGCAAGCGCTGTCGGACTTGCCTTATGCGGCCTGCATCGGAAGATCCCGAAGTGGGCGTTTAGGACTTGCTCTGCGCGCGACTCTCGCGTCGATCCTCCCTCCACCTCAGTCCTCAATCCGTGCACCGCCTTCACCGTCCCAGCAGCATCCCGCGGCCGCGCCACGTCCCAAATTGGACGCCCGCCGCATTCATCAATCTCCCCGCCACCGCCACCGCTGCCAGCGCGTCGCATCCGCGGTGCTGTCGACGGCGAGGCAGCGCGACCTCGCTGCTTCCCAGCCTTCGCGGATGCGACAGAGGAACGTCGCTGTTCCCGCGCTCAACGCGAAGAACGAGCAGCTGGCGACGCGACGCGCAAGAAACCGGCGCGAGACTGCGCCGCCCACCTGCTACAACAGCCCTGCGCGCTCGCGTCTCAAACGCGAGCAATGCAGCGCAAATGGCATCCGGCCGGCCGGCTGGAGGTACTGCCAGCGACGCCACAAGAGCGTTGCCGGGTACTCTCCGATGGATGGGGCAAGAGAGGAGAGGATGCGCGCGGCAGAGCTTGCGCACATAAGGTACGTTAGCACGCTCACTCACACTCCCTCCCGCTCACTACCACCTCTCAAAGGCATCCGAGGATGCGGAGCAGACGTCCGGTCAAGCGATTGAACTGCTGCACAGGCGACACGCACGGCGATCGCGAGCGGGCGGGGCAAATGCCCCGCACGCAACGACGGCTGACGAACAGATGCCACGCGCGCAAGGTCGAGCGCAAGCGAACGGCGGCAGGTATGGTTGGGGGCGAGGTCGAGAGAGGGCTGCCGGCGGTGAGCAGATGCCGCAGGTGAGTAACACTTCCTGCGATTACACCGTCCTCATCCTGCGCGTTCGCGTGTATCCCCGCCCACCTCCGTGTGTCCCAGCTGCTCGCCCAGCCTGCTCACGCCAGCGTACGTACCCATCCACCCACCACCATGATCGCTCGTTGCACGACCATTCACCTGCCCTCCCGCACGACCATGATTGCTCGCCCCACATGATCACCCCTTGCCCGCATGATCGCCCCTTGCGCGCGTGGTAGCTCGTCGCCCACCTGCATGCATGATCGCATGCACGCACGATCGCCCGCCGCACCCGCGTACTCGCACGTTCGCAAACCCATCCCCCACCTCCTTGCCCGCCCGACCCTTCACCGGTACCCGCACCCGTCGACACGCACGGCGACGAGACACAACCAATGAACTGCGCGCACACGAGGAAAGAACGGGCGAGGGCAACTTGTGAAGGGCAGTGGGCGAGAATGAGCCTGCGGCAGCGGGCAGGGCCAGTGCACGGCAAGACTAGGCGGGCGCGAGGGTGAGTGAGCGGGGAGGAAGGCTGGACAGTAGGGATGGGCGAGCGGTGAGGGGGGCCAGCGACCGGCGGGCACAGACGCAGTCGTGCCGCATTCGCAGAGCCACGCAGGATGTCCCTTATCCCGCGGCCCTGCGCCTTTGGTGGAGGAAACTAGATTAGTCTGCGCTGTCGAAGTACAAACGACTATGATACTCATGTAATGTACACCGATTCGTAGAATTGATACAATTTTATCAATGTTTTTGGCCCGTATCGCTTGTTCGACACCAAGACAGATATTACTATATCATGTACAGCCCCTCAATGGCATTCTCAGTAATCCCTCGCTCATTCTAACAATACTGGGCAATGTATTGATTGTTAGCTATGTTCCGTAGAATGTGTCTACGTTATCTTTGTTCTGTGCAATATTCATAACTTCTCACGAATTTCCAAAAGGGGGTTTTCCCGATGTATTGCGATCAAGATGTACGCGGTTGTCCCGAACTCGATGGCCGATGAACGGACAGCCTCCACCTTCACATGGTTGAACAGCGTGTCGAGGAACCGGCAAAATCTCAATTCAATGGTGTCCCAAACACAAATCCGACAGTATTACAGAGCGCGCGCGAAGGTGAGTATCATTGTTGTATTGTCTACTTATAACTGAGCTATGTACTGCCTTGGTTACCTTAAGGCACGTCCACATTCCGACCCCAAGCCGTCCGTCATATTCTTTGAGATCGACAGCCGACTCCGTGACGATACCTCGGCTTCAAAAAAACCTGCAAAAGGCAAGTTTAAGGCTGCGAATACCAACTTACCGGCAGGCGATGGGGACGTTGATGACGGTATGATGCACCCGTGGCTCGACGACAAGCTGGATCACTGCGGCAGCGCGGCGATGTTCGACGTCGAGTGTTACGTTGATCTGGACCGGTCGGAGTTGCTGGGTATGTTATCCAGCGATCCTGTTGACCCGGAGGAGGAGATCGAGGCGCACCCGGCGGCTGGGACCTCGGCGCCGTCGCGAAAGGGTGGACCTGCCTCAGAGCCAGCCAAGAAGTCGGACGAACCGGTGGACTGGACGTTCAAATTGACTCTATAAGCTCTCTGTAGTTATGTTTTAAACGTAATAAACCGTTTTTTACACGCTCTGCATATGTTTTAAACACTCTGAGCGCACGAGACGAAAGATCACGTGCCCAAAATTTTCGATCACGTGTGCACGTTTTTGACGTTTGAAACCCCATGTCAGAAACTGACCATAGGGCTGGACTTACTTACCTACCGTTTGAAACGCCGTCTGAGTTTCATACGGAACGCTAGTGTACTTGTAGGCGCTTGTGCGTATGTACTTGACTTTGGCAAGTACGCGCGCGCAGAGTTCAATATGTCGCCCCTAGGCCTTTGTCTTCTACTGGAAACGGCCTCTGTCCTTGAACCAGATCGAGTGTGGTTATATTGAGCGTGTCTCTGCTGCTGCTTTCACGTATGACGACGGGATCTCACGTCTTAACTATCCGCTGGTCGAGCGAGTCACTGGGTGGAAGTGGACGACTTCAGGTCTGACGCGGTTTTCGCGATCATCGTGGCACTTGTTGGAGAAGGTACAGGCATCCGTATGTTTCAATTGCTTACCCAATTACCATATTTGTAAGAACGTACATGCTTACATCGCCGAATCTCAGGTGCGCTATATCAAGCGCGTATCTGCCTTCTTCTGGGTACCGCGCCTGGTAGATGCGTCACTGGTGTGCGCTGTGAGCGAGCATGCCCGCCTTCCAAATTGAAATATCTCCTTCTGGAACTATATCGACAAGAAGGCAGTCATGCACCCCCATCCTGGATGCGATCATCGGCACCCGCTCATTCTGGGCTGATGCTCAGCTGCAGGTTGCCAACGCTTCAAGTTTTGACTTGGTGAATCAAACTCACCCACAGTAAGTCTTGAGACCTCACGCGCTTGGCCAGGATTCGGATGCTATGGATTCGCTGAGGCATCACACATTGCAACGCCGTACACAAAGCCGAACTGCGTTGAGTACGTCGTCTTAGTCTCCGCTAGGCAAAATCGCTGTCTCACGTTGTCTCTAGATCCGCCATTGCTCACTTGCCATTGTACTATATCGCGAAGAGCAATCAATACCATGAGGTAACGCTGAACAATGGTTGTACGTCAACACGGCTCCCAGCAACGTGCTCAAGGTTTCGATACAATACATCATATGGAACGCTCGATCGTGGTTGACACTGGCAGACTGATCACTAGTACTGCTAAGATGCCAGCATCTTGCGACAGAAGCTACTCCCAGCCAGTGCATTCACCGCAGTTTCTCCGATTGGCGACAACAATGCTATCAAGACATCGGCCGAGGAAGTCAGGGTCCGCACGAGGATCGTCTCCTCCCGCCGTGGGCCTGTATTCCGCTCCGCAACCTTGAACAACCCGGTCCCGGCCATGGCGTGGCGCAGCGTCCGACGGTGTGCGCATGGATTCACGGCGTAGTACGCCTTCTACAGCGTATTTCTCCGATAATTAGGTGAGCCATACCACCGGATGACTATGCGTTTATTGCGAGCGCAGAAAGCCAGGGTCTCCCCGACTCTGGGGTGTCGATATTCCTCCTTGCGGAAATGCATCCGGGGGCTAATGCACGCATCAGCTGTGACGTCCGTAACAGTGTCTCGGTCCTAGCGCAACATCCGCCTGTCGCAGAAGGATTCGAACCATATGGCCGAAGCCTTCGCCGTGCAGCGATGCACCCCGTTTAAAGCCAGAACATGGCTCTTGGCAACGCCACCCTCTCACAAACCCCACGGATGGAAGGTTGAGAGACACCGGCCCACGTTCACCCCGATTGAACTGCCTTGCAAGACGTCGCCTATCAGGCTATCACTGTCCGACCTGCTTCTCGAGGTCGACAGACTGAATAGCAAGAGCCCCCGGGGTGCCTGCAATCTGGCTCCTTGCCCGTGCCGAATTGTTCGCTTCTGTCCAGCGACCCACGTCATCTTGAGAAACTATGGTCAAAGTACTCTATGTATGAGCAGCTTTGTGCAGATGATCTTCTGTCGTGTCTGCATGGGCGGGCTCATCTTCCGCCGATGGGTATGTCCCCTACTTTTGCATCGCATACGTTTTCTTACAAAGAGCACTCGCACAGCATCAGCCATCATACATCCCCCGTTAGCTAGAACCCTCGCCCTTGGCCGAGCGTTGGTAGTCACGACGCAAGTCGACGGTGCCCAAAGGACTGCATTGTAGCCGCCTCTTCTCCCTCTTTACCTGGGGCAATAATAGCGCGAATACATGGCACTTGATCAGTTGATACACGCAAGAAGGATCTGTATTCAACGGCGGCGATGTTCAGACTCCAGACACAGTTACTTATATAGAATCTCCGGAGTTCTGCCAGCTTGAGCCTCTCTTCTGCTGGAGGACTCACCGCGCGTGAGACGGAATATACACTGACCATGGGCGTAAATAATTAGCACAGTCTAGGACACGTCTCTTAGTGTATTGGACCGGTGTCGATAAACTAGCAATCGGTAGCCCCGTTCAAACGACATACGCGGAGTGCGTGTACTTGCCTACTTATTCGAACGGAACGAGCTCAACCAGTACTGACAACAGACGCCGAGCTGCGCGGCCACGTGGCAACTGCGTGGCAATGAGGTGGTCTGTTCCGCATTGAGCAGGTGTGCAAGAACGCTTCAACATCGCCAGCTGCAGGTTCACGCTCTTCTTTGTTTTCCTAGTCAAATCTCTGCACTTTTCGTCAATCGGATCAACGGCGACAAAAATACCACCTCTAGAATCGGACTATAGCTCACGGTCTCATGGGCGCAGGCCAGTCTACCGCCCCGAATTCTTCACAGACACCCCCGCGTGCCCTGCATGTCCTACGCGTCACACCATCCTCGCCAGCCTCGCAGACGAACATCGAGCCATTCTTTGACTTCGTAGTTGGATTCCAAGGCGATGACTTCTCCTCGACAGACAATGCGGACGCGACGGAGCTTGAGAAGATAGTCGAGAGCCATGAGGGGCGGACGCTGAACCTGCTGGTCTGGAACAGCAAAAGTCAGCAGACAAGAGGTACCCTTCCATTTTTGAAACTCGCTCTCGGTCGTACTAAAGCACTTGGCCCGGAATAGTGGTGCCAATTGTGCCCTCGAGGGACTGGGCTTTGCCACACGCGACTGCTCCGGACCCGCAGGAACCGGAAGCGGAGCGCAAACCCTCGCTGCTCGGCCTGAGCATGCGCATGTGCCAGCCAGAGCTCGCCCTCGATAACGTCTGGCATGTGTTGGATGTTCTCGAAGGAAGCCCTGCCGAGAGCGCGGGACTGGTGCCATACGGAGACTGGATTATCGGATGGTCTGGAGGCGTACTCAGTGCCGAGGGGGACTTCTACGAAGTCGTCGAGAATGTGCGTGTTCATTATGAGCTCCTCGGCTCCGGCGGGTGCTGACTTCGGATCTTCAGCATATCGAAAAGCCCCTCCGTGTGTATGTGTATTCATACGACTTCGAGTAAGTTCGGCGTTTGTAAGCGTGTCGTATCTCTCAACTCATGTCAATTGCAATACAGTACGATCCGGGAAGTTGTTCTCGTTCCCAATCGACACTGGGGCGGAGAAGGGCTGCTAGGATGCGTCTTTGGGCAAGTGTTTATCTTGCCGATCGGCGGACACGTTGCTGAACTTAGTACTTGATAGCTTTGGCCTGCTTCACCGCATACCACCATTGCCTCCGGACAGAGATTCGGGCTCTATGCCGCCAGAACTGTCCGAGGAATATGAAGGCTACGAAGACCAACAACTCTTCGTGCCTGCTGATTACCACGGTGAAAGCGAAGTCTCTGAGCAGGACCTGGACGAAGAGGAGCTGCGGTGGCAGCAGGAAGAGTGGATGCGTCAATCGTATGCGAGCGCGAGCAGCTACGAGCATGTGTCTGCCAATGGCAATGAGACCATTTCTGCGTACGCTGCGCCGGCTGACGAGTTGGATGAGCAGGATTTTCTACAGGAACACGCTGGATATGATGTCGATTCCAGCCACGACCATGACGAAGATAATGCTATCAATGACAATGATGACGGCGGCGGTAGCGGACCTAGCGAGGAGCAATCCATGCCTCCGTCCCCACAGGAACGCCCAAATTTCGCAGTCGACCAGCAATCGACTGCTGAGGAACCCCAGGTTATCCCAAACGACGACATACCCCAGCCCAGACCCATCGCCACACGGAACAGCCACACTATACCAAAGTCCATTGACATAGGCGACGTTCCACAATCGTCACCTCCGGATGCTCCTGAACCTGACATTGATGATACCGTTGCAAGTACTCCGGTGCCGGTGCATGTCACGCCTATGCGGCCAGCCTTTTCTCCATTCCGCGTCGGCTCGCCTCGCATTGGCTCGCCACGCCCCTCAACACCGACCCCAAGGGCTGGGTCATTCTCATTCATGCATGGTGATTGGTCGCGACCGTCCTGAGTATTGTGCCCCGCTCAACGACCTTTGTGTGAACCTAAGGTATCGGCATCAGCCCGCGCACGTCCTCATGGGGTGGCAATAGTGGCGTATTCGATCTATCCGCGAGGGAGGCATCTCCCGCGAGGAGGGCGAGCCACGCGCGCGGCGACCTCGGTGATGGCCAGAGTCATGACATTGACCGTGACGATGCCGTAAGTGAGGCTGATACCGACACTACGGAGACGACGGAGATGGATAGCGAAGTGACTTCGCAGGCTGGCAGTCTCACGAGTATCGACTAGGATCTAGGATGCTGAGGTCATGAGTGATATGATTTGTGTGTTCAGATACTGTGGATGGATGATCCAGACTCGACGCGTACCCCCGTTGAGCGGAAGTCAGGTCTTGCACGCGTGCATTGTCCGCGCGCAAACCCACTCAGCTCTAGACTCGCAATCTTTAAAATAGTTATGTCAATCACGGAGACAGTACGTATGATACAGGGACGCGGGCATGCTAAATTACAGAAGTCACAATCGCAACTGGTGGGCAGTGCTACATACAGATCCGGGAGCTTGGATCGCAGGAGAGGTGAGTCCCGGAAAATATCACAAAGTCGAGCCTTCCTTTTCATTATTCTCTGCGGCCTCCACAGACCGCGGCTTGAACTCAAGGTTGAGTGCAATCACAGGCCAAACTAAAGTTTTTGGCGGAGGATTAGACACGCCGCAGGGGAAATGCAAACTGAACTGCTCAGAGTTTACCTTCTTCGAACCCCGGGTGTCTCCCGAGTCGTATTTGCTGCCAGACGTTGCGCATCCCGTCTGATGCCCGGATTTCATTCCAATGGTCAAGGAAGAAGCGTACTTGGACCTGCATGTGATCGCGCGCAGAAGCGTGCCTGTGTGAGTATCCCCGCGATCGAACGTCTGACAGTGAATAGTTTTGTCACCTTGCGCACGTCTTCAAATGCGGCGGAGAAAGTCGAGAACACCTCGTACGCAACGTTGCCCACCGTGAGTGACTTGACGATGTGCTGGAAAGCACGCTGCTTCAATTCCTGCAGATCAAGCTCTGCCGAGTGTTCGCTGGTCAGCGCGGATAACGCACGAACACTGCCTCTACGCACTATCCGCCAATCTGTAGACAGCTTTCGCAGAGCATGGCCGGGGCCTGCCGGTGACATTGTTCCTCTCCCACTGTGCGATCCACTCGCGTCGCGAGCGCGGAGTCGCGGACCCAATGGTCGTTGAGCGCTCTGCTTGTTGGTGATTGGGGCGCTGGCTGAACGCCGGGGCCTGGGATTCCGACGTGGGCGTCGCCGGCACTGATGCGACCATCTTTGGTGTAGTCGCGGAAGATGCCATGAAGGTGGAGGACAGAGGGGCGAGAGCGATCGTGTCGGTGTATATCTGTGAGAACGAGTTGATAAAGTGGGTGCGATGGTCCCTGTCAAGAAGGGAATTGGGTTTACGTACATAGTACAGCACCGCGCGATAGGTTGCATATGCAGCATCCCGGATAACAACATGTGTCTTTGCTGGGCCAGCGGCGGGGGGAATAGGAGCTGAATCTCTTGTGTCCTGTTCCAGCATGGAGGACACGCTCCGCGGAGTGGAAGGATGGGATAGTTTGGGCCGAACATTACGCAACTCTTCAGTGTTCGGGTCTTCACCCTGTCGCGGTTGGTCATACAGCTGTGGCTGGCCATATTCACCTATGTCGGACTGCCAAGAGCTGAGAGTGTCTGAGGAGTTGTCCTCGACTGACCGTGACGCAGGTCTCGCTTCGACACTCGCGGGGACTGAAGAATTAGCTGGAGCGAGGTCGCTGTCAGTGTCAACCATCATATCGTCCTCGTCCTCGTCTTCATCGTCGGAATCCTCGAATTGTCTCATGGTCAATCCCGACCCTTGCGAAACTTCAGTTGTCTCATTCGCGTCAATCGATCCGCCATGGCTGGTGTCTGTAGACAGAGTGCTGAAAGACGCTTCTGCAAAGCCCGACTTAAACACTACGAGCGAGCTGATCATCAGCTGCGTAGAGGAGCGGGTACGACGGGCTCACTGGTGTCAAAATAGTCTACTCGCCTAAGTAGTTGTCGGGCCGCATATATTCGTCTTGCGGGGGCCATTGACCTGCCTTGTCGAGGGAGTATGAACTCGATGTCGGAATACACAGGGCTGAAGCCATCGCTGAGAGCACTGGCAGGAGAGCGAGGTATCAACTGCTTACTCATCGAGCAGACCGCCCATTGCTTCCAAGAGGCCCTTAGGCACCAGGTGGCGAGAGATAGTCGGCGCAGGCTCAGGGGATGAGGGGGTTGTAGTGATTGTGCAGATCACCAGGAAGGCGTTTACCTGCTTTACGCTGTTGGAGAGATAGTACACCATGTCTCTACGAGCGAACTGCGCCCATCCCCAGTTTTGCGTCTACCGACAATTTATTTATCCCCAGTTTGCATCGACGAGGCCTGGATTACTCGCCTGATGCGAGAAGGAATGGTCATGGGCCTCTTTGCTATTGAAGAGGATGTTCTTCTGGGTGCTATATCATCATCCAGCGGCAGGACATACAATAAATGCTACGGTAGGACTTACTTTCGAAGCTCAAAGCCGAACTTGAAGACACCCTCTCGGACCCATCTAGTATCGGTAGCGAGATTTGACCAAAACCTAGGACTAATATGGCTAGACTTACTTTCCATCTATGGCGTTCTCCTTCTCCTCAGAAGTAGGCTGTTGCAGTCCGGGCCTTAGTACTAGTCAAGCTGGGAATACTTGCGAACTGCATACCTCGCAGGATAGATATAAGCTAATAAAGGAATGCCCCTCAGCGTTGACGCCACCCGAATTGGGGTAGAACAGTATCTGCGGCGTCCTCAGCGTCGATGTGGCCGCTGCACAGGTTGACTGTATGCGTTACCTGCCACCGTTCACCGCCAAACTTGATTGACTTTGTGACTTTGGACTTCGCTTCGCCCTTGCTAAGGTGGTCTTGGTGATCGGGGATCTCGATGATCTGGAATGAGACGAAACGGACCTTCCGTCAAAGAGGTTCTTGAGATTGCCGACATTCCATTCTAGGCGGATTGTAGTGCTTTCTTGATACTCAGTGGCCGCTTCCATGGTAGGGCCGCGCTGATGCGGTTGTGCAGACAGAAGATGAGAAGGAGGACTAACAACGACTGTGGCGGGATGTGGAATGATGTGGGGACATGCGTAGGCGCTCGTGGTGGCAACGTCGGCGCCTGTTGCTGTAGTTCGTTCCACATTCCGTACGTGAATAGCACTCTCAATAATATCGGCCCAGAGGAGGTGCACATGCAAAGCCCACTCGTCGACCCGATGGCTTGTTACATAACTCCAATGAGATAGAAGTTCACAATTCATATATCAGCAATGTGTACGCGACTCCGACGTTTCAGCCCAACATCTTCCGGAAGTCATCCTGCCCCTTCGCCTGTCCGGATGTCACACCCTTCGAGCTCGCGCTAGCCGCCGCCTTACTCGATGTTGCGCCAGCAGATATTGTCGTGACACGCTTCTTGCTGCCTAAACCAGCCCTAGGCCTGGATGCGGCTGTACGAGGAACAAACATGGCCGGCCCTGCAGTAGGAGGCGGGGCTGTAGAAGCCGGATGGCGGGCCGCGCGGGGTCCCCCTGGCACATCGGCTACTAGCTCCAGAGTATTCCCGTTGAACACCACGGGTTCTGTGCGGAGAAGCAGTTTCCCGACATCCTGCCAAAGAACGCATCAGCAAGATCTGAATCGAGAATGCACAGGTCAAACATGGACACTCACTGCTGCGTTTTCAAATTGCACTTCTGCCTCCGCCTTGTCGGCGAAGACTTCCACTCGCTTGACAGGCGCGAGCTTCTCGAGTGCTTGCTGCAGGAGCCCGTCTTGTGTGTTTGCGGGTAGGTTGCGAACGCGGACAGTGCGGTTGCGGATCTCTGCACGAACATCTGGATCCCTGCCAAGAAGTCAAATCTCTGTATCTTAAAAAACACCGGCTTGCATACCTAGCTCGTGCACGGACGCGAGTGTCTGCGAGAGTGACCGCCATACGTCGGTTCTTCAACTCATGATTGTTGGCGCTCAGAGCCGCCAAAGCATCTTGCTGTTTACACCTTGAGTATGACAATCCCTCACTTGAGTAGTGGTGCTTACCTCAGTCTCAAATTCGACGAAGGCGAAACCCTTCGGACGGCCATTGTTGTCGAGCGCCATCCTGACCTCTTTCACTGAACCGTACTGTCGCAAAGGTCGGTTTACGCGAATTGGGCATCGAACATGGGTGCTTACCGTCTTAAAGAGATTCTCCAGATCCCCCTTCGTAGCAAATTTGCTCAGACCGGCCACGTATACTTCACGATCGTTAGCATCGGCGTCCGTACGATCCTTCCTGCGTTCAGGGTTCGAGATATAGACATTCAATAGCATGTCAGGCAAGACTTCGTGGCCGTGGAGTTGCAGGGCTGTCTGTGCAGACAGCTGTCGGGGAATGATGAGAACTTTTGGTACGTTTATGGCGGTACTGATACTCACAGGAGACGTGTATTGCACGTAGCAGAACCGCCGTGTGCTCTTGAACTTCTTGCTTGGCCACCGCACGTCGAAAATCGTTCCATACTATCGTATCACTCAGTTTTGACCCCCACATCCGACCCAACAGTGAACCGTACCATGGTGAAGAGATTTCTGATGAATGTATCGTCGGCATTCTCGGGGAAGTTGGTAACATATAAAGTTGATTGCCACGCGAGGTGTACTGCGACCTCGTGGCCATCGATGCGCTTCTTGTCTTTCGTCAATGCAGCTGGGACGCTATCCTGCACAGCCCATGAGCCTGGTACACAGAAATACTATATGATCTACACGTACCCGCTCCATGAACTCGACAGTCGCTACCAAGGAATTCGGCAGTTGCGTGATCTTGATCTCCCGGATGGGTCCACACTGTCCTTCGGTCAGCGCATGTTCACAGCGTTACCGCGGAACCAAGGCACACACATCTTTGAACAACGTTCTCAGATCCTCCTCTTTCGTGCCCTCTGGTAGATCTGCAACGAAGACCGTACAGTTCTCGCGATCGCTGAGATGACAATCAACACCTATAGTCGGTCGTTGATCAAGTACGACGTACCGTTTGAGCTGTACAGGCTTTTGGTCTGGTACGCATGTTAGTGAGAGCGACATAAGAGCGGATGACGCGAACATACCCGTCTTCGCCTTCTTACTGGCATCCCCCGGAGCAGCTTCCTCCTCCGCTTTCCTTTTCGTCCCAGCGGCCGTGCTGGGACCGGCGTCAACGTCCATAGGAGCCGCCCCGGAGTCACCACCCGCACCAGTCGGAAGAGGCGCGTCGGCGACGGACGCCATGTTCGCCTGCTGCTCCGCGATGAGCTGCATTGCAGCATGTTCCGCCCTCTCGGCTTCCTGGGAACCAAACCCTTAGGATCCATCGTGCGTGCTGAGTTGAGGGAGCGCTCACCTTCTGGCGCCGGAGGGCCATCTGTGCTCGGGCAAACTCTACCTTGTCCATGGCCTCCTCGAGCGTCTGGACGCTGCCGTGCACATGCTCGAACGCAATCCACGCTTCCCACATGGCCTCGGGCCAGTCCAGGTTCTTCATGCAGACATCCTTGAAGACCCGTCGTGCCTCTCCGTCCTCATTTGCCTCACTGGGCACAGCTCGTCAGTGAACGAACCAGTGGGTTGAGACGGTAGCGCTCACATGAGCGCGTCGGTGTAGTGAGTCCAGACGAGGTAGCTTGTCTTGTAGTGACTGGTAGCCTCTTCCCAGAGTGTCGTGATGCGTTCAGACATCCCCTCGAGCTTGGACAGCTGTCGAGGGTTGAGAAACTGGTGTGCGAAGCAAATAGATCGTAACTCACAGCGCTGGCGTAGAACTTTTCGACTCTGACCCTAGGATCGCCGGCAGGGGACGCTAGAAGCAGCTCAGGTCACGGTTGTGTATACAGGTATGCAGAGTGCATAGCATGCCTTGTCTGATCCTGTTGATGCCGTCCATAACGACTTCCTCGAACGTCTCGAAGTTATCTTTCCCTGCGTCCGCTCAGTGAGTCATCCGAGAGCCAAGCGAAAGGCCTTCAACCGACCAGTAGATCGCCGGTCGCCCAACAGCATATATTCGTATTTCGCACGGGCAAGTACAACGGGCACAAGCTGCTCAGGATCCGCTTGTAAAGGACGTATTGTCTTGGTCTTCTCATAGGTCACTGAAACGCAGTCAGCTATGAATCGCTGGCCGATGCATCAAGATTACCTGCTAACCCGGACTCCTCATCATCATCATTTCCGGTACGCTCCTGGAGGTTTAGTGAACACGAACGTGTCAGCGCGATATGGAGATCACGTCGGGTGTACATACCAGGAAGCGCATATAGCGTGCCCATACTTCCCCACACGCCGGCACGCTGTTGAGTGCCCTCTGAAAGATGGTGGCTTGCACCTCCACTTCTACTCCTTGTATACGCTGTGTACATGATGAGATCCCATGGTATCAACGACATGATAGGCCGAGCCTACCGAGAAATCCAGATAACCGGTCCAGAAGACACGCAGGGCAGTCTCAGCGTTTGCGCCGCCATTCCACCGGCGCTTGTCTGCTTCCGCGATGGCGCGCTCATAAAGGGTCTGCAAAACGAACAAGTCTGGCTTTTTGCGCCGTTCGGACGCAATATAGTACGCGTAGCCTTCGAGAGAGTATCCAGACTGGGCCTGTAGTAGTATGCAATGAAAACGTAAGACGAGATTGGGACTTCAGCAACTGGTATGCACGTACGAGGGAGCTCTCGAAAATCTCACGTTTCTCGTATGCTTTCACCGTCTGTGAGCGGATCTTGGACGCTTTAACGAGGAGAGACTCGTATTGGTCTGGAGGTTTGAAGTTGGTCGTAAAGCTTGAGTAGCTTTGGAACGTCTCATCGTGATCTGGGCATCGTAAGTGAAGGCATAAGAAAAGCTATACTGAGGACTCACTAGAGTGAGGTTGCTGAAGACGCTTCAGGAGTATCAGTTCGACTTCATCCACTAATGCCGCTCTGCGTCTATGGTTAGGACTGTTCGATTGGAACGGCTGAAGACTCATGGCATACCTCTCTTCCGCAGACGCATTCTGCAATTGTTCCAGCTCCCAGTCCTTGTACACGTCCCACAACAAATGACTCTGGGTGGCATGTTTAAACTAGAAGAAGACATACGTCATAGCAGGTGCGCTCACCTCCGTCAAATGGCCTATGCCCTTCGATACTACATCTGACATCGCTGAGCGTATCCAGGACGTGGAGAACAAATCCCCCAAACTGTCGGGCTTCGTCTCCAGGGAAGTGAAGTGTTCATAACGCTCGACAAGGAAGTTGAGATGCTTCCGCAGAAGGGGCATGGCTGACCTGCCTTCAGTATCTGTTTGTTGGTACAGTGTTTCATTACGTACAGAGATAATCCCGCTCTGCACGGTTGAAGAGATCCAGGATCCCTCGTAGGTCCTCCGGAGATTCCAAGTTGCCGGCTTGGAGCTTGCGCTCGATGAGCGGTAGCCAGACGTACTCTCCTGCGGCCCACCAGGCAGTGACCATCTCCAGAGCCGAGTCCACCTGTTCATCCATTCCTGTCTGATGTGCGACCCGTACATGCTCGATGTGAAGGGTTATGTCGTATGGGTCTTCCGTCAAGCGGTTCAGTATGTCGGACAAAGCCTCCAGAGCATCGGATTCGTCCATGATAGCAGTAGCAGTCTGACCAGCGCAAGTGGGAGATGTCTGATTTAAGAGGTCGCCGGCACCTCAAAGTCGTGTAAGTCACGTCTGTGGCGAGCCCAGCTGGAAGGCCTGGAATGACGATGGTAAGCACCAGCGAGTACGAATTCCCGGCCTAAGAATCAGTGGGCAGAAGTAGATGGCACAGCGCTGAGCGGCACTGAATGTGTTTCTGAGTGAGACAGCAGCAGGCAGAGGTCGAGTGCTAGGTCCTCCTCAGTTGGATCGACCGCCGCGAATGCAGGACGCGTCGTCCACGTGATCTTTTGCCTGCCCCATGCCTCGTGGGTTGGTCGCGCGACCCGACAGTCTGCCTTCACTCCGGACGCATCTAGTCGACGACCCGCGCCATTCTGCTTGACGACTCACACTGTATATCGAAGAGCTAGTGCGACGCAATTGTCCTGAGACCCGCAATCGGACAGGTTATCACAACGTACTGCGCTCAGGGAACGGCTGCAAGCCTAAACCTCATTTGAGGGTCGACCTGGTTAACCCATGCACGCGCGGACTGACGTGGTGAGTGTCTCTATTTGACCTTTCTTACATGGCGTGAGCAGTATCATGTACCGTAGCATCATGCGTGGTGTGGTTCTTGCTGACGGTCGTCGTCAGTGAACACCTGTCGCATACCTCACCGCTTGGACCATTTTTCATTGCCGCTTGCACACTGTCTCCATGTAGGTACACGGATGGCTCTTGATGTGCTCGAGGTCTGAAATATTGCTTTGTCAGAACTCGCGATGGCAACACTTCCCCCAGTCTTTTGGCTCCCCACGGAGCTCCTCTCCGAGTGTTTCGCGCCTTGCACGCCAGTGGTCGACCCGCTGGAGCCGTTCGGATTGGCGGCTCCCTTCTACTCATGGATAGCCGTGTCGCATGTTTGTCGCCATTGGCGTGCTGTCGCCTTAGCTTCTGCCAAGCTATGGAATCGGGTCCTATTGACACCGCAGCGGGACTGGATGGCTGAACTCCTACGGCGGTCTGGGGAGACACCGCTGGAGGTTTTCGCTATCTTGCCGCCTACTTATATGGACATCGAGAATCGGGCCAAATGGATGGCATCTTTTCGGGTCATCCTCGAGGAGATCACTCGAATCCGTACCTTGGTGATCCATAGCAAGCTGAAGCTGGATCCCGACGTGCTCGACCTGCTGAGTAAGCCCGCAGCTCTTCTCCAGGACTTGCACCTATACAACTTAATCCTCGGCGCTCCGGACGCAAACGGGTCGATATCATCACAGGTGCCGGTGTCTACGTTCCAGGGTGGAATTGCTGCTCCTTTGAAGTCTTTGTCCCTATGCCGATGCAATATCCAGTTGTCCAGTTTGGACGTGCACGCATTGACAAAGTTATCCATTGTCGGCTTGCCCTGGGGAGTCGCGTCGATGACGCTTAACATGCGAACATTGGTGGAGCTCCTGCGGACGACCCCCCTACTCGAATCCCTCGTCGTGAACAATGCTCTGCGCCCTCTATCGGCTGTTCGTGCCAGTGATACATGTCCTGGTCCCCTTGTTGTTCTCCCTCACCTAGGCACATTCACGCTCTCCGGCTGTAGTGCGGATGTCATGGGGCTCCTCGATCGGCTAGACCTCCCTGCGCTTAAGCGTCTCCACCTCGCCCCGAAATCGCCTACACCGGCATCGACGGATCTGTTGGCATCATCGATTGCAAGGACGATGCAGGTCTTCGGTCCCCTGTCGAGCATCCAGTTGTATGACTTGAATCATCACGACTTCGTGCTGAAAGGGTCTGTTGTGCACATCCCGGAGAGCAATCAGGCCCTCGCAGGGGCGGTTGACGAGGTCACCTTCAACATCTCCAGCCGACGCATCCTGTGCGCTCTCCTCGAGCACCCGGTGTTCAACGGCGTGCGTACCATGAGGATCATGTCCCTCCGCCGGAGGAGGGTCTGGACTACGGTGGTCCAGCATTGTCGGAACGTCTCCGAGCTTATGGTAACAGGGAAGAGAGCGATGAAATTCCTCCAGCAGATGCTCATCATATCTCCTGAAGGCACAGGTGCCAGTGAAGGAACTGCATCGTTTCCCTTCCCACAACTACGTTCGCTATCGCTGAGAGGGCTCTGCGAGCCACGGCGCACGAGCGACGACGCGCCGCATACCTTCGTGGACTTCTGGCGTCAGAGGCTCGAGGAGCGTCGCGGGGCTGACGATCACAACTTCGAAGTCACCCAGCGACAAGTTGCCCACGACATGACTGATTTGTTGCGACAACTCGATACCAGTTGGGTTCCGAAGTGTACAGGCGATAACGCTTGATCGCTTTGACCCATTCCACTGAGCTTGTCTTCATGCATACAACCACACCCACTCGATCGCTGCGCCTCGGGTGACGGCTCCCATGCCCACGCTGCCAAAACTGTTTGATTCCAACACGGGCCGGCCATGGGCGATTCGACGCACTTCCCGCTCCACCATACCCTCGACACATGATCATCCTATATCCCGCGTCCTATTCATCTTGAACGGCTAGCCAAGGATAGCCGCGGTCTGCAGGGCTTAGGACCCAACTTGCAAATACCCATCTCACGCATCATTAACTAATCTTGACGATAAGGAGCAGGTCTTCCACCGGTCAAGAAACATCCATCCTGGCTCTTTTTACTGTCTATGTATCCTTACGGCAGCTTGCGACATACCTGACCGATATTTGCCTCCGTCTCCGCATCCTAGACAACTCGCACATGCGCCTGGAACCGACTATTCCTCACCGACAACGTTTCTCCACATCCGACGTTCTCCCGTCCCATGCGCTCGAGGACGGTTGTGCCTCGAGCGGCGATCCTTACCATGAATATATGACCCTGTCATTGGCAAGCCGAGCGGTCGCTCGCCCGGTGCCCGTGTGTACTCGCCGTCAGCTTCCCCACTACCTAGACGACACACATCTCCGCTCGACTCGAATGGTATTAGCCTTCCTCCCCGTCTTGATCTACCTCGCAGGGCAGGTCACAGCAGCCCCTGCCTCGGGTACTCGAAACGCGGTGGCGGCTTGTCCTGTAGGACGCGTCGCGGTGACGACCACGGCGGCTGACTTCGACAAGAATACCAGCGTTTATAGCAACCTATACGACCTTGGCCAGAGTACGCATTGTCTTGCAAATGTGACATATATACATGTCTGATTTGACATCGACTAGATCAGACATGGGCTGAAGTGCTTGAATTCCCCGTTGCTCCCCCCGTCTCTCCGTGCAACGTGTGCCCAGCCATTGCCATCAGCGCGCTAATCGATGTCCTCGTCCTGCCAACGTCTCCGCGCCTTGAGTATGAAGTCTAGTCGCGCACAGATCCCCAGTGGGCGCTGCGAGGCAGCTCCCCGCTGTGATACTCCAGTAGATGTTGCCTAAGCCCTTCGAACGACGTGTCGGTAATCATTACGCCGCACGGGTTACCAAAGCCACACGCCTGACCGACGTGGTGCCCCGCAGTGCAGACGTGATCATGACAATCGTGATCATGCTGATCCGTCAATTGCCCAACCTCAGACGTCTCTTGTGCCTCGTGACGGTGTGCGCATCCATCATCACTGGAATTTCTGGCTCGGTGCGTCAATCAACACGGTCTGTGATCAGGAATACTTACGTTGCATCCTCGAACGTGTAACCAAACGGCTGGTCGTAGCCATCAGTCAACGTGGTCTCTGACGGACAATGAAGGCTGAACACTGTAAGAGACATGCATGACTGCACCAGAACGAGAACCCACCGCTGTGCAGCGCCTTGAAGAAAGTCATCTTCTCCCCCGGGTGACGGACGTTGCAGGACGATACACTTAGCATGGTAAGTGTGCGTAGTGTCCGACGATCTAAAATGAGATCACTATCAAATTCTGAGACTAGATGCGGGATACCGACGTCACCGACCTCCCATGGATGAATTGATGAAAAATGCGGGCTGCGAGGTTTGCAGCAGCGGTGACGGTTGCTGATTCCAAAGACTCAGGATCCGAACCATTCCCGTTGAGTTGCTCGTATGATAGTCTATCTAGACATCAGAATGCATTATCATGATATACGGACGACTTACCTTTGTGGTTCTGCGTCGAAAGTAATTTGGACACGAACTAGTGCGCCGTTGATCAGGAATTGGCATGGGGGCACATCTCGGTATTGCGGGAGCGGTACCGGCATGTTAGAACAAGACTGGGCGGAATGAGGAACCGTGATCCAGTCAGCTCATCTTATATCTTTGGAAGGGTGGCACATGGGTTGTGAATAAGAGAGAAGAGCGGCGGCGCCACAATGGCTGTGCTGTGGTCCCGGAGGCCTGCACGACAGGAGTGCCACACTGTGGTGATAGAACAGAATCGATGAACGCTACAGACACGTCGAAGAGACCCGCTTTGTGGATACCTGAGGTTTTCCCTGACACAGATGCGGCATAGGAAGTGTCGTCGAGTATGTAGACCGTTCCACATCGTGGACTTCGGCGTCTCTGGATGGTAGATCAAGTCCCGACGGCATACACCGGACCTGTCACGGCACGCGAACTATGAGTTTATTCAGTCCACACTGTGGACCTGTATCATGATCAGGAGAAGCTGCGTACTAGACGTTATCTGACCTGGGTCTCTTGATTCGGCCCCCACGATGTGCTTCGCAACCACGCAGTTCTAGTACGTCGCATAATAGTACATCATAGCCTATCTGCCAGAGGCGATGACTCTGAGTACGGCTCGAGATCCTCGTTGCGAGCAAGATATCTTGTCAGTATCTGGGGTCCCATCTAGTCTTCGCGCCGAAGCCTTCGAAGGGTCAGCGACTCGGAACTCGTGCGCCTCGTGCCACTACCCATCGTCTCCACAATGTGGATTATGAATCAGGACAGCTGATCGACTCGGACAGTAAACGACACGACTCACTGGTACCCGCCGATTTTCTGCGTACTACGCTACTATAGATTCACTTCCGGAGCATCGTGAGCATGAGGCAGCGGCATGTACTGATGCAGGTTAACTCACGTACTATTGAACTTGGCACGCCGCGGCCACCAATTCTTACGAGGTAGTACTACTTAAGGAGCCCTTACTCGGGCGAACTTCAAGGTCAACGGTCACTCAAGGAGCAGTAGAGGAAGCCAGGCTCGAGCGGAAGGGGACCAGCGCAAGTGAGATGCGTACCGTTCAACAGTTGCCTTCAAGTTCAACACGGAAGGGAAAAGCTAGTGACGGTGGCGGTGAGACTAGTAGGGAGAGACTCGACGGTGGGCTTACGTACACATGTGGCGACCGTCCCAGCGGTACACTGACAGTCTGACTGATCCCTCAGATGGACATCTAGAGTAGGTCACATCAGGACTCGGATGAGCATCAGTCTCCACGATGAGCAACGCTGCATGCATCACTAAGTACTAGTGTGTCGATTAACAGTACAAACGTCAGCAGTGCGGCCGCCGAGGCGAGTCTTCCAGACCATGCCGACTAAGCAAAAATTGAACTAAGGCCTGAGGCCTGAGGCCTGAGGGTTGAAATACCAATGCGGGTAACAATGTGAATTCGTGTCTCATTCCGCAGAGCAATGTCGTCGACTTCTATCGTACAATACAAATCTCATTGAGCAGCCACCAGCCTATCCAAGTCACAACCTGACCCTTCACTTGACAGGTCACATCGTCTAGGGTCGAGCCGTGGACCTGAGTTGCCCGGACAGCATCAGTCTAATGATCAAATTGAAAATCTGCAAGTATTGTCGTGAACGCACCATCTTTGTTACAATTGACCAGGGTGCATACATACCCTCCAGACTACAAGCCACGGCACTTTTGCTCGTGCCGGCTCAGTGCGTCCGAGCGAGACAGCTTGCGGCCGCATTTTCTGCAGCTGCAGGCCGTAAGCCGCAGGTGGACTTGTCCTACGTGCTTGACAAGCGCTTCCAGGCTTCGTAATAACTTGTGGCAACGATAACCCGTGGGGTGACGCCATAAACATTCTGAGAACTCCTGGTTCTCATGAAACTCCTTTTGATGTTGCTTGAGATCAGAGACGAGGATTTGACAAGACTGGTCGAGCGGGCAGTGGAAGAGCGAAGTGCCCTGCGACACCGGGATTTGTAGAGCATCGTCAAATGCTCTTAGCGTGCCTCCTCTGCCCGGTAGGATATAGCTGGTCGACGCGGCTGAAGTCCTTTCATCCGCTCTGCGACATAGCTCCGCGCTGATGGCGGCTTCAGCGGAGCCGGCGTGGAACAGTTGAGATCATCACTCACTGTACATCGCTAAGAAGCTTTTCCAGATCCGGAGTGCGTTCGCGCCGCAACCTATAAGGTCTGTACCGACTAGCCTGGCTCCTGTTGTGAGACAGACCATGAGTCGTTTGCCTTGAGGAGTTTGATAGAAATAATGAGGAACGAGAATGTCGTTGCATACGCATAGCAAAGGGTGCTCACCCAGTCCCGTTGAAGAGGTAAAAAGTACCTAGATCCATCGAACTCCCAGCAACTGGGGTTTCTTCGGAGGTAGATCCGAGGTTTCCTTGATTTAGGCTTTGGAGACGTTGGTACACAACAACTATCCACGGACGTCGGCATGCTTACCGAGCGGGCACCATTGTTAATGCTCTTGTGGTCACAAGTTGTCCTGCGCTAGCAGTGGTCTCGAGGGTTTCGTTTCGCGCGGCTGGTGCTACTCTGTTACAGAGTCAGATTGACGATGGCTTCATGACAGTAAATGAGCTGACCTGGGTTGCTCGGCCGTAGTCTCGACGGGCGGGTCGAGGGAGAACCGTTCTGCGGTGGACTCAACTGCACCAGCAAGCGACGACTCATTTCTCCAGTAATTCTCATCACCATGTAGACTATATCATGGTCGGATCACTACAGGGACTCAGAATAACACATTGTGACTCACAATTGCGGTGGCGGGTTGAAGCCTGTATAGCTATGCGGAGCATTCCACGCTGACATTACCACTTCAACTCCGCTACCTATGTTGTCGTATGCGTTGTTCTCAAACGTGCCAGTTACGTCGAGTATGTCCATCCCCCTGAGATTTAGAGCAGAATAAGTGAGCAAAAACAAGTATACAGCAACGCAGGAGTGGACGACGTACACCACAGCAGCGGTCTGGCTGTCATCTGCATCACGATAGCGTTGACAACGGCCGTAAGGGATGTCATCCATAGACAGGTGACCCGTTGGAGGATCCCAGCCGAGTTGAGTTTGTACGGCCTCGGTGGGCCTCATCATGTATCGTAAATGTTCTTCAACTTGTATCCTTCGACTCGAAGTCTTGTGTTGTCGATGGGCGCGCCCCAAACCATTGACACGCGACACCCCATCCTTATAGTCGTATTCCAACCACATTATGGACACCGCCCGTAGCGGATGACCCGCTTCCCATGTATTTGGGTGACCCCCGGATACACTACATCCACAAGAAGGGACATGCCAAGCGCCGCTGGTCATGCAGTCGGGATTGACCGGGGGACTGCAAGTCCTAGGTGTCGATGCTTCTATGCAGATGATCGAGTAAGTGTCGGCATCAGACAGTCAGAACCTGTACTCACTCGGTTCATCGGCCAGGATGGAATGCCAGGGCACAATAGCATTGAATACCCTACGAAGACACAGCCATGGTCAGCATCAAACCCAAACTGACATGCCATATATGACCTTCTACTCACTATATTCCTCGTTGGCACTACCATGACGCCACAGTCTGAAGCTGTGGACGGGCACACATTGTGGACGATGCACTGTGGAATGCCCGCTCATCGGTCAGACAACCCGCACGCTCTGATACTCTGTAGGCCCTTTCAGACAATCAACGGCAAATAACGGACTTGCAACTGGAATACCTAAAGCAGAGAACATCGTGAATCGCTTTACAGTGGCGTCCTATGCTCGCATTTCGTCGACGTGAGTGCTATAGACAGTGAGGCCTGTATATGGTACAAGATGAGCCGGTCTGGACAGGCGTTGTGACATGATGAGGGACATAGATGGAGGCACTCACGCTAACAAGGCTGCAACAACTACGGTATAGGAAACCCACATCGCGTACTGATCTGCATACCGTTGTCCAACTCCCTGAGTGTCCCCGACTCCCCGTCACGGTAGAGTCCAGCGGCGAGCCGCTGGACAGCATTCGTAGCATCCAGGTCGGCGACCAATCGCAATCGCGGTAGCTCTTTGGAGAGAGAGGTAGTCCATCGTAATTCCGGCCAGACGGTAGGCCTAGTACTAGTAGAGGCAAGGCGGTGGCACAACGGCGCGGCAGGTCACAGGTCAGTGAGAGGTAGAGGAGATCCTATCTCTCTCCCCGGGCCCCCGGCCCGCCCCGCCGGGTCTACGTACCAGGGTACCGTCACGTCACGGTCCGCGCCTCACGGAGCGGAGTCACATATTTACGGTACAGCAGCCCTCGGAGTAGGCTCGGACGCTACGCTAGGTTCGACCCGTGAGTCGCGTACAAAGTGAAGACTTCCGGGCCAGGCATCACTGCGGACAAAGCAGGTTGTACGGAGCGCTTACATCGTCAGAACATTGTCAGAACGTGTATATCATCTCGAAATCCGAATATTATCTATTTTCCTGGACCGAACATTGAAAGGCAGCCAATGAGGAGCCGTGCCTTTCAATTTTCGGTCACCGATAATAATTCATGTTCGGATTTCGAGATGATATACTCATTCTAACGATGATCTGAGACTTATCCGATGCCAAACAAAGGGGTTTGTCCGCAGTGCATTGTGCAGGAGTCATGACTCCGGGGCATCTGACGTATCAAGTTGGCCATGACACCGTGACGGTGCGCACGTTCAATTGACCACTTGGTTGACACTAGCCTGATGTCACTCTGGCCTTACTACTAGGTCGTTTCGTTAGTACGCCGGCCCCAAGCGTCGCACTACAATCTTTTGTGCCGCTGTAACCCTAAGGAAGGGCTCAACTGTGCACACCTATGGCAAAATCAACCCACTCTGAGACAGCGACCTCCCGGTTACTCAGCGGGGCCTCGTTGTGGATATAAATAGGTCTCGCGGCCGCCTACATGGCAAGTCAAACCGTGCACGATATCCTGAGAAACTTGCTTACCATGATACTCATCTCGCAGAATGTCCGTGTGCATCGCACGATTCAGCGCTGTTGCGACACGCCCCGCTCTCCGTGAAGCCTTGCGAAGTGTACTATCGCTATGCCTCATCACGCAGTCGACGGCGGATGTAGTCTGCTGTACTATGAGGATAGCGGTGCACCAGCCGGATCAGCTGACTATGTCACCGTCTTCCTTGTACACGGCACAATGTTTTCAAGCGGTACGTTGCAATACGTCCTTGCACAAGATCGCAGCTTGATGTCGCTCTCGTCCAGCCATATTCCGAAGAGTGATCCCATGCGCCGCACGCCACGATCTTCGACTTGTTCTGATCAATTGCCGAGACTACCCAGGTTCCACGCTCTACTCAGCATCGGAACTTAGAGCACTATCGTCCCCTGACCCTGCTACGCAGGGTTTAGCGCTTCAAGCACGCGGCCTCGAATTCGCGGAGTTCATACGCAGGTTCATCGAGATGGAACGTATTCCGCCCATCACTGTATCGCAGGGCCCCACCGGCGTCCGGAGGGGTGGATTCTCGTTACTCGGGTGGTCGTCCGGGAATTGCCAGACCATCCCTCTCCTGGCATATGCGCACCTGGTGCCAAATGCCACGAGAAGACTGTTCGATGCGTACTTCCGATCATTCGTCATGTACGGTGCGTATCAGATATCCGCGTCTTTGTGGTCAGCGACTCAACGTTTCCGACAGATATCTCACTCCCCGCGACCGGTGAAACACCTATATCAGGGATCTGGACTCCCCTGCGCGATAGCACGCTCAGCGCTGCGGAGAAGTTCAGCCAATTCTCCGAATGGGTGTCGTACTACTTCACTCCCACCGGCTTCGGCGCCTCCGACGATATCGACACCCCCGGCATAACGGACGCTCTCGTAGCGCGCATCGCCTTGCACCAAGACAAGACGTCCCCTACCAACAGCGCTCAGTGGATGCCAACTGTTCACCGGATAGGTCCACAGAAGATGCGCGAAGTGTGTCACGTCGAAGTGATGGCGCGCAGCCAGAAGTACTACCAGAACATAGCTCCGGCGGTATATCGAGAGAACGTCCGTCGTGCGGTGCTTCAAGGTAAGACGAGCGAAGGCATGGTCTGGCCTGACCTCAAAGTGGCTGTTGTGTGGTGCGACATGTCAAATAGTGACGTGGTCAGTGCGGCGATGAAGCTGAAGGCGCTCACGAGGAGTAACAGAGAGCAGGGCGAGGGCCGTGATGTCGCGTTCCACAAGCTGGAGAAGGCCAATCACTTTGTGGGTGATTTGCATATTGAGGTCTTCGGAGGCGCTGACAAAAGCCCAGGCACACTGGGACGACCCCGAAAGCTTCACTTCGTTTCTTGCAAGAGTTGTCTGACAGAGTGGCAGGTCGCGATCGTTTGCAATATGACATGCGTACTATTGTATCACCATTCCCAGTGGACAACAATACACCATGGACGGCAATATGATTGCGGACGCCGTTGTGTACAGGCGTCAAGTGAGTACTAGGTCGACCAAGGGCCTTGAGCGGCGCGCTCGGAGCGCGCATGCGCGAGTTGTCATCTTTTGGTTATCCTAACGCAAGTATCAGATGCGACATATCCAAATACTTACTGGCCACGAGACCCGTCCGGCCTGCTCGCTCGTGGTAACTCACTGTCGTGACGGTAATGGTCGGCCGCATGAGCCAGTATCAGAGCCACCGCCGGCGTGCAGATGATCTCGGTAGAGATGAGTAGGGCTCGCGGAGTTCTGCCACCTGGCGATCATGCAGCGGAGCTAGCGGTGTCTACTCCGTGATCGACGACCCTCCGCGTGCCTCAAGGGAACGAGCGCCGCGCGTTCCTCGTCGAAAGACGAGCGATGGACCATGATGTGACCGGGCTTGCGCTTGAAGGTCCGCGTTTTATCGTGCGACATGAAGATCTCTGATACGTAGTGTGCACACGTACATGGACTTCGAATGAAGACGGGCGGGGCGAAGGGCGAGGGTTTTATTGAATAATGTCCGCTATAGAATGCACCATTACTACTGACAAGCCCGGCCGCCGCGCGATGTCAGGCTAGTGCGACGTATTCGTAGGTGCGTAAACACAGTCTGAGAGAGAGGTTCATCCAGTGTTCGACGGCGGCCATGTCCAAATGCATGATCAACGTAGGGGCACAAAGAATGACTACGCTTGATTTCGGAGCCTATGAGTCGATCTTGCTAGAGCACATCGTGCTCGCGGCTCGCCTCACTTCTGTTTGATGCTTTTCCATCTTGAGATCGAACCGAGGTGCACTACCTTGGATGGTGGTCATGCAGTAGGTCATTCAACGTCTGCAAATCGGACAGACGTTGGATATGATATCTCGAAAGTAAGTAGCGTGAAGTCTGGTTATAAGCTATGATACTATCCATTCGTTTCTTCAGGCGACATAACTTAGTTATGGTACCGCAAGACCTTAATGGACGCATTAGACAAACGACAGGAATGACGAATGAGCAGAGCACAACCTTGAAATTGTCTACAGTAGTATGGGCAGGGTTGACTCGCGCGAGCCCTTCAGACAATCGCTCATGAGTCGCGGTCCTCAGACCTCAGATCCTCAGACATTGCAGCATCAGGACTTAGAGACACGGAGTCACCGGTAATCGTTCATTGTATCACTGAACGGCATCAGGTGCAAATCGTACAAGGTGAGTGCATATCAAATAGAAGCCTAGCTACAGTACTATTCAGACGTTGTTCAATCACAGTTTACGATTCAACAGGAGAGAACTGACCATCGGGCTACTAGTAGCACAATTCAGCGAAGATATGACAACCGCCACACGTCTGGAGCTTCTAGGCGGAGTCTTCGGCGGAGCCGCTGACATCCTCTATGGCGGGAGTATCCTCGACGTCCGAAGCCTCGTCAGCAGGAGTAGTCTCCGCGCCGGATCCTTCTGCATGCAGGTCAGCCATGTCGGCACACACAAAGGAACGTGTGGCTTCACCTTCCAGACTGCCGCACGAATACTTGTACGTGAACCCAACTGTACATTTGGCTCGAGGCATGAGGACACCATCTTCACCGACGGCGGCTTCGAGAAAATTGAGCTCGAGTACGGCTGGTATGCATCGTCTAGCCACTCACTAGCGGCGGGAACGGGGGCACTCGCGACGCCAACGGCGAAGGGGAGAAACGCGATAGCCAAGAGAGCGATGTGCTTGAATTGCATCGTGAGTCGAGTTGTGCAGTGAAGGGAGCTCGAATGATACTGGCGATTGTCCCTCTGCAGCCTTGTCTTATATACGTCCATCCCCGCGTCCCATCCGAGCTTCTATGTCGCACACTGTTTAATGACATCAGATTGGAGTATTGTAGGGCGCGTGAATATCTCACTGAAGGGCGTTTGAATATTCCAGAGGAACCTGTACTTTGTCAAGCAATGTCTGAATGACATGTCTAGCGTCCTGACCTTGAGTGATTAGTGAGCGCATCTTTCATGACCAATTGTAGTACAGATCGCCGTACCTAGGAAACCGTGCGCGGAATGAAGCAGCAGCTCAGTAGCGAGATTGTGACTTGAGATTTTGCTGACCAACCTCGACCCCCAGCGGCATCCCTAGGCTGATCCACTGCATACGCCTAACTCAGTAGAAAAAGGATTCGCAATTGGCACACCCTCAGCGGCACGTCGTTAGTCAAAGTGAGCCCAAGATCTCTCTGTGAAAGTCGGTCCCAATGCGAGATGAACAAAGAACCACGTCAAGGAACGCAGCACATTGGCTTCCGACGCTGGGCAATGCATACTTCGATCACCAATGCGCCGCCCGGACCGCCCTCGACCGGGCGCAGATGCAGGTATTCGTCTTCGAAACTAGGTCCAAGTCCCGGGGATCATAAATTGGCCCGTGAAACTTCAGTGAACGCCGAGCGCTGAGCGCTGAGCGGTGGTTCTGCCGGGTCGGAGGACGTTAGTCTGAAGCAGCAGAGACACCGAGGTGACCGATGGCTCGTTCTGCAGGTCATCATAGTGAGCGATACTGAGCGGATCCTGATGCATGCGTGCCGCCAGCTTCACAACATTGCCAGCGGTGATCGGCCTTTGCTCGGTCTGACTCTCAGCGACGCCGGAGTCTCGATCCCTAGCCTCAAGGGGCAACGGGGTTCTATGACACGCAACTCACCTGGCAGCACGCCGAAGATGCGCACGATTGTTGACCATTATCGTGGCGCAACTGATGAACCTTGCAAATGATGCTACGTTGACATAGAATCGTTGATATCGCATGCGTCAGCAGTCCCTGAGGCATATAGTATCTACCTGGCAGACTAATGGCGACAAGGTGTCAGAAGTGTAACGAACCAAATGACATACGAACCCACATCGAACGTGCAGTCAGGCCCTTTGGGTGCGTAGCGCGGCCAACTTCGCAGCTTCCGCACCAGCCTTCCTCCCAAACACCGCCCCGGCCGTCAAGCCACTCCCGCCTGGGTAGTTGCCATAGAACAGTCCACCCACGACCTCTCCTGTGGCGAACAGGCCGCGAATCCGCTCGCCCTTCTCGTCCAAGACACCCGCCGTGTCCGGATCGATCGCGAGACCACCGAAGGTGAACGTGATTCCACATGCGACCTTGACTGCGAGGAACGGCGGCTGCTCGAGGGGAAGCGCCCAGTTCGACTTGGGCGGGTCGACGCTGGGTTGGGGCTGGGAAGAGACAGTCGACAGTCCGTCCTTGACGGCGGGGTCCCAGGTCTTGGAGGGGTTCTCGGCTTTGGACACGCGAACGGCGGCATTGTACGCCTCGACGGTGCGCACGAACGTAGCCTTGTCCTCCAAGCCCTTCTGCAAGAGGACCTCCGCGAGCTCCTCCATGCTCTGCGCCCAAATCTTCTCGACGATACCGTCGCCGTACTCCTCCTCCCGGAGCCACTCCACGGCCTCGCTGTCCCACACCTGAAACGCGTACCCGCCCGGCTGGTGCAAGATTGCGCGCCCGAACTTCGCGTAGGTGTAGTTGCGGAAGTCCTCGCCCTCGTCGACGAAGCGCTGCCCGCGCGCATTGATCATGATGCCAAGCGGGTAGCCAGACTTGGTGAACTGGTTGCTGAGCACGCGGTCGCCGCAGTCGGGCTGTGCGTTGGCGTCCCAGCACGTAGAGTGGCAGCCAGACGCGGAGAAGTCCCCGGTGAGCGAGGCGTTCACAGGGCGTGTGAGGGCAAACCCGTCGCCAGTGTTATAAGGTGTGCCTCGGACCTACAGAATTGTCGTGAGCAGGTTATCAGCGGCGTAGTTCATGCGGCTAACCTTGGCTCGAGTCCAATCTTGGCTCATGTACTTCCCGCGAAGTTCGGCGCTTGACTCGAAGCCGCCGCAGGCAAGAACGACTGCAGGCGCGTGGAGGGTGACCCTCTGGCCGTCGCGTTCGACAACTAAGCCGACCACGGTCCCGTCGTGTGCAACGAGTTCGACAGCGGGGGCTTCGAACCACGTCTCGACACCAGCCTTCTCTAGTGCGCGTCGATGGGCCGCTATGACGCCCTTACCCCCGTCCACAACACTGAGCACCATACCGCCCCAGAACTTCTGACGGCCGTTCACCAGGTACGCCTGGCGATTGAAGGAGAAAGTGAACGGCATGCCGACCTTCTGCGCCAACCACCCAATCGCGTTACGGGACCCGTCCACGACCGCCTTCACCATCGCAGGATTGCTCCGTCCATCCGAAAGGCGCACGATGTCGTCCGTGAACTGTTCGGCCGTGTATGGGTCCATGTCGATGGTCGCTGCAACCTCCGGCGTAACGTCCGTGACAATCGGAGAGAGGTCCTGCAGGCCGCCGTGGACAGTGCGGTGCGCACCTGCGGTGAAGTAGCCGTTTCCGCCCACCCATTCCTCGGGGCCCTTCTCGACAATGAGGACGCGTTTGCATCCAGCCTCGATAGCGGAGAGGGCGGCGCTGCTGCCAGCGTTTCCAGAGCCGACGACGATGCAATCATAGGAGTTCGCTGACATGATGAGTCTGGCCGTTTGGCTGCCTGTAGATGGATGGGTTTATATAGTCGCAGATTGCAGATACATCGAGGTTCGAGAGCATGGTGGGCAGACCAAGACCGTTGCCTGCTGGTCATGCTGACTCGATAGACATAGATCCGAGCGTGACTCTAGCTGATTGCTCATAATCGGACGAAGAACAACCGGGAGTCGTCGTCCGAACAGTAGGTGAGATTGCTCATACTGTGGTGAGGATGCGAAGGGTTCTCTACTGCATAGCAGGAATGTGCGGCGAGGAGAAGGAGGGCGGCGGAGGCGGCGGAGGCGAAGGCGAGCGTATGCGAGTACCTCCGAATTTGATGTCGAATTTGACTTTAGCGTGCGGCTACGGCGTTTAGACTCCTTCGCTCCGACTTGTCCTTGATCTCATCATCAACCATCCACTATGTACGCAAGTTTTCTGTGCGATCCGACAGTACTCTCTACATAGCACCCCGCGACCATTCTATCTAGGTTCCTGGCCCACAGGGGTGTCGGACATGCCGGCAACGGCCAGCAGCAGTGCGCGGGCCGGGTCTCCGTCCTCGAGGCCTCGGAAACGCCGTACGGCATCCACGATATCTCGAATCTCCTCAGCGACTCGACGACCCAGCTCGCTGACGGCCTACTAAGCTCTTCACTATGTCTAACCCACTGAGTCTTGAAAGCATGTTTGGCCTGCAGGGCCGTGTCGCCCTGGTCACCGGCGGCGGCAGCGGCATTGGATGGATGATCGCGAGCGGTCTTGCAACGAACGGCGCGAAGGTGTATATCACAGGGCGCAGGAAGCACAAGCTAGAGGAATCTGCTGCGTCTTTCAACCAGAGCAATCAAGGAAATGGTCTGATCGTCGCGTACGTTCAATCCCATCGAGATGCTTCAGTGTCCAGCGTGTTCTAAAGACGTATCCAGGCTAGAGATGGACGCGAGCGATCGCAAGAGCATCTCAGCTGCACAGGAGGTTGTCGCGTCGAAGGAAGGAAAGCTCCACATTCTCGTCAACAAGTGAGATCCTTTGTTGCTCCGGTATGATCCAAATCCAATTGACCTCCTCCACAGTGCAGGCCAGACCGGCCCTGTGTCACCATTCCTCGAGAACACCAGCGGGCCGGAGCATAAGGATCCCGAGACCCTCGGCCGCGCCTTGTTCAACAACGAATCCTTCGAGGGATGGGCAGACGTCTACAAGATCAACACCTTCTCGATCTATTTTGTCACCACCGCGTTCCTCGGGCTACTGGCCAAGGGCAGCGCAGACGTCGAAAGGTGGACATCGAGCGTTATCAACGTCACCAGTATCAGCGGGATTATCAAGCTCGCGCAAAATCACGTACGTCCATAGCCCCGTTTACCTACCTAGCCGCGTGCTGAGTGCACCTATGGGCGCCAGTTCGGATACAACAGCTCGAAGGCCGCTGCTTCCCACCTCACCAAGATGCTGGCAACGGAGCTCGCCCTAAAAAAGATCCCCGTCCGCGTATGCAGCGTCGCTCCAGGCGTGTACGAGTCCGAGATGACATATGGGACCATTGGGCCCGACTTGGTGAACGTGGTAGGCAAGGGTTTGATTCCCGTACCAGAGAACAGACCCGGCACGTGAGTCGTCTTCAGATCCTTCTCCTCCGCGTGCATGGGGCTGAGTCTCTATCTGTTTTGGACAGCGCTGAGGAGGTCGCTGGGACGGTGATCTACCTCGTCTCCAAGGCTGGGTGCTACACCAACGGCCAAGAGATCGCCGTTGATGGTGGATACACAGCCGTCAACCCTTCTGTGCGCTAGCATGGCATACCAAGGTCATCTCGAAGCTCCTTGTCAGTTGAATCTGCGTGCTGTCGTGATCTATCCAGAGGTATATACATTTGCATAGAATGAGGTGCATTGGCTGTCCTGATGTTGTACAGTACGTGATGATGCATGTATCGAATCGCAAACGCGTGTCAAGGATGCTGAATAGGGTATCGTGACTATGGGTGTGTGATGCACAGATTGCCAAGTCCGAAGGGGGTCCAAGCTCCCGCGGTCCTTCATATCTGACGATACAACACCTTCCTCTGGGCCGTATTCTCGCTTCTAGTTCCTGCAGGCCATATTCTCACGTCCATGCCCAGCGTCCCTAGCTTCCCTAAGGCGGTGGGTCCAATCCCTGGACAGTCCCGAATCAGGATAGTCTCGATGCCGTGCCTGCTCCACCCGGGCTTCAAGCGGAACGCCTGTACAATGTCTTCAGCGGCGAGCAGATCGCATCCGATCACCTCCAGTAGCTTCAGCCTCGACGCGAGACTCGTATGCGCGCGCCTCGCGTACAAGTTCTCTGCAAGCCCGACCAAGAATGGACCTGTCACACGCACGCCCTTCAACGTCAGGTGGCGCAACCGCGGCAAGCTCAGCAGAAGTGGGAAGATGAAGCGCGGATCGAGCCATCCGTGCTCGATATGCAGGACCTCCAGCGCAGGGAGTGGCGGGAGGACCCGCGAAACATGCCGGAGATGCGGGAACAGCGACGGGCGATGAAAAGGGTAGGTAGAGTAGAGCCGGAGGGTGCGCAGAGCCGGACAAGAGGCGTGCGCCAGGACCGTCAAGAACGCGTTCGGGATCCCGGGGCCCTCGACGGTCAGTACGAGCGTGAGGAGGCGCGGGAGGGCCACCGTGAGCGGTACGGAGTGCGACGCCACAGAGTGCGAGTCGCCCCGCCACGGGAACGAAAGGCGCAACTCGTACAGGCGTGCGGAGACGCGGAGCATCGCGAGCACCTCCGCCGCGGCGTCCTGCCCCCGAGTGAAGCCGTGGTGCGTATAGTCCAGGTACTCGAGGTCCTGGAAGAGCGAGCGGGCCCAGGTCAGGCGGATCCCGCAGAGCGTGACGCGCCGCAGTCTCGGCGCGCTGCCGTTGAAGAGCAGGAACTCCCGCGTGTCGTCGTTGCCTGGGTAAATCAGGATCAGCTCTCGCATGGAGGGCGCGTGCGCGGCGGGGCCTTGCACGAAACAGGCGGACAGGGCCGCGTTCCAGAGAAGTGGTGCGTACGCGTCGAACCTGATGTCGAGGCTTCTCCAGCGCGGTATCAGTGGCGTGACGATGCTCAGGTACTGCATAACTGTGTACGCGTCGAGGATCGGCATGACGACCACGTCGCCGAAATCCTGGGGATGCGGAGCGAGCTGGATATCGAGCGTGCAGGCCTTCGCGCGGAGGATGCGTTGCTGCCACATGTGCAGCCTGCCATCGAGCACGACACGCCGCCACAGAGCGGGCGTGTGGAGGGCCAATGCGCGCCAGGCCCTGCATACGTGCGAGACGGCCAGTGGAAGCATGAAGTCATCCTCGGAGCCTAGGACGAAGACGTGCGCGAGGAGCTCGGCAGGGAGGCTCATGACGGGATGGTCTCTGCGGTAGCGAGATCGGGAGTGGCTATGCCCACGAGACAGAGATCTCCGCGAAGGTATGCCTGCGTCGAGTACGGACTTAGCCAATGGCAACCAGGTATACGTGCATCTCACGTACCGACGTCCGAATCCCGTCTCCTAGTACAAACCCGGTAAGCGTTGCTTCTAGTCGAATGAGATGCGTGTTCGATAAAGACTCACTCTGTTCCATATATCGACTTGACCGCATCAACGACCGAACGTGTGAACTCGTGACGACGAGCACGCTTGAAGATAGAGGGCATGACAGAACGTACAGCAGTGGGCGGGAAGTGCGCTACCTACTCGCGCATCTTGTAGCAACGCAGGGGCGCAGATGGCCAGCGCAGGACAAAAGGCAACCGTTCAGACGATGCAATGCGATGGCAGCGCCTGAACGGGCGGGCTGAACTCTGCAAGGCAGTGGCTGATCGTGAGCCATACAATCCGCTGGTGCTGAGATGAGCTGCAATCGATATCCCTGTGACAATGGGCTCTCCTATCCGCGGGACATGTTTCCGGAAACAGCACGTAAAGGAGCCCACGGCCTAAGCGCTGCAACATCAAAATATGGGTTGCTGGGCTCTGGAGGCATGGATCCAGCTGGATCCGGACCGCGGAGGATGCACCTTAAGGCGGTAAGCCGGGCCTGAGATGACTGCGTCTGGTTGACGATGCATGCGTGGTTTTGTAGCTTGATAGTCCACAGATCGTCCGGGTACATTTCACTCAGGACAGACTGTAAGAGATGAGAAGTGGGGTCGCGAGCTCGAGGCGGCACACCGTGACGGAGAAAACATCAAGTGATTGAGGATCACTTCCACGTGAAATGAGTTCACCAACTGATACAGTGTGTCATTGTGAGTACTATCAAGGCCTCACGGAGCTGACGAGCGCCGCCGCCTGGGCCTGAATGCTGTCCAGATCACAAACGAAGTGAGTACCAATCATTGCAATTATATACGATGGAGGGCACGTACAAGATCCCCTGATATGTGCGCGGCGTTGAGTAGGTGCTTCATTCCTCTGCTTCTTCTGGGGGCAGCATGTCGAGAATACGTTGAAGCGGCTTCGCCCTTCGTAGTGGCACCGGAGGCCTTCCTTGCCCAGCTCCCACCGCCGAGTTCTCTCGAAGGACCCGGCATTTCATCATTTCAACGTGTCGTTTGACGGAGTCGAGTCGAGATAGTTCCTTATTACAATGAGGGCATACCTTCGCACCAATTCGGAGGTGTACGTCACACACATGCTTTGCCAGTCCACCAGCTCGTAAGCTAGTAGAGCATGGGGTTCCGCCTAGCTCGGTCCACCCGCATGTGAAGGATTGCGAGGACCGAGGCGCCACGCCGTGGTTCTCCTGGAGATGTTGCTTGATTGTCTTCACAGATATCGCGCCATGCAACATGAGACCACAGCCGCCGTAGCGGCATATAAGGATCTTGGGGTCACCATCCTGTGCGACCCCTGTGATCCCACTCGTTGCCGTCATTGGATTGACAGAATCCGCCGGTGGGGGTAGGTTTGGTTCTGTCCAAGCTTCGTCATGAGGCATATCGACTGGATATGCTGCCTGATGATCCGCTCCCAGCGCCTGGCGGCGGCTCTGCATGTCGCTGATGCCTGGTTCAGTATGCCATTACGCAGGGTACTGATGGCAAGACGTACCAAAGGTACCCCGTTAGAGCATCAATTGCTCTATCAAGTAGCGGCGTGCTCGCAGTGGCGCAAATCCCTCGTAGGGCGGTCTTGATGATATCGAGGAGTTTGTTAACCTCGAAATCCTTGCTTGGTTCATCGGTCAATTGCGTATGATGGCTGATTGTGTCATGTGAGCCAATCGGCAATGAGCATAAAGACAATGCTTACAGTACCACATCCGGGAGCTGGGGCGGTCGAGGCTGTAGAGACGAAGAAGGCCTAACAAGAGTCAACTTGACATCGCCTAGCCACGATGTCGGCACTTACGGAGCATCATGCGCAAGAGGCGCTAGTTTAAGGATGTCAAAAGTGTCGTAATGAATACGATCGACATGTGCCTCGGAGCCGGTAAACCTTGCAAGCAACGCGTCAGTCCATGAGTGACAAGGTGTAGCATCATCGTACCGACTGGTGGAGTCCTCAAATGGTATTGAGAGCCATTGTGGGTCCAAAGACCCATCAAAACCTCCGTACATGCCGGTGTACCCAGAAGCGAGCGTCGGAGGAGGCCTGTATGAGTCTGTGATCAGCACTACACCGAAAGGATGTTTAGTAAGTCGCGCGTACGGCTGCGTTCCTTCCCACTTCATTGACCCATCGGTCGTGTATTCTTCCACTCTGGGTGATGTCGCCAGGGTGATGGCGACGCCTGCGTGAGTGTCGGCGTGGGCGTCGCCACCTGCCCTGCATCACAGTCCCAATCAACATAGTACAGAGATGATGTGCGTCGTGGCTTACCATGCTATCTCACTTGCCGCACCTAGCTGGTTCCTCCCGAACGCGTGTTCGTCCCTCAGCGAGTGCAGATCCTCTAGAAGACGGGAGTCCATGACGCGAGTTAGCCGAGACGCATGGCTGCGCTTATATTTCTTCCGTCAACACAGACCACAAAGCGGTAAAGCTTCTCGTATCCACGCGGTGGGTCGAAAGTTGTGTAAGGAGATGTTCTATAGCGCTCGCCATCGCACGAGACCAGTCAACACTACGAGCAGAGAGTTTTCCCGTCCGCGATGACAGCTCGTCTGGAAAGAAGCGGGTGACATAGGTGATGAGGTGGACCCACAAACTGCGGAATGACACACCACCGGTCCAATCGTTCCCTCGCCTCGGGACCACAAGGTGATGGTCGATTGGCTATTGCACGTACTGCATCTGTGCCCCTTGGGCCATGTAACATGGTCTCGCATCAGCTTCGCGTTCGGATGACAAAAGCCCTATAACCCACCTTGTGTAAGTTTCTCCATGTGTGGACTTTTATTAAGTTCGAAACCTTATATGATCATATGATAGACCGTACAGAACGCCCAGACTTAAAGTTTGAACGGTGATCGCTTCGATTCTCACTGAGGGGTTGCTCCATGCAGTGATGCGCCGGATTCGACAGCCTAAGACTCAAGAACGGTCAGTACACTCAGGCTCAGCATATGACTGCACCGGTGACACAGTGTACTACGTACATTACCAGATAAGTATGCCCCTTTTGGATACGTGTGGCATCCACGGCTTGTGGCGTAGACAGTAGTAGTAGGTGCCGCCGCCGAGTCCACCGCCGGGCCCAGCCTACCGTTTCCGCACACCTCTTATCAAACGCAGTCTCGATAGCTGAGCATGGCTTGTGCCAAATAGTCAACTTTCTACTGATAGCGCCCGTCCACCCAGTGGTACGCAGAGCTTCCGCAGAGTTCTGCCATATTAAAATGTTACTAACGCTGTGCGCTCGAGGCCCACATGTGGATGGGTTATTGTCCACATGTGGGATGAGATGTGTGTCACCGACTGCATTTTGTTCTCAAGCAGCTCAAGGCGAGTCATCGGGGAAATGGTGCGACGCGAGCGCATTCATCGCATACTATAAAGGTTTGAGGTGTGCACCCACGGCGACGTCAGTCGCAGAAACTCCCATCAACGCCGCTACACTGGCAGACTCGTCTGAGCTCCCATCATGTCGTACATGGATCTTCAGATCCAAATGCGCTGGTCCTCAACCCCGTCTAGGTATGCCCGCCACACTCAAGACTTGCATCATTAATAACTCACCTTGAACCGTGAAGCTCTTCAACCCCTGCATTGGAGGTCTCCTCGGTAGACAGCGCCGTGATCATTGTCGCAACTCACGCAGCGCAAAACTTCAGACAGAGGTAGAGTTTGCTGACCTTAACGTCCTTCATGTTGACTCACTGCCATCAGCGTTCCAATGGGCGATGGAACGTGGTACGCTATGAGGGCTTGGTGTAAGATACGGGAGCCTCCGCCACCGTCGTATGCATCGCATGGATTTTCCGAGACATTGGAGCATGAGCAACAGCCAACGGCCCATCTTGCGGTGGCAGATAATGCCGTTGCCTCTTCGCCGCTCCGTTCTTCAGCAACATGGACAAACGGTGAAACTCAGTAAGAGGGTTTTACATGATCAATCGGAAGCGCTCGCTCACCGCTGCTAGAAACCCTGCGTCATCTGGGATCCGCCACTGCTGTTCAGAGGGCGGCAATCCAGACGATTCCATGGAAGACTCTGAGGGAGAGGATTCTGAAGAGGATTCCGATGCAGAGAGCGTCCAGGGGGACAACGGCGGTCGGTCTTGTCCATTTGACAATGCCTGCGGGAGATATCTGTCAGACGATTCTCTCGAAGCTATCCAGAGGCACGCGGTACAATATCATTGGCGGGATCTACAACCTCACGATGGGGAGTCGGTCAACCGTGGAACTTCCACCGATTCGGGCTATTCCAGTGACGCCACAATGGTCTCGGACTGACGGGATTGGTGGACCAAGGGCCTGGGTATCGTTCTGTTTCAAATCTGGCATTCGCTTCCGACAATCATTCTGGTATCCTCGTGGCCGATTAGTTCACAATATATATTACCGCTTCCTGTTCGACCAAACCGGAGCCCCGGTTGAGGGTACGTATTTCGCCTCTTGCGGGCTTAATTGTCTGTCGCAGATTGTCCCTGGGACATGCGAAGGCAATTTCTGAGAACGAAGTAATGAACGGCACAAACAACCTCTCCGATTCCTCTCTCGTCCAGGTCAGGACGCCACGGGCGGGCGCCCGGAGATGTCCCGAGGCGCTGGAATCATTGATACAATCATAGTGACTGGCATGTCTGGCGTACCATATGGCTCTCAAATCATCATATACTTCGGTTCCAAGTCATGCGTTTGGAAGATGGAGACCTCGGGCCTGTATGAGAGGGTATATGTCTCGATCAGAGATCAATTCTTGGCTATGCACGTCCACGTACCACTGCCTTTGGTTCGATGAGAACGGCGTTGAGTGAGATACTCAAAGCGTGACGTAAGAGACTCGAATCGTTCCTCGAGTCTCGAGCGACTGACAGCGAGCCTGAGCAGTTCTGCTGCACACCGCATCCACGAGGAGTTCCTCCAAGTAGGGAAAAATACATTCACGACAAGCAGCATTGCGTCACAGCAAGTGAAAGATAGAGCATGCACGAAGCAGTAAACAGAGAAAGTCGGATGTTGTAGCTACATGAAGTAGGGCACTGTAGAGTATTAGCACATGCGTACGGTTGATGACTCACGAAATGCGATGAATGCAAAGTCCACGGTTGAAGATTGTGTCTACATACTAGGAATTGACTAGGGAACGTTAACGTTGTGCTCGCCCCCGAGGTTTCGAAATCGTGGTCGTATCCTCGATGATCACTTCGTCATCCGAATCGTCGATCACAGTCGGATCAGGTCCGCCTGACGGCGTGTCAGAGGCATTGGAAGCATCCTTCTTGCGCGCCTCCTCCTTGGCTTGTCGCTCGGCCTTCCACGTCTCGCTCAGCGACAAGATACGTGCACGTAACTCGCCACGGAGCTTCCTAACCTCGTCGCCTTTCCAGTCAGTCTTGCGTTGCTCAGGCCCGTACCCTTTCCCCTTCTGTGACTGTAGATGGATCGGTACCTTGCTCAACGACGATGACGATGCAGAAGCTCACCAGAATGAGCTGGGTGTACCAATCAGGGTTCTCCATGAAGACCCGCATGAAGTGCAAGACGTAGACACCACAGTCGCAGTAGTTGGGTTGACTAGGGACCTGAGACACGGCACTGTGAGTACCAACTCCAGATGTGCGGATACATGTACTGACATAGGCAAGTTTGCGGATCGAGTTCCGAGACTGCTCCACGCCTTTCTTGTCTTTCGCCTCGAGTTGCAGATATCTTTCGAGGGTTGTCTGTGCCTGTGGATGCTTGCTTCCCAGTGAATCGAAGATGAATACCCGAGCGCTGCGACATTGATCATCAACCGAGGGTTATGGCGTCTGTTCGCAAAGAGTACCTACCATTTCTCAGACTCGGGGTTCGAAGAATTGATCCTGTTGTGGTCATCCTCCTCTATCCTGAGCACTGCGGTGTTCTCCGTATGTGTCGGTGACGTCGAGCCATAGAAGCTGGAAGGATCGACAGACATCTCGACGTCTTGGTCCGCATCAACGACATCAATGGGTTGCACAGGGACAGCCGGTGGCAAGTCTACAGTCATCGCCAGCGGGCTAGATGAGTTGGGATAGTCCAGGTGCATGTTCGCCAATTCTTCGAGGGCGTTGGCGTGGTAGTCTCCTCCCATAGCAGAAGGCGGTCGCGACTCGTCCGCATCCGCAGGGGGGGCTTGACCCCCAATCATGCCTTCTACCTCATCCTCCCCGCCACTAGTAGGCGATGGTGGGCATGAGTCCGGTACTACGTCGATGCCCGACGCATTGTTAGATGGCTGTGCTACGGTGTCGACCTGGGGCGCTGCTTCCTGCTCGTCGACAGCACCTGAGTCGCGTTTCCGTTTCCGGGTCATTGGCTTAGGTTGCTCAGTACTTGGGAGCGGCGGGAGGAGGACGTATTCGGGGTTGCAGATGATGGCAAGATACCAATGAAAACTGTACAGACTTCGGATAAGACTGATGTCAATAGACGAAGGATAACACCCACTGTTCGTTGATCGGGACGACGATGTATTTCTTCTGAAATAAGTCTACCTTCGACGTCCACTTGCGCACACTTTGATACCCCTCGTCTTTGCTGCCAAACTGTTAGCATGACATACACCATATTCAGCCGAAGACATACTCCTTGACATTCAACTTCTTGTAGAAGAATGAGCTGAATACGTGAACCTGTTCCGCGAAGCTAGGGTCCTTTTCCTTCAGGTCAGCTAGCCATAGCCTGCATACCATAAGCAACAATCTTAGCCCCGAAAGCTCGTCACATACTTAAGACCGAACTCGATGAGGGTATCGTTTAGATAACAGCCATCATCCAGGCGTCTCAGATCACTCTTGTTGATGTTGATCGCGCCCGCGCCCGACGGTGGATACACCAATATCCTGGTCGAGTGTATCTGAGCCGCTACATTTCAAGTTTCATAGAAACGCGCTTACAGTTCGTCAGGACCAGGGGAAGGACTTGGATCGGTGTTGAGGCGCGCCGATCGTCGTGTCGCAGTTGCTTCGCTATCTGTCTCCGATGGAGCTCCCGGGCTGTAGGAGAACAACGTGATTCAGTGTTAGTACGACGAGAAGAGTGACAATAGCACGTACAAATGAGGCCGAAAAGTTGTCCGCGTCTTAGTACCTTGGTTGGACAGCAACGTCGATATGTCCCCTTGCTGTTTCGAGGCATTCTGCCGCTTGGGACGGGCTGATGGAGCGATTGAAGACGCGGGTTCTTGCCACGCTAATGCAGCAGCAGACTTGACCTGCTCCCACCTTGCCTTCGCACCGTTACCACTGTTCGGACCTTCAGCATCGAAGCACACTCGAGCCCAGAGAGTCGCTTACTCCAAGTAATTCACTGCGACCTTCGAGAGTAAAGTCTCCAAAGATGTGGTAAGCATGCCGTAGGACTCTCGTATGCCTAGATACTTGGCCTTGAAGCTTAATGTAACCATGCCAAGGTTGCCTTTCGACCCTGTCCGATCACCGGACTCAGTACTACATTGTCTACAACACCAAGAACATACCTGGTTTGTATAGAAGTGAGTCATCTTGCTTATTGACTCGTGAAGGCGTGGGCTTGATAGAGACAACCAATGGTAGCTCCTCATTGAACGGCGTCTGTGTGTACTGCCAGTTGTCTGAGGACACTGGGACATCTCTATACGAGAACGTCAGGCTTACCATCCAGCTATTGAATTGTAAATGTAATTCATGCAGCACTTCCGCTTCAAACGGACTCTGTTCTCCGATAGGCTTGCGGACGTGCATACAATCGCTGCCTCTTTCCCAAGTCAACCAATAAAGCAGATCATCGTCTTCGTCCTCGCAGAATGTGCAACCCCAGGAGAAGCCTTCCAAAGGTAGAAGGAGGTCCTTGGGCGGGACGCCCTGGATCTTTTTTCGGGCTCTCGTGGAAGGTCCGGGCGTAGGTGCTCGCGTGGACTTGGCAATAGACGACTTCCCAAAGCCAGATGACCCAGCAAGAGGATCATTAGATGAGCCGAAAGACGTACGCTGTATGGACCATTATTTGTCGGGCTTCAAAGAACGGTTGGAGACGGTAGTAGACTTACCGGCTGTGCACCCTGGGTTGACTTGGGCTTCATGGCGTCCTTTCTACTGAGCTTCGAGTGTGCAGCGACGAGGTCGATGGTCCGCACTTCGCGTTCCGGTGGTGGATCGTGTGCTTTCTTTGGCCGACTTGACGGTACGAGGCTCAGTCCTGGTTCCTCCTTCGGCCGTTCATTTGGTCGAAAATCCGGTTCCTCACGGAATAGTAAGCGATTCCGCCGCACGATACCTTGGGGAGGCTGTGGACCCGGAATCCGCGATTGCGTGGGTTCGTCGGAGAAGCTCTCAATTTCCTCGATGCCGTCGCTATCATCACCGCCACCAGGATGCTCCCCTTTCTTATCCCGCTCGGCCGCAGCCACCTTTTCGCGTATACGGAGCGTCGCTGCGCCATCAGGGGCGCTCTGTCGACGTGACGATGATTGTTGACTACCGTTTGAGATGGTACGTGCTTCGTGCAGATCAAAGGAGTCTTCGCCGATGCAGTCTAGAGGGTCGGGACTGCCGTCCGAGGCGTCCCTACGGGTCTTGGGCGTCTGCATCAAGTTCTCTATGTGAGGAGCTTTGTACGCGTCGTCCTCATCGGTGATGTCAATGACCTCGGCGGGTGAGTTGTTCCACAGTTCGAGGTCGCGCCGTGAGCCTCGTCCATCGACCTCCTTGCCTGCAAGCGGACGGAATGTCGGAACATATGCGCTGAGCCATCTCATGGTATGTCTCGACGCCACATGTCTACTGACCTTTGTAAGACTTCGGTGGAAAGTACTTCGATGGGGCCAGACCGAGCATATCTCCTCCAGGCTTTCCTGCTCCAGGATGATTGAAAGCACCGCTGAGCCTGGGACGCTTGGCGGCAGGACCAACTGTAGTCTTCCGAGTGGGGAGCACAGTCGCTTGGGCAGTGCGATTGCCAGAGGGTCCTCCGCGGGTAGAGCTGTGCAGTGTGTCGCCCATGCGCCCGGCGAATGGGTTAGCAGCGCGAGCGGGTCCGGACATGCGAATATTACTATAGTTGCCAGGTATCTGGATCGGCATTGGCGTCTTCGATGCCCATGGACTTTGAGCTACTCGTGAGGCTCGTAAACAACATGAAGGAGGGTAGGACGCACTCATGCTGTGCCATGGAGCTAGAAGACGCAGGGGGTGCTAGACCATTCAACACTCGCGAGTTGCGGCGGTCGGTCGCGCTCATACCACTCATCGCGCCACAGAGAAGAGGCAGCACCGCAGGCCAGACACAGGATCGCCAGGAAATCGGAGGAAGCTAACAGAGATGTACGCAGGGCCACAGATGGCCGCGAAGGAGGTGCGGCGCGACTCGAAGGCGGCACGCCACATCGAAAAGCGTCGCGCACTCTCATCACCATATACGGAAGGTCGCCGCCGTCGAGCACAACGCCACCGCTGGACTCGACTTTCATCTCTGCGTGATGCATTCTATTCAGGCGGTATGGCCGATAGCATGGCGAGTCTCCAAGCAAATGAATGTCTACGTAACTACTATTTACATGCAGCGAGTAGCAGGTCGCTGTCCACTGTGGCCGCGATGGAGGACAGTGTAGAGCAGAAGCATGGAGGACGGAGCGGGTCCATGGGGGCCGGGCCCAGGGGAGATGCGGTGTTTAGTAGTGCTCAGTGATAAAGTAAACGAGTCCACCAATATAGATGCAAGTAATCGTGAGATGAAGCGTGCGACGAGGAACCACGGATGCTAGTACTATGCGAACACAGCGAGCTGTAAACGAAGACGCGGGGATGAATCGATGACTGCCGTCTGACTCATTAGCAACCGTTATACTGCGAATTCTTTGGCCAACTGTAGCCTGCTTCTGACCAAGTCGTGAGGTTGGGGTTCGAGTAAGCTTCCGCGTGCCTGGAAGAAATGGTCAGCGTTGCCTTGTATCGCCAAAATGATGCACGTACTTGTTGATGTAGTCTGCTGTGGGGTAGTTCGGAGGGTCGCACGTCGTACCATCCGAGACATCCGAACGCTGGTAAACGCGTACGTAGTCAATGTACATCTTCGATGGGAACTCCAAGTGCATCCAGTCTTGTGCTTGGAACGAAGCTGAGGCATGTCTGTCAGCTTCTGCCATTTGCGCATCGCAGGACGTAAGACTTACGAGACATTCCAAAGTTGATGATGATATACTTCATGGATGTCAGTAATATGAAGCATGCATAAGCAAGGCCGCTAACGCACCATGGGCTCCTCTGGGATCAGCCGCTGGCCAACTTCGGTCTTGGCGTCAGGACCGAGCGAGCCTGACGTGATCTTCCACGACTCAACACCGCTGCTATACCAGGTGATGAAACCAGCATCGCGGTCCTTCGGGTTCGAGTACCACTCATAACCGAAGGTCGCGTACTCCGAGTCATTGTAGACGGAGTTGTTGATGAACGTCAGACCAGAGACGGCCTGCTGGTACTGCGCTCCGAGGTACGTGTTGAATGACGTGATGGAGCTGTCGAAGATGGTTGTCACATCGGTGTCGGTGTCGAACTGGTATTGGTCGTCATACGGCGCAATCTGCATACTCTGCGAGGCCTGGCCCCTCCAGCCAGCCGCGACCTGTGCCTCGAAGATATCGATTTCAGGCACGCCACGACCGACGGAGGTAGACGGCCCCGGGTGGTCCTCGCCAGGACACGTGCAAGCGGAAGTCCTTTGACCTGGCTGAAAGCTGAGTCCTTCCGCTGCACTGGGGGTTCCGTTCGAGTATGTCTGATTTGGGAACGTTCCCACGTCGCAGCTGTCATACGAGTAAGGCCACATTCCCTGGGTCGTTGCTCCGTATCCAGCGTGGCCCTATTCAGCCATAAGCAAGCACAAGAGCAACGCAACGCATCGCACGCACCAAGTTACCCATCGTCCACACAGCGGGCCAGAATCCCGGAGCCTTTGGGGAGCCCGGTAGACTAACCTTGACCTCGATGTAACCGGTGGTGAAGCAAAACTTGTTCCAGGTCTGCAGCATAGAGCTCCGGAAGTTCAAGTTGTTGTTCTCGACCTCCTCCATGGTCAGGACCAACTTGCCGTCCGCAGTCGTTGCTTGCTGCACCGATGTCAGTCGCACGCAAAAATAGAACCAGGGATATGACTCACAGTCGGCGTGTACCACTCAATGTCACCTGTCGGCCAGTAGTTCATATCCACAGCCTCCCAGAAGGGGTCGTCCCCGGGCCAGAATGTCCGTCCAGGAGTCTCAAACTCATCACTGAAGACGAGGTCGTACTCCGTACCGTCCTTGGATGTGAACGTGTATACGTCATCCGGTGTATCGGTATCGATGAGCTTCGGGATAGCGAGGTTAGGGACCTGCCCTGAGCCGTTGATGCCTCCCAGGTTGAACCCAATCTTCTGCGGCTTGTCTGTCGTGAAATAGTGTATGATAGGGTACCCGGCGAATAGCGTGAGGAGCCCCGCTACGAGGATGATCAGTGCGGAAATGTTGATCCATCCTCGTGAGGAAAACGGATTGCACGTTCGCTCCAACGCTGCGTCGCGGACTGGGTCAGGGTTGTGTAGGGCATCGTCGAGCTCTGGGTCCTTGGTATCCCAGAGATACGGATATTGCTGCACGGTCGCCGTCCCGACCATGGGTGTGGCACTCCCCTTCTCCCCCGTCGTACCAATCGATGTTTCCGACGGCGCCGCGCTAAAGCGAGAGGATGTATACCGACCATTGGCGGCAACATTGAGGTTGGGATTATACTAGGCGTTGTTCAGCTATATCAATGACCACAGAATAGAACTGATACGCACCGAGTACGGACCATACCCTGAGCCTATTGCACCTGTTGCAACACCGTGCGTAGTATCGTTTCTTCCACTCGTCGAAGGTTGCGGCATGGCGTACGACTGAGATTGAGCCTGAGGCTGATGACGACTGCCGGTCTGCGGGCTCTGAGGGACCGCATAGTACTGCTGGGGCTGCCGGCGTGCAGGGGCGGCCATCGTGGTGGTGGAGAAAGCGCAACGCTGAGCGGCTGAATGCTGCGCGGCGCGCGCCACCCATTTCGCCGAGTTTGGTGTCAGCACTGCACTCCGCCGCCCACGTGATACAGATGCCGTCTCCTTGTATAGTCATTCATTACACGCATTGTATGCACTTCTTTAGACTCCGAAAGCTACTCTTCACTGGGTTCCTTCTCAGCCACAGTTATTCTTGTCTTTCCACACCCACGGTCAGCGGCGAATATATGGCTCCCTATAGCTTCGTGTCGCCAGAGCAAGCATTCTTAGTCTGTGCTTCCACGCTTGCATGGGTATGGTATTGCCGATGCCCAGCAGAGCCTAATTTGACTCACTACAGGAGTCGGGAGGAGCATCAATGCTTCTACTGTGGCTTCTCCCCGCAGCGAAGTTCGGGACATGAGTGGTTCACTGCCATACTCAGGCTAGGAACGTTCAATAGTCTGTTTCTCGATGCAATATTGTATAGCAACACGGATCACCTTTCTTGGTCAGTCACGCCATTGAATCCCTGCGAAATCGCCAAAGCAGGATGGCGGACGTACCGCGGTAGTATGGAACGGATAGTGTGCCAGTTTCATTGCCCAGTCCACGCGTGTGCCATCAATACGCCCGCCAGTCGCGGGATCAAATTGGGCTATATCATGTCTCGGATATGTGTAAGTAGGACAGTGATTATTCGATGATTTGACTGCATCGAATCTCCAGGGACTCGCGACACATATATACCAGCGACTTCATTACGAAACAGCCCATGACCTCGACCAGTACTGTCCCAGGTGCTACGGATGTACCGTTCTTATCCCCTTTGATTCTCCCAAACTTGACTCAGAGACCCAGTGTGACACAGCCATCGTCGCTGTTCTCGATGAAGACACCGCCAAAGATCAGACCCTCGTTGATACCACTCTCCTGGTACCCTTGATGCAGGACATCGATCCCCGGCGGGCCAGTTGGCTCCTTCAGCAGTCCAACATGGAACGCCCCTCCGCCAGTGTTGTTGTTGAACGCGGGACCCGCGACACGCTCCAGCGGGGCGTACCCCTCCGAGTAATACACAGTAATCGTACTGTCCGAGGTGGAGCACAATCAGTCAGCCTCATCCGAGATGCGGAGGCTGGAAGCTTACTTGTCCACCCAACCCATCGTCAGTGCGAAGTTGTGCCACACGCTATCGGTGAACGGCGTCTCGAAGAACGTCGTCTCGGGCGTGTTCGACTGTAGGCCAGCAACACGGAGCGACTTCGCCAACATGATGTTGGGGTCCTTGGCCGTGCTGAACGGGACACCGGCAGTTATCGTGAACTGTGAAGACGAGTAATCCGCGTATTCATGCCAGATTGGCTGCGACGCGACATCATGTCTCTATAAATATTATCTCTCCAAACTGCGATTGACAACGTACATGGTACTCGTGTGAATAATTGAGCGGTCTGCTGAGGTCGGTGTGTATCGACCAGTGGAAAGTCGTCGTTCCTTGCACCGTGCGGGCGTTTCCGTTCGTTGACAGGTCGATGGCAGGAACAAGTTCCGAGCGGCGAAAGCCAACTTGTGGTTCACTACCGCCTGGGACGAAAATGGATTCATCGCTGCAACAAGACATAAGGTCACCAACTTGAGAGCGCGTTTGATGGGAAGAAATCGTACTCAATCGTCACTTCGAAACTCTTGGAGGCAGTCGGTAGGTCGAACTGGGTATACGTATAAATGGGTCGATACGGTGACGGTAAGGAACAACACACTCACCAGCGAGGGGGGAGCAACGGGGAATTCAAGCACTTCAGCCCATGTCTGATCTAGTCGATGTCAAATCAGACATGTATATATGTCACATTTGCAAGACAATGCGTACTCTGGCCAAGGTCGTATAGGTTGCTATAAACGCTGGTATTCTTGTCGAAGTCAGCCGCCGTGGTCGTCACCGCGACGCGTCCTTCGAAGAGTACAGGACAAGCCGCCACCGCGTTTCGAGTACCCGAGGCAGGGGCTGCTGTGACATGCCCTGCGAGGTAGATCAAGACGGGGAGGAAGGCTAATACCATTCGAGTCGAGCGGAGATGTGTGTCGTCTAGGTAGTGGGGAAGCTGACGGCGAGTACACACGGGCACCGGGCGAGCGACCGCTCGGCTTGCCAATGACAGGGTCATATATTCATGGTAAGGATCGCCGCTCGAGGCACAACCGTCCTCGAGCGCATGGGACGGGAGAACATCGGATGTGGAGAAACGTTGAGGAATAGTCGGTTCCAGGCGCATGTGCGAGTTGTCTAGGATGCGGAGACGGAGGAAAATATCGATCAGGTATGTCGCAAGCTGCCGTAAGGATACATAGACAGTAAAAAGAGCCAGGATGGATGTTTCTTGACCGGTGGAAGACCTGCTCCTTATCGTCAAGATTAGTTAATGATGCGTGAGATGGGTATTTGCAAGTTGGGTCCTAAGCCCTGCAGACCGCGGCTATCCTTGGCTAGCCGTTCAAGATGAATAGGACGCGGGATATAGGATGATCATGTGTCGAGGGTATGGTGGAGCGGGAAGTGCGTCGAATCGCCCATGGCCGGCCCGTGTTGGAATCAAACAGTTTTGGCAGCGTGGGCATGGGAGCGGTCACCCGAGGCGTAGCGATCGAGTGGGTGTGGTTGTATGCATGAAGACAAGCTCAGTGGAATGGGTCAAAGCGATCACACAACGGCGTCCGCAATCATATTGCCGTCCATGGTGTATTGTTGTCCACTGGGAATGGTGATACAATAGTACGCATGTCATATTGCAAACGATCGCGACCTGCCACTCTGTCAGACAACTCTTGCAAGAAACGAAGTGAAGCTTTCGGGGTCGTCCCAGTGTGCCTGGGCTTTTGTCAGCGCCTCCGAAGACCTCAATATGCAAATCACCCACAAAGTGATTGGCCTTCTCCAGCTTGTGGAACGCGACATCACGGCCCTCGCCCTGCTCTCTGTTACTCCTCGTGAGCGCCTTCAGCTTCATCGCCGCACTGACCACGTCACTATTTGACATGTCGCACCACACAACAGCCACTTTGAGGTCAGGCCAGACCATGCCTTCGCTCGTCTTACCTTGAAGCACCGCACGACGGACGTTCTCTCGATATACCGCCGGAGCTATGTTCTGGTAGTACTTCTGGCTGCGCGCCATCACTTCGACGTGACACACTTCGCGCATCTTCTGTGGACCTATCCGGTGAACAGTTGGCATCCACTGAGCGCTGTTGGTAGGGGACGTCTTGTCTTGGTGCAAGGCGATGCGCGCTACGAGAGCGTCCGTTATGCCGGGGGTGTCGATATCGTCGGAGGCGCCGAAGCCGGTGGGAGTGAAGTAGTACGACACCCATTCGGAGAATTGGCTGAACTTCTCCGCAGCGCTGAGCGTGCTATCGCGCAGGGGAGTCCAGATCCCTGATATAGGTGTTTCACCGGTCGCGGGGAGTGAGATATCTGTCGGAAACGTTGAGTTGCTGACCACAAAGACGCGGATATCTGATACGCACCGTACATGACGAATGATCGGAAGTACGCATCGAACAGTCTTCTCGTGGCATTTGGCACCAGGTGCGCATATGCCAGGAGAGGGATGGTCTGGCAATTCCCGGACGACCACCCGAGTAACGAGAATCCACCCCTCCGGACGCCGGTGGGGCCCTGCGATACAGTGATGGGCGGAATACGTTCCATCTCGATGAACCTGCGTATGAACTCCGCGAATTCGAGGCCGCGTGCTTGAAGCGCTAAACCCTGCGTAGCAGGGTCAGGGGACGATAGTGCTCTAAGTTCCGATGCTGAGTAGAGCGTGGAACCTGGGTAGTCTCGGCAATTGATCAGAACAAGTCGAAGATCGTGGCGTGCGGCGCATGGGATCACTCTTCGGAATATGGCTGGACGAGAGCGACATCAAGCTGCGATCTTGTGCAAGGACGTATTGCAACGTACCGCTTGAAAACATTGTGCCGTGTACAAGGAAGACGGTGACATAGTCAGCTGATCCGGCTGGTGCACCGCTATCTTCATAGTACAGCAGACTACATCCGCCGTCGACTGCGTGATGAGGCATAGCGATAGTACACTTCGCAAGGCTTCACGGAGAGCGGGGCGTGTCGCAACAGCGCTGAATCGTGCGATGCACACGGACATTCTGCGAGATGAGTATCATGGTAAGCAAGTTTCTCAGGATATCGTGCACGGTTTGACTTGCCATGTAGGCGGCCGCGAGACCTATTTATATCCACAACGAGGCCCCGCTGAGTAACCGGGAGGTCGCTGTCTCAGAGTGGGTTGATTTTGCCATAGGTGTGCACAGTTGAGCCCTTCCTTGGGGTTACAGCGGCACAAAAGATTGTAGTGCGACGCTTGGGGCCGGCGTACTAACGAAACGACCTAGTAGTAAGGCCAGAGTGACATCAGGCTAGTGTCAACCAAGTGGTCAATTGAACGTGCGCACCGTCACGGTGTCATGGCCAACTTGATACGTCAGATGCCCCGGAGTCATGACTCCTGCACAATGCCTGGCCCGGAAGTCTTCACTTTGTACGCGACTCACGGGTCGAACCTAGCGTAGCGTCCGAGCCTACTCCGAGGCCCGGGGCTGCTGTACCGTAAATATGTGACTCCGCTCGGTGAGGCGCGGACCGTGACGTGACGGTACCCTGGTACGTAGACCCGGCGGGGCGGGCCGGGGGAGAGAGATAGGATCTCCTCCTCTACCTACCTCTCACTGAACTGTGACCTGCCGCGCTGTTGTGCCACCGCCTTGCCTCTACTAGTACTAGGCCTACCGTCTGGCCGGAATTACGATGGACTACCTCTCTCTCCAAAGAGCTACCGCGATTGCGATTGGTCGCCGACCTGGATGCTACGAATGACGAGAATGCTGTCCAGCGGCTCGCCGCTGGACTCTACCGTGACGGGGAGTCGGGGACACTCAGGGAGTTCAACGGGAACTCCTGAGTAGCTGACGCCGCGGTAACCCAGTATGACTGAAAGGTGTAGATCACATAGGTGAGCAAACGATACCTGCAGGTTCAGCAGCGGTAAACCACTGTTACATTCGGTAGCGCTGTATATTCATGCCACACATTAATGAGACGCGGTTACTACCGGCGTACTATTGCTCTGATGGAAATGGTCTCTATACCTTGACGGATCGTACTTCGTCGGTGGGAAATGAGCCTTTTGTCAAGTAATGTATCTCCACTGACACTTCCATTCAGACGCACGTCTAAGGTGCGTGCATCGCTTCTACACACATATGACGTTTCCGCCGACGGCTCGACCCGAGCAAACCCAGACAAAGAATCATGTAGTATGTACAGCGTCTCTACTCGATCAATTTGGCCACATGGCAGGAGCGAGACAATGGCTCGGTAGTGCAGTCTAGTCCGTGTAGTGTTCCAGCAACAATCCCCTTCCAATGTCACAGCACGGCGAACACAGAAGTCAGGGCTAGTACGAGGGTTGCGCTCCTCGGCTGTCGTTCATGTACCGCCTCGGAGACGAGAAGAGGAACGCACAGGTTATTGAGCGCTCACTTATCTCCACATATATAAGATACGCCCGACGCCCTTTCCACCCACAACTCTCTTCCTCCTGCAGGCCGATCCCCTCCCTCCACCTTTCGTGCGACCCGTTTCACCTCAGGCTGGTGACGGAAAATCGAGGTGCTTCAATGATATCCACCGCAGCCGCCCTTGCACACATCCCGGCTAAAGATGATCAATACTACGGTGCGTATGTTTTCTTCCACCGCGTGCATCGTCCTGATCACAATGTTTGCCTACCAGGAGTGTTCAGACCACCATCCAATGCTCGCTGATGGTTGAATACGGACGAACCCTACATGGCCGAACAATCCTCAGGTGGATCTGAGCGCTGGGCTTGCGCTTCTGGACGCATTACACTTTGTATTGCCTTGCTAACCTAGGTCTGGTGGAACATGGTGGGTCTGGCTTTCGGTTCTAACTTGCCGTGGTGTCATGTAGTGTTTATTTCCACTTACCACCACATCCACCATCCTGCAACCCACCAGCCCTTGCGACGGTTCCTCCAGCCACCTAGGATATGGCTTGCCTGCTGACGATTTTACACGCGGTGGATCCCTCATCGTATATATACCCTGTCGGTACTTGAAGTTTGACCACTGTTCAACAATGTTGCTGTGCTCATGGTGCAAATGTAGAACGGTCAACTCGGAGGAAGAAGACCCGTGCAGCAATTGCTTCGACAGCTTGCTGTGCTCAATGTATTCCTCGGAGTCGTCCAATGCGTCCGGGAGGGGGGCAGCGCTGGTCGCAAGGTATATGGTTACGCTGACTATCGGGAGTGGACGTGTCGTTGATGTCGGTCCTTAGTGATAACTCCAGAGCGCATTCATCGAGGCCCGAGCAGGTGTCTGACGCCACCAATTCTGGGGTCGAGGGGTCATCGTGAGTCTGCCTTCTCGATATTGAATTATCTCATGGAACGTCCTCGCAGAAATGATGGTCTCCAAACGAGACCTCCAGTGGTTCATCGTGAGACATACCCAAGAGAGTGAGTCACTCTAAAAGCAGTATTAACGTACCGTTAACGAGTGTTACAAGGGCGCGTCGTTCCGGGCCTCTAGTTCGCAGTGGCAGTGGTACTACCGCATGGAACACGCACCTGGATGGTGAATACTCTTACATCCCACCACCTTTCGGGTATCCTGCGGTGTCCGCGAGCTGCGGCAACATGGACTATCGTCAATGGCGCGCGTTACGGGAAAATGAGACACGCCCGGGCGCAATCGATTCAGGAGCAGGATTTGACTTCATCGACCAATCTGAGCAAGATATAGTTCCGCAAGCTCACTGGTATGTCAACATTCATCTCTCCTCCTGGCTCCACGATTTGACCAATCACCTTCTCCAGTATCGCTCCCAATTTGCTAGCATTGGACACGATAAATACATCTCACGATGGAAAATTGTCTCAGCAGATGGGAAATCTATCACTCATTCAGTACGTACACTAAGCCAGGGTCGAGCTCTCCTAGTACATACTGAAGTCTCGCAGGACATCAAGGCCCACTTGCCCTACTTCGCTCGACGTAGGCGTTAGCCATGGTCGCACGTCGACCAACGAGACCGCGGTTCCAATCACGTCACCGACCGTAATTGTACTATCTACGAATGGCGAGCGAGCCCCATGCCGATATGGGAGCGGAGATGGATGCGGTCTTTCTGTAGACCTCTCGAGCATCAGCGGATTGAAGGTGCATCTATACGAGCGACACCTACAAGAGATGCTATTCTACACCTCCGTGGACGGCAAATCGATGGTGTCCTGTACCTGGGTCTCGGGAGAGAAGATATGTGGTCAGGCTGTTGCACGAGATAGGATCACAAAGCATGTGGCTGTGGTTCATCTTCGAATGACCATGCAGCAGTGCACCTATTGCGGCGCATTCATCACTCGCGGAGACGCATTGCTTCGTCACTTGAGGCGGGGCGATTGCAAGCGCATTCCTGACGACGAGCGAGAACGTCTCAGGCAGGTCTGTGAGTATCATCCACTGATGTGTTGCATCGATGGGTTGATATTGACGTCCTGTTGGTAGATAAAGCTAGAAAACGGCGCCGGGGAACGAACACTTGATGAACACGTGGCCATAGAGAATCATGTCTTTGGGTTTACTTATATGGGCCGGAAGTCTATGGTATGTTACTTGTACAGTACTAGTCCGAGTCTCGGAAAATGATGGAGTAAGATCTGAATGTACGCACCGGCTGGACCAACCAATCAGTTATCGCATGATGCTGTCGTATGGCATGCAGTTCGAGACAGCGCGTAGTATATGCTGCCTAGCATCCGATATACCGTCCACTACGGTTGCCCGCTTACGCTAGTCCGAGCCTGAGGTTGAGCAGGGTTGAGCGCTTCGCACCCTCCGAGTCCTCCTCAGCCACATCCGAGTCCGAGCGTCTCGGGGCTGTCGTCTTCACCCTCGTCCTATGACCACGGCGACGTCGTAGTCGAATTATACGCACCAAAATGGACTCAACAAATGTCTCGGAAAGGTCACTGTTGGGGTGGCTGTCTGAATATAGGTTCACCCTGACGACCGACGAGTCGGGGTGTGCACTCCGAGTCAGGCTTGTACACATTAATGTCATTCAGCACGGACCTGTTCTGCCCACAATGACCGCTATGGATAAGCATTAGACCGAAGGCTCGATTGGGCTCCGATCCGAACTTACGAATCCCAGTGGGATCGACGTTCGCACTGGCACGCCGAGCTGCTCCTATACTGCCACTACAAGTTGTTGTTCTACGTATGTGCGTCTATACGCGTCCACCCATAATAGACGCTTGCCGGCCTTTGCCGGCTATTATTGGGATGGTCGGCCGTCCCACAGAATGACGTCGTTGATGGGGACGTGGAAGCACGCTGGCGCTGTCGTTTGCGCGATTGACAGGGGACAGCGGACAGCGGCACTGATAGGCACTGACAGCGATTGTCCCGAAGCCCGCCTCCTCGACCATGCTCGTCCAGGGAGGCGCGGGAAATTCTGTCAGTGATGCGCTGCCAACGCAACGGCGGTCGACCGCCGCCGCATTCCGCCTCGTGGTGTTACCTCTGCAGATTTGATCTGCCGACCCATGCGGACCACCTCCCACGTGCAGTCATCGTCGCTCTGTCGATTGCAACTCGCGTGCAGAACAGAGCAGCCTGGCAGGTGAGCCAAATATATTTGTGTCGCCATGGCCTATCTTGGTGTCCATACTCACCCTTTCTCATCGACTGGAGTAGACCTGTCGGCTGGTTTTGATCGTGTCAACAGCATGGCAGGTGAGCCAATTTCTTTCGTGTCGCCATGGCCTGTTTCAGTGTTCATATACACCCTTTCTCATTGACAGGGTAGACCTGCCAGCTGGTTTTGGTCGTGTCTGTGCTACCGACGATGCATTCGTGTGGAGCATACTTCTCATGGCCTGCATCGAGCACCAGGTAAGCTCGTGTTTACCTTTTTTTATTGTCGGCTGCAGTAGGCTCATTGGCTGGTTTTGGTCGTCTCGGTGCTACCGATGATGCATCCTCCTCATGGGCTACATTGAGCACCAGGTAAGCCAGGTTCTTGCTCATGATCATCGTGCGACATGCTGAATCGCCTCGAATCGCCTCGGATATTGGCTGGTTTTGGTCGTGTCGGTGCTACCGATGATGCATCCATGCGATGCATCCTCCTCATGGGCTACATTGAGCACCAGGTAAGCCAGGTTCTCGCTCATGATCATCGTGCGACATGCTGAATCGCCTCGAATCGCCTCGGATATCGATGATATTGGCTTCGCAGTGGAGCTGTGCTGCTCCCGAAGGGGTCAGCCATGACCTCAGGTCTTCAAATGCATTTGCTGGTCGCAGGTGCCTTACTCGTTTGGAGTGAGTGACTCGTATGTGACCTCGCCATTTCACCTGGTATTTTCAGCATTTTCCGAGTTTCAGTGTCACTTTCTGTGACTTGCTGATGCCAGTAGCCAATCGACAAGAAATTCAGGACTGTCGGGAGGCCTAGAGGATTGTCTCGGGTCCTAGGTCTGTCATTCAGGGACTCCAAGCTCCAATCGGCCAGGGATATCGTGCTTTCCCCCTCCTCTTGAGCTAGGACTTGCTGACCTATGAAACGAAAGCTCTTCCATCTCTGTGACGACTCGCCTAGTGCCCCTCCACTGAATGAGGTATGCCTGATTTCCATCTTTCTTGCCCTTGGTCGGAAGGCTCATGCCCAGTATTCTTGTTCTAGTCGGCCTCGAACCAGACGACCCATTTGGTGAGCGAACCTCAAGGCAATAAGTGCTCATACGAGCTGGTCCCTGTATGGGATGAGCGACGACTTGATGTAAAGGTATGCGATCCAGTGGTCGTCTCGTAGCCAGCCTTCCATTTGCTCACATGCATCACTGCTTGCAGTCGTGCATCAAGAGCCTTTACTGTACCACCGACCAGAAGAAAGCCATCGAGGCAATCTACTCAGCATCTCAGCACTTCGCTCGGGTCTATGCATCTGCTCCTGAGAGCCAGCAGCTAGCACAAGGGACATTGCTGCAGAACCAGCTCGATGAGCAGTCGTTGTCGATGCTCGAGTCTCGTTGGAGTCGGACACACCAGCGAGTATGGAATCGCAAACTGGAAGGGCATATTGAACGAGTCGTATATCAATGGTATTTGTACATCGCATATAGTCGGAACATAGGCATTCATCGATCGTTCTTGTGAAGTGTCTGTGGGTACGACCATAATGCTCGAAAGGAAGGTAACAAGAAGGCCCAGAATGCCGAGTCGGCACCCTCAGACATCACTGGAGTTCGCCAAGCCCCTTACGAGTTTACTGGCTGCCTTGCACATGCCGACATCACATATGTGAAGTCTACTCAGCAGCCACTTCGCATCATCGGATACTTCGAGCATAACGAGGGGTGTCGGGCTGCAGTGCTCAAGTACATGCCAGCGATTCCCCTACATCCTCATGTGTACGACATTGCGATTCGGCAGTTACAGCAGGGGGCGACGTATGTACATCGTGTTTCCCATCAGTGCTCGTCTGACAAGCATCCCATAGTGTCTCTCAAATCCAAAAGCGAAACATGGACATGATGCAGGCCTGTGCCTACCGGGACCAGCTTGTTCCAGAGACTCAGCTAGGAGGTGCCCCTGCTCAGCCAATGAACCACCGATACGAGCTACTCCCTGGCGATTTCAGTCGATTGTATCGCATGCATTATCGCCGAACCTACAACATCGACGTCTCGATCACACCCGAGCAGAATGTGCACAACTGGCTCAACCCTGAGAGCCCCCACTATCGGAAGGACCTGGCAGGATGTATATTTCACTATGCAGCTCGGGTCCTCCGCGAAGACCGGTTCAAGGTTTGCGTGGCGACACACGAGATGAAAGAAGCAGCCTGGGTTCATTGCCACAAAAAACAACTCATAATCGACGGGACGTTCGGTGTATGCACGTCGCGCCTGCTGCTCTGGATAGCTATGGGAGTCGACGAAGCAAATCGGGGTGTACCTGTGGCTCTTTTCCTGTTTTCGGCACCAACTGGCAATCGCGCGACCCATGCTGGATACGATACCTCGATCCTAACAGAACTCCTTGGTAAATGGGCAGGATGGCTTGGATCGCGCCGAGGTGAACCATTCGAGCCTTTTGTTGCCATTACCGATACGGACACGAAGGAGCGAGGGGCGTTGGTCACTGTGTGGCCAAGCATCATACTCCTGCTCTGCAAGTTCCATGTTCGGCAATGTTGGACGAACAAACGAAAGCAACTAAAGCTAGGACGACTCACTTTATTCTGGCAGACCTCGGTAGAGCAACAATTACGATCACTTGAAGAAAGGTTCGCACTCGGTATGCCTGCTGTAGCCTTGATTCATACTGATAAATGCGAAGTCTGCTCGAGACAGTCACACACGACGATGCATGCCGCTTGGTAGATGGGGTCGGGGCGACATTCAAGGTGCTCGCTACCAATGCCGATGCCCAGAAGGCTGCAGATGCTGTCGCAGAGTTTGTCAGTTACCTACGAGGCACATGGCTGTCGCCTGCACTCTGGCAGAGCTGGGCGAGGAAAGGCAAGGAGGATGCAGCTACACGAATGAAAGTTCCAATCAAGTCGATCTTACCGACCACGAACCATCTCGAGTCGTTCAATGGCAGCCTCAAGCGAAGGCACATTCCACAATGGCAGCACTCTGGCCATCGCCTCCGACTGGATGTCCTCCTCGTCTGCATGTGCTTGGATATCATGCCTCGTGTATTTGCTCGGCATCGCATGTTCTCGCAATTCGAAGAGTGGAAAAAGGATCGATTCCGGGGCACTGCTGGAGGCGACCTAGCATCGCGAGCGAGCCGAGCCCTCACTGGAGCCCCGACTAGTCGCGCAAAAGCTCCACTTTATGCATGGTACGAAGAAGATGCACGACGAGACCAAGAAGCACACCATATATACCATCTCCAGTATCTTCAGCCCATCCCTGCTCGCCGACCATACGAAGTCTGGGCGACATGCCGATCGACACGAGGTGGCTTCCTGAACCAGCCTACGACCCAATATTGGCTCACGATCCATCCTTCTGGGCCTGCGACATGCACATGCATGGATTGGTTGCAGCGCGGGGGTGCCTGCAAGCACTTGCGCGCTTTCAAGCTCCTCGTCATGGCGTGGGGCAGGCGCGACGAGCTGGGCATCCCGTTCGTCTTCCCGCTGACTCGGGAGCAGGCAGAGAGCATCAGCGAGCAGAACAGGCTCTGGTATGGATCACAATACTCACATGCCGTCACACAGCCATGTTCCGAAGTCGAGGTCGCATCTTGCAGCGACGCGAATCAGCCTCCTCGGCACATGCTGGAACCGGGATCGCCCTCGCTACAGGCACGAGGAATCGATACCGATGGATTGGCGTTGCAGGCGATCCTACCCCCTTTAACAGCAGACGATGGAGCAGCTTCGTTGGTTCGAGCTGCAGAATTGCAAGACGTTGCAGACGACAGGGCAGCTGCAAGCTCCGATGGTCAGTACTGGTCGCGATGCCCCATAATCGACTGCCCCATACTGAAATAAACCCAAGCAGACGGCGAATTCATCGCAGATTCAAGGAGTGGCTGCGACATTGTAGTACCCGAACCTCAGTCGTCAGTGCAAATGCGGCACAATCAAGAGGCTATACGAGCCCAGGTTCAGGTGGAAATGGATCACAGCATTGCCGATGTTCTGCCCCGGCTCCATGGAATCTATAACATTGTGAAGGACTCACCGGGTACTCTGTCGTCTTCGCAAGACACCGAAGAATTTCGCGGGCTGCTCGGTAGGCTCAAAGAAGTCATGGAGCTTCGTGTTCCTACGAGGGGTCCTGGTAAGCATCTGCTAGATCATCGCCATTATGTTTCCAAACTCACAGTCACAGCCCAAGGACACGACGAGCAAGCAAACCAGAGAATACACCTGGCAGCTGCCGACTCAGACGCAGGTTCAAGTTCGCAGGCGGGCGACCCAGATCCAGTACGACCACTGGCAGCAATAGTCCCTCGCAGAACGTCTCCGGAGCGCAGACAACGCCGCAAAGATTCCCATAGAGTCAGTTAAGGGTTCAGGAGTCCTGGAGATGTGCGATCTCACCTGTACGATGTATTGTTTCGTCCGTATCACTGTACTAGTTAGTAATGAACCCCGAACCCTCCGAAGTGTAAGTAATGCAGGCCTTTCTCAAAATGGCAAGTGACGATTTCGCTGCCACGGGGCGCACGCAGTGGCAGCTAATCGCGTTTTTCTACGACCACGAAGACAACATTCGCGGCCATCCTCATCCTCCTCCTACGCCGCGCAGCGAAGCAGGAATGGGTCCCACGGTGCGCTGCGTCGATGCATGCGTTGGGGCTGCACCCGGGTGATCGCATCCGCGTGTACCAGCGGGCCCATTCTCTTCATGCGCGGCCAAGCAACCTCTCCACGACACAGCGCATTGCACTCACGCCGACCCGCCGCGACCGCGCTTGCAGCGCAACGAAACCTCGCGAGCCAGCCGGCTGAGCTTCCGTTCCCTCACGCTCGCTCTTCTTCCACTCCCCGCCCGACGCGTACATCCTCTCGCCGATTGCACGCGCTGCCTTACCCAAACCCCAGCATCGTCTTCAATGAGACCTCGCCGCCCGCGACGGAGGCCGATGCTGGCGACTTCTCCCAACACCTCAAGCTCACTGCCACCTCCTCTCCCCTCAGCGCGACCACACGCAAGCCGGCCGCTGTAGTCGTCGGGGCTCTTCAAGCTGCGCAGGTTCGTCGCCCTCTTTTTTCACGCTTGCGCCTCGGGAGCGGCGGGGGTCCGGGTTGCTGGGCAGATTGCTGATTGGGATTGACCTGCAGGGCGAATTGGAGCGGCCTCCATGCGGCGAAAGGAGGTGCGGCATCGTGCCATCCAGCTCGCCGCCGCACAGACTGCCGAGGTGCACGCCAAGGACGATGAAGGCGGGGTTGGTTACCACTCGCCGAAGTCGCTGCACACCAAGGCGGGCCCATCTTCCGGCAGCCCGGGCAAGCTCTGCATCGCAGGCTCTGGCAGCCTACGGAGTGCCATCCTCGCCGCTGAGTCCGAAGCCATGGGCTGGTAGCGCGCCGGGCTCGTATCCTTCCCTCCCCTTCTCCTACCGCGCCCCCATCCTTAGCGCTGGCACCTAGCCCTCCTCTTCCAGCTCGCATCTCGCGCCGGTGCCCCCTCCCTTGCCACGCCAAGCTCGCCTTCGCTGCGTTCCGCATCCGTCCCGCCCACGTCTCCCGCCCCCACCTCGCCGCATTTCCGACCACCTCATCGGTATTTCCCACCTCTGCCCCATCCGAGTCGCCGCCTTCCGCCACTGCGCCGCCGCTGCCTTCCGCTTCCCGCGCCCACTCCACACTCTGCGCTAACTGCGCTCTTTCCTCCACTACAATCGGCTACTCCGCCCCATCGGGCCGCCGAGGAGCAGCAGGCCGCGACCGCCACGACGCTCCTGCCCGCGCGCGTGCCCTCCCCGATCTCCCTCCTCACCAAGCCAGATCGGCACCCAGCGCCCGCCGCCACCGAACGGTGGTGGGAGCTCCGATCGCGCGCAACTGCGCGCACCGGCGGCGCCCAAGGTACGCGCGCGCATCGACGCTTCGCCGCCGCCGCCGGCCAGACGCGCAGCGAGGCTGGTCCTTGAGGTGCCGAGTGCCGGCCTCGCGGCGGCGCGCGCGATAGAACTCGTCCCGGAGAAGGGTAGATCGCGCGCGAGTGGTGCGGGAAGGACTGCTCTGTAGGGAGAGGAGCGGGAGCGGCGAGGCACTTCAGGGGATGCGCCACTTAGTGAATATGCGCGTCGCTCCATTCGCATCCTGAATCCTGATGCGTGGTGCTCGTACGCGCAGCCATCCTTCGGACCAGGTCGTCGGCGAGAAGCTTAACATCGTAGGTCAGCCATACTATCTCTTCAGCTGCCCCAGTCCAGAGCTAATAGGTGCTCTCAGGTGGTGCAGTCGTTGGGGAGCGCGGCTGGATCACGATGGCGCCGCGTCATCCTCGAGCACCCCTTTTCCAGTCTGCATCTCGCGCCGGCAGCTCTCCCTTGCCGCACCCCTCCCTTACCGCTCTCGAGCCCATCATCGAGCCCACCACTTTGCCTAGCTCGATGCCCCCGCCCTCCCCGATTCTTTCCCAGCTCGCGCGCGCAGCTCTCGTCCCGCGCACTGCCTGCTGGCTATACGAGGCGCTCTTCGCACAGATTCTCTGCGTGCAGCGCGCGGCCGCCGCCTGGATCACTCCCTGGCCTGGCTTCCCTCCGCAGGATTCCGACCAAAACAACCCGCGCGATTGCGGCCACATGCCTTCCATTGCCTCCTCTTGTCTCTCCAACTTCCCAAGGCTATAGGTCGGCGCCCGCCGGGACCTCTCGCGGCACCAAATGGTGCCACGTCGCGAAGCAGCAGACCGCGGCTGTTACTCCTGCCCCCGCCCCCGCCCTCTCCGATGATATACCATTCTTTGCGCAATCACTGCCGAACGCGGTTCCCGAGGCCGCTGAAGACTTCCCGCAACGCCTCAAGATAACTGCCGCCTCCTCTCGCCACGCCTCAGGCCTCAGCCCGAGCTCAGGCGGGCCCGTCCTCCGGCAGCCCAGGCAAGCTCTACAATCGCAACTCTGGCATCCCGCGGGCGGCCACCCTCACCGCTGAGCCCGAAGCCATCCCTGATGCTGCGCCGAGCTCGTATGCTCTGCGGGGTCCCGCCCCACATGGACCGCGCCAGGCCCCTCCACAGTCATGGGCAGCCCCTGAGTCGCACAGGCAGCTGTTCGACCACCGTAAGGACGATCCAGTTCGGTTTTTAGCTCGACCACAGGCGCCGCCAAACGCCGCAGCCAACCGCCCACATGTTGACCGCCCGACACCGACACCCAAGTCTTCCGGAGACTACGCCTCCGCCTCGTCGACGTCTTCCGCCTCCTACGCCCACTCCACACTCTCTTCCAACTTCACTCTTTCGTCCGCTACAACCGATTCCTCCGCCCCTTCGGGCCTTTTCGAGAACCCCAATGCAAGGCGCTCAGAGGACAGTTCGTCGAGTACCAATGCCTTCTCGATGCAGCTCAAGAAGCTTTATCGAGGCATCACTGCACTTGAACAGAAGATCCTCGGTGAGCAGCGAGACAAGGACGCGGATGACGAGGGCAATCGGAATACGCAGACAGTGGGCATCCTCATCAAGGGCCGCCCAGGCTCAGTGGGGGGCTTGGCAGGTGGCGCAAAGGTGAGAGGTGGTGAAGATGATATGGAGAAGTGGAAGCGATTGTTGGTCGACCACAAAGAGTATGTCTTAATCGATTTCAAATTCCTCGCTCGCGTGTCGCTCACCGATCTGTAGGCTCGCAGAGAAGGTGCAGAACCTTCTTACGCTCACGCTAGCACCCACTGTCCCGGCTTCCCTCCGCAACATTCCGACCAAATACAACCTCATCGCGCGATTGTGGGCACATGCCTTCCATCGCCTCCTCGAGTCTCTCCGCCAAGCAGCGTCGCCGCCAAACAATTCACACGCCGCTCTTGAATACCTGCAGGTAGGCGTCATCCTCGCCCGATTAGGTATGGTGGCTAATCTCCCATTGTGTGTCAGGACTTCATTTACTACGCATACACTTTCTATTGCGCTCTTCTCGAGGAGCGCAATCTCTCTGACTTCCGAAGCGGTTGGGTCGAGGCGCTCGGCGACCTCTCGCGGTATCAAATGGCGTACTGCGCGCTCGTCGAGAAGCAGCAGACCGTGACCGCCACGACGCTCCTGTCCGCGCCCGCGCCCTCCCCGATGACCCTCCTCACCAAGTCCATGGCGCCCGGCGCGGACTCCCAGATCGGCACCCAGTGCCCGTCGACACCGAACGGCGGTGGGAGCTCCGACCGTGCGGAACTACGCGCACCGGCGGCGCCCGAAGTGCACGCGCGCATCGACGACTCGCCGCCGCCGTCGCCCGGACGTGCGGCGAGGCTGGTCCTCGAGGTGCCGAGCGTCGGCCTCGCGGCGGCGCGTGCGATGGAGCTCGTCCCGGAGAAGGAGCACTGGAGGCAGATCGCGCGCGAGTGGTACGCGAAGGGCCTCGCCGGCACGCCGGGTGCGGGCAAGCTCCATCACCACATCGGACTGCTCTGCAGGGAGGGGGACGGGAGCGGCGAGGAGCTGCGGGGGATGTATCACTTCGTGAAGAGGTGAGTCGTTCTATTTATATTGCGAATACTGATGTCTGACATTTGTATGTATAGCATGATCACAGTGCATCCGTACAGCACCTCCCGCGAGGCCATCCTCCAGATCTGGTCGCCAGCCGCCCAGACTCGTCGCCAAGGCCCCGACGCCGGCGTCGCCGATCTGTATATCATTCTCCACGGTATGCTCTTCACGCACATACAGATGGACGACTTCCGCGGTGTCCTCGACCGCTTCGACGAGAAGCTCAATATCGAAGGTCAGTCATATATCTCTAATTGTACCAGTCTGCAGCTAATGGGCGTTCTCAGGCGGTGCAGTCGTGGAGGAGCGCGACTGGATCATGATGGCCGTCATCAACCTCGGCGCCATCCTCGAGTACGGGCGGCCCACCGCTGTCCTGCGGCGCGTCGCTGGCATCGGCGGCAGAGACGGCGTCAGCGCTCGCGCCGGCGTCAGCCCAGCCATGGCCGCGTCGTCCGCGGGCAAGGTCAAGCTCATGGCGAAGAAGGCCGAGGACGACGGCAGGAAGATGGACGTCGACGACGAAGGCGCCGCCCCACGCAAGGCCGACCGGAAGCTCGACGCCATGAGCATGTCGCCTGCGCTCTCCGAGGCGGGCGCGTCGACTGGCCCCGAGGTCCCCCCGTCGCTCAAGCTCGGAATGCAATTCGCGTTCTCAATGCTCGCGCACGCCCTCCGGAAGCCGATGCGGAAGTCGTCGCCATTCGCGCGCTCGACTCTCAACCCGTACATCACGATCCTGCTTACCTTCCTCGCCACCGCTGTGAAGGATGCACAGGCACTCGCCGTCCTCGAGCAGTTCATCCCCTGGGCCGACCTCGCAGTGTTCCTTACCGCGATCCCGCGCCGCGTCACGTACCGCGAGCAGCAGAAGGAGCGCAGTGACAGCGCGGTCCTGCTCACGAGCGGCTGCAAGCCTCTCCCAGAGGACTGGTGCCTCCGCGGTCTCGGATGGGGCGGCAAGCGCGTCTACCCCATGGGCTTCTGGGGCAAGGAGGCGAACGTCGAGGACAGGAACGTCGAGGTCGAGGTCCTGGACAAGAGCGAAGGCGGCGACCAGCTCGACGGTATCATCGAGGACGAGCGGGAGGAAAACGAGGCGGCGAACGAGCTTGGCAAGCGCTGGATCCGCGTCGCGCGCGCCGGCCTGAAGATCGCGAAGCACGTCGGTGGCTTCGCGTATTACCCCGCCGCGAACGAGGAGCAGAGGGGCCAGTGGAAGGTCGAGGGCGTGCTTGCAGCGAAGGTCGCACAGTGGCAGGAGGAAGAGAAGAGAGAGCGTGAGGAGGAGGAGAGACGCCTTCGGGGCCGGCGATGGGACGAAGACTCGATGGACGCCGATGATGACGGCCTTGCTGTGGAATTGGTGGATGGCAGTGAGGGCATGTGGGGAGGATAATGAGGTTGCACACGAGCTCGGCACACGAGGAGTAGAGGGACTGGACACATGTATAATCCAACGTTCTATCCATGCGATTGCCAGTGTAATGTACAGTCGTGCGATGACTCGGGGAGGATACCATCTAAGTTACTACATGCAAATCTTGCATTCGTCGTCAGTACACGGGTAACCATCGTCGAGGCAGACTGTACATAGAGGATCTCCACAGAACTCATCGACATCCTCCTCTGCCTCAGCCATCCACTCGTTTGTCGCCTTCACGAGGTCTTGGTCGGCCAGGTAGGTGTGCCAGGTCTTCGCGAGGCGCGTGCTGGTGACCAGAGCGATACCAGCTTGGTCGAAGTCCCGCCCACCCTTAGGGACTCTGCCTCGACCGCAGTCGAGGAGGCTCGTGCCGTGGTCGTGCTCGGGCATCCAAGCGACCATCGTGTTGGGTGCCTGGCACACCTTCACTCCATAGATCGCTTCGTAAAAGTTGCCGCCGTGTACCATGCCCTCGCGCCGACTCGTCGTCCATGAGAAGGCCCATTGCTGGGGCTGCTTCTCCCTGTGAATCGCCCTCGGAGGCGATGAGCACTGGTGGCGAATATAGCAGCCAATTTGCCACTCACCGAGCATAGTTGCACCCTGCAACTCCCGAAGGTGGTGCGAGTTCAGCTTCATTGAATTCGATATATTCATCGCCCCATTCGACCATGTACGTTCCTGTTTTCTCCAGCCGCTTTGTGTTGGAATCCATACGGCAGATCCCATTCTTGGTGAGATACGACTCGACGGGGGCGAGAACCTCGTCGGGGAGATGCGACTGGATAAGATTCCAGAACAGAGCAAAAATGGACGAGACTCGATAGTCGTGGGCCTGGATGAAATCGGCCGAGTGCTTCTGGGACTGCAGATTCCGCGACCAGTCAAACAAGGGCTGGCTCCGCGCTCCTGCAGTATATCCGAGCAGTACGAGCTTTCCTTGGTCCTCGAGCTGCCATGCCAAGGTTAGCCTATTGGAGCGAATAATGGCTAAGCCTCGCACCCTGCCTCCCTTTCTCATATCCATTGCCTCTCCAACTACGCGATCAGCATACTGCATGACCTTCGTGTCGTTGCAGATATTGCGAATCACGACCATGACGATTTTTCGTGTCTTCCTGTCTCGGAAGATGACGCTTTCATGCGCCTCTACGACATTCGGAATTTTGTCTAGGCGTTCAGAGACAATGGGGTGTCGCTTATGTCGCTTGTCGGCCTGCTTACCCCTCTTGATCCACGGGGCGCAAGCCTCAGCGATCTCAGGTGTTTCGGCGATCCAGTGGTGGTACTTCGGGTATGGCTCCTCGAGCGGGTCAACTAGCACTTCGCGCACATGCTCCGAGAGCCACGCCTGCTTCTCGTCCTCGCTCAACCGCTTCAGATGTAAAATTGCAGTGAGTTCGGCATGGAGTTGTCTGCGAACCTCGACATCGCGGTGGCGCTGGATGAGGATGGTTCTGAGCTCGGCTGGAACCTCGGCCTGAACTGGGCGGCACCAGGAGATGAAGTTCGAGAAGATGTCCCCTGCAGGGCGGGGTATATCAAGGGACTTGAGAACAGATACGAGTAGTGCAGTGAATTCGAGGCGAGGGCGAGGGTCACTCGATAGGGAAAGCAACGTCAAGGCAGCCTTGTTGGTAGCGACGGCTTTGACAAGTGCAGAGTAGGTCGCCTGGCGTTCGTGTTTATACGCCCGTCGCGACTTTTGCTCAGCCATGGCGGAATGCACAAGCGACAGTGTGTAGCACTAGCAGCATGTCGCCACAGCTGCAGCGGTGGCCACGTTTACGGTCACATGATGCCAGCCTGAGTCGTCTGAAGCCACCCAGGTGAGGATGCAGGCTGGCCACCATCTTGCCATGGTATTCCTTGGTCGCAAAACGAGTGTCGATGCGTGCGTTGGGCTTAGACCCGGGTGATTGCATCCACCGTTCTGCACAAGAATCCTGCGAGATTAGTAGTATGCCTATACTTTGCAGCCTCGACCGACTTCGCAGCCTCGACCGACTTCGCAGCCTTGACCGGTATGTGCAGCTTCAAATAACCGTCGCACGCCGACGCCTTATAGCTGATGTTGCTGTGTGTAATCTAGGTGCCGTTGCTGCTAACCCCATCCCGGCTGGCCGATGTATTGAAGTTGCGCGTTCTCCCCTGCCAACTCATCCTGCCAATCGGCCTGGCCCACGCCCTACCTCCCTCTCCCGCACTGCTCTTATACCACCTGTGCCCGCCGCTCACCCGCCATGCCCGCCATGCCCCTCCCCGGCGCCTTCACTGCGCCCATCGAGCCCTCCTCATCGGCAACTTCGACCCCTTCACCTGGAACCTCTACCAACCCCTCTCCATCCTCGGTGCACAGGTCATTGCGCGTCCGCCATCTCTGCCCTCACGGAGCCGACGTGGTTCAAGGGCAGCCTCCTCGGCATGGGCCTCGCCTGGCAGGCCGCCGACGCGCTCGCCGAGCGCCCCGCCATCCTCCGCAAGGACTGCATCTTCGACGAGTACCAGATCGCGGAGACCCGCCTCCACGGCGCGGACACCGCCCTGCTCATCGCCGCCATGCGCGCAGAGCCGCGCCTCCGCGAGCACTATGCGCACGCGAAGAGGCTGGGGATGGAGCCGCTCGTGGAGGTGACCAACACCGCGGAGATGGGCGCCGCGCTGGTGCACGGCGCCCGCGTCGTCGGCGCGAACCACCGCAACCTCCACGACTTCAACAACGACATGGCCACGACGAGCCGCCTCGCCGAGATGGTCGCCGGCGCGGAGGTCGTGCTCTGCGCGCCCAGCGGCATCGCCGGCCCCAACGGCGCCCGCGCGTACCTCGGCCAGGGCGTCGGCGCCGCCCTCGTCGGCGAGAGCCTCATGCGCACCAAGGGCACCCGTGCGTTCATCCCGCGCCGTCTCGCTTGCGCTTGCGCAGGCCATGCCCGCCTCCGCCCGCGCCGCCCGCTCGTCCAGCCCCCCACACTCGCCCGCCTCCGCCACGCCGCCCTTGCTGGCGACCCGCTTTGCGCGCAAGATCGCGCAGGACTCGCCGAACCGCCCGCTGCTCGTCGGCGTGTTCCCGGACGCGCCGCTGGAGAAGATCGTGCGCGCGGTCGCAGTCGAGGTCGCACACCTCGACGTGGTGCAGCTCCGCAGGCGCGAGCCCGCGGAACACGCTTGAGGAGAGATCGGGTGATGGTGAGTCGAGGATGAATGGCGGTGGCGAGGGTGAGGGGTGGGGGTGAGGGCTGCGGCGACGACGAGGGGCAGCGGCTGCCCCTAACGCGCGAAGGCCGGGGCGAGCGCGGACGTGTGGGGAGGGCAATGGCGACAAGGGCGAGGGCGGGAATCGCGTGGGAGGATGGACCAGCGCGAGCGGAGGACGCGTGAAGATCGGGGCCAGGGTGCGCGAGTGGGGAAGAGAGCTAGGGTCCAGCGCGCACGGACGCAGGTGCGCCATCGGCGCGGCTGCCAGGCGGTCCCCGCGCTTGAGGAGAGATCGGGCGGCGGCGAGCCGAGGATGGACGGCGGCGGTGGCGAGGGCGAGGGCGAGGGTGAGGGCTACGGCGACGACGAGGGGCAGCGGCTGCCCTTAACGCGCGAAGGCCGGGGCGAGGGCGGACCAGTGGGGAGGGCGAAGGCGGGAATCACGCGAAGACCGGGGCGACGCAGGCGAGTGGGGAGGGGAGCCAGGAGCCAAAGGTATGTGCTGCATACCCCCCGCTGGACTATGGAGCACTGACATTCAGCTCGTAGGTGCTCACCTCGCAGATCTCGTGTCGCAGATCTAGAACACCACCATCACCCCGATGTACCGCGAACACTTGCTCGCGATCGACCACTTGCAGGAGCTGCTCTACCACCAGGTCGGTATCGGCAGTGGCAACCGCCCAGCCTCCGCGCCCCGCCCTTCTTCATTTCCCAGGGTGGCAAAGGCTTCAAGGGCGAGTTCTCGCCGCGCTGCTCGCGAACCTCGAGCAGTTGCACCCGGTCGAGTGGGGCAACCTCGCCAAGGACATGAAAGGATGGGCTAGTGCGAGCGGAGGACGTGCGAAGGCTGGGGCTAGTGCGAGTGAGTGGGAGTGGGGAGGGGCTAGGGAATAGACGAGACGATGGTGGTTGAGCCAGGCACCGAGGACGAGGACAAGGGAGAGTGTGAGGGCGGCGCAACAACAATCGAGCCAGCCATGATAGAGGATGCCGCAGCCATGTGCGATGTGGGAGCAACTAGTGGTGGCGGCGGTACAAGCTGATCGACGACCATGAGCGGGGCGTTGCCGTCCAGTACCGGGGGTGCACCGTCCAGTGGCTCCACCGGTTCGAGTGCCGCGGACGCGCCAGGCACGTCTTCGGCGCCGGACTCTGCGAGGGGGAGTGTTGTCCTCCGTGGGATCCCCGCCCGCTTCCTCACCGTCTACGTTCTCGTCGCCAGTGAGGCCGGGTGAGGGGGCGCCCTTGTGGGATGCAGCGCGCGAGGTAGCCCTGCTGGCTGCAACGTCAGGGTCGTCTTCGCTGAGTTCTTTATCATCGCCAGTTGCATCCTCATTGTCGACTGGGCGATGTTGATGTTTAGTAGAGTTTGTGGCGGCGGCACATGTATTTGGCTGGTCGGCGAGGCCTGTAACATAGTAGTCCTTCCGATGCAATCTAATTATTGATTCGGCTCATAGCAGCAGTGTGTCGAAGATGCGACGATGATACAGCTCAGTACATTGCAATTGCATTTCATTCCAAGAATTCGTTCTAGCTGCCGATACATGCACAGGATTGGAATACAGCGACTAATCCTCAGTGAGGTCTATAATACCATCAGGCTGGACGACATAATAGACTTCCTCCTCTGCGACACTGAGGTCAATCACAATGTCAGGCTGCTGCCCGACTATCGCCTTCGCCTTGCCTGTACCATGAACAATTCGTTGTCAGTAAATCGCCAGAACAGAGTGTAGTTCAGAGCTTACCTTTCCCTTTGAGGGATTTCGGAGACGAAGGCCCAGCATGGCTGTTGCCAGCGAAGAGCATATCCTCGGGATCGACTGCAAAGAGGTATCAGCGACAACCCAAACCCAGTAGCTAAGGTGAATGGGTACCCTTGCTTGTGTCGTCGCCACTAGAGCTACTAGTAGGGCCTAAGTATTCCATTATCGAGTCGTCTATCGTATCTACCCAACCCCCACATTGATGCAGGTACACGATGTTGCGACCCATGCACTTGTTGCAGAGTCGGCATTTGCCAATCACCCGAGCCAGGTCGGCCATGCTGAGCCCTGGAGACGATGGGGAGAGGAGACTGAGAAGAGTATCTGTGATCTCAGCTTCAGTAGGAGGTTGGGAAAGATCCTCCCGAGACAGTACAGGCAGCTGCAGCAACCCGATGCCTGCCAAATAACTCGTGAATCACCAGGCATGTTGTACTCGTGTAGTGACTCGTACTCACCGATATCATGGCTGTCGGGTACAGTGAAAACCTGATAGGGCCCTTCAGCTCTCGTCGGAGAGCTTGGTGCCGAGGGTATGGACGACACAGGTGTCAGGGGCGAGAGGGAGCCGATTGAGGGGATTCCTACCCCAACAAGAGCAACTGGGCCTGCCCAAAGTTCAGTCAGAGGCAGCAATGAATGAGATCGTGCAGGGAATACCCACTCTGAGCTCTCATCGGGGTCATCGGCACTCCTAGAAGCAATAAGCTATGAATCGCCTGCATAAGATGGAACAAGGGCACTTACCTTGCAGGGTCCCATTGTGTACTCGCCTCGGGAACATGCCGAGCATGAGATTTTGAGCTGCGACATCGGCCGACCGAGCGATCTCGGCTATGTTCACTATTGCAGTCCAAGTCAGTTGGGGCTGATAACCCAGGACAAAACTCACCAAAGTAAGAGCAATTCCCAGTAACCCGACCATACGATCGGCAGCCAAGGCATGGGAAGCCTGCATGCTGACCAGTTTGGGGAACGAAGACCCGAGGTGGGCGAGACTGGCGACCTCGCAGGTCGCAGAAGCATCGCATGTCGTCTGGCCAGCATCGCTCCCTCGAGTATCGCTCCAGATCAGCGAGGGGAACTGGGGTCTCATCCTCGTAACAAGGGCTGGAAAAGGAGCGAACATGTCAGTGAAGAAGTAAATGAGAAAAAATGCAGAACTTACTATGGAACAGTGACAAGCGACCACGAGTTGCTGTCGAACGACTCTAGCTGGCTCGATGCTCGCAATTTTTTCTTGAGATCATGCTCCTTGGGCGAAAGAGGGAAACGAGGTGGGGGATAGTGAGGCATAGAAGTTGACCGAGAGAACAGCCTCGTACTAGCCGAGGAGTGTTGCCTGTAAGAACGAGGTGCGATCGACATCGAGGCAGTTCAGCGAAGCGAAGGGCGAGAGGGAGATGGGTTGACAAGTGCGAAACTCACTGGTATTTATGTCGTTCAGTAGTGCTCGCCACCTGGGCCTGAGGTCACACCTGCTGCGACGATATTTTGCAGTCTGTCTGTAATATTTGCGACTGTCACAAAGAGCGAGTAACATCGCATGGCAGCAAAAGTCACACTCACCGCAAACGGTGGTACGACACGCTTCGAAGTTGAGCTCGCCGAACATGCGATGTTCGACATTAAGATCGCCGAACGCGCGTTGTTCGAATTCGAGAATGAGATCCTCGAACGCGTGGTCTTCGAGCTTAAGATCATCGGTAGGGAGGTGTTCGCCGCCGAGATCATCGGACCGAGCCCATGCGGTACATGGTGAACTCTAAAGGTCGCACCCACATTAGGACATGGGGCGGGGCGCGGAGGGACTCACCAAATGCGGGCAGATCGCGCTGCTGTGCTCATCAGGTCGAGGAGAAGCATCTGGACGACGAGGTTCTCTTGCGATTGACACTGGATTGACAGGTCGTGTCAATGGACTGCCACCGCAGCCCCCGCGATCGGCCGGGGCCTTACGTCATTCTGTGGGACGGCCGGCCAGCCCTATTATTGTTCGGCGCTGACCGCAAGATTTCCTTTTCGGCCCTCCTCCTCCACTGTTCGAACTTCGCACCGCTCTCACGCTCAATACATAAGGAGACATAAAGCCCGCAACGTGTTGCATCCACTTTCCGCCTATTGTCTCGGAGGAATTGATGCCGGACGCCCATTAGTGCGTCCATCGTGAACGGCCCGGGAGCAACGTCCAAGCCCGGCGGCCGATAAGTCCCATGCATGTCCACTGGCAATATAGCAGGTGGACTTCGCATCCACCAGGCCCTTTCCACCTTTCCACCCGTCGTCTGCGTCGTGTCCACCATCCGCCAGCTCATCCCGCAGTCCCCTTTGGCAGATATGACTTCTGATGCTCGCCGTTCGTATCCACCGGATCGCATGTCAGAGTGGACGCTAGGAGTGCTTCGTGTGGAAACTGGGCAATGCGGTGGATGAAGAGGTCGAACTTCGATCACTGCATCTGTATAAAGAGAGCTACGTGTGGGTACGTTTCTGCATCAACCTCAACTCGTCTCGCCTACCTCAAGGTTGTATCTCAAGGTCATGTACTCATCGCACGCGGAACCGGCTGTGCTATCCTGCCCTACCCGTCAACGATTGACTACTGAGGCATACTACGACTCCAATCAAACCTATGATCCTTACCTTGTGTACGCTCATCCCTTCATCTGATGTCCGTCTGGTCTGATTCCGCTGCAGTGTAAACCCACCACCGTCCCCTCTCCAGTCAGACTATTGTGGATGGACTTCGTCCAATTATCCGCTGTACATGTATCCCGATTCGGAGGGTTTTCCTTCCGCTCCCGCACAGTTGGGCGACACAAAGCACGAAGATGTGGATCGTCCGGTGGTTCCCGGTCTTAGTCCCTCGGGGAGTCGAAGCCCCAGTCCTAGCGGGAGCGCCGAAGGCACCGTTGTGTAAGCATGTCACAACAACCATTTTCCTCCGCCGCCTCATTGATTATGCTTGCGGACGCAGCGGCTCGCCGCCAACGACTATTGTAGACATCGAAGGCGAGAAATACCAGTGGAGGTAAGCGTACGGGCCTTCGCGCTGTCAGCTGTTCTAACCGGACTATCCGGTTTTCAGCCCGTCGAATGACCAACATATTCCGCTCTACACACAGAGCTTGACTCCGTATTCCTATGCATCACCGTCAAGTGTGGACGACACACGCCCGATTTGTCGATTTGGTACCAACTGCGGGGAGCTCATCCAGGACGTCAGTCTTCGGGGCGTTGAGCAGCATATACAGCAGCATCATATCGATGAAGATGGCTTCCGCATCCAATACAGTGAATCGACAACGTATCTGGTCTGCCTGTGGCCGACGGACAGAGGACGATGCCAGGCGATGCGGGACATCGTTGGACTCTGCGAACATATTATCTCGACGCACCTGATCGACCCCAATGCCGAATGGCTACCATACGCGCCTCATGAATCACCCGTGGCCACAGTCGCGTGCGAGCAGCTGTGTCGATCGCCAGAGACATATTGCTCAGATCGTAAGTGGCACTGGTCGTCGGAATGCTGTCGCATCACTGACGTTCAAGGCACAGTCGCAGATATTGCTAATGAACAGTGTATGGCATAGATATTCGCATCGACCACATAGACATGGATGTACACTATCCCTGTACGGACCGTTCTCCGTTCTTCCAGTCTCTCGCGGGTTTATCCTATACGCTTTTCTGTCCTAAAGCCCTGTCCGCACCGCTGGCACCGCAGTTATTCAGAGTCTGACCGTTCGAGCTGGGCCGTCTCACTTGGCTATACCTTGCGCGACTCATCCGCATCCCGATCGGGAGGTTCCGCCGATCGCGCCACCCGCCGGCTGGTGCACCGACGCGAGTTCCAGTCCCAAGCCGCATACGCTGTGTGGAACAGCTTCCGCCACATCTGTATCCGCCCATCCCACCGTCACTGTGCACCACTTCCGCTCACAGCTTTACTCCCGGTTCCTGCGGGTCTGTATTTGCATCCGTGTAGGCTGGAGGTGGATGTCAGAGGGCCAGCCTGAGCTACGATCGACATCCCGATCGTAGCTTCCCCTGCGTCGTCATCCGACACGGGCCAGGGTCAGTGCGGTATATAAAGTTCGAATTGACCCGCAGCTTCCCAACGCACTCACATCTTTCCCATTCGCGACAACTTCTCTCAACCACACATCTCTATCAGACTCCCTTACAACATGGGCATTCTGAGCCGCTCAGTCCTCCGCGGCGTTGCTGTTGGTATCGTCACGCAGTCCGTGTTGGCGGGACCGTATAGTATCGCGCAGACCAACATCGGCTCTGATTTCTTCAACAACTTCCAATGGGAGAACATCTCCGACCCGACTAACGGTCGAGTGTAAGTCGTCATCCATCATGATAAAGCTCGGAGCTGACACGCTTCTCAGTGAATATGTGACGCAGGCAACGGCGCAGGCGGAGAACCTCACTTATGCCACGTCTGATACGTTCGTTTTGCGAGCCGACTCTACGACCACCCTCTCCGCAGATGGTCCCGGCAGGAAGAGCAACCGCATTAAGAGCAACGCGCAGTACAACACGCACGTCACTGTGTGAGTGTCGCGCGTGGTTGCACACCCGTATTCATGACTCACAGTCTTCCGTAGTTTCGACATTCTCCATATGCCCCAAGGCTGCGGAACGTGGCCAGCGTTGTGGGAGGCAGACGACAGCGTCGGCACATCCGCTGGGGAGATCGACATTCTCGAGGGAGTGGACGATATCGCACCCAACAGTGTCACGCTACACACGTCGGGCAACTGTACTATGCCGAGCAACCGCACAATGCTAGGGTACGTTCCGTTCAGCGGGTTCTATAGAAGCGAATGCTCAATCACTTCTATTCAGAACGTCGCTATCGGACGATTGCAGTTCCAGTGCGGATATCGGAAACGGCAACAATGGCTGTTCGGTGGATGCTCCGTACACGTCGTCCTACGGGCCCGTGTTCAATTCCAACGGAGGAGGCTACTACGCCCTGGAGCGGACCTCGGAGTACATTCGAGTGTGGTTCTGGGCGCGCAATCAGGATGGTATTCCATCGGATATCTCTGGTGGCGCGAGCAGCATCGACACCGACGATTGGGTACGTCGGCCTGGCTTCGGTGACGGATATCGATTCTGACCTTCACTAGGGAACACCGATTGCAGACTTCCCGGATGACGATTGCGCTATCAATGAGGTGTTCGGCAACAACAATATCATTGTCGACCTCACCTTCTGCGGCGGCTGGGCTGGTGACGACTTCAGTGGTGCCGGTTGCGGCTCGAACTGCACCCGTACGTCATCTACTCTTATTTTCGACCGTTAAACTAATCATGGCCGCAGAATACGTAAACGAGAATCCATCAGCGTTCGAGAACGCATATTGGGAGTTTGCCGCTGTGCGCGTATACAGTCCGTCGAGCTCGTCTAACACGTCGGCCACCACCAACGCAGCATTGTCTGCGAATGTGCGGGCGAGCTCATCGACGTTATCGGCGTCACTGGGTTACATGATGGACATCTTCACGTCGCCCACCTTGATCGCCCTCGCAGTTGTGGGTGGTGCTTGGGGTCTAGCATAAAGAGTTGGATGACGGGCAAAGAATGGTTGATCTTACGCACGGACAGTCTAATATACGCATGGACAAAGTCCCGAATACTAGCGGTCAGCAGCATGTATCGCATACTTTGTATCGCAATTGCACTACATTTTACTCTTTGTGAATCATTTCGTAGGTGAAACTAAGTTACAACGGTTGACCACGAAACATGACGAGGTATAGTTCTATGCCCCCGATGTCCGAAAACGAACGGGCGAGAGTCGCGAGACACGTTAAGCGCTCGGTGTACTGTCGATTCTGAGGCACGTGGTTGAACATAGTGGCCGGCCGCCGCCATAGCCAGACTGAGAGTGTACACTCAGCAAGTACTGTACGTACTATGCACACGACTCGTTGAACAGCTTGTTTGTTTGGAAATCCCTTTTATTATCGCGTTAGGGCGAAGCCCTATGTAGACATGATCGCTCGGGGTACTGTACTGGTATGGTAAGTCAGAATGTGAGGTCGACTGGAACATTGAGGACCGAAGGGGCATTGATCGGGTAACACGCTGGCCCCTGGGTCAGCCTCGCTGTGCGCCGCATTCTGTAGTCTTTGACTGACTGTAGAGATGTCCGTGTCAGCCATGGTCTCTTTCCCGAGTCGCAGACCGAATACTACCAGTCATCTTCGTCGCCCGCACCATGTACACCATGAAGTTCCCACTAATCTGTGCAGCTGCGGCATCTTCATTGTCGCTGCTGCCAACCATCTGGGCCGGCTCGTATAGTGTCAACCAGACGAACATTGGTTCGGCTTTCCTGACAAACTTCGAATGGGAAGACATCGCGGATCCTACCAAAGGCCGAGTGTAAGTTGGACGGTCTCGGTATCTGGTATCATGTTGTTCAGTCGACTTGCATCCGCGGATACAGGCACTACGTCAATCAGTCGATTGCACTAGCCAAGAACCTCACATTCACCTCTGACGACACATTCATCATGCGGGCCGACTACACCACGAACTTGACAGCCAGTGGCTCCGGGCGGATGAGCAACCGCATCAAGAGCTATGCGCAGTACCGGACACACGTCGTCGTGTGAGTGCATCGACTCTCCGGTGACGCGAGACCAAGGCTCAACGCTCCTTTAGATTCGACATTCGCCATATGCCGCAGGGTTGTGGAACCTGGCCTGCGGTGTGGGAGGCTGACGACCAGGTCGGCACGAGCTCGGGAGAGGTCGACATCCTGGAGGGCGTCAACGACGTCGCGCCAAACAGCGTCACTCTCCACACGACGGGAACTTGTACAATGCCCGAGAACAGGACTCAACTGGGGTGAGTACGTGAAACCGTGTCAGAAGAGCATCATCGCTGCTGACTGATGATTTACCTGAAAGTTCCACGCTCTCGACGAACTGCAGCTCGTCGGATACGCTTTCAGATGGGAATAACGGGTGTTCAGTCGATGCCCCGTATACTGCCTCGTACGGCAAGGTCTTCAACACGTACGGTGGTGGCTACTACGCCATGGAGCGCACGGCGGCGTATATCCGCGTTTGGTTTTGGTCGCGCAATGATAGCAGCATACCGTCGGACATCACGTCCGGAGCGTCTTCGGTTGACACCGATAACTGGGTGAGTCGCCTGGCTTTTTGCATCTCAACCATTGGGTGACTGCAAGCACGTACAGGGACAACCAATCGCTTTCTTCCCCGACACGGACTGCGACATCGGATCTGTTTTCAAACGCAATAACATCATTATCGATCTGACCTTCTGTACGTCGCTCCGTACCTAGCGAGTCTCTTCTGTGTTCACGATCACCCGTCCAGGTGGTAGTTGGGCCGGAAGCTCGTATAGCAACAACGGCTGTCCTGGGAACTGCACCGGTATGTCTGCATGGTTTGCACAAGTAGCGTATATTTGAGAATAGTGCTCACCGTAATCTGCAGATTACGTGAATTACAACCCATCGGCATTCGAGGACGCATACTGGGACTTTGCTGCCATCAGAGTCTATCAGCCTTCAAACTCAAGTTCGATGAGCAGTGCCCCACCGCTGATCACTGGCGGACACGAAGGTCGTCTTGTGGCTGTCTATGCTACGCTGCTTGCAGGTGTGGTGTTCACGATACTGTAGTTAACATTCCACGCTCCTATGCATCCTCTGGCGGTGGCACTGTCATGTAATACATCAATAGATCAGGAGATAAAACCAACCTACTACTCTACAACATCACGCCAAGCTACACCCTCGTCTGATACTTGTCTGAGTATGGACACAATGAACGCCCAAAGCCCACATCCTATACGCTCATCTTCATCGCGATGGGTGGGTGCGGCTCGTATCCCTCCACCAGTACATCCTCCGCCTGGAAGTCATCAATATCCTGCACCTCCCGCTTGAACCGCAGCTTCGGGAATGCACGCGGGCTACGCTTGAGCTGCTCCTCCAGCGCGTCTACGTGATCGCGATACACATGCGCGTCTCCGAGCTGGATGATGAGTTCGTGTGGTTCGGTGTGAGTTAGGTGCGCGACGAGGTGGGTGAGGAGAGCGTAGGAAGCAATGTTGAACGGGATGCCAAGACCAAGATCGGCGGAGCGCTGATAAAGGAGACAGGAGAGTCGTTTTGGGGAGGAGGGAGAAGAGGGAGGAGGGAGGTGCACGTAGAATTGACAGAGAACGTGACAGGGCGGAAGTGCCATCAACGGAATGTCTGGACGTGTTGCTAGCACCGCAGACTACACCTGAGGTCGGGCAGGAACGGAACATGCTCACCTGCTGGATTCCATGCGCTCAAAATGATGCGTCGGTCTGTGGGATCCTCTTTGATTTTACGAATACACTCCGCGAGCTGGTCGACGCCCTGGCCGGTGTAGTCCGCGTCGCAGTCTGTGTACTTCGCGCCGAAGTGTCTCCACTGGAAGCCATATACAGGACCCAGGTCTCCTTCTCTCCGGTGCCCTAGTCCACGCTTCTCGAGGAACTCTTGGCTCCCATTACCGTCCCAAATCTTGATGCCCTTCGCAGACAACAACTTCGAGTCGGTCGAGCCATGGACGAACCATAGCAGTTCTTCGAGTATACCGCGCCAAAAGGTGCGCTTAGTGGTGAGAAGAGGTAGGGTGCCCTCTGCGAGGGAGAAGCGCATGGAAGGGGGCGCGAAGATAGAGAGCGTGCCGGTCCCGGTACGGTCGGGACGCGTCTCACCCGCGTCGAGGACTTTTCGGATGAGATCAAGGTATTGATACTCGTCATGCTTGTTTAAAGACGCGCCGTTGGGCAGTGGGACGGTCATACTGGATAGGCAGATGAATGATGATGGAGGGTAAGAGGAACGGGGAGCAGAGAGACGCGTCGAGTAAACTGGACGCGTCGTGTTACTTACACGGTGTGACTGCAGTGTGACTGCACACGTCCCGCGATCACGAGACCAGTGCGCGGACGCGTTTGTTCGACAGTCGCCGCGTGTGGCTGCTCTATTACACTCACGACGACCGGGCTCTCTCCCGCCATCGCGACACACCCTTCGACCCCCAACACTCTAACCTCGCCTTTTGAAATGCCCCCATCAATCCGAGCTCGTCCTACGACGACGTCGCGGCCTGTTCGCTCAGCGACTAGAACCAAAACGAACACTACCACCCCGGACGATCTAGCAGATGAAGTCGCAAACAAACTCACTATCAAAGATTCGCGAACAACCAAAGGCAAAGCGAAGGAAACCATTGCGCCACCCACTGCTGAGGAGCGTCGAGCCAGTGCAATGCGTACTATCAACACCGTATCCAGGAGTCTATCCGAGATAGTGACGGGCGGCGGTCCTGCAAAGAAGGGCCAGAAAGCTGCACACGAGCATGCTAACTTGGCTTGCGATGCTCTACGAGCTCTGAGACAGCTGAACCCTGGGGATGTGGATACTGAACGTGCAGCATCGAGCATTGCTGGTAAACTGGTTTCGCTGGAAATGGTGCGTGTCAACACATGCTGCTTTGCGAGTTCCGTTCTAAATGTAACCTTAATAGGATGTCGCAGCCGTGCAAATTTTGACCGATATGCAGCCAGCGCTGACTTCCCTCTACGCACGCAACGACGTGCCGTCCGCCGAGCCCTTGCCTCCTCAGCTACTAGCTCTGCCTCTTCCGCCACGGGACGTGCAGGTTCCCGAGGTCTTTCTCACCCTCATAGCTACCTTTCTACTCCACTCCATGATTTTGCTGTCTCGTCGAACGGACCAGCTACCCGCGATGCTCACCATGCTACACGATTCCTCCATACCGACCCTCTTCGTTTGGGCACCGCACTTCAACGCTCTGCCCGCTAAGCATCACGACTCACTCTTCACGCGCACTTATACGGCGATGTCGAAGGCAGCTTCTATACCTGGTCTGGCAATGCAGCACGCATTCTCTCTGCGGATGTACGCCCTGGAATGCCTCGTACTGACGCGTCCTGGAGTCGTCGTTCCCGCGACATTCTGGGAGCAAGCAGTCAAATGGGCCAGGTTTCACGCAGCTGAGCCCATTACTGGCGACGAATCTCGGATACAGCATATTCTACAATCGATTTGTCACTTGGTGCACTCAGTTGGGCAGCGTCAAGATCCCGCACCTTTCCTCGATAGCCCGGGGTTCTCGAAATTCTGCGAAGTTTGGGTTCTGTGGGCTCAGCAGGTACGGCACGTTCGCATAGAATGATCCTGGGGGAACGCTTATGTCTGCCTAGATGGGTGATATCGAAGCAATTGACCGTATCATGCAACTCAGGCAGAGGAAGGGCTTTGATGCGGGGTCCTCATCGTTCTCCTCAACTATTACTATCGCAGCATCAGAAACTGCAGCAAGCGTCGCAGATGCCGCAACAGTATGCATGGCGTTGACGCAAGCGACCGCTGTCTTTGAGCGATGGGCTGGTGAATTTGTTCTCTTGATAAACGTCTCTCGTCGCAAGCTCATCGTTCTTGCAGAGTGCCTTCCGCAGGACCGTGCTGCTCGCCTTGACGCAGCAATCGCAGCCGTCCATAACGCGGATCCGCTTATAGGTGGGCACGGCGACGACGAGACCCTACGCGCGCGGCACAAAGTTCACCGGGCTCTCGAGCGGTTGAGGAGGACGATCATCAAAGTGCTTGAGCCCACCGCTCAAGAGAACGCCGCCAATGCATCTCTTCCGGAAGACGCAAGGTCGGGGGCACGCAAGGTCCTGCAGTTGATTAGTCAACTGTTGTTGGACGCGGTGCGCGAGGTTGGTACAATCTCATTCCATGTCTATTTTTTGCTAAATCACATGGTCATCCCAACAGAATGTCGAGAATGACACAGCGACAGTGGTCGATTCCGACCTTGCGACCCCGGCTCTGGAGACGTTACTTGTCCTGGCGCGCACGTCCCTGATTATTCGAAACCCCGACACTTATGCGACTGCTTGGGATGTGCTCCAGCAAGCCAAAGCGTTCGTGTTCCAACACGTGGTCGGATGTGGGTCGCACGCTGCGACCACGACAGCCGAAGTCATCCTCGATGTAATTCGACATCCTCACGAGAAGAGCGCGCATGACCAGGTTGGCTGGACGCCAGAGACGACGGCTACTCTGGCGAACTACACGCGCTGCGTCGCCGGCGCGTTCCACAACGTCGCGGGCACACTTTGTCAGGCAGATAGGATTTCGCATGCGGTCAGGTTCTTGAACGAAGGATGTGCGCTGGGGAAGCTCGCACTTGCCATGCACCGGACGGCGATCGAGGACGCGCGTGAGGAAGGCCAATCGGGTACACACGATAAGGAGGGGTGGAAGCAGCTCGAGGAGCAGCTATGGCACCGGTGGGAGATCCTGGGTGTATGTCAGGCCAAGACCGGTGATCGCAAAGTACGGATTCTGTGGTTTATGGGTTCTCGTTCTGACGCGGTTTTCACATCCGCAGCTTGCGTTCGAGGCGTTTGTGGAGGCGATCAAGATCTTCCCGCTAGACATAGCTTCTTTGGGTGAAGAACTCGGGTCGTCAACCGCATCCGCTGTTTTTGAAGCCTCCCCGCCTCTGCAGCAGCTGGGAAAGATCTTGGACAGAGTCACTTACATGGGCGCATGCGAGCTCTTCCTTGAGCTCGATGTCATCTCCGCTAAACACTGGTACCCTGTCGCACTCGGCTCCCCTTCCCCGAATGCAGCCTCTCAGCACAAGGCACTCGTCGGCGCTCTGCTCGAGCGCCAAGTCGCTAGTCTGGAAGGGAGTAGATGGAAGAAAGGCGTCGATCGTATCGTGCAACAACTGCTTCGCCACGCTCTTGCTGTCTACGAGGCCGCTCTCTTCCCTGTCAGAAGGGCAAGGATTATCCTACAACTGTTGGAAGTGTCGTACTACACCAGGGATGAGCGCGACAGCGGGAAAGTCCTGGGTATGTCTGCCGAAGACGTCGGCACTCAAGTACGAGCCCTGTTGAGTTGCCAAGTGAGTGACGCTTGCGCTTGCGACTGTACTACGTGTTGACCAGAAGCAGGATCCAAGCTGTGACAAAGGCTTTGCAGATATCCGCACTGGACTACTCGCGACATCATATCTATGGCTCGCACTACATGCCCACCGATACATGGGAGTCGATGCTGCTTTCACCACGATTGCTCGACATGCCAACGAAGCGTGTAAGATACTCAAGAGCATGGTTCAACAGGCACATCGGCTGTCAGTCGATCGGCAGTCCCTTGGGCAAGTGAAGCCCCCTTCCAAGGTATTGCGAGCCGCAGCGAAGAAACCGGTGAAGCGGGTGGTTAGTACGACCAGGCCACGTAGTGGAATCCCGAGAACGACCAGAGCAACGAGAGGGCAAGCAGCAGAGCCACCGGTCACACCTAGGCCTCGCAGAGGTGGGATGATTCAGCGTCCTCTGTCAGATACTTTGCTCATAGAACTTTTTCGTAGCGCTGAACGACATCTCATTGAACGCCACAGTTCAGGTCTCACAGGAGGTCATCCCTGTCAAGGCTGGCCTGTCCATCACGATTTTCGACAACCTACCTGCCACAGTAACCTTAATCCGTAAGCCATACTACTGGGCTACTACCTTTGTGCTAATCGTGGGTGCAATCCTCGCAGAAATGGTCGCGCAACTATCTGGAATGCTGGGACATATCTTCGTCAAAGTGCAGTTGCTCGGTCTTGCGAGACGGCTGAGCGAACAGTGCGCAGGTGATACTTGCCGAGGTATGCGCATAACCCGCCAGTCATGTTGAACTGTACTGATGAAATGAATGACAGAGTACTTAGCGACTTCGATCGAACTTGCATACGAGTATTCCCAGCTAGGCCGGGCAAACAAAGCGCTCTCGATATACTCGCATGCACTCCAAACTCCAAGGACAGAATCAGATTCAGAGATCCGGGCACTTCTTTATTTGCGCTACGCTGAGTCGCTAGCTGCTGCTGGACAAGTGCTGCAAAGGTTCGGCGGGCCGTCTATACTTGTGAACAAATTTCTCATCGCATCACAGTGCCAGCACATATTGTGAAGCGATGGCCCTTGTCGATGCTCTGTCTACCACAGAAGAGAAAGCTGTCACGACGTTAGAGAAGGTCCGCTTGCGAGTAAGCACCCTTGAGCGGGCGGCACTTGCTGCTCGTGCATTCGCCATGATCCAGCACGCGAGGGTCAGTGGTTTACGCTCTCATGATACATTGTCTTCCTAACTCGTGATCACAGGATGACCCGTCAACGTCTCTCGATGGCCTTCTCCAGTCTCTCCGCCTATGGAACCGTGCCATGGAGACCATCTCACGACTTCGTCCGTCACCACCCAAGGAGCCCCAATCAGAACCCGATAATCCCTTCGAGGTGAAGAAGGACGACAGCGCTCCCTCGGACCCAAGTCGGCCAAAGCCACTTGACGAAAAAGCAATCGCGGACCAGCTTGCTTCTCAGAAGGCGTTCCAGCGGAGGCAGTTCATGGACGGCACTGAGTGGAGACTCGCCGAGGGCCTCCTGGTGACCATCTTCGCTTTGGTTAAGGCGTATTACGCCCGTGGCTCTCCTAGGGAGGCGGACTACTTCATCCAGCAGGCGAGCGCGCTTGCGCACTCGTTGAACGCGCCTGCCATGATCGGCCGCGCATTGGCTAGACAAGGGGAGATCTCATTGCGGCTCGGCCGCCTAGAGGAGGGTTGCAAGTTCCTGATGGAGGCCGCTAAGCTCATGAGCAATGTGTGCGGCCCCGATGCAGTCGACATCCATCGCCTCAGAGGTGACTACAGCTTGAAGAACGCGGACGAGCAGACTGCACAGCAGCTCTACACGGAAGCTACCGCAATGCTTGACGAGCTCGGCAAGATGTTCTCTGGACTCGATACCAACGCGCTCAGGTATGCCTATGACAATGCGCCATGAGCTAGTCTTGACAGGTTCTTGCAGGAAGTCACTGAACGCAGCAACGCGGAGAGCTTCTGTCCCGGAGTATCAAGACGCCGATGGCGCGTTAGCACCGGCGCTGCTCGCCGCAGTTTTGCGTCAACATAGTAAGTTTGCCTCCTTTGAGATGTTACCTGTTGCTAACTAGAGGTGTAGTCACGCTACTTCGCGATGCCGGCGAAGATTACAACGCATTGCTACAGCGCTTCTCAGCTCTGCCGCCCACATCGGAAACGACAGCGGAGGGGAGCGTTCTCACAGCGAAGCTGACACTCGATGATGTTTTCTCCCAGTTCCGAGCTGATATGTTCTTGAGCTCCCTAGCCGAGTCCGGTACGTCTTCGAACTACTCAAGCCACGCTGTGTTTGTTGACATGCCAGAAGCTATCATGATCCCCATGGGCATCTCCAGTGACCGGGTTCTCGGCACTAACACCGTCCTGCGGGAGATACTGAACACCTTGTCCGCGGCGGAACGCTCCCTCAGGTCTGACCTGAGCCTCATCGCTCACCGCGGGAATGTCGCAAGCGTGCGAGACACTGCCATATCTCTCGCCTTGATCAGTGCGCTCCAGTCGTCCCTCGGTAATGGCTCTACGGAGGTCTCCCACTTGGTAGCGCGCCTGATAGGTACGTGCTTCATCTGTGTTGCGAGGGAGGTGACATGGTGAACAAGCTTGCTTAGATATGTCCACGTCAATCACTTTGCGCCGCGAGATGCTTGAGGCAATCAAGCACAAGTTCGTCGACTGTATGAACGCCGATGACCTACAGCCCCCGCGAATCACACTGAACGGCACTCCCATACCACATGTAGAGGCGCCGAAGCCGTCAAGACGTAATCTCATCATTGACCCAGAGGACGAGCCCGAACAGATAATTCCCGACAGCACAGCCTCGCTCAAGGAGTACTGGAAAGCTGTGGCTGTCCGGTACCAGTCAAGCATCTTCGATGAGTCCGGGCAGTCTGCCACTGGCCGCCCGCCTTTGCCCAAGAACTGGTCCGTCATCAACATCAGCGTGACTGAAGACAAGAACATGCTGTTCGTATCCCGCCAACGAACTGGCCGAGAGCCCCTGGTGTTCTGCTTGCCACTTCGCGGTCGGCGCGAGGACGAAGAGGACCAGCGTCTCACCTTCAGCGATGCCATGGACGAGCTCAAGGAGATTATGAGACTCAACGACGAGGGCACAAGAGGCGCAGCCAACGTCAAGAAGAACGACCGGGCTGCGCGAGCTGCATGGTGGGCTGCGCGGGGCGCGCTCGACCAGCGCCTGCAGGACCTCCTGGGCAACATCGAGTTCTGCTGGTTCGGCGCGTTCAAGACGGTGCTGAACGCGCCCGTACAGACGCGGGCGGAGGACATGAACGCGCTGCGCTCGCGGATCGACGCGCTCTTCGCGGCGAGCCTCGTCGCGCACGCGCGGGACCGCAAGACGCACCAGCACGCGCGCGCGCGGCTCGACGACGCGCTGCTCGAGTGCTTCGCGGCGCTCCCGCAGGACTGCCGTGACGAGGAGCTCGAGGACCTCGCCTACTTCGTGCTCGACCTGTATCAGTTCCACGGCGTTCCCGTCGCGATGGCGGAGGTGGACGTGGACCAGGTCGTCGTGGACCTCCGGAGCGCGCTCGAGGAGCATAGGGCGCGCACGGGCGGCCGGAGGGTCCCCGTGCGCGACCATCATACGTTCTTGGTGCTCGACAAGAATGTGCAGGGTATCCCGTGGGAGAGCTTGCCTATCCTGAGGGGGCAGAGCATCAGTCGGATCCCGAACATGGACTTCTTGATCGACAGGCTCGAGCTCGCTAGACAACAGAGGGACGCGCGGGGCCAGGATAGTGAGCGCGTCGTAGACCGCATCAACATCGACCCGAGGAAGGCGTACTATGTGCTCAATCCGAGCGGGGACCTGAAGAACACGCAGGAGCGGTTTGCAGACTGGGCGAAGGGCATGCGCGCGGTGGGGTGGGACGGTATCATCGGGAGAGTTCCGAGCGAGCAGCAGGTCGTAGACGCACTGACGCGTAATGACTTGGTGGTGTGAGTGACCATATCCTTCATCAGCCCCCCTGACCTGCATTCGCTGTCGTGTGGCTGATCGCATCTGATGCTACAGATATTTCGGACACGGAGGCGCGGAGCAGTACATACGTTCGCTGAAGATCAGGCACCTCCCTCGGTGCGCTGCCACCATGCTCTGGGGTTGTTCGTCAGGCGCGCTCAGAGACATGGGAGACTTCGACCGTACGGGGACACCTTATAACTACATGCTGGCCGGATGGTGAGTCTGTCGTCCATTGTGATGACATCTGTTATTGATGCGCATTCTTCGCAGTCCCACACTGATTGCGAACCTGTGGGACGTAACCGACCGCGATATCGACAAGTTCTCGCAGGCGGTTTTCGACGAGTTGCACCTCACTCCCGAGGGCGTTACTAGGCCGCGGTCGGATGCGAAGTCTGTCGTGACTGCCGTTGCCCAGGCGAGGGATTCTTGCAAACTGAAATACCTGACGGGTGCGGCGCCGGTTGTTTATGGCATCCCTTTCTATCTATAGACGGCGCGGTGTTCTTTTCGAATTCGTTGCTGCTTAGACAATTCACGAGCATGTACAGCATATATCCCGCATTTCACTTCTTGTTTTTTTTACTCGCTGCATGAGGACGATATAGCAATGGAAGTCATGTTCCTCTGTATGTCGCTCTTAAGCTTGTCCTGCTCTCATCAGCAGAACCGACACGACGTATCGCAGACTTTGCAGGGATTGGCTCGAACGTGAGACTTCGAGAGCATACCTATGCCTACAACGCTGAGCCTATCTGCATGGTATGTCCTACTTCAGATACTTTGTGACCGAGAGATGCAACGTACGTCGTGAGTGTCAAAGAGCTTACATGCTGACGTACGCCGCCGAGAATGGGCAACACCGTTCCGATTGAACGCTGTGAGTACATATTGACCCGGGGCCTTTACACGTCTTCCATTCTGACGAGCTCTTCTGTGCGGCCCTGCCCAGCGTCCAGGGCAAATTCTCGAATATATCGAATTCGGTGTCTTGCATCTGAGTCCCATGTCCGGTAAGTTCGCACACAGATACGACGTTGGTTATAGCGCCGTTGCTGAAGTCCCACTTTGAGACAGGCACTGCGAGAGACGTGCCACCGGCCGCATTGGATGAGTCAAAGGCGAGACGAGAGCGTCCCTCGAAGGTTGGTGCCAGGTTGGCGCGGTCCGATCTTTCCGGCCCCGCCCCGCGCGTCTGTGTCGTCCGTTGCCTGACGACGAGTTCCCACGGGGCGCGCCGCGATCGCTCTGCTGTCACATGAGTGACAGGTGCGTCTGGAAGCGCGTCCGTGGCAACTCGGCCAATCCGTCACTTGTCCGTCACAGGGTCGAGGTCGCCGCGTTCCGTGGACGTTTGAACGGTGAAGACATGCCTTTTCCGGCCGAGGCTTTTCTGCGACAGCATTCCCTCGGAGAGGTTGCAAACTCGTCGTCGTCGATTGCAGGACTTGGCCACAGAGTGCTGCGATACCGACAGAGCGATGGATGATGCAAGGTTGATCTGAGTGATTCCCGGCGGTGGGGAAATGTCAGAGCCGCAAAGGCTGATCGCGGGTGCCGAAAGCGTGGCCCGAATGGAGTTCGCACGCCGCCAGACCGCCTGGTGACCATGCTGTGAGCAGTCCCAAGAGCAGCAGCTTCGCTCATCCTGCCGTCTTCAGCAGGCATCTCTTCGCAGCGCTAGCGCTTTCGAGCCCAGTGTGCTGGATGCGCACGAGCCTAGTTTGTCTTTGAACAGACAGGCGAGTCTTGCCAGGCCTTGCAGGACCCCTTCGTTCCTTACCATGCTTTTTACTTTCCGTCTTTCTCCTTCTGCCCTCGTCGGCCTTTCTGTCCTCGCTCTCGGTCCCCAGCCCGTCCTCTCCGTCTTCGACTTCGTCACTTTCTCATCTCCAAGCCAGTGCGCACCGTTCACAATCCAGTACTCCGGAGGAACCGCACCTACCAGCTGGCCGCCACAGCTCACCGTCGTTCCCTTCAATTCGACCCCCTTCTCCATCCCTCTCTTTAACGCCGTATTCAACGACACCTCTGAGACTGGCCATGCTGTCACCTTCCTCCCTCTCCCTCAGGGTACGCAGTTCGTAGCTTCCCTTGACGACGGCAATGGCGACTCCGCAGGCCCCGTTTCGGACGTCATCACCATTGACGCGGACAACTCCACCAAGTGCCTCCAGTTTGAGAAGAATGAGACGGCAAACCCGTTCTCCCTTGTCAATACCCCGTCGCAGTGTGAGTCCTTCACGGTGAACTTCGACACGGCGGAGGCCGCTGCGCCCACAGTTCGCGCCTTCATCACCGGCAAGCTCGCTTTTACCGCCAACCAGACCGCAAACGATGCTACCGCTGGGAGCGCTTCGTACTTGATGGCTGCAGCGCATGGGACAGAGGTTACACTGCTGTTCAGTGATGGCAGCAACAAAGCGTCCAGTGGACTGCTTACGGTGGGAGGGAACAGGAAGAGCAGCGGTACGTGCCTTGTCGCGGCTTCTTCAAGCACGGGTAAAGGTGCGAATGCAACTGCGTCGACGTCGATGTCGGCGTCCGCAGACTCTATGGCGTCGAAGCAATCCACTGCCCCACTCTCGCAGTAAGCCCTTTCTCTCATGTCTCATCAGGAGCTCATGACTCTGTCTATGTTCCTCTTCCGCTCCTGCAGGAGTGCAATCATTGCAATCGCAGCGTCTTCCGGTGCAATCATCGTCACCATCGTCGTCGCAATGGGCGTGTGGATCTACCGTTCTCGCAGGAAGATGAAGACGGCCGCGCTCGCAGCAACACTCGAAGATGGAACCTCTGGCAACCCGCCCGCACCGCCAGCAGAGGCGAACCCGCAAATGGGAGAGAAGACCCCGAGTCTTCCATCGGCCGTCCCGACGCCCGTGCACGCCTCGTGGGACTTCCAGATGCAGACCTCGTGGGGGAGCGCCCACTCAAAGTCGACGGACAGCGGGAGGACGGGCACGGGCGCGCAGCGCAATCCGCTCTACACCAACCCGAATCTCTGGCTCGCATCCCCCACCTCGCCAAACACTCGCCTCGCCGATGCAGGCGCCGCCCGCCGCACCCCTCCCGCCGCCTACGCTGCCTCCATCCGCTCGCAATTCGCCTCGCGCTCGCAGAGCCACTCGCGTTCACACACACAGTCGTCCAAGTACGCGCCGGCGAGCACGCCCCGCTCACCCTTGTCCCCCGCGGCGACGATCAGCACTGTCGACATCGAGCACGCCCTCGACATGTCCGAGCGGTTTGCCTCCGGCTCAGGCGACAGTCGCGACCCGACGCCGCCCCTCCCGCTGCGCCAATACATGTACGCACCGCGCGACTCTATTCGCACGAGTGCCTACTATGCAGGGCAATTCCCAGATCCGATCAACGGAGCAGGGGCGGCAAGGAACGTGCATTCGCGCACGGGCTCGGCGACGAACTCAAGCAAGGCCTCGAGTGTGCGCGGACGTGTCACCCCGCCGAATCTGCGCTTGGTGGACCGACGGAAACCCTCGAGCCCCTCCGCGTCGCTGTACTCTCTGCACGAGGACCAGCTCGAGAGCGCGGGTGCAAACCGCCTGCTGATGTCCTCGCCAACGGTGCACGTGAGCGCCGACGGGGAGGTGATCCGCGAGCCCCCACAAGCGAACGTCCCGCGCTCGCCGATGCCCTCGCCCTTCCCCTCGCCCCTGTGAACGTGATGCCCTGACGAGTGACGACGCGACGCCCGGCCGTGTGTTCGAGTTATGGATAGTGGTCTGCCCTAATCGAGTCGCCGTGCTCTGTAGATCGGGACTCGCGCGCTTGATGCGTGTCGTGACGAGACGAGAGCTGCCTGGGGCGGCGTGCTGTGGGTCGCCCGCCAGAGCCCGGGTCCACGAGAAGCTTGCGTTCGCCTCTGGTGCGCAGGCACCGGGGCGGATGCGCGTCGCGCGCCCCGTTTGGACAGCCCGGGCGGGCAGACGGGTGCTGCCCCCCGGGGGAATGACGGACATACTACTGACTGAGTTCCTGGGATACCTGATCCGTGGTAGATTCTTTTCCGATCGACAGGATATCTGCATATTCTCGTTCTCGTTCTGTAGCGAAGCAAGCTGGGATTGTGTCTGCGCTGTTGCATATTTGGTCTCGCGTGCCTTTTGCCTGTTTCCGTAGCATATGCACTTCTCCCAATCCGGTGTATAAGTAGCTTCACCTCACATCATGTACTGTAATCCTGCTAGTCGCACTGCAAGATGTTCATCCCGTGAGCATCAGTGCGATTCGTTTTGCATCAACAAGTGAAGCCAGTGTTTACATGAAAGTGGGCATGCTGATACGTCTGGTTTGAATACTTACTTAACAAAGAGGTAAGTTCTGAGATCTGAGGGGTCCACTGGATCCTGAACCACGATGAAGCGCTGAATGGTACCGGTTGTGATAGCGCGCGCCGCACGGTGTTTCCTCGACGATGTATGTACCTTGTCGCAATGCCCATACCTTGTGTTACATCCAATGAGCGACTTAAACGATCATCAGTCCCAGTGAAACGATGGCTGCATTAAAAAAACCCCATAGGGAACGAGCATTGGGAAAAAGATGCCGTCATAAGTATGAGCTCCACAGACCGCAACACACTCAGGCCACCACTACAGCATGATCATCCCGACGATGTTGCACGCCATCAACCTGTAGCTAGACTGAAGCAGATATGACTTGAGTACAATCGTTTATGGTAATCACCGAGTAGGGAACTCACGCTGACCAGGACATCCTACGCGCAAGTGTCGCCGATAGGCGTCATCTCGGTAGAAAACCTGTCCACACTTTGAGCACACCCTCTCTGCTGTGGAAGACTGATGTATATAGCCTGTATATTCGCCATATTAGAGTTCTTGAGCCGCGATTCATAATCTTCGAATAAGTACCACACACCAAGATGATCGGCATAGTCGCTAAGATTGTAGCATGCACCACGTACAGTCTCCCTGCCTCCGTCGTCATGCCTGCAGAGAACACGGAGTAAGGCACGATACAATTGAGTTATGACAATGTATCAGTACTGACCGATCACTTCTACTGTCGTTAGAGGGGGAAACAACACCAGATCGGTATAAGGACTGCATCGTGGCCAGATGTTGAAAATACAATCAAGTGATCTGCTTTCTGAGTAGTCATTGATCAGTTGGTCGAAGCTTGCAAGGATTGTTGGCTCACTAGTTGGAGAATCTGCGAACGAAAAAAGAAACTGTCTGTGGAACCGGGAAGAGACAGACGAGCAAGCCGATGTTTAAGTACAGGCATGTCTGGCTCTGTGTCTCCAAGACTTAACACAGAGACCGCCAGCTGAAGCGGAGCGCCCTCGCGCGACCTCGCTGCGGGGCGACCTCTAGATGCGTCGGCATACACAGCTACGACGTATGCATTGGGTATTCACCCGAGCACAAGAAGCGCACCGGCCCACATTGGAGACTGCCTCTGTGGCTTCTTCCCATGTTTCGCACTGCAAGTCGAGCACTGCCGCGGCTGTGCAGCCATTGCCTCTTTCACGACATGGGCACGCGTGTTACCATTGACCGATCCTTGGTTGATACCACATGATACCCAGTGTATCGAGCACCTATGCCGACATGAACTACGAGACGTCTTGTTTCATCATGCATACCCTCGGATGAACGTACCTTCATGGTCCAGCGTTCCGTCAAAGATGACAGTCTGGCAGCGAGGAGCGCGGACCGCGCGGTTGACAGACCTGAAAATGACAAGTGCTAATTCTGGAAGGGAAGATCGACAATTCATACTTGCCATTTGGACTCAGAAGCGTATGAGTGATAACACGAAGGGGCTATTGAGACCGACGGATCCTCACGCTAATGATGATCGCAGCCCTTGCATGCCGTTGTGTCGGACAAGAAATCATGAGGTGCGCGAGCGTTCGACCGATGACATTGCATACTTTGGACGTTGGCCGTGCTCATCGCTTTTTGAATTGAGGTCTATCGAAACAAAGGCCAAGTGTATGTCATCCGAGTCGACCACCAATCTCGCAGTGCCTTGATGCCGATCTGGGCTTCACCGTGTGAGTACATACCTGTCAACCATGTGCGCACCTGCTGGTATGTGAAAATGCCTGAACGAGACGCCTTTCTTCCCTACAACGACATTCAGTCGGCTGGTATCCAGAGCACAAACGCATTCAGTCGAGCACAGAATCAAACATGCAGCTCTAGCACGTACCGTCATTGTTATTAGCCTTGCAGAGATGGGATACACAATATCTTCGTAATTTCGGTATAATTGAACCTTGACATTTGTTATATTAGTGAAACATACTCCATGGCGACGCAGACCATGCAAACGACTTACCTCGGCACGGACTGAAGAGTATGTGTTGATACGAGCACCCGCCAAGCAGATCAGATCTTCCTCGACCGCATAATTAACCTTCTCAAGGGAACGTATTTCTCCGATGAACACGGATAAACTAGACCTATAGTCGGAGTCGTGCTGTCGAAGGCTATAAGCGTGCTGATCTTCAGTTGTTTGCCACCTGCAGAAGAAGCGTAAAGGCTCATCGATATCAAGGCATCGACATCTCATCTTGAGGTCCGCATGTTCGCTGATGTATTGTACGCCCGCGTATCTGCTTGTGAACAAGAAATGAGAGGCGTAAACCACGGAAGGCTTGGAACTACCGGTATGAACGGTGCTTTTGTCGTCCACGCACGCCCATCAGATGCGCCCACTCCGTGTTCACTGGATTGTGTGAGCCAGCGCGCAATTCAGAAGCGTACTAGAGCGTACTACGCGATGGGGATCGTCGATATGCCAAACAAGGTCCCTCGAGGGTACACACGTCCGCAATGGCAGAATATGCCACTGGTTGGCTTCGCCGCCGGCGAGATGTGATCGGCGGATCTATAATTCCTCCACAGTAGGGCGATTGCTATTCTGGGAGGCGTAGTAGTACGTACCACGTCGAGTGATTGGACTCGAGCGTCCTTCCCCGGTTTGGTACCACTGTAAGTATTCGCGGCGATGACCGGATGAGGTTCAATGTATGCAAGCCAGGATTTGTGGCGTCGTCAGAAGGTTGCGTTGAATGTTGGTCTTCCAACTCCGCAATTTCACAGAGTGCCCCGTGGCAAAGGGAAGGAATTGCGCCTCCACGAATGGATGACCACCAACAACAGATTTCTCAGGCATACATAGCGTGTATGTCAGAACTGCCACCGACGGGCCATGATGGCACCCGTTGACGTTGGATACGGAACCGATGTTGTGGGCGGTTGGCTGTGCAGTAACACGTCATTTCTAGCGCCTAACCAATACAGAGCTGAGAGGACGCACCTAGTGACCCTGTAGTGACCTAAAGGCTTGTGCCTTGTTGAGCGCCGAGCACCCTCCTCGATCATGATCGTGGAAGATTACCTTGACGGAGGCACGGATCTTCAGCACTGTCAACAGACAGGCAGACAGGGTCCCAGGCGATGGTTCGACAGCCAAATCAGGGGCTGAGAAGAGATTGAAAAGGGAACACATTTGCTCGAATGGTAGAATACAATCAAGAATCCGTCCAGTGTCAGTTCTGGCGTATCGTACATACCTCCGCTGGTGGTATCTCTGTAAACGTTAAGGCTTCGTGTCCATGAGCTCCTTTCCAGCGCCCTTATGCTTCTTCAGCTCGGTCTTCCAAGGCTCCCAGACATCGCCGTACTTCTTGAGGAGCCTCCCGAGTTCCTCCCTCTGCTCCCTCTGCAATGATGATCTCCAGTCAGCTTCACCGCCACGCACCTGGTCACACTGATCTGAATCTCGAAACCACTTACCAGAGTCCACGGTTCCTCCCCGCCATACACCTGCTCGAACATCTCACGGAGCTCAGGCTTCGGCAGCGCCTCCGCCTTCTTGAATGCCTTCAGGACCTCGTCCTTCAGGCGGGCCCGGAGCGCGTCGTCCTCCTCGGCGCTCCACCAGCCCCGCGCCTCGAGGAAGAGCCGGAAGCGCGCGAGCGGGTTGTCGAGGCGCTTCCGGTCCTCGACCTCCTGTCGCGGGCGGTAGGCAAAGGAGTCGTCCGAGGTGGAGTGATGGCCAACTCTGCAGTTGATCGGATGTCAGTAGGGGCGCGACAGGAGAGGGCAGGTGGAACGGACCTGTAGGTCATCGCCTCGACGAGGACGCCCCGGCCCTCGTCGATGCATAGCCGCCGCGCTTCCTTGACGGCGTTGTACACAGCCAGAACGTCGTTCCCGTCGACACGGATGGTGTGCATACCGTAGCCGGGCCCTCGGGCAGCGATTCCGTCACCATAGTACTGCTCGTTGGCTGGTGTGGAGATGGCGAAGCCGTTGTTACGCGCAATGAACAGTGTAGGTGATGGGATTGTTGACGCTGTGGGTGAGAGAGGGCGAGAACAAGATGAGCGTGCTGGAAAGCACTTGGGGAACACAGAAGATTTACCAAAGAGCATGCCCGCATGGAAATCGCCCTCACTTGCGGCCCCTTCGCCGAAGTATACCACGGCGCAGTTCTTGCCTCGCCTAGAAGGGTCTCGCCGCAAAGCAAAAGCGACCCCTGCAGCCTGGGGGATTTGGGTTGCGAGTGGGGATGATATCATGTGGAAGTGGTGTTTGCGCGAACCGAAGTGCTGTAGGCGCTCAGCGGGGCAACAGGGCGAAGGGCGCGGGTTGTCGACTTACCATGGGCATTTGCTTTCCTCGGGAGCATGGGTCCTCGCAGTTGCCGAACGAAGAGTTCATCATGTCAGCCAATGTAAAGCCGCGCCACATCAAGACTCCCAGTTCTCGATATTGTCCTGGGGAGGGCTATGAGGGAGTCTCGACATATCATGTTATGTATACTTACCGAGGACTCTGCAGAACACGAAGACAGGTCATCATCGCATTCCTAATCACGTAGTCTCAGAACTTACTCGTCGTCGTTTGCGAGAGCTGCGGCCGATCCGATCAATGTCGCTTCTTCACCATACTGTAGTCATATGAGATACATGGAGGCTCGCGCCGTGTAGCTTGCTTACATGGGTCATCTAACTTAGAATGGTGAGCGATGATCGCATAGAGCGAATATGAACCACATACGTAGAAGGCGAGCTTCCCTTGCCGCTGTACGTTATACATGAGGTTGTCAATGATCGGGAGCTGCACCATGCTCTCGTACCTAAAGGCACCGGTAAGAAGGCGCTAAGACTGGGGAAGTTGGAACTTACATTCGCCTCGCCATAGCTTCGCCGATCTTCTCGATTCTCAGGACACTGTTGGCATTCGCGCGAGAATACGCTCACCTCTTCGGGAACCGTAGCGCCCTCCAACGGTTGTCCGACACTGTCTAGGACTCTGTATGTAGGAATCTGTGTCCCATCGCCCGTCACAGAGTTGAAGAATTTGAGAGTTGATAAAATGGGTGATTGGGATGAAGGGAGAACACCATGTGCCGTAGGCTCCTTCGGAAACGAGTTCGCGGGGCCAGCAGTCGGTGTGCTAGTGATGCGACGAACTCGACATGGCGCAGTAATGTTCTGCGCCCGACAGGGTAGCCTCACTGCGCGTAACATGGTAGTTGGACGATCCAGTGCAAGGAGGGAGCCGAGCGCATCTCAAAGGGCGCAAGATCCGTGCATTGAACGGACCTGGTGGCTGGTCACGTCGATCGCCTGTCCGAAACACCGGGACTCGAGCGTCTAGCGTGGCTCTGTGCACGTGCCTTCAGCCACTCGGTGGCTGCTCGACGCGCTGCGCGACCCAGTCTCGACCACGATCTTGTTGCCTACCTTGTTGCCATCTTGCCTCTGCTTGTTGCTTATATAGCTTGCACTCTGTGCTTTCGAGATGATGGACGGTAGAGAGCACTACGAAGACACGGAGTACGACAGCCACAGACCTCCAAAACGACCGCGCAGAAGTCCCCCGCCCAGTACTACCCGGCCGTCAACATCGGGATCCAACCATCCTGGGAGCAATGGACACACACACGCAAACGGCAGCGCATCACAGACACTGCCTCCTCTGTCACTGTCGATTCTCGGTGTTGAGCCATTGGACGAGTTCATACGCGAGATTGCCGACTTTATCCACCACACAATCATGACGAGGCGAGAACTCGAGGGCCAGGTGGAGGTGGAGGCGAAGATTGGAGTGCTGAAGGACAAAACGAGCGGGCAGAGAATACAGTTGCCGGTGCTAGTCGAGACGAGTACGTCGCTGTACCATTTCTCGTGGCGAGTAGCCTTTCTCATGTGAAATGCACCAATCTCATGCCAATCTTCACTTGACTTTGCCGATCTTGCGGTCCCGCAGTATTGATGCCGAATACAGTCGACTCTCGATTTGAGTCCAATATGTCACCAGTGCGTACCTTTGCCTACCCCTCCTCGTTCACGCCCGCCTCTCGTATCGTTGAGTTTACCGCCATGTTTTAATGACATGCACGCAACTAGATGCAGCACAAACACTTCAACACCCTACTCAACGGTCTCAAACTCAACCCTCCACCATCCGCGACCTCACCAATAACCTACGCCCACCTTCGTCTCGTCGACACCTTCTACCAGTCCCCCGACTCACGCGACAAGATACGTGTCACACGCGACGAGAAGACGGGGAAAGTTGAGCAATGCGTGCGCAAGATCCGCCTCGGAGACCTGGACATCTACAGTCCCAAGAGAGCAGTAGACTGGCGGATCAGCGTGAATGTCGAAGTACCCGGTGCGTACGTGCAGCCGTAACCGAGATATGACTACTGAGACATGGTCTTGCAGTTCCTCCACCAGTTGGAATGGCGTCTCATACACGACGCAAAGACCGGATGAGCTACTCACACGAAGAGTTTGCCATCGACCTCACGCAGGTCACATCGTCCACCGGGCCCGGGGGCAAGGTACCTGTCCTGAGTGCATCCGCTGACTAGGCCCGTACTTACGTCCTTGCAGGCGGATGTCTTCCACGAACTCGAGGTAGAGGTTTCGCGCCCAGAGTACCTCCTCTCTGCGGCCACGAAGCGGGGTGACCCGGGCGTCTCGGACTTGGAAAAGGGAGCGTTCGACGAGCTCATCCGGGCGCTCGTGAACAATACACGGATATTGGCGCGGAATGCGGGGGACTGGGGAAGGTGATCTTGTCCCGCACAGTCGGGGCGGGCTTGAGACGCTACGGAGGGAGGGGCGGTGTGGTTTTGTGTGCTCGGTGTGTCCTATGTGCGGGATGGCTATTTGTCTGTATCAGGGTCCAATGTACTAATGTTGGGTTCGCAGGCTCTGTTTTGCTGTCATTGTGCTATTCCAGTCTCTGCTGCGGCGCAGGTGTTATATTCGACTATCGCCTATCACTATATTAGCTTCGTTCTATCACACGCGCCCATATGCGCCCATTCAATTCGTAAACAGCGCTGCGCCTTCTTATGTAGTGAGAATGATCGAAGCCGACTCGAGCAGCTGGTACGTAACATCGCAGCTTTCGCGCAGCTTTCAGGCGAAGTCTCGAACTAAAACTGGTTGCTCCACTGGCGAGCCTGTGTTCGAAGGTGACTTTTTTTGACCGTTTACCTCCATACTCGAGTCTGATGAAGACATACTGGACAGCCTAGTCGGCGTAGTGAATCTCCGTAGGCTAGGAGCCGGAGCACAGCCAAGTTCTGAAGCGTCGACATCGTTTGCTGGATATCCTGTTGGCAGGTGTCCTTGTAATCTATAACGAAGACGATGACGAAGATATTGCCAGAAGAGTAGGACTTGCTCGCGTTGTAAGAAGTGTACGTATCCTATCCGCAGCCTCTTCGTGATACTTGTTGAAGACTAAAAGGGCTTGTCGTCTAGATCCTTGTGGCCGTCCAATCATTAGGCTATATCCTGGGTTGAGTGCCTCCATTGCGCTCATGCGTGGTATGTCATACTTGGGAATGATCAGCAACGGAAGCTCAGTGGCTTGCAGAAGGCTGAGTGGCACCAGAAGACACAGGTACAGTCTCCTCCAGCTATTGCAGTCCATATACTCAGATCGTGAGTTGATTAGGGCAGAGGGCTCGTACATTGTGCGGCAATGCTGTACTGCAGAGCGAACGAACCTTGTAACGACGGGAGTTTATAGGTGCTCTACTTGGATAGATGAAGCTGGAAACCCCTTCCGCTCTCGAGGCTGCACAACCATCCGTCCCGGAGCCGCAGAATGAACTCCGGTCCTAGGCGCACAAGGTAAGCCCTTCGAGGGTTCGGGAGGTCTACGTTGACGCTCTGGCCGCCGCCCCGTACTGCGCCCCACCCGTGCCCCCGGCATTGATCATGCGGGTACATGCGGTGTTCTCTGTCTTTGTCGACTTATACATCCGCTTGTCCTGCTTGCAGGTTGCTGCCGCCGGGTTCGTTTTGGGGCGCCTATTGGGTGCGGAAGACGCCTCGCCTTTGCCTCGTGTTCGAACACAGCGTTGGGCCGAATTGGTTCACAAGCATAGGGGCCATGCAAGTCGGAAGCCGAGTGATTGAGTGACTGTTCGCGTCTTGCGCGTATGCTTTGCGAGTGCCAGTCTCCGTTGCTGGGATGAAGAAGATAGCTCAGTCAGGCAAAGGTGTGCAGCGAAGTTTGATTGTAATCCAAGTGATTGCACCAGTGCTGACGGCAAGAAAATCCTGGTTTTCAGACACAGCGCGTTCCTCCAGGCGCCCGCTCGCTTTGGGCCAACATGTTGGGGCGAGATGGTAGAAATTCTACCGGCGGAGGAGTGGACTCCGGACACGTTCAAATGACCTCGGCGGAGACGACGCATGATGCTACAGGCTACTGGCATCCGTACTGGATACACTGCGTTACAGTCGGATCTCAGTCCAGCATTGACTCCCTGGTCCGAATAAAGATATGAAAGAAGTTTCATATTAGGGTCCGAACCCCCAGCATGTCGGAGTGTCAGCAGTCGAGCTTCGTTCCGGTACAGCAACAGGGCGTTCCAACGTTCAGAAGCGGAGTCTCAGCGTGTTTCTTGTTGCGATGCCACAATGCCTTGCTCACTGCATCTGACATATATCGATCTCCGCGGTGTTTCTTGGGTCAAAGACAAGCGACGACCACGACAGCGCTCAGTGCTGCTAAGAATCCGACGGTATGTTCCAGCACATGTGAAGCGTTACACTTATCTGACGTCTTAGTGTCACAGTGAGCACGGGTTCGCCGAGTGCGCAGACGACAGACGGGGCCATAGTACTAAGAAGGTCGTAACTGGCTTCCTGTGTCAAGAACCTGAAGCCACATCGGGCCTCTCTCGTTGTGACGCGCCGTTTCGCGCGGAGCTAGTCCACCTAGCTGCGCGGGTCGCCTCAACAAACATTGCCTCTGTCTCTGCGTATGATATGCGAACCTAGTACGCGAATTGTACTAACACTGCTCAAGCAGGTAGCCAGTCGATGGCAAGGAGTAACCACCATATAAGTAGAACAGGGATGGGACGTTGTTCCTCCATCGGATCGCATCCCGCCGCCTTTTTCCTCGTCCTCATTTAATCGAACATTTCCAATCATTCCCGGGCTCTCCCGAAAACATGCCCTCTGGTTTAGTCATTCCTGCCAAGTAAGTCTCTCCGATTCATAGTGTATTGTATGCGGTTTACCAAGCCTGAGTATCGTTCTGCCGTAGGACTGCAACGTACAGTGCCATCGCAGGATTGGATGACATTAGCAACGCTGCATCCCCTCCAAAAGGGACGCAACAGATCTGCAGCACGTGTGGCCAGAGCTTCACTCGCATGGACATCTTCAATCGGCATGAATGCCCCGGCGCAGGGTCAGTGCTCTCGCGCTATTGAGGGTGGCTTCGAGGCTCATGAACTGTTAGCAGGCGGTAGACCTCCCCAGGCTACCCTACAGATAGGTCTAAGCTTCTGCCTGATGTCCCGAAGTGACATTCATGAATCTGTCTCTTGGTTCTTGTGTACGACCACTCATACCCTTAAGTTACATGATCCTGGACATTCGCTTCTGACACGCGTTATAATACGTCACTTGATAATGCCCGCACCTTGACATTGACAATGTTCGGTTTATTAGACACTGGTGACAAAGGCGCCTTATGTATTGCAGATATACTCCTATTGACATGCTTTCACAGTCAACCTGTCAAGCAACTGCGATGGGCGGTGCGACACTCGAGACACTGACAACCTGCTCAGTTGTCTTCAGAGCCTCCAGACGCTTCCTCTCTTCCTCGAGCATCTTCTGCTGCAGCAACACCCGCCTCGGCACAACCCGCCTTCGCTCCGTGGTCGGCTTGAAATCCAAGCGGTCAACCCCAAGCGCCTTCAGCGTCTTCAACTCGACGAGGCTGAAGTCGTCCGGGTTCTCGCGGTTGAAGTCAAATGGCTCCTTCAGTGACACGGGCGGGTTCGTGATAATGCGTGCCTCGCGGAGGTGGTTCTTGGACGCCGTGTGGAGCATGAGCGGGTGCAAGAGTACGACGTCGCCGATTTCGCCAGTCATCTCGGCGAAGCGCTGGCATCCCTTAACCTCCTTGAGGAAGTCGAGGTGCTCGGGGTGGTCCTTCGGATTGTCGTACGTGCTCGTGCTGGGGGTGAACGAGAGACCTGTAGGGAGACATCCCTCGGGGTGAGCGGCGAGGTACGGCGCCACGAGATCGATGCCGTCAGGCGAGATGTAGGTCGCGCCGCCGCGATGCTTGATGTCGGAGAAGAGCGGGATGACGAGCAGCGCTTGCTCAGGCGAGTCGAGGAAGTGCACGAAGAAATCGCCGTCGACGTGCCAGTTGTCGAGGTCGCGCGGATCAATGTGCACGTCGCCCTCGTACTGAGCCGCACCAAGGTTCACGATGAAGCTGTCGCCCCAGGAGCTGCTCGCTTCGTCGATGCGCTCTTCGCCTAGGAGGTCCTTGATCGCCTCCCATGCCTGCGCAAAAATATTGATTACATATCACTTCCACTGAACAGAGACTTACCTTCGGCGCGAAGGCGGATACGACCTCGCGCTTGTGCCATGGCATGTGAATACGCTCCCGATCCCAGGTCGACTTGTCATTTGGGTCGAGACCAAGGCGTGTCCACATCCCCTTCGTCCATTCAGCGGCCTTCTCTTTTGTAAAGGCCTGCTTGATGACGACGTAGCCGGTTTCCAAGAAGAAGTCGACCTGTTCAGCTGCAGGTATGATAAACGTCAGAATTTGGGATCTCGTTCTGGCGGTGAATTCTACGTACGGGTGAGGGAGTTGTATGTCTTGACCATACTTGAATCGCTTGACAAGAGCGTACTTCTCGTTTGAAGGCGAAGTACTGTTCACCGTGCAGGCTCACCAGGTGTCCTCTCCTAAATATCGCAGACCAAGTTAAGTATCGCTCGTGAGCGGGTAATCGTCGGCTTTTACCCCACATTACCTTGGGTCATATGGCACCTGCCGAACATCCCTTAGAGTCGCGGCCTTGACGAGAGTGATGCGATTGGGTCTCATGAACGCGGGTGCTTGAAAACGATAGGTCGAGTTGGCCCAGAGACGACACCGTTTGCGACGGAGGATCGGGGAAATACACGATAAGCAGGTCACAAGTAGTGAACATACCACCGCGTCAATACAGCGCAGTGGGATCCCGTCGGCTTTCCGCTCCAGCGTGTTAGGATGGAGACATATGCATCGCGGAAGGTGTCTGGACATGTTTGCGGAAAAGACTGAGGTGCTGATACAGACGTTCAACTGACTTCGAATCACGGCCCGCCTGCCAGCGCGGCAGTGGGAGCCTTGAGACTGAAGCGCTGGTCCAGCACACTGTGCAATGGGCCCCTGGAGAGACATGCCCGCGACATCAATGGAAACGGAGCATGTCACTGACTCGCCTTTGCTGTGTTGGTCAATGTATTGATGTTAGCGCTGCGTCTGGATGATACGTACCACAACTTGGTTGAAGGCAGTCGCAGAACTGGTGGTGCAGATCCAGATCGTACCGAACTGCGGAAAATAAGCGAGATACAGGCGCCCTGACGTGCGCGTCTAACACGAGTCGTCTGACTCACTGCGGCGTGCGGCGTCACTGAGTCCGCCGCGTCCATCTGTCCGTCTTCTGTGGTCAGATTGGTTGGTCATTGACAGTGCACATGACTGTTTCCACCAACTAGTTAAGTACAACGTGGTAGTAACACCGTTCTTGGTCTGAGATAACTTACTCGCCTGAATTCTTACCTGTCAGGGAACACGGGTTCTCGGACCACATACGCATCAACATAATCGCAAGTCAGATGTCGAGAGTATGGACGGCGGTCATAGGTCGAGCACACCAACGCGCGTTTATGGAGCACGGCCAGTTCGGATATGAAAGACACACTGGCATGTGCTCCGCGTGTTGCGTTTAGTCAGGGCACTGCATGAACCGCGAGGTGCTTGCAAAATCGTTGGTCAAACCACACATCGGAGTCAGGAAGAGATGTGAGCTCACCGACTTGTGTTCTTGCCCTTCGCGCGATGCCTGGTAGATATCGTGCCATTGAGTATCACTCGTCGTTGGTTCCTAGCTGCCGAGCGGTATGACGGGCTGAAAGGCATGCGGAGAGACTCATTATGCGCCGACTCGGATCGTGAGTGGCGACCGCTAGGGATATAGCGTCGCCCAGTACAGGACCGTTGTCGGACACTACGTCCCTGCGCTAAGGCAGTGGCGGTCCAGATATGAGACAAATTGACGGTTAAAACGACAATTCTGCAGAACGTCGCCGGTACACGATTGAAGTGAGTGTAGAGTACAAGTCAACCTAAAACCGACATACCTGGCCAAACGTATTGTCTGATACTCCGAGCCGGCGTTCTCGTTGTGCAGGGCTAACATTCGCACCTTTTGGACTTGCACATCTGGAAAGTGAGATGTTTCGAATATTTGATTGAACCGAGTGATACAATCTATATAGAACGAGCTACATCAATAGTTGAGCGGAATGTGAGGCCAGGATACGTATATATGAGGTCTTCACCGGGAGTGCTCACAGGAACGCAGGGGTCTGGCCGAGCCCAAGGCAAGGAGCAGCGAAGTAATCTTAAGGTTTGATACAACATGTGAATATGCGTCGCCCTGCATGTCACGTTGAGTCAAGGGCCGATGAGGATTATGGACAGCATTCGCGTACGAAGATAAACTGTGCCCTCAAGCTCACAGTGACGAGACGTTTATCAATGTGCGTACTTGCTCCTGCCAAGTCGACCCGGGCGCAGATATCTTGAGGGCGAGGTAGCAAACAGAAATGCGATCGATGAAAGGCGCAAAGGAGGTGGGACATGTCGCAGCGGGGATGGGATGCACTTGAGCGACCTCGCGCTCAGATCTAAGCAGCGGTCATACATACACACAGCTTGTTTTCTTGTGCCACGGATCACACTATGTAATAGCAGACGAGCGCACCATGTTCCACCGGACTATCCTCGCGAACCTGATTAAGTTCCTACGACTGGCAGCTGACACAGATAAGGAGAAAGTTCAGCGATGGGCGCCGCCGATGTGACAGCGGTCCACCAGAAGGGTGGACTGGCGTAGCAGCGAACGCCGCTGCGCGAGCTTCTGTGGAACTGCCAAGTATCGATAGATTGCGCTCTTCTTCGAGTGCTGATCTGTTCGGCGGTTGAAGGGTTGAAGGAGGCCCACAGGCTATTGGTTTGTTCAGCACCGTGGTACAGACCATAGTGACAATCTGAAGGCAGAATGCTCAATCTCAGTACTTAGAAACGAGTGAACGTGCTGCAGGTTCATTCTCATCGCGGCTGCTTAGAGATTATTTACTTATAAGTATAATGGGATGAATAGATAAGAACTTTCCGTATGCCGTCATATGAAAGGCATGCGTCGCCCCTGTCCAAGACAGCCTAGAGGACCCTGGTCATCTCTGCGGTGGGATACGCGCCGACGAGGTAATGAAAGAGCCTGCAATTTGAAAGGACGTAAGACGACGATGCCCTGCCGTGTCACGTACGGCTTTCAACGACAACAAGCGCCCCCCCCATTCATGATCGTAGAATCATGCGCGGATAGCACAGCACACATCTCGAGCCGTTCTCAAGTTTCGTTGCAATTTCGCAATCAATAGAACAGAAGTTCACTTCAGCAAACATCGACCGATGCTAAACCACGTACGGCAAAAAACAGCAGCCTGTGCTTCAAGGAGGAGCGCATCTGCTATTGGGGACCGACTTAACAGAGACTGGCTGCGATCTATCATCTTGAACGCGTGTATGATATGCGATAGAAGACGTCCTCTGCAAGAAGTGAGAACGCATGGATTACGAAGCAGTGTGGTCTATTAAACTCACTTTCGCATTCCCAGTACTCTGTATATATGGATTCCCGATCAACCACGTATGGGTAGCGTATAGATGGCTCGACCGAGGTGGAGCGAAAAGCTTCACAAGCAACGCATTCCATGCCACGACGAGCGGAAGAACTGCTACGCCGACGATGGCAGGAGACGAGCTAGGGTAGAATGTACCCGTTGACGCGGATGTCGGCAAATCTTGAGGGGCCGGGCAATAGAAACGCCAGAATGAAATCCTACCTAAAAATGGTCCATCCCTACAGGGGTATGGCTCCGACTATGAGACGCGCACGTTGGGACACGTATATCAACGGACGTCGTATATCACGATACTGGCGCATGCGTACCTAGCTTCGCACACGGGCCCTGCTCCACTCCCCAGTCCATCGCGATGGCTGTATACAAGACGAGCTGATATTGCGACTACTTTCGTGGCCTTCGAGTTCCTGAAGGGTGTGGCGATACTGCCCTCTGCTGGCGACGTGTACCGTGTTGAAGGAGCTGCGCGAAAGTGTGCCTAGCTCGGCAAATGAGTCCATCGTTGGGCAGCAACTCGAGGATAAGGTACGAGATCGGCACGAGTAATCAGGCAGCAGTCGGTACCGACGTCGATGCGTCCGGGATAAGTAGTCGCGGTCGTGGCTGGTCGTGGCTGGGTCGTGGCGACGGTGTCGAGCCTGGGAGCATACCGCGCCGCGGCGGCGGCCCGCGGCAGTAGGTGCCGGCCACCGTGACGGCGGTGTGGCGGCACCGACTCTTTCTCTTGGCGTCTGATCTTGCAACCATCTCGTGGATCGTTGTGGGTCCATCTTGCGATGAATAGGGTCGACTATTGTGTCTCAGCAATGCTAGCATGGATGTAGGGATTTTCCCATTGCTACGCCGTACGTCCACTCATCTGGATTATGGTACATATCAGACTGACGACCATCATACACAGCCCACCCACGCCTACCTGTCTCTATGGACTCTCCACCTACGTGGCGGCCTTCAACGACCAGGTCTTTGACTTGAAATCTATGTATCAGTACCCACTGCGACACCTATATCTGCCTATCATAGGCGTGCCATTATTCGGATTTCAGCCGTTGGCAAGCATCGAAATCGCGTCCTGAAGGCCGTCGAGCTCCCTATCCGTTGTACCGATTGCTCGCTTCTGTTCTTCGCCGTGTCGTGGGCTGCTCGGAGCTACGGGGCGATGCTGCGGCGGATACGACGCGTTGTCACGGTGATTGCGATATAGCCATCCTTATATCCGCCCAACTTCCTGCAGTACGTCACACTTACCTGGCTTTCTAAAATTTCCGCTAGCTACGGCTTTGACTGACATTCCCTATCGATCAGTAACCGCAGAGTAGGTGAAAACCGTCACCTTCACAAGACAACTGCTTTTTGGTTGCGTCTTAAAGCCGCGATTCGCGGATGCAATGACACGCGTAGACGATCGTTCAACATACATATAGAAAGCGGATAGGTACGTACGTTCTTGCGGGACACTATGGGGATCTGTGGGCACCTGTGAGTGACGGATGCGATGGTTCCTGCCGCTGACGCTTATCTAGCAGAGGCGGTGAATAGGCGACCTAGAAATCTGTGCAGCGGACGTAAGTCGTATGCTCTGTCGGATAGTAAATATTGTAAAATCTGGCTCATTGCTGATTATATGCATCCCGGCGTAGGAAACTTTTTAGGAGGCAATGAAAGGGTGCGCAATCATGACGGACGGCTCGATGAGGCGGGAGGGTCAGCTCACGACGTCCAGTCCATGAATTTGGGCGGAGGACACTGTGGTTATGCGTCTCAGAAGGTTGACAGGTACGCTGTGCACTCACATTGAAGCCGAAACTGATATAGGATGCCGAGGTCAACAGTGTGTCTCAATGCTGTATCGCAGGTGACATAGGCGTCCGCGCCTTAGGTATACCTACCAAGGGTTTGAAGGCATCTCAGGCGTCCTTGTACTCGTCTCCAGGAAGCCTGATAATGCTACGCGGTCCTCTAAATGCGACGAATGAAAGCGCATAGATAACGCCGCTGTGTTGTGTCATGCCAGCAAAGCTTCGACTTGCATTCCTGCGGTCGTATCCGTCTGTTCTGACATGTTCCTGTGGGATAGTATCAGCACAGCATCGTCAGAAAGGGGTGCTGGAGTTTTCCTCTGAGCGTACGGTAGGACTCCGTATGAGCCAGGCTGCTCGCTCTCCTGACTCACCAGGTAGTGACATCCCTGCTGTCGTTGGGGGGCGGTTCAAGTCAACGTGTTCTCTTGTTGAAGAGAAATATGGTGAGCGTCCTTGGTTACGGAGCACGTCTGGGAGCTAAGGTGGCTTCCGTGTCTGATAGAATTGACAGTTCCAACCACACACCAAGATACAGCCTTCCTGAAGTACTACAAGATGGAACCACCCCCCGTCCCGCCAGGTCTATCCTCTGGCCAGTTAACCTGTACGCTGTAGCCTACTCCCTCTCCATTGCTTCTTCAAAACCCATACGCACGCACAGGCGCTTCATTGGCATGTTCACCGTCAAGGCATACTCGAGCAAGTCAGCAAGTATCACGTGCGGGAGGCCTCCGTGCGGACTGTTTGATTCGTTCTATGTCTCTGACCAGGCATCGGCTAGCTGAGGATGCGCTGAATGCGCTTGCTTGGGATGCGGGTGTGGGGGAAGCGGCCGGGTACGGGGAAATCAGCGGAACGGCCGGCGTGAACGCCGTAGGACAGGTGGATCGCGGAATCGCGAGGTGCATGAATGGTCCACCTCGCCGTCGTATCCTCCACCTCAAGGCCTAGCGAGGCGAACGCGAGGTGGGATATGTCACTTCCACCCTGATGGACGATACAAATATTCCTAGAGGACTGCATCGTCCTATGTCTCTTTGCCACGCCGCCGACGACCATCTTTCCAAACATCACTTCGACCCCTCGCCCACACCCGTCTGCTCCCTCATCGACTCTCGCCTCTCGCCTCCCACCTCCGCCGCCATCTTCCCGTGCCCAGCGACGAACATGGAGGACCTTCGTAGCCCGCATTTCTCTCAAGCCACGCCTCAGTCACTGCGATCCGCGCGCTATCCGTCGATGAACTACCGCTCGAACACCTCTCCCAGGCCGCAGAATCCAGCACAAGCTGACGGTTGGAATGTGCTAGGAACCGTATCTCCCAGACAAATGCTCGCCGGCGCGTATGCGTACAACAGTGGCCAAGGTCTCCCGGCCTCGAATATCGGATCGCATGGCGTCGCCGTTCAGCCCGATGGCGGCGCCGCAGCCTCCAGCGCTGGTCTCTATGCATCCCAGTCGTTGGGCCGTTCAGGGTACACCAATGTACCACCGCCTGTCGCTGCTGCTGGCCACAACCTGCTCACCCCTTCTGCAGGCCATCATCACCCACATGTCAACCTTTCTACAGTAAGTGCTAGTCCGACTACGATCTATGCATGAGTGTTGATTTGTTTCTACGTCAGTTGGGAGTCTCGAACGGAATGTATCCTGGAGGTCGCCCGATGGCCTACGATTCTGACGGATACTCCTACCAGGAGCAGAACCATCAAGCGCCTCCGTCGACGTTTGCCACGGATGCGTCATTCGTTCCTAATCCCCTTGCTCATGCACATGCCTACTCGCCTCAGTTCACCACGCATGAGGAGCATCCGAACGGCGATTACGCCAGCGCCGGCGTTGGTTATCACGGTCAGAGAATGGACGGACAGTTCACTGGTGGTGCACCACTCGATTCCCGCCGCCAAAGCGGCTTCTTTGGACACATGCTTCCCGTGAACGACACCGTCAGCCGCAGGCTAGTTCCCGACAACGGATGGGGTATCGCCTCTCAGCTCTCGGTCGCCACCGCCGAAGGAACGCCGATCGTATCGCGGAGCCGTAATAACTATCCCATGTCTGCGCAGGCTGCACACAGACCGCATCGTGCTATGGTTGGTTCCCCTCAGGACGCTATCCCCAGCATACGTCCCAGCGCACGAGCCAACAGCCCCGACGATCCAAGTATCGTTGGAATCCATCTGGGCCCCGCCTTCGATCCCTGGGAGTTTGTGAACTTCCCTGTAGATGGCACAATCGACTCGCAAGGTCACTCTCTACCACCAGGTATTTGGAACACGCAGAACGTCAACGACACGGCGGCAGACTTCTCGCACCCTGTCAATGATGTTCACTCGTCCGAAGTCGACACTGGCCTCGGTGGTACAATTCCGGGAGCTGCGTCCACCATCACTGCTCCTGCTTCCTTCTCTATCACTAGCGCGGTCAACGATACGATAGGCATTCCCGACGTAGCTGTGGCCAACTTCTGGCAGTTGAACTACCTTTCGCATCATGGAGGTCACAGTCATGACCCTATCACTGGATCGGATACATTCACAACCCACACGTCTCCTACGATGACCCGCGTCGCCCATCGACTTCAGATGAATCCGCGCGACCCCATTCCCGATCCATTTGCACTCCTAAGCAGACCGTCGCTCGTTGTTGCCCCAGGATCTGGTGCTCCTATCGCCACCAGCTACCCCAGTCACAGGCCGGATGGAGAGGATGGCGAACGTGGTACGCAAAGCATCGCGGACGTCTCATTTGGAAGACCCGATGTAGTAGGTCCAAGTCGCCGGTAGGTGATTCGCCTGTGTCCCGCTTTCGATCGCTAATACCGGATAGGTACCGACGACACAGTGCTTCTTCTAAGCAGAGGGGTAATCCATACCGGGTTGAACGCAAGCGCAGAAGCAAACATCGTCAAAACGCAGATGCTGTCTCACCGTATGTCTTTGCACTCGGCTGTTACTTTCGAATTCTTACGCTCTACAGTGCGGGCTCTGATCCCGCGGAGAGCTCTTCCACTGCTAGCTCCGCTATGAAAGGCGATAGGTACGAGGTTTCTGGTTTCTGTCGGCCGAGTATCTGACACACGACGACCGCAGTGGCCGCGCCACCTATGCAGAAACAGGCATAATTGGCTACGAATGCCGCATCAGTGGAACGTGTAACCACCATTATGGCTCGCACACTGCGATAGAGGCCGCTCAACACCTGTCAACTTGCATTCACTCTTTCTACAACTCGTCTAACGAGCATCCGAATGCCGACAATCAACTCCAATGTCCATGGATCATGTCCGATGGAAGGCGTTGCCGAGCATGGATCAAGGTCGATAGTAACTTGAAGGGAATGGTGAAACACGGCTTGAAGGCACATCTCAGAATTTACGAAACGAGATGTTCGAAGTGCAAGAAGCCCTTCATCTCCAAAGACTCTTGCGAACGGCACGTACGGGAGCGTGATTGCCTCGTCTCGTGAAGAGGATAGGCAGTTTGTAAGTCTGTTCCTTCCCATGCATCCAGTTGCAATATGCTGATTAGGAGTTCGGTCAAAGACGAGGCCGTCCTGATTATGCATTCGGCTATGCCTACGAAGACATACGGTCACTCCTCTATCACTCACAGCGTCCCAGAGATCTCCGGGTGTTCTCCCTCCATCGCACCCGCGGCTCCTTTCGGTAGGATGCCCGATATCGCCCGTGGCGCTCTGGACGCGCATTGCCATGCAGTCATACCATATTTATGGTCAAGTGCGCCATCCGGCGGCACCGCGCCGTATTGTATGTGCTATTCTCTTCCGCCGACTCCGATACGTTATGCCACCCCGTCGATGCGTGCACGCACCATATCCCATCCTACCCCGACACGGCATTGGGACGTACACATCGCTCATCCAACACACCAGTATGGACCCGGCCCTTCCTCGTTTGACTTAGCGATCCCATCGTGCCCTCCGCTGGGCGCGGCAGCGCCTCGTCCCCGGTTTTACTTTTCATCTACTTCGATAGTACTAGGACATGCTGTAGTTTAATATTCGAATAGGCATCTAATCATCGCGCGAGCCTCTCCGGCTACTCTCTCTTTCGTCAATGTGGTATCGAGGTTCGGGTTTCGACAATGTTTTGGAAACGGTAGCTCAACAGGATCGGCGTTCTGCCATCCGACGCGTCCGACGGTGAGGGTGAAGCTCGATGCGAGTGCGATGGTCACGGTGGCTGGAGCGAAGCGGAGATTGCGGGCGGCAATCTCAATTACGTGATACGCCTCCACATAAGTAACCGGTCAACTGAAGTCGTTTGAGGCATCTACGATAAATAATGCATCTATGCGCGAGCCACAACCAAACAATTAGCCCTAGTGGTATGTATAGAGGTACACAGTCATCCGCATCATATGAAGAGAAAGGTATTAAGGAAAATAGGATGTCCGGAACGATGACCAGCAATACGAAGGCGGTATTGGAATATCATCGGTACACGTCTCACGAGTCAGCGACATCGGAGTCCATCTTGATCACCACCTTTCCAGTGGCCCGGCCAGTCATGAGACGCTCGTACGCCTTCAAAACATCCTCGAAGTTGTAAACCGAATCCACGAGGGGCTTGATTTTTCCTGTTGGCAAACAAGCCATCAGCAGGTGCGAAGACCCGGGAACATGGTCTCATAGGCATACCTTCAGCAAGATATGTTGCAATTTGTTCCTGGTCGGCGTGTTTGGGGCGAACCTGAAGGACCCTGGCGTCGCTCATCATCAACAACGATGCAAAACTTATTGGAATCGAGCGGACGTACTTCCAGGAACGTTTAGTGCCTCCGAGGAAGCGCGGCTGAAGGTACATCTTCCACGCTAGTTTTGCCAGACCGACAACGTCGAAACCCTTCGGCTGAGGGCCTACGGAGATGAAGATTCCGCCAGGAGCAATGTATGCCTCGCTATGAACATAAAGCGAGGTGTCCATGAGACCGACCGCCTCGAGCAAGACATGGAACTTCTCAGCAAGAGGATAGGAGATCAAGGTCTGATGAAGCGGGGCCTTGGTGTAATCAACAAACTGGGAGTATGTTGTTATCGATCTGCGTTAGAGTGTTCGGGAGCGCACAGGCTCACCTCGTCTGCACCAAGAGATCGCACGTACTCCTCGTTCTTCGCGGATGCACTTGCAGTGACCTTGCAGCCGACAGCCTTGGCAAGCTGGATGGCAAACGCTCCAACCGCTGTACTACCGCCGTTGACGAAGACGCTCTGCTTAGGCCGGAGACCGCCGAGACCAAACAGAGCCTGGTAAGCAGTCATCGCAACAAGTGTCACTCCAGAGGCTTGTACGGGAGTGACATTGGCAGGAAGAGGGACCAGGTCCTCCGCTTTGATGCGGGCATACTGCGCTAGAACACCGGTTCCCGCCTTGAACGGAAATACTGAGGTGGAGAGTCAGAACGACCAAGTGGATAGTACTTATCGGAGACCGCCTTGACTGACCGAGAGGAGTCCATCCAAAGACCTGGTCGCCTTCCTTGAAACCGGTCCCGTTAGCATCAACTATTATGCCAGCGACGTCGTGCTCGGGGATGTAAGGTCTTTTGGCAATGAAATTCGGTGCCATGTTCATGAGCTTGTAGGCTCTGAGGGAGCGTTAACGCTACTAATGCGAGGAATACAGGGTGCCTTACATTGGATTGAGAGCCGCGGCTTGCACCTTGACCACCACTTCGCCTTTGTCGAGTTTCTTGGGTACCGCCACGTCTTTGTCAAGGCGCAGGACCTTGGAAGGTTCCCCCTTCCTGACCACGCGCCATGCTTGCTGGGTTTCTGGGATAAACATGGTGGTGAAGGACAAGGACGTTGGAAGGAAATCTGAAGGAAATTACACGCTCGCACAGGTGCTATATGTTCGGAGAATCTCGTGTGGCCGCGCACCTTCGAGCTCCCGTCCCATGCATCAGTGTGACGCGTCGCCGGCATTCCCTAGTCTCGATCAGATGGTATAGCCTGGGTATAACGGTGTGACTGTCAAGCGGACATCAAAAACACACATACCACAGCCACCGGTATACCGTCTACTGAGTGATGACTTGAGTAGAGACGGGGACCCACCAGCCACAGGCGCGTCGGACCCGTGGCGTGCTTTTTCAGCCACCCGACGCTTTGCCCCCGACCATGCGTGCCGTCGTTGTGGCTTTGAGACGCTCTGTGGCCTTTGACGCGCCATTGAGGATGCACAGTAGTATACTGTAATGCGGTGAGTTCCTCGGCTTCAGCTCTCTTACCTCCGGTTCTCACACAACAAGACAGATCCGTCATCAGTTTTCACCGCCCACTGTCAAGTGGGAAGTGATCGCGGCATCTGCGTTCCAAGGTGCCGGACCACAGCCCAATGCAGACGAGAGCGTTCTCGACCCGCTCTAAGCAGAGACGTCGTCAGTGCACATGGAGCTGAATACCTGACAGACCTGGACTTCTATCGTCGATCCTAGCTTGATCCAATCACGAAATCTGACGGTCCAGTCGCGGTCACAGCCTCTTGTTGCACTCCGTGCACGTGCGGTGGGAGGACGTCCGAATCACTTCCTACATTCACCGCCTAAGTAAACACCCTAGGCCCATCAGTCACTTGCGCCACATATCCGCTAGTTGATACTTACAGTTGGTGCTTTCTCTGACGAACAATCCCAACAAGAGACTCGCCTTGAGAATGAGAACACAGACATACGGCACTCGATCCTGATAGATTGATAATGCAGTGCTTCCTTCGTCGTCTACACTGGGTAGCCCACCTCCCGTTCTGATGCCAAGGTACTTATGTACGTCCCATCACCTTTGGACGGCGAACTGAACTTCTGGGACTTCATCCGCCAGCATCGCCTTTGAGAACATCGACTTGTGATATCAGTATTTGTACAAACTCGAGTGTTGTTACAATGCGTCGAACGATAACCAGTGGTCAATGCGGCAGTTCCCCGCCCCTGGCAACAGTAAATGAGAGACGCAATCAAGGCAGAAGTGAAGACCGAACTGCACCTGAAAGATCACTTGGAGGATTGCAAGTCCCTGTCGTCGAAAGGATCGCCGAATTCTGGGAACGAGTGGCGACGTAAGCATTCTCCATCTAGATCAAACAACATCGCAGCACTTACGAGCTCGCAGGTTATCTACCAGCGTCGTGTCAACAAGCTCGTCCTTCTGCCTCGGTATCGTGCCCTGCTCCCTTTGATCCCATGCAAGTGAGGGCCCAGTTCGCCTACCAAGCCCCATGCTGCCGAAGGAGTCCTCACGCCTCCTGCTCTTCGTGTCGCGCGAGCCGCCCCCAAATCCCAGTCCGCCACGACGTTTCGAGGACCTTTCGCCGAAGTGTCCTCCCCAGGTCTCGCCGCCGAGCTGAGAGAGGAAACTCTTCGACGAGCTTGCTGCGGAGATTGTGCGTTCCATAGTGCTGATACGGTCGGCGGGGGGAGGCGAGCCCTCCGACTCCGAAGAGGACCCTGGGTCCATCATGTCGTCGCGCATTGGTGAGGATGGGTTGTATGCAGTGTATGGCACTCCGTATGTAGGAGGATAGGGTTTGAAGCGGCTGTGAACAACCTGAGTACAACTTGAAGCTGTACGAGGAGGCAGGCGCGCGCAAGTGGCCCGTGTAGAGGGAGTGCACGTGATCAGAGGCTCGACGCTGCCGCTCCCACTGCGGACAAACCCCTTTGTTTGGCGTCGGATAAGTCTCAGATCATCGTTAGAATGAGTATATCATCTCGAAATCCGAACATGAATTATTATCGGTGACCGAACATTGAAAGGCACGGCTCCTCATTGGCTGCCTTTCAATGTTCGGTCCAGGAAAATAGATAATATTCGGATTTCGAGATGATATACACGTTCTGACAATGTTCTGACGATGTAAGCGCTCCGTGCAACCTGCTTTGTCCGCAGTGTCCACGCGTCGTTACTTACGCTCTCCTCAAAAGTTATTTGTTTCATCGCGACTGTCTTTGTTCTCGTTCTTGCTTCCATAGACCACGTTAATTCCCGAAGGAGTGTCCTCCGCATGTCCGTTATCCCCTCGGCCAAGCGAGCTATCCGTATCATCGCGCTCCCGCTCGCAACTCCATCCGCGCACAAGAGCCGGGGACTCGTCGAGCATCTCACATATTACCACTTCGTCACTCCGCCTCCGTCCGAAGGAAATGCACGAAACTGGTTGACATGGGTACAAAACAAGGCTGCAGACATGTGGGCGGGTATGGGGAAGGCTCCGGAAGGGAACTGGAGGGTATGTCGAGCAGCCCGTCACTGCCTTTGCAGTCATTCATCGCACTACGCAGCGTAAATCCTTTCTGTACGGCGAACGTCTCGTCGATCGTCTCGACTTCGAGGAACTCGCGCTCAAGTCGTTTGACACCTCGCTTGGGCCGAAGCTCCTCCCAACGGGACGAAAAGACAGGATCAAGCCTACGGACAACCCTACGGTCAGTGGTCAGAGTGTCTCCTCGGGACTCCGTGCCTATCGGTTGACATAGCGTCCTCCCTTATGCTCGAACGCTCCTGGTCGCCGTATACGATAGATCCCTCTTATTTACCCTTCGTCCGCTTGCGAATCCCCGTTACCACACCTCCACACCCTCCTGGAGAAGCGGACACCCAGCCATAGAAAAGGTGCCATCATATGGCTCGCAATCTCGCCTCTGACGGCGCCGTTCATGATCATTCGTACGTCAGACGCGTCTCTCCTCCCGCGAACGCGCTCTTGACGCGACGTCTGACACCCGCAGCGATCATCCCGAACTTCCCTTTCTTCTTCTGCGCGTGGCGTGCATGGTCACATTATCGCGCGTTCAAGGCGTCGCAGTACCTAGAGTCGTTCGTCGAGCGTGGCGCGATCCTCCCGCAGGCCTCCCCCGAGCTCGATGCGATCTACGCGGAGTACGCACCTGTCCCGCCAGACCCCGAGGCTCCTGGGACACCACATCCCGGTTCACACTACTCGACACCGAAGGAGGGCGCGAAGGAGGGTGACGATGTGGACGTGGAGGCGAGCGAGACGCCCGATTCTGCTGCGTCGATGTCGAAGGAAAAGCTTGATGCTGCGGGTCCTGATCGTCCGCATTTACTCTTGACACGCGCGGCGGTGCCTGCTCTGGAGAAGTTCTTGGGCTTGCCGCCTGGCGGGAGCTTCGCGTCGGACGTGTATAGGGCTCTGGAGCAGGCGCGGTTGCGGCTTGAGCGGGAGGGTAGGTAAGAGTGGCGATCGGACTGTTCGTTTGTTGCAGGTTAGAAGTCGAGCAACTCTTCTTTCTTTTGGCGAGGGTGTGTGGGTGCGAGCATGATTTAACATGGGCAATAGTTTACAAGGTACGAGGAGCAAAGCGGAGGAGTCTAACTAATCACAATACATAATAGGTTGATGGATGAGCACCGCGCGGAAGACTATGATGCATAAGTATCGACTTGAGCGTGATTGGGGCGGTGGACTGGTATACGCGCTTCTGCACTTCACACCACGCAGCCAACTCGGACAGAATAGAAAGCCCACACCGAATCACGCATGTTTGGGCTGCCATCGCCAGCGAGCTTCCAACGGTTTCGAGTCGTCGACGTAAAGTCCATCGAGCAGTAATGCTGTATGCCCTCTGCGGCTGCCGCAGCTTCAGAATGGCTAGGCTTGGACCCACACGACTGATCTATGAACGTTTGCAGAAGCCACAACTTTTCTTCCTCGAACTCGCTTCCCCTCAGGCTGAACTGCGCAAGCTTGGAGGTGCTCGAGGTGTTATGGCTAAGCGCTAGTAGTCGAAGACCTCTCCGTTGAGAGGAGCAAGCTCGAGCAAGGCTTAACGAGCTTGGTATGTCCTTCTCGGGGTCAACTCGGAGTCGCATCAATCCAGGACGGTCAGCACAAGTCAGATCTTGCTAGACGCAATCTCTGCGTCAGTGCAGGAGCTTCGGCTTTGTATTCATTCGAACTCTCCTGCACAGTGGCATCGCTGACACTATGGTCGGGAAGTGTTCCTGTTTCACTCACGTCTACCTCGTTTACTTACCGCGAAATGCATATAGAGCGACACCACAATCTCGAACGTCACGGACTTTTGTGGAGTTTGGAAATCCGATTGCACCACCGGTCCACCCCTTCGTAGCATGATATTGGATCCCGCGTTAACTCGCTACAGTGCGCCTCTTTTGGGTTCCTTGCAACGGAAGGGGTCACCGCCGATTGTCAGCCAACCAGCGGCGACTTCAGCTGCACAACTTGCGCAGGTGCTGGCTGAGCATGACGAGGACGAGTGGATTGTCCGCGCAGAACGTGATGTCCTCGAGAGACTTTCGGTCTTCTCCGGCTGCACGCATCGCCACAACGTTTTGCATACGATATCAATCTTACGAACTTACGAATCCAAATCGACCATGAGGGACGATCTCACCAAATCCGCAGTCCAGTGGCAAGATGCACTGTTCCACAGGTGACAGATGATACTTGGATGATATTGTGTGATATTAGGGTTCGAGGCCAGTTCGCCGGGCGATACGGGTTGTCATGGTTCCTGCGGTATAGTGACCACCTCTCTGTGGTAGGATCCGTACTGACAGACTACAGTAGATCCCGCTCTGAATGGGTGTCACAACAGCGCCTTCATCCAAGGGTTTGCGACGTCTAATATCATTGCATATGTCATGATCGTCCGCGGCCGGGCAGTCACAGATCTGCAGAGCCAGAGCCTCGTTAAGTAGGTTATCTCGCCGCATTGTGGGATTGTATTCCGGGCCCCGGTTAGGCCCCGGCGTTTCCTTCCTTACGTTCGATGTGTTCAATCCACATGGGACTCGTCCGCCAGCATGGCACAACCAGCTCACCGCTCACGTTGTTTCAGATACATATGGGCCTCCGGACCCTCGGCGATTTCGCAACGATGTGAAGCATATCGTGAGTCCATGCCATTTCGTTTGATAGGTCGAGCGAGAAGCCTTCGGGAGAAGTTCACGAACTACGATTCCACAACACGATGCTCGATACACACACAGGTCCCCTTGGCCGATCCGCCGGTGTTTACTACGGCGTCCACCATCCACTGCGACATACGAACCAAGACTTGGATGCTCAACGCCCTGACGGAAAGCCACCCCGTTCTCAATGCATAGGAACACAACGCGCATAAACTTGGAGCAATGCGCCTGTGGTGTATCCATGACTAAAGGTATGGCGCGTCCATCCGAGTGTAACTCACAACTCGTACTTCGAAATCATCTAGATTGATTGGCCCACGCGGGGGTTGAGCAGGTGGCTGCAGGTCGTCACGACGAGGTACAATGACACTGTAACATCCTTGCAGTAGGAACGCCATTGAAACGGTATTTAAGGGCTGGACGAGGTGGGGGAAACCATCCAGCTTCACCTAGCTTCACCCCAACTTCGACCGCGATGTTTGCGTCTACGGCGTCGAAATCTGTGTTCGGCCTTTGCGCCTTCGCCCTACTCCTTTCCGCTCAGGTTGCGCAGGCAGGAAACTCCTTTGCCGGATCGAGTCTGTATTATGCAGCCGGCCTGTACGAGGACGACAGAACGACCCTACTTAAGTGAACATCCTCCTGTTGCATCAGACACTTCCGTGCCATTACTGACTTGGAACGTAACAGAGGGATGCAAAGCGCTGGTCTGAAGGTGCTGCGTGTATGGCTTGACGGTCAGTCCAGCAGCCAGAAGGTATATATTCGCGGATTTAGCAAGGCTCCTACAATGTCTGATACGGGTGATCAGGGAACCAAACTCAACCCCTTCAACGAGCTCGAGCCCAAGACTCCTTGCAACGGAGATGCCTCTTGCTACGATGACACAGTCCTCGAACGTCTCGACGACTTCATGGTGGCGGCCAACTCCTACGGAGTCAAGGTTCGTACTGGTCCTGTGTGAATTTCTAACTGATACTGACATACATTTGACAGCTCCTGATCACGATGCATAGCTTCAACGCACTGGGGAATCCCGACGCCTACGGCAAGAAGTACGGCAAAGGCGACTTCTACTCGAACAACGAGGCGCAGACCGCCTTCGACGCTCGTCTCGAGCATATCCTGAACCATAACCACACTTCGCTCAGCAAGCCCTGGAAGGAATTGAAGGACTACGTCTTTGCATTCGAGGCGGAGAACGAAGCCATGATCGGGAATGTAAGCGCCGTGATCGGTTTGCATTGACGTGTCCTGACGTTCTGTGCAGGGTGAATCCTTCGTCAAGGCTCACCAGCAATGGTACAGTCTACATCCCCTGTCGAATTCTAAGACATCTAACGTGTTGACTCGAACAGGCAGTGCGACCGTGCCGGGACGATCAAGGGCCAGCTCGGCAACGACAGCGGGGTGAGCCGGATTGTTGTGCTCGTTCTCAGCTACATCTCACGTCGCTTGTACCCGACAGATTCTTGTTACGACTGGCGGAGAGTCGTGGCTGTCCGAGTCCGTCCAACCCGGGTTCTTGAGCTGCGATGCATTGGACGTCATCTCGATCCATGCCTACGGTACCGGGGATCTCGCCACGTCCGCCTTGAAGCCGTACGTGGCGCAAGCGCAGGCCGCTGGCAAGATGCTCATGGTAGAAGAATGGTGATCACCGATCGTCTTCCACATTCTGCGGTACAATACTGACCGCGTCTTCATAGGGGTGCATGCTACTTCGACACTTCGAACAACGATTGCCCTAAGGGAGATGCCCTGGATGCGGACACGCGCAGCGGCAACATCATCAACTGGGCCGAACAAATCGACAACGCCGGGCTTCCTTGGCTGTACTGGCAGGTTCTCCCGAACGCTGACCCTCACGTACGTACTGCCTTGGCCTGTCGCGAAGTGTTTGAGTGCATTTCTGACCCCTGGTGACCTGTAGGGCGACTACGACTACGAGATTGCCATGGATGGCAGTGACGCTGCGGCCTGGAGCGCCCTCCAGCAGGCCGCGAAATCGGCCGCAAACGCCACGGCGGCGTTCGACTTCTCGGCTTACCTGCTGTAAGGCATTCGATCTGTCGAAGGAAGGCAGGTTTCTGCGTATTTTAGCGGTGCACTGGCAGCACGCAATGTTGTGGCTACACTCTTGTCGTCCCTGACTCACCTACTCTCGTTTCCCTCGTATTCCTCTCACCACCGACATCGCTCCTTCGATATAAGTTACCATTGCAATCTAATATAGAGGTTCTGCCCAGCCTTGGCGGTCATTGCGCACGAGCGGAGATAAGTATATGTAGCAGTTGACACGGTGGGCCGCTGAACGTTGAACCAGCGTTGAACAGTGAACGTTTGATTCTGAACACTCGTGGACACCTCGTGACCAGGCTCCGGCCCGAGAGCCGTTCATGGGCGCTGGACCATCAACACGATCAAGTAATTAGTTGAAGTAGCGCACCCAGCCTTGGCAAAGCGCATCTCTCCTTCTCTAGGCAGACTCTATGTTACATGCAAACACAACCCCCTCCCGCCCGCCGCCCTCGGATCCGCTGGTACTTAGGCGACTTACTTACTTTGACAGACATTCCCAGCTTAGCAATCAGGACGACACGGCATGCTCGACATGAGCACCATTGGCAGTCGGTTTTGACCGGGCGAAAGAATTCTGCGAGAACATCCGGGGCCCGGGCACGTACTTTGTTAACTGGCAGGACGTACGGGCATGATCGAGCATGCAGGTCATATTTGACGATGTTGGATCTATACGGTAGGTCGGTATGTTTAATACAATATTTCTGTTCAAGCTTCCCATCGGATTCGCATCCTTCATGTCGCCGCATCTCCAAGCAAATCGCGAACCTCGCGGTCGCCCCGCGCCGCCCTGGCTTCAGTGCAGACATTCTTGACATGTCTCACTAGTGTATCTGGTCGACAGAAAGGGTTGTTGCAATACTGGCATCGTACTTCGGTGCTCTTCAGATGCGCTCGAGCGATGTGCTTGGCGAGGCCAGACGTGCCCAAGAGCCATCTTCCGCACTCCACCCTGCCGGTACGCCATCGACATTGAACTTTATCCACGTTATAGAACAATCCAGGAGCATGGTGCTGTTCGAGATGTCCCTTTATGCCACGTGGACTCGGGTCTGTAATAGAGTGAGAGCACTCTTCGCCGAACGCGCACCAGCGACCTGGGACGGTGCCGGTTGCAGCGACGCGGTCTGATGTGCTTTGCGACGCCGGGACGACTGCTTCGCTCAGGCTGAGGCCAAGGTGAGGAGATATAGATGCAAGTCATGATACGCGACTCACTGAGGTTCTTCGCTCTGTGCGCCTGAGGCGTTCTCGCCGCATACGTTGTCGGCACCAGGCAAAGTCTGAACTGCCGGACTTCCTGCAGATTTGAGATTATATAGCAGGTGATCCTCAGTTGCCTGAGGATCGTCTGTTGCTGCTTGCGGGAAGTCCGCAGTCACAATCGGCCGCGGCCGCGGCGGGTCGAAGGCGAGAGGAGCCAGAGCCTCGATGTCCTGGTACGCGTGGCGAAGCGTCGCAGGGGCATCCAACGCTAGGCCAGCGTCCGATGTGTCTGCGATCCCCTCGTGTCTGCTATTCGGAACAAATGGGCGGCCTGAGGCATCAGACATGGCCCAGGTGAACAGTGTACCGCTTTCAACGTCTTCGGTCAGCCCAAGCATTTCAGCAAGCACCTGGAAGTCTCTGTCGATACTGCTGTCATCAAGTAAAAGGTGTTCTCCGCCATACACTTCCGGGAGACTGGGAGGATAAAGACCCGCGGCTGCTGGGAATGGCATATCTGACCGGCGCGCGTCATTCGGAAAACTTGACGCTGGCGTGTCCTGGACGAGCCTGTTCGGATTCGACTCCCCGCCGGCAATATAGCTCCCTCCTGGCACAACCCTGTGCTGAGTGGTCAAAGGGGGAGCAGAGGCAGGACGAGCGAGAGAATCCATGGACACTCCGCGCCATGATCCTCGCATGAGTCCTGGTGGATGTACAGTCACGTATCTTTGGTGAGCCTTCCTTCACCGGTGTTCAAGCGGAGTCGACGCTATACTCACTGATCTCTTCTCTGTGCTCGAGGAAAGGCGAGCTGCGCAGGTTATCAAGCGAGGATGTAGCTCCTGTCTCCGGTGGACGGCTCAGGATGCGCGATATGTATACGCCAGAGCGAAGATTAGGGAGCCGGACCGAGCGGGTTTGAGGGGATATTGGCAGCATGTGCACCTCGGACTCGTCTTCACAGTTGCGATATTCTAAGAAAGGAGGCATGCTGAGGGATTCAGGCGTCGCTGTGGGGACGATGGACGGCAATGTAGGGCCGTTCAACGCTACACCCTCTTGTTGAGCTTATTTAAACGTGTTCGAGCATTCATCATGCTGCCGGTGGTGGAGTTCCACATGCAGTGGCTATGCAGCACGCTGAGTCCACTCGATTTTCTCGAAGGATTTCATTCCCAGGCTCGCTCACATATGTGATAGTATCAGGGCGCCGTGCTCATTCATCCGATCATGCCCTCCTACCAATCAATTGCTTGCGACATATTTGTCTGTTGCGACTTCATACCTGCTAGCCTAGAACCCAAACTTGGCTCTGGAGGGCTTGTAGTGGCATAACTAGTAGCAGCAGATATCATGAAATCTCTCGCCGTTTGTCTCGGTTTCGCCTGCGAATTGCCACATTCACTGACAGAAAGCTGCGTGACGTCGGACTCAGCTTAATCCGGACGGACCATCGCGAGCGCCGACACTACATACATCGCCAAGTAGACAGATGACTACGAAAGCTATGTACGGACCTTCTTCATAGATTTCGTGTGTACTGCCACTGGCCCACCGCTTCCCCGTCGCTGCGGATGGTAGTGGATGGAAGTTGCGAGCCATGATGATGTTTGACCAGAACACAGAAGCGCGAGTGTGGATTGTTACCAACATAGGCATACCTCCTTTTACAGCATTGGTACTGTTCCGCTTTATTCACAGACAGTGTAGTGTAAGCCACATGTACGGCAGGTTGGCCCGAGGCTCTTCGCCTGTGAAATGACTATCGAGGCGCCGAGGATTCCGACGTTGCCGCGACAACATATGTTCTCACATGATCCGTTTCGCACGTACGCGTTATCTTCTCAAGTTACCGTCCACGGCACAACACTCTCCGACTTTCATAGGCACCCAAAGGTACCAAGCGGTAAACACTGGACGACTTCGAAATGGGAAATGAGCTCGCCCATTCGGTCACCAAGCTCCTGGAACAGTTTCTGGACTGTATGTCAACCTATGTCGTGCCTCTGACGGCCAGCCGCATCGCAGAGGGAAAAGGGAAGGTGTTTGGGGCTGCAATTCTGAGGAAGAGCGACCTATCCCTTGTCATTGCGGAGTGCAATGTGGATGTAGAGTGTTCGGTGAGCCTTGGTGCGAAGTTCACCGCGTCCTACATCGAAGACTAATGAGATCATGCGGCGAAGCTATGGCACGGGGAGACGCACTGTGTCAAGCGCTTCTACGAGCTGCCCACTGAAGGCCGCCCATCCCCGAAGGACTGCTACTTCCTCACTACGCACGAGCCGTGCTCCCTCTGCCTCAGGTACGCGCCTGAGCCACAGCCGACGCCACCAGTAGTGGCACTCGTAATGACACTCGCTGATAATGCGCAGCGCGATAACGTGGTCCGGATTTGACAACTTCTACTACCTCTTCACGCACGAGGACTCGCGGGACCAGTTCGATGACCCTTACGACATGAAGGTCATCCAGGCTGTCTTCAGGACGCCGGCGGAAGGGGAGTCCAGCGAGGCGCGCGAGCGGCGGGAGCTCTATAATCGCAAGAACGAGTTCTTTGAGGCCACGTCGTTCGCCGAACTACTTGAAGACGTTACAGACGCGCATGACAAGGATAGGCTGGAGAGGAAGACTGACGAAATGAGAATGACGTACGCAAACTTGATGGATGAACAGAGGAAGAATAAGATAGGATTTGCCCTGGAATGAACATGCTGGTGCCAACGGGTGCGCGTGCCTGTCATGGATACAAAGACAATACTCATCTTCCTGCGTCGCATAGGTCCATTGTGATTATTCCAGAGGCACTTGATCACCTCGGCGGTGTTACGATCCTTGCAAATGTCCATATATGCCTTTCCCCGCGCTGACCGAGCCCTTCTCTCGATGCGATTGTATTGTGACCAATCTGCGTATTGAAAGCGTCTTGTGTCAGTCCATGACAATTGAAATATGCCGTTACGGACGCACCTCCGAGGGTAACGGCCGTCTCATGTACGCGGTCGCTTCAAATGCATTGCATAGTTATGTCGGCTTCCCCAGACCTCAGTGCCATAGGATTGCCACTGTCGACAATGGTTCATACCGACCATTAGTGTTGCGGGTCACGGTGTCACGGAGGAGGAGCTTCACCTAGTCTCCCGTGGGCCTCCGCAGGCTCCGGATATTCTTGTCTGACGCTTCATCGTGACCGAGTTGCCCGACGTCCCATCGCTGCGAACTGCGTTCTCAGATGATGGCCTAAAGGTGCTGAATATGGCTGGTCATTCCATTGAAAAGCATCGACTCACCGGTGATTCCTTTCTTACACCAACAAGTTGAAGCCCTCTCATGATGATCCGCTCCGTCATCATTAGTCCCTTTGACTCTCGAGCTGCAGACTCAGCTAATTGGAGAACGCGGGCACAACGACGTGGCAGGAGTAGCGAAATGAACTAGACCCGGGATAAGTAGCACTGCGATCGATATCGTAATGATCCGGGCCATGACGATGAAGACCGGAGCGCTTACCTACAGGAGGACCGCCCAATTAGCGTCGCCGGTGCGCTCAAGTTGACGTGAAAAGGAGATTCCGGCAGGGACCCGTAAGGGGAAATGGTGCTCGAGTAGAACGGTCTTAGCGTGCCGTTATGATGTATTAGTGTCCGCATCTTGCCTCGGGCGAGGGACTATAAACACGGTGAATAAAAAAAAATAAAAAATAAAAAAGATATCGTAATGATCCAAGTTGAGCGTGAGTCATTTTGTCCTTTACAAGTTCTTAGGGCCACGGTAAGTAGCGGCCTGTAGCGTCGCCGATTCCTGGTCCGCTCAACTTGCTACTTACGGCCCAGGCATTACATAATCATCATCTGATGGGAGGCAATGAGGTGCGCGCTGCGGCAGTGCGGCTCCTTCCGCCACACTATATAAAACGCGGTATCGGGGACATCTGGAGATGCCTCTATTTCCCGGCCCAACACCCAACGCCACTAGCAGTTCGACCCCCGCAGCATGGGTGAACGACCAAGTGGCCACGTCACATCAATGGACAGAGGAGGCGAGTAAACCCAGGGACAACCCAAAGACTGAGCGTATGAATGGGCGTGGTTGGTACTATGTCTGCTTCTCTAGAATGGTCATTGACCTGCTCGACTATGGTGAGTGGTTTTACTATCATCGACAAGGCGTCTCCTCCATCTGACAATGATCCGAATGGCTCAGACTTAGGACGAAAATATATCTCGTTGTGAGCGACTGCGAACGCAGTGTTCAGCGATAGCAGTGTTATACAACTGCTGGCGATATAACATGGTTTAGTATGACGCCACTATGCCTCCATCCTTACTTCTAGGACCGCCGTGATCGCTATGAACGACATTATATGCTGAGCGTTAGGTATGTATCGTCGTGTCGTGAGCTTGACATTTGACCATGTTACTGATCAATATGTGCTTTCGTGAGCAAGACAGGCTGGCGTGACCCCGTTCGAATGCATCTCAGGACCCTCCCGAGACGGCACTCCATGACCCGACTCCTTGTCGCGTCGTCTACTCACGACCTGCCCCGCTCAGAGGATTCCATTCCCATGGTCTTCGAATGCACCCGGCAACGTCTCCTACGCGGTAACCCGGTATTGTGTTCATCTCGCAAACACATGTGAGTAGCTTATTGTGCCTGTTACAATTGTGTTCTGGCGCTCGTCCACCGATGGCCAGGAATGGCGCATTCTGATACATACATACGGGTCTTCCGCGGGAAGTGTGCGTGTGCACACACGAGGCCAGGTAGACGTTCTAGCAGATGGACTGGCGACATCATCTGTGCGCTTCCATACAGCTCGGTGGGTCATCCTACACGCCGTACTCCGCCGTTGGTCCACATATACCGATGAGGTATATGTGGACCGTACATAATACCGTTGTCTCGGGCGGCGCTTGGATAGCGTGCGATCTATCGAAGTCGCTGCGGCCATATCAGGATGGACTTGCTCGTTCGGCGAGATGCGAGACGTTGAGCAATACAATTGCAGTTCGCGCCGGAGAGAAGTCCTCGGACACTGTATCCAGCAACAGAGCCTGCGAACGGTCGAGTTCTCTCATTATTGTACTCGCTATCACCATCGGTGAGGCAGCATCGTCCGCTCCGACCTACCTCATTCTCCTACGCGCTGTATTTGCGGTATCTATTGGTTCTCGACGCATATTCTCCGCACACAGCCTCGGGATGTCGCCTGTTATACATCGATGACGACGGCGGTTCGCTCTTCTCCATGCAACGATTGAGTGAATCGAGTCTTGTGAGCAGTCTCTATATAATGGCTACCACGGCCTTCAGAACTCCTTGTCACTCCCCTCCCTTCCGACTCGCCTCGCTGACATGCATTTCGTTAGATTTCTGGTTGATGGAAGGCTACAAAATTGTCGTGTTTCGCGTGTCGGAGTTCTCCGGTGCACTCTTTTCTCTAGTTTTGTGTAAGTAATTTGCTCGCGTTTGTCCGCTCGCCCGTAAATTGGCTCACATCCACTCCGTCCGCTTTTGACAGAGTTCAACAGCCCTGTCGGGGGAGCCCGCACACCTCCGCTTCCTTGGGATGCGGTGGACCAGCATCCTCCAAAGTTAAAAACCCCGGGTTTCGAGCTCTTCGGCCAGGCCATGTTGTCTCCTGTCCCCATTTGCCTCGAGATACCCCCATAGAGCTGGTCGAAATTGCGGTCTCCGCTGTCGCTGCGCGGTGTGCGGCGGCCAAATCGGGGTCATGACTCCACATGGCGACCCCTATTCAAACCTCACCAGGCTCCTTACAGAGGAGCAATGGCCTTGCGACGACTACGACTTTTACGATACTCTGGTGAGCGACAAGCAACATGGTGACGCTGGGATCCCAAGGTATACTTCTTTAAGTGCAGGGTCCTCTGCAATGCTGATTTGATCGTTGGACAGAGATTCCTTTGACAGCCGTGCAGACTGTCTTCCTGTGGTAACAGGTCACGGTGTTGAGGGGCGAGACTATCGCCCCAGCAATTTCTCGTCTCTTTTCGGCGCACTCGGTAGCCAGGACATTGACATTGGCTATTATCATGTCAATGTGAGTGCGCCGATCGGAGCTTTGGCCACCCCGACGCCAGACATGGTTGGCTCCGGGGCAGACAGTGGGATGAAGCTGGAGTCACCCTCTAGCGTCACAGCCGCTGAGGGTGACATCGATGGCCAATACGCGTTTGGAGTCGCGTCGAGGTACGGGTTTCTGCGTCGTTTCGTCCCGCCGACAACGTAGCTCATTGTGCGTAGTTCGAAGAAACTCGACTACACATCGCCTCCCGGCGCGATCAAGTTCGCTGCCACACCCACGGAGGCGCAGAACGCGCAATATCAGGAGGAGGTTTATTCACAGCAGGAGGAGATGACCTTGTGAGCCTGCTCATCGATTCCTGTTCCATGACATTGTCTGACCGTCTGCTGAAGTGTGTTTACTCCTGGCTACAAGGGTCCCGACGCGATACAGGGCACCGCTGCAGAAGGGTAAGATAACCCATATCTACTACCGTGGCTCTCTTAACTCACCTACGTGCTCATTTTCAGCGACGTGGCACCGGCAGCTAATGATGAGGACGGCGCCGGATGCCAACTCGACGCCGCATGCATCCACCACTTCGGCCACCGGACTTCGATATCGGACGTGCAAGCCCACCTCGACCAGAGGCACGGCGGTGTCCTCCACATGGCGCCTGCGGGCGGGAAGATCTCCTGTCTGTGGAGAGAGGCGAACGGGCTGGAGTGTCGCAAGCGGATCTCGCTCGGCGGGTTTGCCAAACACGTCGCCACCACACACCTGAAGCGCTTCGCGGCGCCGTGCCCGCACTGCAACCGGATGCTGTCGCGCGCCGACTCGCTCGCTCGCCACATCTGGAAGCTTCATCCTGGGGCAACGTAACGCAGGCGCAATCGACGCGTGCAGGACCGTCCGACGACGTAGAGAGCGACGGTAAGTCACTTCATGCGGACTGGGGCAGACTCGTCACACTCAGCTGGATACTGACTTCATATGTACAGAACCCGACGTACACGGTGTGACACCCGCACGCCAGGCGCACCAGACGCCAACTGCGAGCATGTCGAGCCCAACTTGAAGTGACTTTCCTACCACCGCGGTAGATGCCGTAGCGTCGCAAGAGCGTCCCGCCGGAGTCCGCTCCTCGGTGATCCCAATTCACACCCGCCATTCCGCTCTCGTGATCTCCATTCCCATTCTGTATCATAGCACGACCCATCCACGTTATCCGCGTAGCCGCGCTACGCATGCTTTCGCACTGTACGCTGTAGACACCCCATCCATCCTCGCGACGACGCACACTGGACTCTCACATCCTCGCACCATCACCGTTATCATTATCCCCCATCCCCCATCCCACATTACACGAACACGGACTTGCACATCACATCGAAGCTAGCACATACGATACCCTGCACGACCCCCGCAGCCGCACTCCGCTGCATCCCACTGTAGAACCACTGTATCAGATAGTAGTCTCCCCTTGCATACTAGTAGTAGTCTACGGTCCGTGCGGCCTCAGCTTCGTCGCTCCCAATTCAAGTCTGGATTCCGCATCGCATGTCGGTCATCGCGTTCATAGTGTGCTTCAATTCGTCCTCCGAGTCGGACGAGATCGATCGCCGAGAAGACAGTCAGAACACCGTATATCGTCTTCATCTCCCGTTGAGATCCGCCCTTCCCTCGCTCGACGTTCAAAGGAAATCAGTCAGGATCTGCACCCGGGAGACCGACCGTCATAATTTGATGTCTCGGATGTGCAATGGGACGTCCGTATCACTGTCGATGGATAATGCTAATGATAATGGATACACTACATTGGCGTTCGTACATGCAAGAAGCAAGAAGCAGTGCGCGTTCATTCCGATGCACATAACCTAGGACGTAGAGTGGATGGAATGTCGGGGTTGTAGGATGCGGGGTGCGTTGATCGAACCAGGGAGGACCAGGATGGGATTGTGTGGATGAGTGATGGAGTGAGAGATGAGATAGGTATGAGGATGAGGATGAATGACGATGGGATGGGACGTCTCTACAGCTTGAGCCAACCAGGAACCACAAATAGCCAAACGCACTGTACAACATCCGCGCACCGAGACAGAGTCCCGAACCAACTTGTTAAAAAAACTGAATGGCACCGGGAACACGCGTTGCGCGCGTGTCACCTCGCGACGAGTGTGGGCGCGTGGTGGTCCCCGTGGTCCTCGCTGCTCGCGTCGTCCGAGCCGCTCCCAGGGACGTCCGCACCCTCCTCCGCCTCGCCCACCCCATCGCCCTCCCCCTCATCCACATCCTCGCCCTCCTCGCCATCCGTACCCTCCGCCTCGTCCTCCGCACCCTCCCCATACTCATCATCGTCCTCGTCCCTATACCACTCCATCCTACACGGCTCCTCATCCACCCCACTCCCATCCGCAGCACCGGTCCGCCCGCGCCTCTTCCTCCGCTCCCCCTCCGCCCTTGCCTCCACCTCAATCTCGCTCTTCATCCTCTCCATCTCGCGATCCCTATCCCTCTCCCGGACGAACCACATCCTCACCGGCCTCCCCGCCCGCTTCCGCGCGAGGTAATACGCATGGAGCGCCGCCCCCGGCACGCCCGACACCCTCAGCGTCCGCAACTCCGGCAACAGCTCCGGCTCCGCGCGCGCGGGGTACGGCACGGGGCGCACCAGCGCGCGCGCGGCGACGACGGGGACGGGCGGGCCGAGCGTGCCCGCGAGCACGGCGAACGCGCCCTTGTCCATCCCGCCGCAGTCGACCGCGAGCGTGTGCACGCGCGGCGCGGCGCGCAGGAGCGCGTGCCAACTCGCGAGCGTGCACGTCGCGAGCCCCGCGACGGTGAGCTCCTCGAGGCCCGGGAACATCGGGCGCGCGGCGGGCTCGCTCTTGCCCTTGCCCTTCCCCGAGGCATCCGTGGACGGAGGCGGCTCGTAGGTCGTGCTCGGGTCGAGGATGCCGGGACATGCGGCGGGGTCGGGCGCGTTGACGAGCATGTCGACGAAGGGCGTGTAGTCCTGCGGGCTCTCCATGAAGCCGAGCTCGAGGTGGAGCCTGCGGACGGCCGGGGCGACGAAGGTGCGGAGGAGCGCGCACGCGTAGCTGGCGTCGAGGTCGGCGAGCTTGATGTCGCGCAGGCGGGGGAGGGGGACGGGCCCGTCGGGGAGGCGCCAGGGCGCGGCGGCGGCGCGGGGGCCGGAGTAGTGGAGGCTGATGCGCTCGAGGGCGGGGGAGCGGGCGAGGACGTCGAGCCAGCGGTCGAAGGGGATGCGGACCTCGTCGGAGTGGACGCCGAGCTCGAGCTCGGTGAGGTTGCGGAGGAAGGGCGAGGACGCCTCGGACCACTGGATGTTGACGCCGATGAGGGAGAGGCGGGTGAGGGCGGGGAGGGTGCCGTTGAAGACGACGACGGGGGGCGGGCCGACGTGCCCCCAGAGGCGCTCGACGTTGCCCCAGTCCTCGATGTGCCAGAGCTCGAGGGCGCGGAGGCTGGGGGCGGGGCCGACGGTGGAGAGGACGGTGCGGGCGTGGCGCTTGCACTGCATGTCGCGGACGCGGAGGATGAGGGAGCCCCAGCGGGCGATGTGGGGCGTGAGGGCGTCGAAGGCGGGGAGGAACTCGTCGCGGAAGATGGAGTGGTGGGGGACGTACTCGGACTCGGAGGACGAGTCGAAGAGGATGTTGAAGGGGAGGCGGGCCGAGCGGGCGAGGTAGGCGCGGGCGCGAGAGACATGGCTCACCTGGGTCAGGGCGACGGAGGTCCAGAGGAGGGGCGTGCGGAGGGCGACGTCGCGCCAGTAGGCACAGACGTGGGAGACGAGGACCTCGAAGGGCGGATCGCGGGGGATGGGGGCGGCGGGCGACGCGAGGTCCTGGAGGGGGTCGGCGGCGCCGAGGGCGAAGACGCGGGCGAGGAGCTCGACGGGCAGCGAGTGGATGGACGCCATGCGGGCGAGCGGGTTGAGCGCGGGCGGGGCGTCGGGGGGCGGGCGCGGGCGGGGCGTCGGGGGGGCCGTGGACGCTGGGCGGGGGGTGGAGGCCGGGCGAGGGCTGGTGGGCGTGCCTGGAGGCGGGTGGGTGTCAGAGCATGGCTGGAAATGGCAAGGAAGCAGGCGTGGGAGGTGAGCGGCGCATCGGGACAGGGCCGGGCACTCACCTGCGTGTCCCGTGCAATCATGCTCGCTGTCTGCCTGCGTGCAGCCAGAGCGAGTGGAGGCTGATGGCAGGGCTCGGACGACGGCCACCCGCCTCAGGGCCCCCTGTTATCCTCCCCACGGCCCCCACCCGCCCCCGATCCATCTCGCTTTCCAGATCCGCGGCAGATCGCCTGACGCTCCTCGCTTCCCCGCCCAGCCACCCTCGACCCTTCGCAGGTGCGTCTCTCCCCGCGTAAGCCGCATGACATGCGCGCCCGATGCCACCCACCGCCCCGTCACGCGCGTGCTGACATCCTCAGCGAAACCCCACCTCACCTCGGACGACGACGGACGTCCGGACGCGCACCGCTTGCCGCCCAGCCACCACCGCCACGCTTCCCGGTGCGCGCGTGCAGGCGCCCTGCCCTGGTGACGCGGGCCCGCGCTCGGGTCTCTTCAACCGTCCATTTCAATGGCTGCCCGCGTGGCAGGGTCCGCTCCCTGTGGCGACCGCACTCTCACTCCACTCCGCCGCCTGCACCTCCAAGTGGAGGGTGCAAGCGAACATGCACAGACGAGCCGTACGTGATCCCTACACGCGCCTCTGAATGCGTGAATTCTGCGAGCCCTCATCCAATGATCCTGTCTCAGCCACGCATTAGTGGCTGCGTTACGCGAATGCGCGGATGACTCTGGTCTGCAGACCATCGACGCTCGGGTGTTCCTGGGGACGGGATCGCGCGGTGAGTCCCATCAGCCGTGCACTAGCGACCAAAGCCCTACCCGAATCACGCCGCCTCTCATTTAGACTACTCCGCCTGTCGCTACCACCGCGGACATCGTACCCATCGCTGGCTGGTACTCCCGAGTCGTCGATTTGGCTCGGCGAGGAGGATTGGATGCTACGTCCGCAGAGACTTTCGAACCCTCCAGTCTTCTCGCAGGCGGTTCACCTCCTCAGTCTCGCGCGCACGCACCAAAGCTACCATACACTAATCGGCGTATGAGCCCATCCCTAGTACGTCTGGCCGTCGCCACTTACGAGAACGAGCTACGTACATCCTTCCCTTAGCACGGTGCTAACGCACGATTTACATCTCCGCATTCGGACGCCCCACCCTACCCCGGGCGCACTACCGTCGAGGACCGGCCTTCGGCTTGTGGAGAGCCACCACCACTTGACTGGCGAGACTAAGAGCTCACCTGGTACTGGCCACCGCTGGTTCGTTCCCGCACTCCACGCATCTGACCAGACTGGATGCAAATGTGCAAAGCCCTCCACGTCCTGCCTTATCTACGCTAGCATGAACCCCGTCACCGCCGCGGAATCCGCTGCACAACCTGAGCGAGCGAGGCGGGGACGGACGCATTCCTTCTTCAAGGTCTCGGCAGCGCCCCTTGTGACTCCGTCGCCCGTCGTTCACGCGCCATCCCGGACGGAATGCGCAACAACTTGAACGCGAGCGGGAGAAAACGCACAGGTTAGTTATGTCGTTGGCTCGTTTCTCAACGCTTCCTCAGCCGCCCTCGCGGGTTTCGCTCCAAGGCCGGAAGCATAATCAGTAATCGACGATCTCAGTAACTTACAGGAACTTGGACTGGATCTGGACCTGGACCTGGACCCACCAACCACGCACGGCACCGCACGCCCCGACCGATCGCGCCCGATCGCACTAGTGCACAATGTACACCCGATCGCGATCGGCCCCACGGGGGGCAGGGGTGTCTCCGACTCCGCCATGGAGGTATGAGTCAGAGTTGGCGTGAGGCCTCAGGCTGGGAGGGCACGGATACGGGCAATACGCGGTCGCAGGGCCGACTCGGTCCTCGGACGCGAACGTCGACCGGCCAGTCCCAGTCTCAAGACGCCTCGGGAACACGATTCTATAGCGAAGGTTCGGCCCCATAACGCCTCCGCGCCCTTCGCGCCTACGGGCAGACAAATCCTCGAGCACGAGCGCGATGGCAATGGCAATGGCAATGGCGATGTGTGGCGGCGCTGCCAGTGGGGCCCTCAAATTCTGTCTGCGCGAGCGCGGGGGAAGACGGTCCCTGTGCGCGTGGGCGGGCAGGCCAGGGCCCACTGAGTGTTCTGTAGACTCGGACGTGGACCGGACCTTGTACTCAGAGTCAATCGGTAGCTATCATGATCGCGCCATCCTGGAGGCTGGCTTCTGGACCTGGCGGCGCGACGCAGAGGGCAGTAGATGCGCTGCTTCCGTCTGCTGAACGCCGGCCAACGTGTGGTGCACATGGTCGGCCGTCTGGTTCCTTCCGGGGATGGCAGGGTGCGTGTGTGATATGCTCTAGCTCTGGCGGACGTTGAGCGCAGCATCCCCCTGACTGAGGCGGTGGTGTGATGACGCTTTGACTCAGACTGACTCCCGTGATTTACACAAGAACGGTGAGTGGTTGTGTTGAACTTGAACCCGTAGCGCGGCCTTACTCCATCTTATGTGGACCAGACTTGAGTCGGCGGTATGACGGGCTGCAGAACGCTGCATACATTGGCATGCCCGTCCACACTCACTCGGAGTGCGGTCCTGATCCAACACGCTATTCCCGTTCTCGTGCGTTACCCGCTCCTCGTCGCTCTGTCGTCTCGCTGCATCTATCCCCAGTCAAAACGGTGCACCTTGACGATTGCTACGCTTGACTACGCTCACCTCGGCCTCACAGCAATACGAAGACCAAGTTGGCGATATAGCCATCTCCGCGGACGGGTGAGCCAGAACTTTGTAGCGACCCCTCTCCGAGTCGTCAGTAACTCGCGGAACCGGAACAGGTGCTCAGAACTCTATTCGAACATTCGATATCACGACGAGTATAGCTCCCCGCGGTGGTCGACAGTCAAGCTTATTTATATCCGAAGTCGTGACACCCTCGGAGTACTAGGCCAGAGACGGCTAGTACTCTGCATCAACTTTGGCCTGCACTGCACGTCTTCCCGCGACTGTCGGAAGATCTGTACAGATACTCAGAGTGAAGGCGTAATGCTCGCGCTCTGCGAGCTACCCTCGCTCGCCCATGGCAGAGGGAACTACAGGTAACCTCGTTTATTTCGCCCTGTCTTGGCGATACTGAGATTTCGCGCATTTCGCACCACGTACGGAGACGCTCGAATACACTCACTTGTGACGAGAAGCGTGATCATAGTCACGATTGCGTTTCGTCACACTGTGACTCACGTCCGCGTCAGCCCTCCTCGCTCGTTACACGCGTACGACACCACAGTTACGAAGAGCACTGGCCATCCAATCCAACTCGCTGCTTGATTGCTACCGAACACTCGGATATGGGTACTATAGCCGCGTGTTTTCAGCATGGCAAGAAGATAACGTCGTTCAACTTGTTCTCAGGATCCGGAGTCTGGTTCAAAATTGCTCTGAAGGGCATACTATGACTGGGGCACGCTACCGTGACAGTGCGTGTCTTCGACGTACGGAGACGCGTTTCACTAGCGCGCTTCGCGCAGGCTTCCGCCCTTATTACCGAATCATTCTGCTCCCGCATGGCTTGAGCTGGTCTGTGCACGCGCACCCCGCCTCTAACCTCACTTCATCACAAGATGGAGCTCAACGTCGCTCTTCTTGCTCTCATAAGCGGAGGGCTTGGCTTCAGCACCGTTCTGGTCCTCGCGCAGTCCTTTTGCCCCTCTCAGGCGTTGCAGGAGCTTGACCAGACGCTCTCCGATGATGGAGAGGGCTTTGGAGGCTGGATTCATGGCTGGCGGTGGTCGGAACTGCAGACGCAGCTGGAGAAGTGAGTCGCTGTCTGGCATCTGTCGCGCGCTGCCTTCTCATCCGACGTGTTCTAGATCCGAGGAATATGCAAATGACCTCCGCAACAAGATATATGGACTACACTCGTGGTGGCAGGAGCTGAAGGCCGTGCGCTATGGGCTGTTGTGCCAGATACGATGACGATTTCGCGAAGTATATTCGTGAGTAGCACAGTCCAGTCGAATCGATAAGAGCAAACTCATAGCAAGAGCCAATTAGATCGAGATCAATCGAGCTCGACGGAGGACCGCTTCTCAGCGCAATGTGCGGAGGTACAGTACCCAGGAGTCGTTGAGTCGTCGCATTCCGGCGGGGACGCTGCGCCTCGGTCGATCCCTGCAAGCCTAGAACCCGCGGCTGCCACAGCCACAGGCTACGACCTCGAGACGCCCCTGCTCAGTTGCGCGGCTCCGAAACCGACATGACCTCGAAGGGACTCTATTAGGGGACCTTGCGCTTACACAACATCTCGAGGATATCACACCGAACGATGCCGTTGGTACGAATGTCGCCGCAGCGTACGTGTTCTTCGGTTCTCTAATGCAACTAGCTGACGGAGCTTTCCTCAGAGTCGGAACCCGCGAATCTGCCTCCCTTGCCCGCGGCTTGCCACGATTTATACATTGACTTGCCAATGATATCTATCGTATCTGTGCGTGACTCTGACGAGGTTGTTGATCATGCGATGAGTCGTGTGAACAGGCATCTCACTGAGTGTGATGTTCAATGTGCTCGCCCACATTCCAAACGATGACTGGACGTTTACATTCTGCGAAGCCTACTAAGTTTGCACGGAACCCAGAAGGTCAATCGTGTTTGACACCTGAACTATCTCGCACTAATCTAATTCATCCACATCCATCCTCGCGTAGAGCTCATCGTCGAACGCGCGTGCCAACAGGTCGTCGTCTTGCGCTGCGCGGGCGAGGAGGTACTCGTCGAGCTCCCTAGGCCTTGGGGCCGGCTTCGGCCTTACTGGACGGTCAGGACCCGGGTTTGGCCGACGCGGGTCAGGTTTCGAGGGCCGCGGGCCCGGATGAGGGACTGGAGGGTAGTGTGGCCGCGGCGTGATTGGAGGGCGCGGCTGGTGAGGGTTCGGAGGGCGGGGGCCATTGCCCTTTGAGGAACGTGCTGTTAGCTCGCGGGTGTAGAGCTCGTCGGTGACATCGCGCTGGACGAACGCGTCGTGCTCGACGTTGCGGATACCACTGGTGGGTAATGTATCAGTCAAAGTTGAATGGAGATAAAGGAAGAACCCACAGTCCCCAGGGCAGAGCGGATGCCGGCACCGCGGTCGCGGCGATGAAGGCGGTAGAGACAATGGTAAGATAGCGCATATTCAGTACTAATAGGCGTCGAGAAGGATCGTCAAGTCGTCAGGAAAAAGCAATAGCTGGTAATAAGAAGGCTCAGTGTCGGACCGCAGCGGTGTTGAAGTTACTCACCAACCAGTGCTCTTGCAAGGTGAGCTCGAGAAGCAAAATTGAGCTGAGGAGCGAGCACTGAACTCATCGACCTTTATACCAACTGTGGGACACCCAGTGCTCTCCAGTGCTCTCATAACAGCACTTCTATATTGGAGCCTTGATGCCATCTGAACCAAGGGTGCAAGGACGCGAACGCACAGCATTGGCTCCATTGTTAATCTTGTACCCTGATAAGTATGTCCTAGCCTGCGTAGGACAGTACTGAGGTGGCTTTAGGTTCAGCGTCGCTTCGTAGCACGCTCGGGCGACAAGCCGACTACATCGGCTTTGATACGACTCTACGAGACGACGTGGATCAACGAAGCCGAAAAACTTGAAGGTGTTCGATTGTAAGTCCTATTACGCAGTCTCGTCCTACGACTTGGCGTCAAGCTCACGAGTAGCAATCTTGATGAAATAACTTACCATTGTACCATTGATGTCATCATGTTGCACCGTTTTCGATCAAGTCGAGGGCGTGTGGACGGTTGAGGTGAGGTACACCTTGGGTACACCGCAGTTGTAAGCGGCAGAGGACCTGTTGGCAGATGCTGTCATCGGACGACTCCAGCTGTGACAGAAACCTGCGCCGGTGTAGAACACGACGAAAACGGGTGGACATTGCGCGCACAGCACGGGACCTGATGTCCCTCGAGGGACCTTCGGTCGCCTCCGGTTGCATGCATCGCCACAATGTTCTGCATATGATATCCATCACGCAAAGTTACATACGGGGCGATCTCACCAAATCCGCAGTCCAAGTGGCAAGATGCACCGTTCAACAGATGATATCGTATGATATTGGTGCTCGACGCAAGTTGTACGGGCGGTACGTGTTGTCATGGCTCCTGCGGTATGGTCACCACTTCTCTGTGTTAGGATTCACTAAGATACTTACCGATTGTGAACCGTACCGTAGATCCCGCTCTGTATGGGTGTCTCAACAACGCCTTCATTCAAGCGTTTGCGACGTCTAGCATCATTGTATATGTCATGATCGTCCGTGGTCGGACAGCCACAGATCTGGATTCTGCACTTGCGTATATAGCCAGAGCCTCGTGAAGTAGATTGTCTCTTCGCATCGTGGTTCATCTTCCGGGCCCCGTTGCCTCCCGTACGTTCAATGTGCCGAATCCACGTGGGACTCATCCGCCAGAATGGCACAACCAGCTCACCGCACACACTGTTTCAGATACCTGAGATAGGCCTCCGGGCCCTCGGCGACTTCGTCCAAACTTCGCCACCATGTGAAGCACCTCATGGGTCCATTTGGGGTCCATGCCATTTCGTTTCATACGACTCGGGCGAGAAGCCTGCGGGAGAAGAAGCTACGAAGGACGACTCCACGATGGCACGCTGCTCGATAGTATACAGGGCGCCCCTTGGCCGATCACTGGCAGCCGGCGTCTCCTGCGTCCACCGTCCATTGCGACATAGGAACTGGCAAGGCTCAAACACTCAGTGCCCTGACGGCACGCTACATTGTTCTCAATGCGTGTTGCACCGCGCATAAAATTGAAGCAATGCGCTCGCGGTGTAAGTATACGTGGCTAAAGGCCTGGCCGGGTGCGTTTATCGGAGCGTATTTCACGTTGACTTGTACTTCGATTGATTGACCCACGCGGGCGGCGTCGAGCAGGTCGTCAAGACGAGGTGTCATGGCACCGTAACATCCTCATGCTTGCAGGGAAAGCGCTATTCAGACGGTACTTAAGGGCCAGAGGACGAAGTGGGGGAAACCATCCAGCTTCACCCCAACTTCGACCGCGATGTTTGCGTCTACGGCGTCGAAATCTGTGTTCGGCCTTTGCGCCTTCGCCCTACTCCTTTCCGCTCAGGTTGCGCAGGCAGCAAACTCCTTTGCCGGATCGAGTCTGTATTATGCAGCCGGCCTGTATGAGGACGACACAACGACGCTACTCAAGTGAGCATCTTCCTGTTGCATCATACACTTCTGTGCCATTACTGACTTGGAACGTAACAGAGGGATGCAAAGCGCTGGTCTGAAGGTGCTGCGTGTGTGGATTGGCGGCCAGTCCGGCAGCCAAAAGGTATGAATTTGGCGACTTAACAACGCTCCTACGATGTCTGATACGGCTGGTCATCAGGGAACCAAACTCAACCCGTTCAAAGACCTCGAGCCTAACTCTCCTTGCAACGGAGATGCCTCTTGCTACGATGACACGGTCCTCAAGCGGCTCGACGACTTCATGGTGGCGGCCAACTCCTACGGAGTCAAGGTTCGTATCGGTTCCTCATGTGTGAATGCATGACCGTGATATTGACATACGCTTGACAGCTCCTGATCACGATGCATAGTTTCAACGCTCTGGAGGGTAACGACGCCTACGGCAGGAAGTACGGCAAAGGCGACTTCTACTCGAACAACGAGGCGCAGAGCTTCTTCGACGCTCGTCTCGAGCATATCCTGAACCATAACCACACTTCGCTCAACAAGCCCTGGAAGGAGTTGAAGGACTACATCTTTGGATTTGAAGCTGAGAACGAAGCCATGATTGGGAATGTAAGCGCCGTGATCGGTTTGCATTGACATGTCCTGACGTTCTGTGCAGGGTGAATCCTTCGTCAAGGCTCACCAGCAATGGTACAGTCTACATCCCCTGTCGAATCCTAAGACATCTAACGTGTTGACTCGAACAGGCAGTGCGACCGTGCCGGGACGATCAAGGGCCAGCTCGGCAACGACAGCGGGGTGAGCCGGGTTGTTGTGCTCGTTGTCAGCTACATCTCACGTCGCTCATATCCGACAGATTCTCGTTATGACTGGCGGAGAGTCGTGGCTGTCCGAGTCTGTCCAGCCTGGATTTTTGACCTGCGATGCATTGGACGTCATCTCGATTCACGCCTATGGTACCGGGGATCTCGCCACGTCCGCCTTGAAGCCGTACGTGGCGCAAGCGCAGGCCGCTGGCAAGATGCTGATCCTAGAAGAATGGTGATCACCGATCGTCTTCCACATTCTGTGGTACAATACTGACCGCGTCTTCACAGGGGTGCATGCTACTTCGACACTTCGAACAACGACTGCCCTACGGGAGATGCCCTGGATGCGGACACGCGCAGCGGCAACATCATCAACTGGGCCGAGCAAATCGACAACGCCGGGCTTCCTTGGTTGTACTGGCAGGTTCTCCCGAACGCTGACCCTCACGTACGTACTGCCATGGCTTGTCACAAGGTGTTTTGATTGCAATGCTGACCCCTGGTGACCCGTAGAGCGGCTTCGACTACGAGATTGCCCTTGGTGGCAATGACCCAGCCTGGGACGCCCTCCAGCAGGCCGCGAAATCGGCCGCAAACGCCACAGCGGCGTTCGACTTCTCGGCTTACTTGCTGTGAGGCGTTCAAGTGTCGACGAAAGGCGGGTTGCTGCGTATATTTCTCAGCGGTGCAGCACGCAATGTGGTGACTACACTAGTCCCTGACTCCCCCACACTCGTTTCCCTCGTATTTCTCCGACTATCGACACCGCTCACTCTCGTTGCCCTCGTATTTCTCTGGCTACCGACATCGCTTGTTCGTCGAAAATTACAGCAATGCAATCTAATATAGAGGTTCTCACTATCCTCCGGCGGTTATTGCGCAAACATTCAGAGAGATTTGCACCATGATGATCGAGGTAAGCGCGTGCGTTGACATTCGACAGCGGCCGCAATTCGTGGGCACTGCCACACATCATAACGCTGCGATCAACATATGTGTCATCGGCGAGGCGACGGACGAGCTCTTCTGCGTCCCGAAGCTCGCGTGCGCGCCGAGCGAGACAATCTAGTCGAACCCGGAGGAGAACGATGCTGGACGACCTGTTGTTGTACCCGTCTAATGCCATTCTTCGAGCCGGCCGTTCAGCAACCAGTAATACACTTTTTCAATTCCCTCACGAGCAGTACTACTGAAGAAACATCATGTCCAATATTCTCACCGGGTTTCACCGGTTGTGCCGGGGCCAGACATGCGGCGAAGGCGGCCACTGCTGCCCATTTGGTGTTCATGCACATATCGTATGCTGACCGAAGACGGTATGGCATAATGATATCGGTGCGGCAACATTAATCTATCACGTATGTTTGGAGATCGACACGCAGTGACGTAGTACCGTGACAAGACTTGTAGAGGAATTGGGATGCGACTCGGGGCTCCGAATCTTATGCATCCTTCTCGATTCGTCAATGATTCATGTCGTCTAGCAGAGTCGTGAAGTGGTATCATCGGCCTGGCACCCGAGCGTGCTGCTAGCGGAACCACGACGAGATAAATACCGTAGTACTAGTCTAGTGGAGAGCGCATCGAGGGACGAGATTTGATGGAGCGGTGCGCTCGCGTCACTGTTGCACACTTGGTTGACATCGCGCATCAAGCTGTCAGTGTCAAAATGTACACTAGAAGTGATGATACGGCTTTACCGGGGTGACCGAGTCCTGCAGTAGGTATAAAGGTCGATGAGCCTTGCGGTGTCTCCTCAGCTCAACTTCACTTTTCGAGCTCACCCGACAACGGCACTGGTTGGTGAGTCGTCTCGCCCGAGGGCTAGTTCCACATTGCTCTTGTTCGACTCTGACACTTCTCGTTACCAGCCTTTGCCTTTCCTGACGACTTGACGATCCTTCTTGACGCCTGTCCGTACCGACTATGCGCTATCTCACCATTGTCTCTACCGCCTTCATCGCCGCGACTGCGGCGCCGGCCTTTGCTTTGCCTTGGGGCCTGTAAGTTCTTCCCTCATCTCCGTTCAACTTTGATTCACACAAACTCACATACCAGGGGTATCCGCGGCGTCGAGCACGACGCGCTCGTCCAGCGCGACGTCGCCGACGAGCTCTACACCCGCGAGCTGACAGCACGTTCCCCATTGCCCGACGGTCGCGGCGGACGCCCAATTCCCCGCCCGCCGCGGCCAGGCCCTCCAAACCCTCATCCGCGCCCGCGCCCTGGCCCGCGTCCGCCACACCCGGCTCCGGGCCCTCCGAGGCCCTACCGGAGGGAGCTTGACGAGTACGCTCGCGAGCTAGTAGCTCGGTCCCCGGCGCGTGGCGGTGGCCCGCGCCCGAGCCCTATAGTGCAGCGCCCACATCCAGAACCGCGCCCGAAATTTGCCCGGGGGCTGGAAGACGACGAGCTGTTTGCGCGGGCGATGGAGGATGAGCTGTACGCGAGGATGGAGGTGGATGAGCTGGATTAGTACAAGATAGGTGGGAAGTTGTATACAACCTACCTTCCGGGCTCCGTGCAGAGTGGGCTTCGCGGAATGGAAATATTCATTTGTTGTCAGGAACCTATGCGAGAACCTGCTAGTAGAACATCGCCCGCAAGGTAATGCATGTTCACATGGCTCATTGCATGGTCGACTAGCTCGTCAGACTCGCGTTAAATACAGCAGTGTTCTAGTGTGAGGCGGTGTCGTGTACTAGTAGTGACGGAAGGCGAGGAGGACGACCCACGAGGGCCAGGAGGAGGAACGCAAACGCCCGCCCGCGTGTGTGACCCGGACGCGATCGTGACTTTGGTCACGCTCCTCCTCCGGGCCTCCGTCGGTCGCCGCACGGTTCAACTGCAACTACATACTTCACGCTCAGTCCTGTCCTCTCAATGAAACCACTGGTCTCCACTAGAATTTGCTGGCCGGTATGCACGCTTGAGTACAGCCGTTTTGACTCGAAGACAGCAGTCATTTCTAGCTCTGGACGGCGTCGCCGCAGTCTCTGTTAACGTTGTTGTTCGTCGACGAATCGCTATCGATGTCATTGTCACTGTGACTCGCGTCCCCTGACAGTGTTTATCCTCTCCCCCTCCGTCCCACGGCACCAACGTTCACGCGCACGTTCAGCGCTCAGCAGGGTGTCTCTCCCAGCGACCAACGTGTCTGTGTCTCGCGAGCCCTCCAGTTCAGGATCTGAAATGCCAGAGGTACACTCACCCACTCGATTGCTCGCCACATTTCTCGACTGCCTAACCGCCGAGATTATCCCTCGCACGACGCGAGGCGTTGCAGAGGGCAGTAAAGTCTTTGGTGCAGCGATTTTACGAAAGGACGACCTTTCTCTCGTCATCGCGGAGACGAACAATGAGACGGAGTGTCCGGTACGCATGCTGCACAATGCTATGCATATTGCTGACGAAACTCGCCATTGCCCAGCTATATCATGGCGAGGTGCATACCATCAAGCGGTTTTACGAGATTCCACCCCAAGAACGACCATCCCCGAAAGATTGCTTTTTCTTGACAACGCATGAGCCGTGCTCACTGTGTCTCAGGTGCGATGTGTCGCGGACATCACCTCTGGCAGCCCTTGACTAATAGTGGTACTTCGTTGTAGTGCCATCACTTGGTCCGGATTTGACAACTTCTACTACTTCTTCACGTACGAAGACACCCGGGATGCCTTCAGCATTCCGTACGACATCGACATCATAGAGGAGGTCTTCCAGACACCCGCTGAGGGCGAGTCTCCCGAGTCCCGACCCGGTCGCCCGTTGTACAATCGCAAGAACAAGTTCTTCGAGGCAACGTCTTTCGCGGAGTTACTGGAGAACGTCAAAGATGAGGTAGACAGGGCTGCGTTTGCGGCAACGATAATGGACATCAAGCAGCGGTATGCTGCGTTATCGAGAGAATACCAAAGTCAGAAAGGTGTCGCGGATACTATTGTATTCCAGTAGTCCGCCGTCTACCTGCAACAACAAATCTGTGCGTCGGCTGCATGTTCCTCCCTCGTTGTTTCTGACCGCAAACACTTAGGTTCGCATTTAGTGGCACGCTGAGTAACAAGACGAGCCCTAGAAACACAGGTCCTACACGAGCGTCGGTCCTGTTCTCAGATATTCAATGCGAGAACGATGCAGTTTCCCCTAGTATGTTCTCGATACTTCTGGCACCATCCTCGCGATCATTCACACTCAATCATCCACCAATCCTCCTCCATCTTTTTCAGCAACTATCTAGAAGGTGCTGGAATGAACCTTGACCGCTCCGTATTCCCGGTGCGCTACCTCAACGAGTAGCACCTGTGATATCTGATTGGTCTACGAGGGCGTCTAGATACACCGAGCACTGCCCGCACTGCCCAGGACGTACAGTTGGGCAACGAGGCGCTCAGTGGCATTGCAAGAAGAGCATTTACCGGTCATTTGACGGACTGAAGGAGCCCGCAGTATAAGTGCTCGTCCGAACAGTTTGCTCTGCCCATCTAGCTATCCATACCACCGCGAGCACCGCACTTCGGCGGCTCAGACGTGGGAATGTCGTTCAACTTCAATGTCTTCGGGGCTGTCACCGGCGGTCTAGGTTTCTTGCTCGCCATCCTCCAATACCTCTTGTTCGTGACATTTCGCCCGTCCCGCGTGTTGAGGGCTCTCGAAGAGAGTCTCGACTCCCTACAGAACGTCCTGGTTGATGTACAGAGAGACGGCATACCGGATGATGACTTCTCTCTAGGTTGGGCGGGTGCTCAAACAAGGCTCGACCAGTATGATGAATGCGCTATATTACATGTTGTATCGAAGTACTGACTTGCCACATAGTTACAGGACACGAACACGTATGCTCCGTTGCGAGGTCAACAGTCTGGCATCAGTTACATCCGAGATCAACGCTATCATGTGCGGACTGACGTGCAAGCTGTTCAGTCTTCGTCGCAAGACGTATTCATTACTCGCTGAGGTCGCGGTATGTAGGACACTAGGATGTCTGAACCGCCTTTCTGAACTATGTATAGGTGGCGGAACTCTTTGAACGCCAGCGACAAGAAGACCATATGTTGGACAACCAGTTCTCAGTGCGTGTGTTCGGCGCCACGGCCATGTCTGCCGCAGAGGCAGAGCACTATGAGGCGTCGGTCAACACGGCCCGACCGATGTATACAGTGTTCGTCTGCTTCGTTCACACAACGTGACACATCTCATAACAAAGCATTGTAGGCGCAATAGGCGCGTTGCCTCCTATGCAAGTGCAGAAGCCATAGGTGGAAATATCGACCCCTCAAACGCTTCACTTTATTACCGGTACGTTACATGATACATCAGCGTCACCACCATCGTCTTTTGACTCATTCAACGGGTTTGACCCCCACTCAGAACACGCGAGGCTGGCTGTTCTTCGGTCATGAACTCAATATCAAGCGAAAGTGCTACTGCGGGAACGTTAGTAACTCATCGGGATCTGCCTTGGTATATTCCAACGACATGTACTGCAGCGCGGCTGATGAAGCAGCACCCATAGCCCATACTCGTCATAAGAATAAGCCTATAGGCGTGCTCCATCTTGACCAAGGGCTGTCTACGAGGGTAGCTATCGGAGTATCTACCGGCCACAACGAGTAAGTCTGTGCTGTTCGTTCGAATGTGTGACCTGAACGTGTGGCAGATCGACCGAGATGGGTGTTCGGTTGACCTCTTCTGGTGAATCTGTTCCTCGTGGAGATGACGTACCCGAAGATTCCTCTCCGCTCGCTTCTGGTTCTAGTCAAAATAGCATGTTCCTGCCTGGGGATGCAGCAACAGCATCGATCGAAGCAAGCCCTTCAGAGCCTCAGCATGTCTTCACGGACTCGATGTAAGTCGTGATCATGTCATCTTCCATCCGCACGCTCACTGCGCCACAGATTCAACGTAGAATCGCTCTTCTCTCCGGGAACCACATATCTCCGGCAAGATCGACACGGACAGACACATCTGACCGCCATCCCAATCCTTCTCCTGACTAGCGACATGATAGGGCCTCTGACACAGACGAGAACCTCGGAGGCTCCTTCCGCTCGCGCTTCAGGTAGACAGGGGCGACTCCCCAGCCCATCAGTGCGAGGGATCATGGAGTACTCCGGCCGGCGGTCAAGCACTACTGACGCACGAGGGAGCCTTTCGTCGCGGGCCGTGTCTTGATATGCCTTCCCTTAGATTCGGGCGCAGAGGGGGCTTGATGATGGCCTTGAAGAGCGCGAATATCGAGTATATACAGAACGAGATGTGTCAACAATGCCAACATACGACATCCATGGTGGTATCGAGTGTTATACACGCAAACAATGGGTATTTGAGCTTCTATAGTATCATGCTCAAGCGATGCGCGGCTCTGGTATGCCGGTATCGTCTTTGTTATCCATCGGCACGTTGCCGACTGCGAGCCTTTTCCATGGACTGGTGATCGCGCAAGTCAGCCAATCATCAACTACACGCGGAACATAATACAGGCCTATATGGGTATTTTCGGTGGACGCTACGCAAGAACTTCTATTCAATGATCTGTGCGTGGTTGCTCTTTCCTCTTGTATGATGATGCTGATCCATCGCGTTAGGTACAACTCGAGTATAGTGATGGCTCGATCGCTCTCGTAAAAGCAATCATTAACTGAGTTGATGACACTCGCAGGTGCGCTTCCAAATCATGTACGCACAGGTCGATTTGTTGTTTTATCGACTTCGCGAGGGCCGAGTCTCTCTGAACTGCGCATGTGACTGCAAGAATTGGCAGAGAGTGGAGTGCCCTTGTTTATGGATAATCGCATTCACGTCGGTCTCAATGTCCGCCGTGCTGTGGAGCCGCCGCGGTCTGGCTGTACCGTGCTGGTGCATTCTATGCCCCACAAGCCTTCACTATGTACTACCATGCTCTTAGCAACTTCACCGAGTGTAGCTCGGTTATAGAGGCAACGTCATCTGATAGTACACGAGACGCCGTCTGGTGACCAAGTCAGCCGTCTAAGTATATGCCTACTTGCTCGGAGTATTCACTGACGTATGCATCGTTTATTTCAGTGTCTCAGACTAGGGATCGCGCCTTGATGCCGTGTAAAGCACTACTACCGCGGCCTTCGGGACAGTGGATGCGTTTCCGTAAGGATTTAGACGCGACTCAGCCGCTCTAAAGCGGTTATAGCGGAGATTGAACTGTAATTAAGAGGTAGGTTGTATTCCGTAAGCCACAATAGAGACGTCTCAAACACGGGCGACCTAAGTATCGTCCGCACCTCCGCGCGGCCGAGTCCTCTGCTGTGCATCCTCTCTCGATCCAGCTACAGGATGACGACGAGCTTGAGGAAGATGATGACATGCAGCGCTCCGTTCTCGCTGCTCTCCTCAGCGGCCAGCCTCCTTGGCGCAGTTGAATCCCACGAAGGACGACGAGCTCACCGCCGCAACCACTACCTGACCCCCGCAGAACTCTTGCCAGACCCTCGCATTGACACCCCCTGGCAGCGTCTTTGGGAAAGCCAGAACGACCGCGCTTTTGTCACACCCATGGGGGTTGACGTCACAACGTTCCACGTACGTTGTTGATAACGGCTTTGCGCACAGATTCACTACCATCCCAAGAACTGACACGAATCCCCAAGGACGAACTCGCCTGCCCTTTCCCTTTCCCTCTCCCGTCGCCGCTCCGTCCCTTTCCTGACACCACCCCTTAGCGTCTAACCACGACGGGGCTCGGGCTCGGCGTGCACGAGCACTAACACGAGCACTAACGCGAGTACCCAGCGCGCAAAGGCGCCCGACAACTGCCCAGCGTGTAAACGCACCCGACAACTGCCCAGCGCGCAAACGCACCCGACGAACGGACGACGGGCATGCGAGCGAAGGATAGGCGAGGGCGACGACGGGCAGGGCTGGGGCGTGCAGAACGGCGAATGCCCTGCGCGCAGACGCAGCCGACGAGTGAACCGTGGGTGCGATAGCGAACAACAGCCTTGGGCGAGGGAGTGAAGGCGAGTGCTGACGCGAGCGAGCGAGCTAAACGTGGGCACAGGACGCGGCGACGCGCAGTACAGCACACGCGCCGACCGCGGGCGCGCAGGGCGAACGCCCCGCGTGCAGACACAGCCGACGAATGCAGACACGAGCAGGCGGGCACACACACACCCGACGACCCGCATGGCGACGAAGAGCGCACAGGGCAACTGCCCAGCACGCAAATGCGACCGACAAACGGGCAGCGCGCGAGTGAACAAAGAACGAGCGACTGCGAGCGGAAGACAGTGGGCGAGGATGGGTCGGCAGCAGTGGGCAGGGCCGAAACGCGCGCGCGCGAGGGTGAGTATGGCGGGAGGGTGGTGGGGACGCGCGAGGGCGGGCAACCGGAGAGGAGGGCCTATGCGAGAGGAGGGCGGGCACAGGCGCACTAACCCCCGCGTCTACCCCGCGGTAGGTGAACCAACACCGGCGGTGAACGCAGGTAGGGTACGGGTAGTAGCACCGCACACGGGTGCGGGTGCGCTATGCACCCGCACCTGCGGTGCTACCCGTGTCCATCCTTAAGGTCCCTCACGTATGTTTCAGCACATTGCCTAGTGGGTTTGAAGAGGCTTGCGTGGGCTGAGCACGTATGGAAAGTATCGAAAACATGCTGTAGTACATGGTTCAATCGACGTTGTAACAATAGGTGTTGCATTCCTGAAATGGAAATACATTAAGAACAACCTGCTGCCCCACGTCTTGTAATGCCAGCATCTAGCAAGGGGGTCTTAACCCCCTTGCTAGATCCCCGTGTTTACGGCCTGCAAATGCTGCTGATGGACGCTGAAACAGCTCTCCGTGGTCACGATCTCAACTTTGGGAATTGCGATCCGAACGGACATCGTCGGCATGTCCTCGCCTTGCCTTTCTGGGCAGCGGACAATGAATGTTTTCGTGCTCAAAGCCTTTACGGCGGTCGCCTTGGGCGCTCAATAGCGGTGATCTGGAGTCTAGAGCTGTTCGACCCCATCTAAACCCTTACGGAAACGCATCCAGTAGCCTCGGCTTCCAGTCTCACCCCGGAGCATGCAGACCGTTCATTGCAGCACCGCCTAGACTGAACTTCGTGTATAAATGACGAGTTCACTCCAGTGTAAGGAAGATAGAGGTCCCGGTGCATTCACTCGTTTTCATTGTAACGAGCCCCACGAACAGTTCTCCCACCTCCAGATCTGAAGCTTTGCGCTATGAGACTCCTCCCCCTCATCCTCTCTGCCGCATCCTTGGTGGCTTTGACGTTCGCGCAGGGCATCGATATCGGTGCGCCCCTTGCAGGCAGCGCCATTCTACCGGGACAGAATCTCACTGTTGAGGTCGATCGTCCGGTAAGCCTCCTCCTGGGTCATAACGAACTTCAATGCTCACTGCGCCCGGAACAGAACTCACTCACCGGCTCCGAGGAAGTCGCCATCGTAATCTCGATCGTCCCGTGTGAGACCTCGACCTGCAACTCGCCCACGGAGGACATCAGCACGAACCTCGGGCCCCTCGGGGTCATCCTTTACAATGGACCCTACAACCCGCAATACGACAGTGTCTCACCGCCGGACCACAAGCCGCCCCACCAGAACTTCACCGTACAGGTTCCGAGCTGGTACAGGAGCGGCGACAGTGTCGCGTTGGCTGTGACGCACATCAGTCTTGTCTCCGTGAGTGGACTCTCGCGTCGAATCGTCGAAGCTGTGATACTCATCCGCGTTGTCTAGGCTGGACCTTGGGTGTTGCTGGAGTTCAAGAACGTGTCCTTGGTTGTTGACTAGGAGTGGATTTGTATGACGCGGTTTTACATCATTGCGTCACGGACCTGATGGACTCCGGCTTGCACGAATCGCTCTATTTCCATTTCCTCTGCCATCATGTTGCATACTTGATAACATGGCAAGTGTCCAGATCGTCAACGACGAAGGAGCTACGGAACAATGCAGTTCGTCTGGAGAAGGGTATACCGGCGGCCCCCTGCAAGTCGCGTTCACAAAGTGATTGCATGTAAAGAAAGAGCTAGGATGAAATCGCTTCGCAACAGTTGGCCGTCCCTGTGCCCCTCAAGTTAGCGACACACTTCAAGTCTCGTCGAACGATCACCGCGGGCCCCGGCAATAGAGAGCGAGATGACACGACAGCGCGTCCACCCTCGACAGCGTGCGATCGCACCGCGGGCACACGACACCAGAGCTCTTCAGATGCACGACCGCGATGTGCTTGGGCAGCGCCTCGCAGTACACCTCCTTCCCGCACGCGCCATTCGACAACCACCATTGGCAGTGCGTGCGTGCGCGTCCCTGGTGCATGTCGATGTCCGCGGTGTGGAAGTGGAGTAGGTGGTGCTTGATGCTGGAGGGCGAGGAGATGTCGAGCGACACGCCGCATGGGGAGCCGAACCAGCAGAGGGTGTCGTGCGTGTACGTGACGGAATCGGCCTCCGAGTCAGCGCATGCAAGTCCGGGAGGGAGCGCGGCGTATACGTGCAATGTCGGCGACGGCGTGCAGGGAAGTGAGAGGAACGGCGGTCGGGGAGGACTTTGTGAGCCACCTTGGGCAGGAGTGCTCCAAGTACGCTCCCAAGGAGACAGTTGGGCATGGTTCGCCGATACACTGATGGGAAGGGCGCTCGCTCGCACAGGCCCGGGGGTGACCCGACCTCCAGAATGACTTGACCCCGGAGTCAGTGGGTCCATAGCGGGATTCGCGTATTCATGGTTGACATGCAGCAGCCGCACATTACTAGGATTATCATAAGCCTCCAGCACGTCCAAATCCCACAACTGCACTCACGGATGCACGATCCGACCCCGCGTCGGATGACCTGTTGCATGAAGCGCACCGGTCACCAAGGCGGGCGCCTGCTGAAGTAGGGGTCGCTGAAGCCCAGAGAACGCAGACCGAGAAAAAGAGGTGTACGACATCTGGTTCGTACTGCTGCTGGATGTAGCCCGAGCTATTGCTGAGACGGCGCATTTATAGGTCAATATATGTGCAAAAAGTCCGGATTTGCATTGTACGAAGCCCGACCGTAGCGCTACGAGCGCCGTTGCCGTGCATACGCGTACTTCAGAAGGGTTGATCCTTGCGATAAGTGAGACCCCTACTTGGTGTTCGTCTAGATCCTTCACTGCCATCCACAGTCTCTCGTGATGATGTACGAACGACCGTCGGCCGAGCCTGAGCTCTCTCCTAAGTTAGCGAGAGCACAATTCTCGCTGGCTCGAGCGCGATTGGGGCGGTGCACTGGTATATGTGCCCGTGCACGTCGCACCACGCAGCCGACTCAAACAGAATAGACAACTCACGCACCGAAGCATACACGGCTCGGCTGCCGCATCTGCATGAGCAGGCAGCCTTCAACAAAGCGACGATGAAAACTCCACCGAACTGTATGCTATCTGCGGCCTGCCGCAGCCGCAGCTTCAGACTGACCAGACTTGGACGAAGGCTAGGACCCCAGCTGGCAGCCGCACGGTATCACGAATGCGGCGAGGGAGCAAGGTCGGACGCCCTGAGCAACTCGGCAGGAACGTACGTGTCCTAAGTTGTCAGCGAGTAATGGATAGGTCTTGCGACGAAGACTGAACAACTTGGTAGAACCGCTTGATGGTATGCACCTCGCCATGATATAGCTGGGCAACGGCGAGTCTCGTCAGCCAGCAAGACACAGCGTTATGCAGCATGCGTCCCGCCGGACACTCCGTCTCATTGTTCGTCTCCGCGATGACGATAGAAAGGTCGTCCTTTCGTAAAATCGCTGCACCAAAGACTTTACTGCCCTCTGCAACGCCTCGCGTCGTGCGAGGGATAATCTCGGCGGTTAGGCAGTCGAGAACTGTGGCGAGCAATCGACTCGGAGTGGGTGAGTGTACCTCTGGCATTTCAGATCCTGAGGCCTGAACAGGAGGGCTCGCAAAACACGGACACGTTGGTCGTTGGGAGAGACACCCTGGGACGGGAGGATAAAGACTGTCAGGGGACGCGAGGCACCGTGACATCCATCGCGATTCGTCGACGAGGTTATCCAGAGCCATGACCGCAGTGAGAGATGGAAATGACTGTTGTCTTCAAGTTAAAACGGCTGTACTAAAGCGTGCATAGTGGCCAGCGAATTCTAGTGGAGACCAGTGGTATTATAGAGAGGACAGTACTGAGCATGAAGTATGTAGTAGCAGTTGAATCAGAACCGCGCGGCGACCGACGGACTCAGAGGCCGGAGGAGAAGCGTGACCAAAGTCACGATCGCGTCCGGGTCACACGCGTGCGCGGGCGTTTGCATTCCTCCGCCTCAGGCTGGCCCTCGTGGGTCGTCCTCCTCGCCTTCCGTCACTACTAGTACACGACACCGCCTCACACTAGAACACTGCTGTATTTTACGCGCAAGTCTGACGAGCTAGTCGACCATGCAATGAGCCATGTGAACATGCATTACCTTGCGGGCGATGTTCTACTAGCAGGTTCTCGCATAATAGGTTCCTGACAACAAATGAATATTTCCGTTCCGCGAAGCCCACTCTGCACGGAGCGCGGAAGGTCGGTTGTATACAACTTTTCAACTATCTTGTACTAATCCAACTCATCCACCTCCGTCCTCGCGTACAGCTCATCCTCCAAGGCCCGCGCAAACAGCTCATCGTCTTCCAGCTCCCGGGCAAGGATGTACTCGGCGACCTCCCTCGGGTGCGGTGGATATGGGCGCTGCACTATAGGGAACGGGCGCGGGCGACCGCCACCGCCACGGTCCGAGGACCGAGCTACTAGCTCGCGAGCGTACTCGTCGAGCTCCCTCCGCGCAAACAGCTCGTCGTCTTCCAGCTCCCGGGCAAGGTTGTGCCTCGGGCGCGGTTCTGGATGTGGGCGCTGCACTATAGGGCTCGGGCGCGGGCCACCGCCACGCGCCGGGGACCGAGCTACTAGCTCGCGAGCGTACTCGTCAAGCTCCCTCCGGTAGGGCCTCGGAGGGCCCGGAGCCGGGTGTGGCGGACGCGGGCCAGGGCGCGGGCGCGGATGAGGGTTTGGAGGGCCTGGCCGCGGCGGGCGGGGAATTGGGCGTCCGCCGCGACCGTCGGGAAATGGGGAACGTACTGTTAGCTCGCGGGTGTAGAGCTCGTCGGCGACGTCGCGCTGGACGAGCGCGTCGTGCTCGACGCCGCGGATACCCCTGGTATGTGAGTTTGTGTGAGTCAAAGTTGAACGGAGATGAGGAAAGAACTTACAGGCCCCAAGGCAAAGCAAAAGCCGGCGCCGCGGTCGCGGCGATGAAGGCGGTAGAGACAATGGTGAGATAGCGCATAGTCGGTACGGACAGGCGTCAAGAAGAATCGTCAAGTCGTCAGGAAAGGCAAAGGCTGGTAACGAGAAGTGTCAGAGTCGAACAACAGCAATGTGGAACTAGCCCTCGGGCGAGACTACTCACCAACCAGTGCCGTTGTCGGGTGAGCTCGAAAAGTGAAGTTGAGCTGAGGAGACACCGCAAGGCTCATCGACCTTTATACCTACTGCAGGACTCGGTCACCCCAGTAAAGCCGTATCATCACGTCTAGTGTACATTTTGACACTGACAGCTTGATGCGCGATGTCAACCAAGTGTGCAACAGTGACGCGAATGCACCGCTCCATCAAATCTCGTCCCTCGATGCGCTCTCCACTAGACTACTACTACGGTATTTGTCTCGTCGTGGTTCCGCTAGCAGCACGCTCGGGTGCCAGGCCGATGATACCACTTCACGACTCTGTGAGACGACATGTATCAGTGACGAATCGAGAAGGATGCATAGGATTCGGAGCCCCGAGTCGCATCCCAATTCCTCTCCAAGTCTCGTCACGGTACTACGTCACTGCTTTCGATCTCAAAACATACGTGATAGATTAATGTTGCCGCACCGATATCATTATGCCATACCGTCTTCGGTCAGCATACGATGTGTGCATGAACACTAAATGGGCAGCAGTGGCCGCCTTCGCCGCATGTCTGGCCCCCGGCACAACCTGTGAAACCCGGTGAGAATATGAGACATGATGTTTCTTCAGTTACTGCTCGTAAGGGAATTGAAAAAGCGTATTACTGATTGCTGAACGGCCGGTTCGAAGAATGGTATTAGACGGTATACAACAACAGGTCGCCCGTCCAGCATCATCGTTCTCCTCCGTGTTCTACTAGATTGTCTCGTTCGGCGCGCACGCGAGCTTCGCGACGCACAAGGCCTCGTCCGTCGCCTCGCCGATGACATATATGTTGATCGCAGCGTTATGATGTGTGGCAGTGCCCACGAATTGCGGCCGCTGTCAAACGTCAATGCACGCGCTTACCTCGATCATCATGGTGCAAATCTCTGTGAACGTTTGTGCAATAACCGCCGGAGGATAGGGAGAACCTCTATATTAGAATGCATTGCTGTAATTTTCGACGAACAAGCGATGTCGATAGCCAGAGAAATACGAGGGCAACGAGAGTGAGCGGTGTCGGTAGTCGGAGAAATACGAGGGAAACGAGTGTGGGGGAGTCAGGGACTAGTGTAGTCACCACATTGCGTGCTGCACCGCTGAGAAATATACGCAGCAACCCGCCTTTCGTCGACACTTGAACGCCTCACAGCAAGTAAGCCGAGAAGTCGAACGCCGCTGTAGCGTTTGCGGCCGATTTCGCGGCCTGCTGAAGGGCGCTCCAAGCCGCCGGGTCACTGCCATCAAGACCGATCTCGTAGTCGAAGTCACCCTACAGGTCACCAGGGGTCAGCAATGCTCAGACACCTCGCGACAGGCCAAGGCAGTACATACGTGAGGGTCAGCGTTCGGGAGAACCTGCCAGTACAGCCAAGGAAGCCCCGCGTTGTCGATTTGCTCGGCCCAGTTGATGATGTTGCCGCTGCGCGTGTCCGCAGGCAGGGCATTTCCCGTTGGGCAATCGTTGTTCGAAGTGTCAAAGTAGCATGCACCCCTGTAAGGAAGGATGTGGTCGGTGTCGTGCAACAATGTGGAAGACGATAGGTGATCACCATTCTTCTAGGATCAGCATCTTGCCAGCGGCCTGTGCTTGCGAAACGTACGGCTTCAAGACGTCCGTGGAGAGATCTTCGGTACGGTAGGTATGGATCGAGATGACGTCCAATGCATCGCAGGTCAAAAATCCAGGCTGGACAGACTCGGACAGCCACGACTCTCCGCCAGTCATAACAAGAATCTGTCGGGTACGAGCGACATGAGATGTAGCTGACAACGAGGAGAACAACCCGGCTCACCCCGCTGTCGTTGCCGAGCTGACCCTTGATCGTCCCGGCACGGTCGCACTGCCTATTCGAATCAACACGTTAGATGTCTTAGGGTTTGACGAGGAACGTATACCGTACCATTGCTGGTGAGCCTGGACGAAGGATTCACCCTGCACAGAACGTCAGGACATATCAATTCAAACCGATCACGACACGTACATCTCCAATCATGGCTTCGTTCTCAGCTTCAAATCCAAAGATGTAGTCCTTTAACTCCTTCCAGGGCTTGTTGAGCGAAGTGTGGTTATGGTTCAGGATATGCTCGAGACGAGCGTCGAAGACGGTCTGCGCCTCGGCGTCCGAGTAGAAATTTTCTTTGCCGTACTTCTTTCCGTAAGGGTCGTTACCCTGCAGAGCATTAAAACTATGCATGGAGATCAGAAGCTGTCGAATGTATGTCAATATCACGGTCATGCATTCACACAGGAGGAACCAATACGAACCTTGACTCCGTAGGAGTTGGCCGCCACCATGAAATCGTCAAGACGTTCGAGCACCGTGTCATCGTAGCAAGAGGCAGTTCCGTTGCAAGGAGTGTTGGGCTCGAGGTCGTTGAAGGCGTTAAGTTTGGTTCCCTGATCAACCGTATGTGACATCGTAGGAGCGTCGTTAAGTCGGCAAATTCATACCTTTTGGCTGCCGGATTGGCCGCCAATCCACACACGCAGCACCTTCAGACCAGCGCCTTGCAGCCCTCTATCACGTTCCAAGTCAGTAATGGCACAGAAGTGTACGATGCAACAGGAGGACGCTCACTTTAGTAGGGTCGTTCTGTCGTCCTCGTTTAGGCCGGCCGCATAATACAGGCTGGACCCAGCAAAGGAGTTTGCTGCCTGTGCAACCTGAGCGGAAAGGAGTAGGAAGAAGGCACAGAGTGTGAAGACAGGTTTCGACGCCGTGGACGCAAACATCGCGGTCGAATCTAGTCTGAACTGGAAGTTCGATGGCTTTCTCCACTTCGTCCAGTCCTTAAATACCGTCTGAATAGCGCTTTTCCTGCAAGGATGTTACAGTGCCATGGCACCTCGTCGCGACGACCTGCTCGACGCCCGCGTGGGCCAATCAATCGAAGTGCAAGTCGACGTGAAATACGCTCCGATGAACGCACCCTAGGTATCCTAGGCCCTTAGCCAAGGATACTGACACCACAGGCGCATTGCTTCAACTTTGGACGCGGTGCATCGTGTTTTCCTATGCAATGAGAACAAGGAGGCGTCCGTTCGTATGTCGCAGTAGGATACACTGGTCGGCCAAGGGGCCCTGTGTATCGAACATCGTGGAGTCGTCATTCGTAACGTCTTCTCCCGCAGGCTTCTCGCTGGGGTCGTATCAAACGAAATGGCATGGATTCATGAGGTGCCTCACCTTGCTTCACATGGTGGCGAAGTTTGGGCGAAGTCGCCGAGGGTCCGGAGGCCTATATGTATCTGAAACAATGTGTGCGGTGAGCTGGTTGTGCCATTGTGGCGGATGAGTCCCATGTGGACTCGGCACATTGAACGTACGGGAGGCAACGGGGCCCGGAAGATGAACCACGATCGGCGGAGAGACAGTCTACTTGACGAGGCTTTGGCTATATATGCCAGCAGTGCAGATCGTGGCCTCTGTGGCTGTCCAACCGCGGACGGTCATGACATATGCGATGATGCTAGACGTCGCAAACGCTTGGATGAAGGCGTTGTTGGGACACCCAAACAGAGCGGGATCTACGGTACGGTATACAATCGGTGAGTATCCTAATGAATGATATCACAGAGAAGTGGTGATGATACCGCAGGAGCCATGACAACACGTACCGCCCGTCGAAATTGCGTCGAACACCAATATCATACGATACCATCTGGTAAGTTAGCATCTGGTGAGCAGTGCTGACGCGGACCTCCGCGCACGTGACATTAGTCACAGTGTGACGCCACGCGATCGTGACTTTGGGCACGCGTCCCTCGGCATGTTAGCTTGCACTGTCTGAGTGCTCCGATCTATTATACACGTGGTTTGCGAGAACAGAAAGCTATCAGTACAACATATACAAATTACACACACACACTATCCCAACTAGATAGAGCACTGCCGCCTGAGCCCCGGGCCTCGCACAGAGGCCTCACGCCTTGAGCCCGTGGCGCACCTTATAATCCCGCCCCGCTGCGTCCGCGCCCTTGATCGCGGCGAACACGATCTCCTCCGTGATGAGCCTGTCCATGTTCCAGATCGTCTCGTTCGGCGCGCACGCGAGCTTCGCGACGCGGAAGAGCTCCTCGTCCGTCGCCTCGCCGATGCCCAGGTCCGCGAGCGTCACGGGCAGGTCGACGGACACCATCAGCGCGAGGTAGCGGTCCATCTCCTCAGTGGGCGCGCTGTCGAGGATCAGCTGGCACACGGTCCCGAAGGCGACTGCGAGGAGAAGGGTGAGTTTGGGAGGGGGGAGAGTAGGGAGGGTGCGTACCTTTCTCGCCGTGCATCTTCGTGTGCAGGGTGTGATTGTCGATCGCCGTGAGGCCATTGTGGATCTATGTGAGCGTCAGCAACGACATCACGCGTGGATCCACGACGGAGCACTCACAGCATGCGCGGCAGCAAGACCCCCCGACTCGAATCCCAGCCCGGACAAGAGCGTGTTCGCCTCCACGACCGCCTCAAACGCGGGCGTGACCGCCCTCGCCTTGTTCGCCTCGACCGCCTGGCGCCCGTACTTGAACAGGATCTCCTCGCACTTCGCGCCGATCGCCGCAGACACCTCCGTCGGGACGCCCCCGCCAAAGTTGGGGCTGTTCCGCGCGGACTTGGCCTCGAGGTTCGTCGCGATCGCGTCGCCGATGCCCGCGGCGAGGAAGCGCGCGGGGGCCTTGACGACGACGCTGGTGTCGACGAGGACGGTGGACGGGTTCTTGGAGTAGAAGCGGTAGTGCTCGAACTCGCCGTTCGCCTTGTAGATGACGGAGAGCGCGGAGCACGGCGCGTCCGTCGACGCGGTCGTCGGCAGCACGGCGATCTGCAGCCCGAGGTCGTCCGCGATCGCCTTGGCGGTGTCGATCGTCTTGCCGCCGCCGAGGGCGAGGATGAAGTCGACGGAGTTGTCTTTGGCGATGTTGCCGATGCGGGCGACTTCCTCCCGGGAGGCTTCACCGCCGAAGATGCCGCGCGTCACTTTGTAGCCCGAGGTTTCGAGAGCACCAGTGAGGTCCTTGCCGGCTGGGGCTTGTCAGAACGGATCAATGCAAGGATAGGAGGCGGCACTCACCAATGCCATAGACGAGTTCATCGGAGAGGAGGAGCGGGGATTTGCCAAATGCAGACAGGTACTTGCCCGCATTGTGGATGGCCGCGGGGCCCTGAATGTACTTGGACGGGGACTGGAAGAGCCGCTCGGTGATCCTGTTCGGGTTCGGCATGTGTTTAGGAGTGGTAGCTGCGAAGCTGTGTGGATGAGAGTAGGTGAAGCTGCGAGGATGGGAGGCAGAGACGCAGCACGGGCAGGGTTTATGAACGATGCGAGTGGAGGGAAGAGGCTGCGGGCCGGGATGAGATGCGTGGGTGGAGAAGGAGCGGGCGTACTCACGGACTGGATGGAGGGGCCGCGACCGGAGAGGGACCGCGAGCCAATACACGGTCGGTGTCCAGGTCGGATGTGTACACGCCCTAGAGCGAGCCAGTTCGTCGGGGTGCGCAACATCTCCGCTGCGGTGTGGCACTCACTGGGTGCTCCTGCTGGTCGTCGCGGAAGAAGCCAGGCTGTAGAGGTGTATGTCGCCGGATATGCAGCATATATGCGCGTTTGACGGGCGTAGAGCACGACGTCATGGGCCACACCACGCGCCCGGCCCGCCTGGCGGCACACGCGTGTATGGCCCGAAGCGTCGGTGCGGGCCCCCGCCCCAGTCCGTACGCCCGTAGTGGGAGGACCCCTGATTATATGCGGAGAGGCCTGATCCGCTTGTCCGCAAATTTGGCCCTTGTGTCCGGACTTTTTCGGCGAAATTTGGCTTTTTTTGGCCGGATAAAATCAGGCAATGGTCTCGTTTACGAGCTATAGTCCGGATACCGATTTAGGCATGTCTCTGGCGGTCAGTCGTCCGGATGGGGGGATCAGGCATCGACGAGACGCCTTTGTGTCCGGACGAGAGGATCAGGCATCAGAGAGATGACATTTTGCGAGCAAAAGGGTCATAAGAGATCAGCGAGGTGTTGAGATTGCTATTCCTTGAACAAGCTTCAAAGGAATACATAGAGCTCTGAGCGTCGCGCTGACCGGCGCGCGCACAGCGAAGCGCCCGTGCGAACGACGCGCCGCTCTCCGTCCTCAGTGGGGCATAAATTTCTAAGTGTTGGCGATGGCACGGAGAGCGTACTGTGGTATGTAAGACTGGCTGTACCAAGTTCCGGGACCTACACACAACGTATAACTACTCTGGGTAGCACGAGACTCCGATGTGCCAATTTACTCGAGCTAATAGTAGTAGTTAGTACTAGTCACCTACTAGGAGTCCATGATCTCGAACGCTCGCCGCGACTTGTCGTACTTGATCCATGATCTCGAACGCTCGCCGTGACGTGTCGTACTTGGTCCATGTTCTCGAACGCGTAACACAAACAACGGTACGGCTTGAGTCATGACGTCCCACTGCCACGGTTTTAAGCGACTCGGAGCGATGTACCGTCACGACGCTGTGGTAGCGTCGTTTGCAAGGCCGCGTTCATCTTCGACAGGTCTGTTGAACCAAGATTCATAGCACAAGTTGCCCTTCGGCGCCGGAGACATCAAGGGTGGTACACGCAACGAACACCGTGATGGGCACCTATATAGCGAGATTCCACTCACTGGAACATGCTTGAATACATAATGTACTCGTTTGCAACACACTAGTAGTACGGACAACAAATGAAGCAATCACCGAATACTAATCACTCTCCGCGGCTGAATCCTCTGCGCCGGCTCCTGCGGTCGCAGCCTGTCCTTTCTTACGGCGTGCTTGCAACTGTTTGATAGCAGCCAGCACCCTCGGAAGTGCCCTCGCTAAGTCGTCGAAGATCTTGAAGGCCGGCAGTTCGACCTCCAGGCTACGTCCGTCATCCCGGACGACGCAAGAGCTCGGTGGCAGTCTCAGCAGGAACTGAGATGATGGAATGTGAGCAAAACGAAAGACCTGCAAGTGCCCCATGCTGCCCAGCACTGCCCTGAAGTGGTTGCGCAGCCGAGGTTCGTACACCTGGACAGCGATGTAGGAGACACGGCCGATGTTTGCACTATCGCGCTGCCACGCATGCGCCACACCCTTCCCAGCGGTTCGCGAATAGAGGGTGAAGACTGATCATGAACCACGGAGACACATTGTAAGTGGCACGTAGTCAAGAACAGCAATAGTGAACTGCATACCTCGTCCGATAAGCACACGCCCATCATCTACGACGACTCCGTAATGGCCTGCAGTTAGCAGGTCGTGTTTGGCTTGTTTCGCGTTAGGCTTCGCCACCAAAGCGTCGCTAAGGGCTTGCACATACGGAAGCTTGTTCTCAGTGAATATCTTGTCTCGACGTTTCACAACCTGTACTCTTGTTGTAAGGGTCATCATCAGAGGGTAGGGTTGATTCTGACTCACTGCTGCCGCACGTTGTCCGGCTGCAAGGTCCGCATTAGCCGCGTTCCCAGCTGGCTTAGTAGCGGGTTGGTTCTGAATACGAACAGCGCGGTTGAGTCCAGTGGTGGTCCCGACATTGTCCTGCTGTTCACGGATGATAGCTGCCATCTCCCTGATGATTATTCGACGTGGCGTCACGTCTTTGACGTCCGCGCTGTCAGATTGAGGCTGACCATCCTGGGGCTTCTCCGCGTCCAAGTCCCGGGCTCGCGTTGTCCGTGTCCTTACGCCCTTCTTTGCGCGTTCTGTCTCATGGGATCGACGTATCTCTATGAGCTGTGAACAGTCGAACGCGCTATCACGCGCGAAAGAGCCATCCAATGGCACTGTGGGCTCAGGTGCGATCTGCAGAGCCGGTAGTTCAATGATTGGGACGGTTGCAGAGGCGGCGGCGGCGGCAAGGGCTCTCTGGATGTTGAGGCTATCTTCCTCGGCCCATATCTCGGCCTCCTCGTCATCATCGAGTCCACCAAGGTTTTGTCTGTGGTAGAGTACACGTCAGCCCGCAGTCAGCACCGTATTACCTTGATCCTGTTCGAAATGCTTACATGCGGTCTGTTTCGTCCAGAGCAAGTGCAATCGCAGCGCATTGCAAGTTGAACATCTTGTCGTCGAGGTGTCCAGGTCTCAATGGCGTCTTTTCTTCAGCATCGAGTAGGCCTTGCAATTCCGCGACCTCCGTTTGAGGCTCGGGTTCACTGTCATACTCACTACTTTCCGAGTCCGACTGACCCGAGTCTGAACCATCTGACGTGTCACCACCATAACGCTCTGGCGCTACCACCGTCACTGAGGCCTGGTCAGACCCGGTTCTGGCATTGGTAATCGGATCTTGACCTGGCGCAAACCACGAGCTGATACCAGGTAGGCGGGAAATGGGAGGTTGGGCTGCAGAGAGTGGCCGCAAAACGTCTGCGGGGGCAATGTCGAGGTAGTTCCAAAGACTGGTCGCCTCGGACCAAGCTTGCTGAGCAGCTTCGCTGATTTCCGCATCCGTTGGGAAGACAGCGAGGCGCGCGAGGTCAGCGCCTGCGGTGTCGAAATAGGTATGCGCGTATCCTGATGCGCGAGCCTTGGCGTTCGTCGTCTGCTTGAATGTCATGGCGGTACGAAGCAGAACTGAGACCCGAGGAACCATGAAGAGGAAGTCGAGGTAGGTGAAGTCCTTGAGCAGTTTGCGGCACTCGCCGAAGACATGTTCGCAGGCTTCGCTGGAGTGCAACCACGGCAGCAGAGGGAAGGGTTGGCTGCCGGTATGATCACGGTAAACAAAGATGAGTCCCATGAACCCATCAATGAGGATGCTCATGATGTCAGCGGCCTCGCGCGAGATGAAGTAGCGGCTCGTCGAGTACCTGGCATGGCTCAGGAATGCCTTCCAGATGTCAAGGTAGTAGCGGACCCGTAACACCATGCGCACACGCTCCACATGTGAGATACGCCGGTTTTGGTACGCGTCGTGCAGGTCCGCAAGTGTGAAGAGATATACAATGAGGCCGCGCTGCTCAGGATAATTCCCGATGACGTGTTCAAGTGTCGTCGCAGAGAACAGGCGACTTGCAGCATTATCGTCTTGACGGTCAAGCTTCTCAACATCACGGATGAACAAGGGGCTGTCGTCTCTAAAGGCGACATCCCGTACATCTTGAAAGCCCATTGTGTAGTTGCCAGTGACCAGGAGACGCGCACCCGAGTACAGATTGTTTCTCGCCGTCTTCAAACCGTGCTTGTTGTCTTGGATCATCACCGTGGGCAGGCCGTGGTACGTTGGAATGGCAATGGAAAGATTTGACATGCCTTCGATGGGGTGCTTGATTGTGTGCACGATCTGCCGCGGTGATTGCGAGGTGATGAGACGTTGAACAGAGCGCTCTGTCTCGGTCCCGTCGCAGGCGTACGAGGCGACGTGGATCTTTCGTTCTGCCAGACCCATAATCAGTCGACGAGAGTGTACGCAGAGCGTCGGCGCATCAAGATTGTCGGGGATTGCCTTCGCAGCGAGAATGAGTGGTGGGATATTGGGGAGTGGGATCTGCAGACACCAGAGCCGGAGCTGTTGTGATTGAAGACGCTCAGACACAGAGAACAGACATTGATAGTAAGTTAGAGACTGACCTTGACTGCCTTGACCTTAGGGTCGTTCATCGTGCTCAGTAGCTTGCGCAGCTCCTCAGCGTCAGCCACTGCTTTCGGTCCATCAACGGCACCAATGACGAAGTGCGTTTGCTTCTCTGGGTCCCAGTACGTCCGTAATGCGGCATGAAGCTTGGTATCATCGCAGCTGAGTGATAGAGGACCACTGTAATGTACAGAGGCAGTGTAGTTGACGGCGAGCTCGAAGGTGCGATCGTCTATGTCTATTGAAAGACGGGGTATGCGCGCTTGCTCTGACCTATCAACATGGTTAGTGTGCGCGAGTCACAAGGGATGTTAATCACTCACTTGATGGTGCGTGGGTTGGGAAGTACTAAGTGGTGCGAAAAGAATCGATAGAGCTCCGGGCTATGTACCAGCGCAACGTTCGAGAACTCACGGAGCGCGGGGCCGTGGTTGAAATTCTGCATTCCAACCTTTCGTGTATCACGACTTTCCTTCTCGACCATGCCAAGCACCATGTCTAAGAAGACGCGGTGATCGTCGTACTTGCCCTGATGTACGCCGACAGCAAACTTGACGAACGGTGAGTCCAGAGGTGAATCAGACTAGCCGGAATCATGATAAGCATATGTGCGTCAATAAATGAACACATCACGTACCTCATTGTCTCCCTCAAGTAGATCCTGAAGGCCAGCTGTGCGAGCGTACAGATGCCCTAGGTTCTCGTTGCGATATTGATAGTTCAGGTACTTGTAGTGCTCCGGATCGGGGGCTGGAACACGAAGAGCGGTCTTCGTGCGCTTCCAATTGTTCACGCTGCTGCAACAGACACATATAGCATTTTCAACTGAGCCATGCTTGAGGAGATGGCGAGGAATGATGCGCTTGCAGTCGACCGCGAAGATCGCCTGCCGGATATGGTCATTGCGCCACCTCTGCTCTTGCCGTTGTTGTCGATCGACCACCAAGCGCTGCGCGTCGTTCAGCTCGCCGAACGGTCGTCCATAGAGCTCGTCTGCTATCACAGTCTTCGACCGGGCACCTCCGCCATGAGCTCCTGTCCGCCTCAAGTACTGCACAACGTTGGGTGCGTGGAACTTCGTGATACCGCCACAAGGAACACTGTCAGGCTCCTGGGCTGGCTCGGACGCCTTGACGGTCGCTGCGGGCTCCGCCTTGTCTCGCTTGTGTTCATCTGCTTTTGATTTCCACCCTAGCTTCTTGGCATAGAAGTCCATGGTATGTGTCACCCCGGCGGGGACAGCCTCAGTCCTGTGTCTTGAGCCGTGTGGTTGACCCTTTCGACCGTCAGGCTTAACTTTGCCGTCAAGCTTCTTGGGCGGATTGCAAGTACGACGTGACTTGGAGGTCCCGCAGTGCTTGGTGTGATCCCGGAAGCGTGTAACACTGTAGGCTTCCTTGCACGCCACCCAGGATGAACACACTGAATGATAGACTCTCCAGCTCGCCCCAAGATCGAACTCAGCACTGGCATCAAGCTTCAGTATCTTGCGCTCGAAGTTTGCGAACCGCGCCTTGTTCACGCAGAACGTCCCGTCCTTCATCGACTCCCGTAGCCGCCTGCTTGCGACTGCAGATGCACTCGTACCAGTAGCCTTTGCCGTATGTGTTCTGCCATGCCGGGTGGCACGCTGGCTTTCATCCGATTCCGAGTCCGAGTCGGCAGATGCGCTCTCCGAGTCTGAGTCGGCAGATGCACTCTCCGAGTCTGAGCTGGTATTGCTCATAGGGTCTGTATCTGACGACGATATAGACAGGCGGCCGTCGGCATTAGACCCAGGTGTTATGCGCCCAGAGTCAGAGGCCGGCGGTTGCGTCACTGGCCTGCCCTCAACATCGGAGCTGGGACAGGACAGTAGCTCGTACGAGTCTTCGGAACGCAAACGCGCAGACGAGACAAGTTCGTACTCTGACTCTGACTCTGGGGCTGACGAGCTGAGCGGCACAGCGCTGACCATGTCTGTATCAACATCGGAGGTGGGAGCGGCGAGCACCTCGGTAGCGCCCTCGACGATGGTCGACTTGATGGTCGACACCGACCCAACCCGGTTGCGTTTCGCAGATGCTGACACGTCAGAGCGGTCCGGGGACTCGTTACGAAGACGTTTCAGACGACTGGTGTCTTCACATGCAAGCACAGTAGGTGTCGCCGCGGCGTGGGACTCGGATGATGCACGCGGGTTCTTGCTTTGGGAACAGGGCCCTGTCTTTGTCTGAACAAAGGTGAGCGTCACTGATTCTAACAAAGGCGAAAGGAGACTTACGTGATCATTGTACGCGCGTACAGCGATGTTGAAGTACTCGACGCGAAGCTTGTGGCGGGTCTTATGGGTGAAGAGACCGTCACCAAAAAGTGCATGGGCGATGGTGTTGATCGTGCATATTCCGCACGACGAAGTGTCCTTCTGCTGACCGTGTGGTAGGGTATTGCCCAAGTCATTGAACTTCCGACCAAAGTCGCGCTGAAGCCACTTCTGTAGCGCTTTGATGGCCTTCTGAGGGGCGGTTGAGCTCGAGTCCATCGAGTCACCTGCCAAGTACTATAATCAGTATTCACATGTATACCAAGTCCCGAGGTGAGACTCACCGTACGATATCGACTTTGTCCGGAAGTTGACTTCTACAGCGACCCAGTGCCGCGCGCTTGCAACGTATACAGGAAACAAGAGCCGTTCCCTACGATGGGTCGTGAAGAGATCTTTGTAGTCACGAAGGAATGCGCTCGGCTCATATTCACTGGGCTTCATAGCCGCGGCTGCCTCGACCTCGCGCATGAAGACAAGGTTCGCCACGACAACTGACTTCGCTAAAGTGCGGTTCCGGTGGACGCGCTTCGCAAGGTGAGTTGCGAACATGTCGATGTGTTCGTCGCTGAGCCAGTCATCCGATAGAAAGGTGGCCAGTACGTCGAAGACCGTGCTGACCGCATTGAGGGCGCGGTAATCCGCTGCCCAGGGTATCACAGCTAGTCCGTCACGAGCTTCATCGACCTCCTTGACGATGCTTCTTCCCCACCTCGTCATCCATTCTTCGGCTGCATGCCAGACGGTCTGGTGCGTCCGGGCCCTCTCGGTCTCCAACCAGAAGGTCAGCGCGTAGAGCGGGACACGCGAGTCTTTGTAGCGCCAGTCCACAATCGACTGAGCCCCATCAAACCACGCCTGGCCGAAGCTCGCTTGCAGTTGGCGCAGTATGATCGTCGGAGGTAGGGGGCGGCTACGGAGTATAGAAGGATGCTCCGTTGGCGGGGAGGAGCTGAACAGCACCTCTACCTGTGGGGTAACCAGGACCGAAGGCTGTGGAGGCAGCGATGTTGCGAGGAGGAGCAGTATAGAGGTAGTTTCACTAGGTAGATAGCTGGAATACTCGGGAGGGATTGCGAGGACGCGTTGTCGAGCATTGAGAACGCACTGTGGAGTATCGCTGCTAGGGTATTGTTTCCCGGCCTGAATCCACTTGGACTCTACCCAGACAGTGGGCAGTTCGTCGTGGATTTCAATGACACTGACGTGGTTTTGCATGATTCGGAGATGAGCAGCAAAGAGAACAATAATGAGAGCCTCGGAGTGAAGTCTGCAAAGCGTGGCAGGTTACTGGAGTTTGGACGTTGCCTGACTACGTAGTCACCCTTGCTGATCAGTGGCGCTGGATTGATTATGCCAGTGAAACACCTGCAACTGAGTTTCTATTGCGTGTCTGGTAGCTATAGCCCGAGCTCTACATTGATGTATGTACATCTGTTCGTCAATACCTGCCATTGTAAGCACGTCGTGCTGTACAGTGATCGTACACTGGCTAGGAGCTTCCTTGCCATAAACGAAAGGCTGAGCGACGGCAATCAGTGTTCGCAGAATGCCCCTGTACAACGCACAATCATGGTGAATGCAGGGCGGAGTCGGCCATTGAATATTGAATATTGAACATATGCATAGTACGAGGGAGTGATCTGGCTCACAAGCGGAGCTTCAGCTACAGTCGGAGTCATGGGGTTCAATATCAATCCGGGTCCTGCAGGTGCTGCCCAGCCCCGACAGGTTGTCCGGGCCGGGATCAGCCCTTGGCTGGCATACCCATACGTGTCCGGACAATTCCTCAGACCTTGTCCGGCGCACCGACGTGTTTTTCCGGACAAACATCAGCCCCAACCCCTCAAAATCGCCCAAATTTGTCCGGATTCGATTCAGGCTTCCTCCCCAATTATCAGGGGTCCTGTAGTGGGCCGGCCAGCTGATGGCTCTTCTGCGAGGTCCTGCACATGCCCCGTTCTCAATTGCCAGGCGCATGCGCAGTCATCAGAACGACGGGGTTCTTCAACGCCCATTCTGTCCTAGACGTACCCTCCACTGGAGTCCCCACCCCAATGGGGGCACCGCGCACGTAGCGCATCCCCACATGCCTAGGAGGTGCTCACGAGCCCAGCCTCGTCGCAAATGCGCTGAACATGGGGTGCACCATCCACCCAACGGGCGCGACGAAAATAGGATCAGGAACGAAGAGCGGTTTGATGTTCCGCAGCGTCCAGGCCCTAGCCCTCGCCCAGCTCGTTCTCCGATCCCTACCGCATGCGGTCGACCTCGGTTCAGAGACCACAACGTCCAGTGCGCTGCGGTGACCTGAGCCGAGACACTGTTCCGAGAGGAGTCGACGTTCACATCCGCAGGCCAGTCTGCGGCAAACATAGAACAGAAAGCGTCCTCGGAGAGGCCAGATGGCTCGGTCATGATCGAGAGTCGAGAACCATGCCTGTCAAGGTCGAAGAAACATCGTACACGGAGACATTTGCGCGAGAGGAGGATGTTGCGACCAGTTGAGAACCTCGTGCTTATCGAACGCCGGTGGCATGGTGCGTTATATAAGCGAGCCGTATGGCAACTAAAAGTGAGCAGCCTCGTTTCGGGTCACAGGCGTGACAGATCGTGATTCAGATCTTACAGATCGTGATCTTATCTTACCATATCAGGCATGCAATCGCAGACCGGTGACACTCTGTCCACGCTGGGCCCCTTCGTTTGCTCAGGCCTGGCGATTATTATACTCAGAGTATTGACGTCGTCTTTAAAACACAGAGCGATGAGATGAGTGCATGGGCGGGTGCTTAGTAGCTCATTTTGGGATTAGGCGCCCGTGCGGGTACTCAGCCTTGCGAGCGTTCTCAGTGACTCTCGCGTGCGGGTACTTGTCATCTGGATGTATCTACACACATACGGGAAAATATACATGGGCAAACCATGCTCCTTGACCTCATATGCCAGTCATATCAGGTTTGGGCTCAGCGCTGTCACGAGTATTGTATGTAGATCGATCCTAGAATGAATTTTGTGACAAGCATTGGGAGGTCCACCGTCTTGTGCTGTGTAAGGATTGCATGCACGGCGGAAAAGGGAGCGCGTGGAGCGGGGATGGAGATCAACGAGGAGCGGGGATGAGTCGTCCAGGCGAGAGTGCAGCGAGAGGTGGAAGTAGTACGCGGCGAGTGATCAGATCAACGCGGGCGAGTGAAAGGCAAGTGCGAATAATTACTGGTGGTGACTCTGCGGGTGATGTAGACGTTCGCTCACAGCTTGTATACATGTAGATAATACAAACGACCCGGGTCAGAGGTCACAAGAGGAGCCTCGCAAACTTATCTATCGACTGGCACTGTCCACCAAATATTCACTACCGTACCTGCACGCTCCAGCAGGGCATTGCTATTCACACTGCCCTGCATAACGTCGACCGCGGCCATCATCCGCAGGGTTGGGTCCAGTGAACAGCACCACCTCAGCGCCGCCATCACAGTATCGGACATACACAACCTGCAGATGTCCGCACAGAGGGAGATGGTTGGGAGATGGGCAGGCGGCGCGCGTGGGCGGCGAGACATTGCAAGTGAGCGTACGCAAAGGTCGGAGCGGCCCGGGGGTGCACAGGAGTTGTAGGTGATGGTCAGCGAGAGGAGGCTGATCGCCTGGATGTGAGAAAGGGCGGATTCGCGCACCTCATGTTGGAGTGTTGAGAGTCGGGGACGTATCATGTGCCATGAACTTGAAGTAATACTTGAGTGTCGAAGTAATACTTGAGTGTCCGCCCTGGTGCAGAGAACTTGATCTACAGGTCGAAGCCCAAGCCTAGTTACTCGGAGATGGCAGGGCGGGCATTGCAGCGCGAAGGACACACCGTAGATGTCCATGGTGAGCGGCACGCGGACAAGTGGCAGAGCGGCCGAGGAGTGGACTCCAGGTGTTCGGAACGGACGGCGGACAAGTGCGAGAGCGGGAGCATGGTCAAGCGGAGAGCATCCGTGAAGGTATTCAAGTGCATCTACTTACTCACCGTGCATATACCGATAAACAACCCGCAAGTTTTCACCTCGACCACACCGCACAGGGCACCTCCTTACAATGTGTCGTTACAGTAAGTTTGGGGAGCGGCCGAGCGAGTGAGCAGGTCGCCGCTATCATTAGCGGTCAGCGCTACCCACCGCAACGGAAATGGTCCATCCTGAGGGTAATGAGCACAGGAAGCTGCCAGTCAGTGACGGATACACGGGTCAAAATGCGCGACCTAACTTACAATCCATGCACTGTTCAAGACATAAATGATAGCCACTATCTGGCCACTATAGTCACTGCGGAGACCGTTGACCGAAGCGCTCGCAAGGCTGAGTACCCGCACGGGCGCCTAATCCCAAACTTCGCCAAAATGAGCTACTAAGCACCCGCCCATGCACTCATCTCATTGCTCTGTGTTTTAAAGACGACGTCAATACTCTGAGTATAATAATCGCCAGGCCTGAGCAAACGAAGGGGCCCAGCGTGGACAGAGTGTCACCGGTCTGCGATTGCATGCCTGATATGGTAAGATAAGATCACGATCTGTAAGATCTGAATCACGATCTGTCACGCCTGTGACCCGAAACGAGGCTGCTCACTTTTAGTTGCCATAGAGCCGTCATTGGCTGTTTCACTTGTACTGTGACTCTGTGAGCTTCCACTCGCTCGGGGATTGGTGTGAACTGGATGAGACTCGAGCGATCTCGTCGCGCAGAATACCGCTCGTTCTTCTCCAATGCTGTTTAGAGGACCTGCAGCTGAGCTCAGAGTCCCTGCACGCTCGCACAGTACACGACGCAGAAAGCAGACGCATCCCTCCGCTTTTCCGCGAGAGCAGCGAAGCCCGACGCTGTAGTGGGGTGCCCGGTGGGCGCGACCGACTGATCTTCGCAAGTTTCGTAACAGAGAGCGCATCGTAGGAACTGCAGAAGCAGTACGACTACGTCTCGAACTGGAAGCTGGAAAGTTGACGAGCAAAAATGAAGGAACTGAACGTCACCGCTGTATCGACCGCGTGTAGTGAGAGACGGTGACAAGAGAGGACTACGTGATCACTGCTTACAGCCTCCAGCAACGCGTTCGTAAGCTTATGATCAGGGTGCATCTTGCAAAAGAGCTTAGGGATGAAGACGATAGGAAATCATTCTTTCCTTCTGTACCCGTCGGAAGATGTAGGTGTCACCTACATTTGTCAATCCGCGGTATGTGTCCACGCGATACGACGTCCTACACTGATTGTCCCCCATCTCTGCAAATCGCTAACTGCGAGCATAGCACGGTTGATGAAGCGATTCGTGCATAAGCTAGAGGGCTCGCGTCCGCCAGCCTACCTACGCGAGTCACCTTACTCCGAGGCGGGTGTCTCCAGATGGAACCGTATGGAACGGGGTGTGCACCGTCGAGTAGCCCCCGAAAACGCGTCAAGGCTACGGATAGGTAGCATCCCCGGAGCGATTGCGTCCCGCTCTCATCATGCCGTCCAACTAGCATTCCGCACAGATACAATACAAGAGCGAGCATGAAATGACCACATACACGATGTCTTTCTGCCCGACCCAGCCGGGGCAGCGCGCACATAACCAGCCACCGGGCGTTGCATCGGACTGTGCTAGAGCGAGCACGTACGCGGTCCTGCGTACACGCGTCCGGAGAGCCCAGACACGTACGTAAAAAATCCGGACGACCGCCCGAGTTCGTGAAGAACTCCGCGCCGTTCACGAATGGGACGATGGTCTCCAAGGAATCGCCCGAAAGTCAGGACGCGCACCACCCCGGAACGGCCTCACGCTTGACCACAGAGCCCTCCACCCAAAAACCAAGGACGACCACGAACCTCGTGCAAACACGGACCACGCCACCCACACGCGGAGGCTACGCACCGCGCCCGTGGTCATGCCCCACGAACGCGCCGATCGCCACAGGCACGAACATCCCCAGCAGGGTGCACGCCGTCCTCGTCTTGTGCCCGACATCACCCTCCTCCGCGTGCCCAGGCCGGAGGACGGTCGCGACGTACAGGAAAGTCCCGCCCTGCCACTCGCGCCGTCAGCAAGGCGCGCTCCAAGCTCCCCGGATCCGGATCCGAAGATGAACGAACTGCACTCACCGAGACGAGCATGGCGACCCCCGGTACCCGCCCCGCCCCCACTGCGGTGTCGCCGACGCCGAACCATGAGAGGAGCGCGTAGGACGCGAGCGCGCCTAGGGGCGTTGAGAGGCTGAACGCAGCGATGTGCCGCTTGCAGTCCGTGCGCGAGAGGGACGTGGACAGAAGGGAGGTTGTGAGTGCGAGGGCGGTCGGAGCTGGGTAATCGGATCCGGATGGGGGAGAGAGAGGGAGGGAGATGGGAGGATGGTGTAATCGGGACAACATCAGATTTGGGTGGTCATGAGAGACGCGGTGGAATAGTCAGATTGCGGTTGGTGGACGGAGCCAGTAAGAATGGATGGGTGGCGGTGGGCGTTGATGGTGGCGGTCGCATACGGGAGTACCACGTCGCAAAAGTAAATGAGAGACCAGATTAGTGCGATCACCGACTGACCGACCGGACCCAAGAACGAAGACTTACCCTTGTGTATCACCAGCGCAAAGAACACCACAAGCGACAACCCCGAAGGCACCACCGACCCCGCCTCTCCCGCACCCACACCGCCCTCCGCCGTCCCAGAGAGCGCAGACGAGCCCAGCGCCAGCCCGTCCGCCAATGCGTGCATCACGAGCCCAAGCGTAAGTGGCACCGCGCGCGCCTTGCCCTCCCCATCGCCAGACACGCTATCGCTCCGTCTGTGCACCCTCCTCGCGGCGGCACCGCCGTCGCCCGAGCCGAACGCGATCCCCTCCGCGCGTTCAAGCTGGGAGAGCTCGAGCTCGGCGTCGAACTCGACCGTGCTCGGGCCGTCGGCGAGCGAGGGCTTCCGCGTATGCGGCGGGGAGGTGGGCAGCGCGGGCGAAGTATGCGAATGCGGCGAGAGAAACTGCTCGACGAGGAGCATGAAGGTGAAGCCTCCGAGGAGGGAAAGTGCGATCGCGGTCGTTGGTAGCTCCGCGTGGCCGGAGGAGGATGAGGAAGACGACTCGGCGAGCGTCTCGACGCCTCTGAGTGAGGGGAACGAGGCCGGTGAGCTGCATTATTGGACTGGCGAGATGAAGGGCGGCTCACTCGGGGATGATGACGCCCAATGCTGCGCCGAGGAGGAGGCCTGTGCCGAGCGCGGAGAGCTTGGCCAGCGCAGGTTCTGTGTGTAATATGGGCGCGCAATGGCGGCGTACAGCACGTCAGCATGACACTATTACAGGAGACGGGCAGACGGCTCACTTGAGAATGCGAAGGAGAGCGGGAGGACGCCGATGCCGAAAGAGGCTGCGGCGAGCAGGACGGACATGAACAGCACACCGAGGAAGCCCGACATTTCGGGCGCGCGGTCTGCTTTTCGAGCAGGACGTTCCGGGGCGGGCGAAGGATAGTCAGGAGGACTAGTGTTCTTGAGGAAGATGGAGGGTGTCGACTAAGAGGGCTTGGTGGACAGGCTCGGACGTCGAGCGACGCGCTGCGCAGCGACCTCACACACGCCGCCAGACGCGTTTCCCAGCGACGCGTCTCCATCACGTGCAAGGGCCCGAGGACCGTGGCGGGGCCCAAAAAGGACTAGCGGGGACGCGCCCCGGAACTGGGACTCGAAAGCAGTGCAGTCGGACGGTCACCGGGCGGGTCTCCCTCGGCTCCTTCGCCTCCAGACGTCATCCTCCCCAGCTGCCGGCAACCCGTCCTCCATCCTCGCCATAGAACGCCCCAGAGGGAGAGAGGAGCGGTGCCACGGAGGAGGTTCATGCCCGCGAGCGGTGCGCGAACGTCTTCATCTCGCTGCAGCCAAGTCCGCTACAGTCCGTCATCCAGAGAGCGCGAGATGCCCGGAATTACACCACCTGTGCTCGATGGGCGGATGATCCACGCGTGCGGCCTTCGCCCTCCGGATTCGCGAAATGGGCACACACGTTGTACTCGCCTCGTTCGTCCGCTTCTTCGACCCGTTCCAGACGCGCCGACGATTCTGCGTCCGCCACTGGCCCTGCGTTGACCCGCCCTCCACGGCCTGCGCAGGCCGCCTCCCCTCCAGCCTCTGCACCCCGCGAGAGGCCAGCCAGGCACCGTCTCGTCACCGTGGCCAGTACGTAAGTCAGCACCGGCGGCCCATCGAACTGTCAGTGTCAGTGTCACGCCGCGGGACGACCGTCCGCGCAAAATGAACTGCGGACGGGCTGATGCCAGGAGGCGGCGACGGGTCGCCCGATCGGCCTCAACCTGGTCGCAGCCACCGCGCGGCAATCGGGGCCCCTCCTCCTCGCCAAAAGGCTATATAAGTGATCCACCCCCAGCGTCCGACCGCTCCTCACCCCCCACAACCCCTCTCTTATTTCCCCTGCCCCGCCAATCCCTCCACCCCTCGCCGCTATTTCATGATGTTCGCCTCTGTGAAGTCCCTCCTTGTCTGCGGCGCCCTCGCCCTCGCGGCTGCCGCGCAGAACATCAACATCGCGCTGCCCGAGGCGTTGGTGACCGTGAACCCTGGTGACAACATCACCGTGCAGGTCATCAAGCCGGTACGTGCCCCACTCGTGTCTCGGCCACGCCTCCTTTCACTCCTCCCTTTGTCCTGCTCCGGTCCGACCTCCATCCACCGTTTCACCTTCTCCTCGTCTTCCACACATTCGCTTACACCACCCAACAGGACTCGCTCACAGGCTCGACCGAGGTCGGCATCGCCATCTGCCTCAAGTCCTGCACGGGCTACACCGGCGGATGCGACGCGGTCGACCCCACCGAGGCCCTCGGCTCCGTGCTCCTCACCTCTTCCTGGGCGCCGGTTTACCACCCCGACGAGTGGTACCCGTACCAGAACTTCACCGTCACCGTGCCGACGAGCTTCCAGAGCGGCCAGGCGATCCTGACCGCGACGCACTTTGCGTTGCTCGGGGTGAGTTATTGGTCATTGATGGGGCAGTGTTGTGCGTGCAGTGCTGACGTGTGGTTTGTAGGCGGGTCCCTACCCGTACACGGACACAGCCAACCAGACGATCAACGTCGCGTAAACGCGACCTCTATGATACGCAAAACGGCCTTGGCCCATGCGCGAGACCCGCTCGCGAAAGGACATCGAAACGAACCCTCGAACCATGACTGACACTGAACGAAACGGACTGTGTTGTACACTAGCTACGCCCACCATAACCCCGGACTAGTTGGCCGCTGGCCATAATACCTCCATACCGTCGTCGCTGTCGTTGCTCTCCTTGTCTCTGAACTCTTGTACCGTACACATCGGACACTCACGCATCTAATGAGCAGCGTACACTAGCTACGTCTAGTAGTCTTGACACAATGTACATAATTGTGCACACCCCATCACTATTACGAGCAGACCTTTTGGGACTTGTTCGCTCGAGACGCGCTGCGACCGCTATGATCAATGGGATTGCGTACCAGGTGGTCTGCAATCCACGCGGAAGTGGAACTTGGGACGTAGTCTGTGGACGGCGATGCAGTTTGAGGAAGAGAAGAGGATACACGAAGGATCATGGGTACGTCATGATGGTCATGGATGGGCACCGCCACACCTTCTCCGGCCATCCATGATACATGCTACACCGACTCATGATCGTCGCTTCGTGAGCTAAAACTGAGGTCCGTGCCCATGTCCGTTCATGTGCTCGACAGCAGGCCAGGGTAGGCAGGTGCGAGGACGTTCTCGATCGTCACGCCGTGCGGCAGTTAGGGCGCGCTGACGGAACACCGTATACCTGGTAAGTAGTCTGAGAGTTCCGGTCAGCACGCACGGCGAGACACGCACACAGTACATGCCTCACCATCCCCAGTGAGTCACGACCACGAGTTGACAATGGCTCGCCCACTTGCACGCATCGGGGGGAGATCATGGAACGGACACACTCATGCCTACTCCTACCTTTACGGCAGTGGGTACGGAGCTTGGGGGTAGGATGTACGTACCAAGCCAAGCACTCAGGCTACTAGTAGCGACCCCGCATCCTCGACGAGACGTCACTACGGCGAGACGACGCCGTGCCCGCGTCCCAGCTAGGTGCGATTGAGTGGTGCGCGGTGCACGATGCAGTCACCAGTGGGCTTGAGAACATACTAGACGGGAGTACGAGCATAGCCTTGTTCGGAGAAGCGTCATCAGGTGTCCTGCTTCAGCGGCGCGCTGTGACGCATTCATGATTGCACGTTCTGCCGTGGTGCACCTGAGTGGGAAGGTCGTCGAGGGTATGGTCTTGCGCTTGCCGTCTGGGTGATGATTCTCCTGTAATTTGGCTGGAGACTATCACATCGTAGCGTGGTGCGGCTTCGAAGGCGGATACTTGGACGGCGAGAGTCATGGTATAGCAAAGAGGTGGTCAACGTCGAGGAAGGTCGAGGACTGGCTGATGGACTGGCAGCCGCCCGGCCATCACACTGACCAGGGACGCCGATTGGTTGGTGCAACGCAAATGCCTTTTTGAGAGACGCGTCCCATCCCCGGCGGTGTCCGCAGACGTAGGCACCCTTCGCGATATACTTACACCCGACACTATGCAAGGAGTCCCGGTGCCCTATAGGACCTACTATTCGCGGTTTAGTTGCTCAACGTCGAATGACATCTTGAGCTTCAGTGTCTTCACTAGGAAAGCGGGCGACGTTGCCGGCGCCATTGCGGTGAGTGATCGCGACGTCGCTCATAACTAGTTTGCTTACCATACCATGCATGTAGGTTCGTGTGTCATGGTCTACGACGCGTGAGGGCACGGGAGATTATATGGCCCTCGTCCGATGATGAGCTTGCAACCAATGCAACTTTGTTCAATCGCAATGGGTATTTACGGGTGGATGAAGCTGAACCCACTCACGCATGCTGGTTGTTTTTGACATTGACTGATCTTTCAGCAACTTCCGCTGAACTTATGACCGGCGTGATATTATCTTGTCCCCCATCCATCATAGACAGAATCCAAGCAAATCGTGAGTTTCTCTGTACATCCCCTGTAATGTATTCCTACTCCTGTCTGCGATCGCAACAAAAGCGAGTCTTGTGCAGATAGTAACTGGTGAGCGTGTACAAGGCGTGTTCCGGTTCTGTCGCCCACCCACGCCCGTTCACGCTAGTCGCCGAAGCTGCGGTGCACATGAGTTCCCCTACCATATTCCTGAGGCACGGCACGCCGGTGTATTACGCGTCTCTGCGAGGCGCGAATGTATGCACTGCGGCACCGTCTGCAAGCCCAGGGGCGGACATGCCTCGAAGCACTACGAACCCGGGCTAATTACTCTATCTCATGGCTTCCCCCGGCACTGTGACGCCGCCCGAACGCATCGCTTAGCGCGCAGATCGTGCGTCTGTGAACGACGTAGACGTCATTGGAAGGCGAGTGAGATTATACCGCATAAGACCGCGTGCGAAGGGTGGCCGTAAGTGAGCACATGAGGCGGGGCACGACTTGGTTCGGGACACAGACTTACGACATTGTAGATGATTTTCCAATCCGAACCTCCGAGTCCGAGGCGGACGTCAGCAAACTTTGCTAGTCCCGCTCGTCGGCTGGACAAGTCATCCGGTAGAAGAGACGAGTCTTAGGTGCAGACGGAGCGCTAGGTCGGCCGTTTCATGGCCTACTCGCCGTATGTTCGCCCCCTTCATGCTCGTTGTTGCGGAGAAAGCATTGCCGTGTCACAAGTACACTGATTTTTGACCGAATAGATGGATTCGATTTCGAGAGAATTCGTGCATAGTTGACCGCTACACCTGACGGCAGCCAATTGTGAGCAGAGAAGATGACGCTCATTGGATGTACGGACTAACCTGCCTCTGGTCACGCTATGGTAGGTTAAATGACAGGCTGTATGTCAGTTAGTAGCCCGCCGCCTCCCACGTGAAGATATGACGATCAAGCCCGGGCTAGACGACACCACAGCTGGATCACGTTGATCTTCCGAGTGCTACCTCCGGTGTCAAAGGCCGTCAGAAGAAGGGCATCCTTACCACACGGGTGCCCGCAATACGGATTGGTTCTATAGATTCAGGAACGATTACGAGAAATCATACAAGACACAGAAGCGTACGAGAAGAGACGTACGAGCTTCAGTCTCCAAGCTGTGACACCCAGCATTCCTAATCTGCGAGCAGGCCTGCAGTGCGCCGTACGAGGCATGTGCTCCCCACCCGACGGCTATCGCCACATCTGCATATGGCGCTTCAAAGGGCAGCTGTATCGCGCAATCTGTATACACGTCTGTATTTTCATTGGTACCGCGCATCGCTTGCAGTCAATTGGCTCGACCAAGTGACCTGAACGAACGGAGGTGCGGTGGTGGTGCGGTCGCTGGTACAGCAATTGATGTCCGATTAGCCCAACTACTTCCTCGACTACACCCGCTCTAGTTGATTTGATTTGCGTGTTAATCGTGGACGCGCAGGCGTTTTGCTTCCGCTTCGTTTTGTTCAATGCAGAGTTGCACCTCTCTCTCCCAGTCAATAGCGAGCCATATGAAAGCATACTCGCCCAGCGCAATGATGGTAAGGGCCACGACTTGTCCTGTAACCACCAACAAAACAAAGGTCAGCTCGGTCGTGTGTGCAATACGTATTACGTCGCCAACTGACCTATCCATAGACCTTGTAGCCCAAGCTGCATCTGGGGAAGGAACGCCAGCGCGATTCCCATCGGCAGCGCAAGGACATAGTATGCGATGAGATTGAACATCGCACCGAGGTGTTGTCGTCCTATAGATTGATCCATCTTAGCACCCGCGCGCCTGAGGAGTTTTCAGCGTACCCAGTCCACGCAGAACACCTCCGCACGAGCCAGCGAGACAATCCCATATCTGATAACGCATGTTCGTAGATCATCGGCACCGGTACCGAATGATACCATGGGAACACGTACCTGGAACGAGGCAACTAACGGCATCACCTTACTCACCCTACGAATGACCTCTTCATCTTCGCTGAATACGTAGCCAAAAACCTGGCACGCGGTCATGACGATAAGCTCGCTTGGTCGCGCATCCCATATTCAAACAAAATACGTACGTTTCTGCAGGCGAGCAGGACTATCATGATCAAGAGCCCTATTATGGAACTGAGCAACGCAGAGGCGTGGCTAGCCTGCTTCGCGCCCTGTGCGTGGCGACCCCCGATAAGACTCCCCACACGCGTAGAGGCCGCGACACCTACGGAAAAGTTGAAGCACCGTTGCATTGACAAATAATGCGTACTCACCGATTCCGAAGGGTATGTTGTTCAAGACTGAAATTTTTCAGTATCTGGGAATGACAAACGGACGCACATTGTACAATGACTCACCTTGATCTGCAGTCATGATGACTGACTGCGCAGCAAGTGGTAAAGGGCCTAGGTGCCCTGCAGCAAGCGCAACTATCTCGAAAGCAGCCCTTTGGAACGACACGTCACATGGAGCTTCATGTCAAGGCCTCGAAACTGATTGACATACCATTCCGTTCCAACCATTAAGATCCCAGGGATCGCCAAGCTGAGGAACTGTATACAGCTCCTCGCGTTCAATACGGTAGTGATGTTTGCAGTGACCCATGTGTTGTTCGCGCGATGAGCGGGCGAGAAGTATGCGAAGATTCCCAGGAAGAGGAAGCACAAAGTCAAAGTGACAGAGATAGCAGCCGGTGAGCCTAGGAGACCAAGAGGCGTATAGTGTACGAAGAACACATTAAGGATCAGGTTTATGGGAGAGATCAAGATGAGCACGATGGTCGAGGCTCGCATAATCCCTGTGACGTACATGGTGTACCATCAGTAATTCGTCCACATAGCGGTCGACACAGTAGAGTACCTTGACATTGAAGATACTTCTTGAGGCTCTCAAAACCAATGTATCCGGGTGCGCCGAGCAATAGCATGCTCATGAACCGCTGTACGTCGCGACTCAAGTCCGGCTGTTGACCGAGGAACAATAGAATAGGCTCCAGGTTGGCCCACAGAAAGCCGACTGGAATGAACAGCAACCAGAGAAGGATCAGGCACCTCTGGAAATGGACCGAAAGAGACTTCGGGTCTCCTCCGGTGTACGCCTGCGAGCCCAGGGTGTCTAGAGCCGTAGTTCCTCCTAGCGCAACGCACCATCCTGTGATGAAACTGAGCCTGGCCCGGGGTATGTGGTCGATTGCAACAACAAACGGGAAACAATCTCACCTATCGTTGCCAGCATAAACGAGAATGCCGCCACGGACAGCTCATGGGGACCCAGTCGTCCGACGACCAGGACGGACACGGTTTGTATCGAGTTCTGCAGAACATACGAGAGCGTAACTTGTGTTGAGGTAATTAGCGCCACAATACCACATATTGGCAAGCCATCACGCAACGCACCAGGTATGGAGTCAACCAGGAGCGACTTGAGAAGGAGGCCCAGCGCGAGAGGCTCTCCGCTTCCTACGGCTGACGCCGGGCCGGCTTCCGGTTCAAAAAGTAGCGTCGAAGTGCGGGAAGGCGGTAGTGGACTCGTCGACCTCTCCCCTTCTAACAGAGGTTGTGTCTCGTTTGCACTGGCGGAAGACATGGATATGATCGCTGGTAGCTCAAACCGAGAATCGAGCGCAGCATGGATAAATACCTAGGGTGAGCACAGGATTCCCGAGCAGATCGGGATTCGGTACACTGCCTCTACACGGAGGTCCAGGCCACAGTAGGAGAGACGCGTTAGTACGAAAATGTCCGAGAATGATCGCGAACGCTCAAGAATGGCCATGATTAGCCATGATCCCGCTCACTGTGAGTCAGAGCGCGGTTTCTTGGGTCATCAAGGCAAGGCAAGGCAAGGCGACGATGCCTCCAGCCTACTGAAGCTGGTGAACCCAACACATCGACGTTCAAATGTGAAGGCCAGCTGGTGACGCGACCCAAGGGGAGAAGGGAAAGAAGAGAGACGCACAACTCACTGACGAGCGTCTATTTGGAGGTCAACCAAGCGACAAATACTCCATTGTCCGATTGCACTGCACCATCGATTCCGACCATAGTTTTCTGCAGGCCCACAGCTCCGATCGGAACAAGTTCCAGAACGATCCGGAATCCAAAACCAACTGAAGCGGGCGATACACCAATGTTCCTAGACTCATTTGAATTGCGATACCACGAATAGGAGACGCCCCAAACCTTCAAGTTGAGTCATGAACGGATACTTGGAATTGCCTATGGTTGTGCATATCAGCGACCGGCCAACTTGTCTGCCTAAGCCAAGTATCTCCGGCAGCGCGATCGCCGAGACCTGACCGCAGTCGTCGTGCACTGAAAAAAGGAACACATTTCGTGTTTGGCATACTTGGTGACTACATCGGGAATTGTATCTGCGAAGCAAGGCACGCATAGTGGTTAACCAATAACATATGACATGTCTGATATCTGAGGAAATCTCTGCCCGGAACGCTACAGCTCTTCGTAGCCATCGTGGAGCTGGCGGCGCTTCGCTTCTTCTCGGTTGCGCTCGATGCTATACTGAATCTCCTTGTCCCAGTCGGTGCCCAGCCATACGACGGCGTACTCGCCGAGGCCGACGATAAACAACGCCACCACTTGGCCTAAGGGAGTCCATAAGGTTAATCAACTCTGATGTACGAGATTGGCATGTCGTACCCAGCCAGAGACCCTGCAAGCCCATGTGTGTCCGTGGGTGGAAGGCAAGCGTGACGCCGAGGGGCAATGCAAGGACATAGTAGGCCACGAGGTTGAAGATAGCCCCAAGGTGCTGACGCCCTGACAGACAAACCGCGTCAGATTGACATTTCGTTCACTCGGACGCGGGCTGCTCACCTTGTCCCCGAAGGACGCCGCCGCACGAACCAGCTACACCATCCGCGATCTGCAAACGTAAACATGTGGATGGTTCCACGAATCCAGCGGATGACGTCGTACCTGGAAGGAAGCCACGAAGGGCATAACGCTGCTCACGAGCGCGACTACGTCCACATCGTCACTGAAGAGGAAGCCGAAGACCTGCGGAACGGATGAGGCGGCAGATGACTGGCGCATGGGATAACACGCTCACGTTCCGTGTAGCTAGCATGACGGTCATGACGACAGATCCCACGACGACGCTGAGGAACGCAGATGCATGGCTCGCGCGTTTCGCACCAGCCGCATCTCGTGCCCCGATCAGATTCCCGACTCGTGCGGAGGCAGCCACGCCTATTTCATCGGTCAGCGCGATTGAGCTAGAAGCGGGCGGATGCAAATGCACGCGACTAACCGATTCCGAACGGTATCGTGTTGAGGACTGGTGACAGTGTCAATCGAATGGGGTAGCTTAGGCGTAAAGGATGTACGGACTTTGGTCGGTGGTCATAATCACGGACTGGGCGGCGAGCGATAGAGAGCCCAACCGCCCGGCTGCTAGTGCGACGATTTCAAACGCAGCCCTGCGACAAGTCAATCGGACCAGAGGTCACGGCGGATCGTGATACATCGATCGACTTGCCATTCTGTTCCTACCATAAAAATGCCGGGGATCGCGAGCTTGAGGAAGTCGGCACAGCTCCTGATGTCGAAGACGGTGGCGAGACGGATCCCGATCCAGGTCTGATTGCGGCGATGGGCAGGCGACAGGTATGTATAGAGGCATAACAGGGAGAAACAGAGCCAGTAGGTGACGGATATAGCAGCTGGTGATCCGAGCAAACCGAGAGGTGTGTAGTGGATGAAGAAGATGTTGAGCGCCAAGTTGACAGGAGCGACCATCAGGAGGACATATGTTGACGCCCTCATTATGCCTGTTGAGATAAGTGCGTATTCTCCGGAGTAGCATCGAAGGAGAAGGCGTACCCTGACACTGGAGATACTTCTTGACGCTCTCGAAGCCGATATAGCCTGGTGCGCCTACGATCAAGACGCGCAGGAAGCGCTGCACGTCATAGCTGAGCCTCTCTTCCTGGCCGAGGGCGAGCAGGACGGGTTCGATAAATGTCCACAGGAACGCGACCGGGACGAAGAGCAGCCAGAGCAGGATGAGGCAGCGTTGGAAGTGGACCGACACCGCGGCACGGTCTCCGCCGGTGAATGCCTGGGAGCCGAGGGTGTCGAGCGCAGTGGTACCACCGAGGGCGACGCACCAGCCTGCTGCAAAGGTCAATGCGGTGCGCACCTCAGGAGACCGAGCACGTTCAAGACCGCAGGAGGGCACGTACCGACCATGGCCAGCATCAGGGCGAATGCGGCAGCCGACAGCTCGTCGGGGCCGAGTCTGCCGGCGACGAGCACGGAGACGGTCTGGATGGAGTTCTGTAGGACATACGAGAGGATGACTGGGTGGTCGTTGTCAGCGAGCACGCTCGGGCGGACGACGAGCGGGAGAGGAAGTTAGACGCCCACCGGGGAAAGAGTCGAAGGCAAGAGACGCGAAGAGCGGGCCGAAGGGCGGGGCCGGAGTTGCCGTATCGGGCAGGTCTGTGGCGGCGACGCTGGGTGAGTCGTCCACGAACGTCGAGCCGTTCGACGACGACGACGAGGGCCCGACGTCGCGCTCGCCGCGCCGGAGCAGCGGGCTGGATTCGTCAGGGTCCTGGGATGTTCTGATGCTGCTCATCTCGGAGGGGGGACGCACGGAAGCAGGGATTCCGTAACTTCGCGGATTCTGTGCGTCCTTTTCTACTCGGCCTGACTCGTGGCTCTCCTCATGTCCACTCGCCCAAACACCCGTGCGGTGCGGGTCCTCGTCATTCGTCGCAAGTTTAGACCGCCCAGTCAGATTGCACACACCTGCCCAGCCCACTTGCCCATCGATTGTTCTCCCGGAATGTCCCCATCCATCTCCTGAATGAAATGCCACCCGGCACTCTGCCACAATCAGCTTCTGCCACGGACGATAAGACGTCTGTGCCTCCAATACAGTCCGCGCAGAGATATCGTAAAACGTTCTCGGTGCGTCTTGGTTTTCCCCATCATAGCGCCCCGACCCCGTTCTGCTCCCGGTCATGGGGCAGAACATGCGCTATCGCCAGCGTCCTTCCTGACTCAGACCACGCCTCGTTCTCTGCCGTACTCGACCCATTTAAAAGCTCTCTCCTTCTCTCCATTTTCCGACGTAGCTCTCTTCGTCACCCACCGACCCGACTCGGAGCACGTCATGCAGTCCTTCACCCGTCTCTTCGCACTCGTCTCTCTGGCCGCTTGCGTCATTGCGCACGAAGACCATGATCATGACACCCAGCTGCCGCTCGACTATGTTCGCTTCCCCTACCAGGCCGCTTACCCCGGAGACAACGAAGGTGGGACGCTGCGCGCTCGACGGATCGTCCATGCTGACCCTCTGACCACACAGTGACCGCTGACTCCATCTTCTCTGGCATTACTACGTTCGCCAGGCTCCCCTGGGTCCAGTGTCTGGGGAAAGACAAGGACGTCTCGTTTGACGTCGCATTCCTCGGAGCGCCTTTCGTACGTGCCACGTTCTCACTAAATCGGGCCTTCCCAAACTCTCTACTCTATAGGATACCGGCACATCTTATCGCCCTGGTGCACGTTTTGGCCCAGCGGGCATCCGAGCCGGTTCGCGTCGCCTCACCCTGTACGGCGGCTACAACGTCCCCTTGGAGGTCAACCCCTTCCGGTCTGGCCTGAAGATCGTCGACTGCGGTGATATCCCCGTCACGCCGTACGACAACAAGTTTGCCATCAAGCAGATCGAGGACGGCCACAAGGCCCTTCTGCACCGTCCGGCCTTCTCTCCGCTGGGTAACGACTCGCTCACCGGCCAGCCGCTGCAGCCCCTCTCTATTGATGGCAAGACTCATCCCCGCATCATCACTCTGGGCGGTGATCACACTATCGTCCTTCCTCTCTTGCGTTCGATCTACAGTGTCTACGGCGCTATCTCAGTCATCCACTTCGACAGCCACCTTGACACATGGAAGCCTCAAGTCTTCGGCGGTGCCCCCTCCGACCAGGCCGCGATCAATCACGGCACCTACTTCTACTGGGCGAGCCAGGAGGGCCTGATTAAGAACGGGTCATCAATTGCAAGTATCTCGTTTCTTAATCTTATCTTCCCCTCTTCGTTGTAGGCTGCCCGATCCTAGTTGAGCTTTTCTTTACAGCATGGTGCCATCCGCACCACCCTCTCTGGCCCCGCGGACTATCTCAACGACGATGCTGCGGGTTTCCAGCGTATCGAGGCGCGCGAAATAGACACCCTTGGTGAGTATCGCGCCTTCCGTTTCTCCGCGGTAGCTTGGCATGCTAAGGTTCGCGTACACAGGTGTCGCTGGCATCGTGAAAAAGATCCGCGAGACCGTGGGTGACCTACCTGTCTACCTGTCCATCGATGTACGTGTCCGCCCTCACTTCAGGGGTCGACGGCAATCACTAACCTCGTGCCCAGATTGACTCCATTGACCCCGCATTCGCGCCCGCCACGGGCACACCTGAGACGGGTGGGTGGTCGACACGCGAGTTGCGCGAGATCCTGAGGGGTCTGGACGGCCTCCACATTGTGTCTGCTGACATCGTCGAAGTCGCGCCCGCGTATGATACGAACGCTGAGCTTACGACCATGGCGGCTGCCGATGTAAGCGATCTGCGTTACCTTCCCCTAGCACGTCTGATGAATACCCGATAACTAGGTTCTCTACGAGGTTCTGAGCGTCATGGCGAAGACGCCCCTAGGTAAGGTCTCGGCATAAACTTGCCGGGATATGTCAAATCTTTCGACGTTGTTCTTGCTCCACGACTTCGACGGAAGTGGCCAACTTCTTGCACTGTACCGCACCATTTCTCCGAACGATGTTCAACGATTTCCGAATATGATCATGATTTTCATACTCGTACTTCCCGTGCATGTGTGTGAACTGTCGAGTCGACCTTCTCAAGAGGGCCTCATATACCAAGAAAGACCAGTTGTTGTGATTCTCGCAGCACGGAACGCGAGCACGGCCGAAGGGTTTGATGGCTAGTATCGCCGAGTCGACCATGCGTTCGACTCGTGTTGCTCCGGCACTGTACGTACAGTCTGTGCATTACGGCAACCAGTGAGTGACTAGTGACCCCGCTGTAGCATATGACGCACCTCAGGTCACTTAACAGCGTTGCTTTGCAATGCTTTGCAAGACGAGAGCATGCACAGCAAGCTTTTGGGCTGATATGATCGCAATCTCGTGGGTACTCGAGCACTGGGGCTTCTTGAACTTTGTTCTTACTCGACTTCCTTTTCGGTCTAGTGGTGTCAAGAGGCGCCCGGGCCGCAACAACGGAGGTTTCAGCCTAAGCCTCTTCTCCTTTTGCCATCACCTCCGACGCACACCAAACAGTGTGCACTACAAATGGTATGTAAATGCGAAGGAATTCTGATGGTAGTGCCTGCTCTCACGTTCCCTTGCCTCGAGGCCGATATCGTGAACCGAGGAGAGCTGACATTGATGGACCTGTCCGTTATGGCTGGCATGCGGACAAATGTTCCCACTTCTTGGGCCTGGAGAGAGCCATTCCTGGACTGCTCCTCTGGTAACCAACCACGGCTCGAGGGGATGCTCTTCCTCAATGGGATGAATTACGGAAGCCATTCATGGGCAATGGCGCATTTGACCATAAGCGTTCTCACCCCGCTATCTTGAAGCTTCTCGTCCATAATAAAGAAAGCCTCGAGGCAGCGGATGTGCGTGCCCTTCCGCTTCTTCAAAATGAAATCGTGCTCCACACTCCCAGCTCAGTGCTCTCGTCGTAGAAGCTTCTGGTTTTTCTCGTCTAATGTTTCACCCCTCCGACTCGGAGCGGCTGGCCGACCAACCCGACTTCCAATGCCGACAGGATACGAAGTCTTGACGAGATTACAATTTGAATCGGCTACTATCCTAGCAAACGGCACACCTGCTGCGCATGGACGGCGGCCGTAACTCAGCTAAGCCAGTCGTAGGTCGATCGATGTCGGAAGTGTAATCCACTGGAGGCGATTGTACTCGGGACCTGCCAGGACAATCTGAGCGAACGCTCACATATTATGTGATGACATGCGTATTTATTCTTCCATTCACATCCACACGACCTAGTAGAGGTATTATCATTGCTTATTCTACTTATTCAGTTCACCGTCAACTGACCTTTCAACGAACCAGGGATAGGCTCATCGCCGCCATGCACTCCGCTTCCTCATCTCCGACGAGGAACATGGACCCGCGCGATCGTGCGCCATTGAAATGTCATGCCGTAAGTGCGCCCTCATGTTATGTGCAATCGCTCATCAAAGCCAGCGAAAACAACGATGCCGTACAGCTGCCTTCTTCGCCTCGCGGCACGACTAGAATGTATGCTTAGTGGTTTTTGCCACATGCTGAGCGAAACCTAACAGAGGAGATCCGTCACAGCGAGTGGACCTTGCGTCATACGCACCAATCCAGATGCGACACATATGTCTCACCGATTCAGCGACTCGGAGCGGTGTTGTATCACGCCGGGTCGGTGCGATAAACCTGTACATGAGGCGCCAGTTGCTGTCTCCTACTCTGAGTGCGTGTAACAAAGTTCGTGGTTGAAAGGATGCTGACATGAGTACAGGCGCGAACAGCGTAGAGCTTCGAGGCTTGTTCACCGCCTGGTTCACACGTCGGCAAAGGTCTCGAGGTTGGGTTTTGGTAGGTGCATCCTCCTTACATCGCTGCCGTGTAACACCCTAGACACACAGGTGTTTCATGCCGCAGTCTTCGCACTGTAGTCCTCGGAATGTGCGGCGAATGATCAAATATCTCACATGTCCGCTCAACTGCCGCACCTTCACGGTCTACTTCGCGAAGGGTTGGTGTGGAGCGTCTGAGGAGGTCCCCCAGCCCTTCTCTCGGACGGAACGCCAAGATGGAGGTCTCAGGCAGCACCTTCAATCAATTGCTCGGTGATGAATCCTTGTAGACATGACGGGGTTCGGGATACAACCGTGCCATTGCATTCAGTATCCGACCGTCGTGTTGCTTGAGATTGAAGCTACAGCATGGCGCGCTTCCAGGGACTACTGTCGAGTGGCATACCGTGGACGTGTACATCAAGTGGAAACAGCGGATGCTGTGGGCTTATAAGTCTATCTACTACACCACATTCCCGCGCAAATAAATTCCCTCGTGCCAAGCTAGCTGCTCTGAGCTTCGTGGGGAGGATGCGCTCATACATTGAGTACGTACCGCAGCACTCCGAAGATAACGCGCAATATTTGGCCTAATTTTCATCCCTCAGCGAAGGCCCTTCAAACGATAGTGAGGAGGGTGAACTTTCAACTCTGGAGGTTTGCACAGTGGTGTAATCAGTATACAGCCGCAGCGCGGATGTCTTGTGACACATTCGGCTCGTGTATTCTTGCGGACCTCTCGGAATCCCGTTACTGGTCGCTCAAGCCCATTCCCCGCAGATCGGCCTCGGTTCCGAGGTCAAGGAGCCGTTGGAGGAGTCGGTGCCGAAAGACAACTGCACAGTAACTTCTTGCTCAGCTCGTGCCATGTGTTAGTCATTCCACTCAGCTATGTCGTTGATCAGTCTTCACATTTGATCCAGTTGAATAATATCTTTTCCCCCGGGATTATCTTGCATCGCGCCATCTCCCAAGGCAAGTAGTGAGCGTTTGAACAAGCGCTTTCTATTCCGTTATGGTGGACAATGGAGAGATTAGGCATGTAGTTTATTTGTTGTCAAATGTCGTTAGAACTGACAAAATTGACGACTTCACGGACGGCATTACGGGCGGCGTTTCTCCATGGCTGGAAGGCTACTAGCCTTATGTGTATCCTCAGCGGCCGCTGCGCCGTCATGATGTATATCAATCTGAGTACTGATCACGCACGCAGGGTCTACAACAGTCAGCGGATCGTCGTTGAGCGGATCGGGGCTCCGAAGGAGTTGCTGCGCGCAGGCGCACCTAGCTAGCTTAGCTATGGGAGTGACTGGCTTCAACCTGCGTTAAGGGTACTACGTCAACCTGATTCGTCGTAGGCAGCCAAAGATAGTTTTACCTTAACGACGCCAATCGCGCCGCTGCCTGCATTCCATTCTGGTGTTCTTGTTGTAAGCATAACATCACCATTTGCAAACTATCGGCTCACCACCCAATGGAGATCACTAACTCTGAGCGCGTACAAACCACAATGATCACAGAGGTCGAACGCGATCAACCCTCCCTCTATGAAAACGAACGTTTGCACCCGTCCGCTGCGGACGCGAGGTGTTCAAAACATACGCACTAACCCCGTGTAATAGCGACCGCGTGAGACGGTTCACACGGAGACAGCTCTTCGTCTGCGAGCCCGTCATGCCCTCTCTATTGCGAAGCCTTCGTAGGCTTTCAGGCTCTCGACGCGGGAGAAAGCGAGCTCGCCTCGTGGCAGCGCCTGCGACGCACTGAATGAATTGCGCCGGGTTGGGCGATTGTCTCTTCCAGAACGTGAGAGCCCTGTGATTCTGCCAACGCAATCTCGGAATACGCATTGGCACGCATGCGAAGATCGGTGGGATGACCCATGACTGGGCGTTAATGACTTCCCTTCCGAGAGCATTGGTGGCCGTTAGACAACAACTTACATTCAGTGGATCATCAGTGCGCGGGGTACCATTGAGGTGCAATATTGTTCAGGCTGCGACACAGTACACAACCGCCGAACATCTCGAGTTTGCCCGTCCCACATGCCCATGTAGTGTCCCACCACGTACAAGCATAACACGCACCTCGCTCGATCGCTCTATGGGAATCGAAACCGGCGTTTGGTCGCTGCAGGAGCTATTCCCTGAGTGTACCTTCTCGCTCGGATTCCGCGGCAGCTGCCGACTGTTCCCTCCGAGTATCAACTCCGATGGCGAGTTGTCCGCAATCATGAGGAGTGCGTGCTTGATATAGTACCCACGACACTTCTGAACGCCTCGTAGCAGCGAATAATCGCCTGTCTAGTATCAAGGGGCTTCATGCCTACACTGTAACGGCGAAGGGGTTTTGGGACCACCGGGACATGTGCGGAAAGAACGGTCATTATTGACGGGTACGTGCCGCGGCGCACGTGGCGCACAAGATCAGCGGCGACGGGGATCTTGTAGAAGATAGATGTGGTCCCAGTGAGGACGATGGGCCTGGCATAATCTGCCTGGCGAGTGGGTTAAAGTACGCGTGAGATAATGGGACTGCACACCTTGAAGTTCAGGGTAGGCAGGCCCGCTGACTCTCGATTTCATTGTCGTAGTCGATTGCGGCCATCGCCTCAGCGACTAGACGATGTGGGGCGTTGCGCCTGTCCCTTCAACCGCGTCCTGCGTCGTCAACACCTCCTGATCAACCGCCGACAATGGTAGTGGGTCGACTCCGAACAAGGCGGGCGTGTCCTCGGATTGTACGACGATGTCACGGTTGGATGGCACATCCAGATCGTTTTCCGTTCAATCGCTACCGGACTTGGTAGAGCGAATGAGGCTGGCCACGAATGAGATCAACGAGAGTTTAAACCGGAGGTATGTAAACGGTACGCAGGAGCAGTGCCTCAGCGCACGGGCCTAGGTGAATAGCCCACGTGACTACCGACAGGGGACCCTGGAGAGTCGAGACGTTACAATGAAATACATCCAATACATTATCTATGTATGCGCGGGGTACAATGAGAATACAATATTGCTGCGACATAGTATACAACCGAGTCTACCCACCCCCCATGCACATTGACATTACCCCACCACGTAAAATCCTGAAATGCACCCCACGCTCACGCACGCTCGCTCTACGAGAGATCAAACCCGGCGTTCGAGTTGATCGCCTGCAGGAGCTTCTCTCTGAGCACCTTCTCGCTCTGATACCGCGGCAGCTACAGCACGTTCCAACAAACAAAAATCAGTCCGATGAGCATAGGCAAGAAAAAGGAACGGGAACGTGTACACACGTACCTTCAGAAGATTGACGCACGTACTCGCGGTCGGCAAGCGATTCTCGTCCGAGCCGGCGTCCCGGATAGCAAAGTTGGGCACGAGTTCCTTGAAGCCGCTGCATACGCCAGCGATGCAACACGTAAATAGGTAGCCCGGTCACATACGGAGACAAGTTACGCACAGTAATGGCGGACGGCTGCAGCTCGTGGCGAACCGGAGGAGCTTCCTGCGCTGCTCCTGGTCGAAGGCGTTGACGACCCTCCAGAACGTTTGAATCGTCGACTCGTGGTCGTCGAATAGGCCGCCATAGTTCGTGTTCCGCCGGAGGTCGTCCAGGTCGATAGGCGCGTTCACGCCGCCGAGCAGGATCTGGAGCTCCTGCTGGTTGAACATCCGCAGCCACCGCGACGTGATCATGTCCGAGAGGCCCTCGAAGAACGCCTCGCTCTGCTTCTTGATCTGCTTCGTCAGCCGGTAGTGGCTCACGAGGTAGATGTACTGCAGCCGGTTCTCGCGCGTGACGGCGATGTTGCTCCCGTCCGGAACGAGGTCGACTGTGTGTGCGACGTCGAACTCTTCCTCCGCGACGGTGAAGTTTAGCGAGAGCTCTTCGGGGTCGCCGGTGTAGTGCTTGAGGAAGATGAGTCCCTGGTAGAGGTCTGGATCGAGCGAAGCGAGGTCATCCAGGAAGGACTGCTTGCCGAGCCACTGGAATGCAAATGAGCCTCCCGGTTGAACGATGACGTCGAGACGTGTACTCACCTTTGCAAGGAAGAACCCTGCAAACGCCACGTCGACGAGAATCCCATCGTACAACGCCTTCCCCAGTATCCGCCCAATGAAGCGATACCAATTCAAGCTATGCGCTAAATACCACGCAATCAGCGTCCACCCACACCTTCATTTCAAGGGACTAAACACTCACCCTCCGTCGCATACGAATGCGGGTTCGGATACAGCTCGTTCTTCTTATTCGCCAACCACAGTCCACGGTCGCTGTCGAACACCTCCTTACACAGACTCGTCAAAAACTCCTTGAAAACACCCCCTCCGTCGATCCCCGCCTCCTCGTTTCCGAACTGGTCTACAAACGTGATCGCGACGGGCGCATGCAAGTCGACGTCGCCTAAGTGGTCGAACCCGTCCTGTGCGACGCTCTCCCGGCGCACGGTCACCCGTGTTTTGGGGTAGAATGCGTGCCGCCCCGAGGTGGAGAGCAGCCCGCGCGCGACGAGGTCCGACGCGACGAACTGCCGGAAGATGGACACGCGCACTTCGAACGGGATCGCGAACGGGATGTTGTTCAGTACACCCAGGCGCGGGCTCATGTACGCAATTTGCCGCTTCGTGAGCGTGCGCGCGTTGGACGGCTGTTCGAGGTTCTGCTCTTCAAGACTATGATGGCGAGAGGTAAGAGTCAGCGTGAGGGAAGCAGTGGAACAAGACGCACACTGCAGCCTGGATGAACGGGACCATGTCGACCTGAGAGGTGACGAGCCAATGATCACGCGGCGTGAACGGCCGGCGAGAGCTACAAAGCGCATCAATCATTTAGTCACTCTTCTCAACAGCGAAAGTACGCACTCTCTCGCATGTATCGCCTGCAAACACCTCGTCAGCTTCTCCCGCACGCCCTCCCACCGCAACGACGGGACGCCCGGCACACCCTCGCCACCCGCACCCGTGCGGAGGTCGTCCCGCCAGTAGAGTGTGAATGCGATATTGAGCATCTGACGCGAGAACGTCCTGAGCTCGTCGACGCTGAGCGGATTGCGGTGCGTCGCGGGCTGACCCGCGACACTGAAGAACTCGTCGTCGCCCATGGTCAGCAGCGCTTGCGCGTAGAGGTCGACGAGGAACAGAAGCGGCGGCCAGGCGGCGGCGTACTCGGAGTCTGCGTGTACGGTAGGTCAGCGATGCCAGGGAGAGAGGAGGAGGAGCGTACTGGTAAGCGAGTTTAGCGTCTCCTCGTGCCCGAGGGGCGAGCTTCGCACGTACGACCTGTAGAGCTCGCGCACGAGCCCGCCGCCGTTGTATGCCACTACTGTTCCAAGAATCTTGTCCCTCCTCGTCGGCCATACCGTCGTCAGCGCGAAACAAAATGCTATCAGGCTCTGCCTCGATGGATGGTGCTGCGCCGCCCCAAGGAGACTGTTTAGATGAGCGCTGCTCGGGAGGGTCTGCAGCCTTGTGCGTGTACGCGTGTCGAGCTCCGGCAGCCGCGGCGGGGGCTCGAACGAGCTCACGACCGTCACCTGCGGGGCCACCTCATCCTCCTCGTCGACCTCTATCTCATCACCGTCCGCCCACGTGCGCGGCGCGTCGCGCGTATTCCGCTCCGGCGGCTCGAGTGCGTGCGTGGGCAGCGCGTTCATGAGCGCGGCCAGCAGCTCGAGGTACGCCTCGAGCGCCTGTGCAGGGAGTTTGCTATACCGTGGCGAGGTGAGCACGACGAGGTTGGCGATGAGATGCACCTTGGGCTCTGGCTCCGCGAGCACGGGGTCGGCGATGATGGATGGGATGGCTGGGGATGCGACGTGGAGGGAACTAAGAGGGAGCCGGGCGGAGAAGGCGGTGAGGGCGGTTAGAGGGAGTCGGTTTGGGAGGAGGGGGATGGAGAGGATGTGCGTGAGGACCTGAGGGAGTGTTTGAGCGTGCAGGGAGCCTTGTGAGAGGGGTGTCGTGAGGAGAGTGACAAGTGGAGGTAGTGTGGGCGATGTTTTTGAGTCGAGTGGCTGTGGCGTATCAGTAGGTGCATGGATACAATGGAGACTCGGCGTACTATTCGCTGAATGGCGTCGCCGAGGAGGCGGTAGAAGCCGTGATCGAGTACGTATTGCGTGTATTCGAGTCCTGCTGACGACTGCAAGAGTTGCAGAACGTTGAGATGTAGTGGTGCATACTGGGATCTGTGAAACATCAGGAGGTGCACGAGAGTGAGAGACACAGCACGTACTCTGGCTCGGAGGCAATCGCTTGTAGGAGGAGCACGGAGGTCTTGCGAAGGAGAACACGCCAGTTGTCCTCGGTGTGTAGTAGGATATCTACTCGGAGTGAGTTGGCCGTCAACGGCATGCGAGATAGCCACACACCTTGACTACCACTCGCGACGGCACTGGACCAGATTCCTAGCGCGTCCTGGTCGACACCGAGGAGGACGAGGCAGCGGAGGCCGGTCAAGCCAGAGACGTCGCCGACGAAAACCTGCTTGAGATCACGTCTTGTCTGTTGCTTGCGGGACACACCGCGCCACCAGGCCTGGATCTTGGTCGCACTGTCCTGCTTGCGCTTGAGGTCGTGGCGCTGGGAGCGCTTGGCCTTTGCCTCCTGGAGGATGTCGGAGTAGGACGCAGAGCGTGCGCCGCCGAGGTTGATTTCTTTGCGTCTGCGGAGGTCGTCTTGGCCAAAGAGAGGGATCATGGTGGATGAGGAGAGTGGTGGCAGTCGGCGTTGGGTACCAGTGTCGGTGGCTGAGGATGCACGCGTAAGCACGCCGTCGTACGTAATGCCCGGCCCACGATCGATCGCCACCGTGGCGTCACCCAAATCGGGCATTGGCCGTGACCAGCGCCTGCCCGCGAGCGGTGCCTCTGCGACCGTCTTCCGCCGCCCTCTTGTGGGTCCGAGTCGGGCACCAGACGCGCCGCTCCTCACCGCGTCCCTTGGTCCAACTCACCCATCGATCTCCCCACCTGCGGCTCGCCATATGCACCCCCTCGTGCTGGTTTCTATCAATGCATCTGCAAGCAAGGAGCCCACGTACGCTCTGACCATGTACTATCAGGCTTCGAGCGGGACTACCTGGATGGCCTCGCGCATATTCGCGCGGTCCCTTTCCATGACTCGCGCAACTTTCCCGCTCAGGTCGTCCGCGGGCCATTTGGGCTTCAGCGGGAAATAACTGGCTACAAACTGACATTGCGCTAGTGGAACGTGATATTCATTTGTCGACGAACGTGGACGGACTTGATATCTCAGGTCTACACTGGTCTCCGTACGACACTTCACTTCAACAGACAACGCCGACATGGTCGGCACGTCAACTTCACTCGCCGGGCAGCCTTCGGTGAGTGGTCGACGCAGCTCTAGAAATACAAGTCCAATCAAAGCACGAATCCTCTTTAACGTTATGAACGAGACAGCTGCCCGCCTGTACAAAGTTACTTGCGCTCTCCAGAATCCACGGTGTCGACTCGTCCATCGCCCGTACGCGTACACATACGAGCGGCCTACTACGCAACGAAACTCAGAAATCCAACAACTCGACAACCTCGCACGCGCGATCGGGGAGGTGATGCCCGTCCGGGCTCGAGCTGCGCCGGCCAGCATGAGACCGTCGCACAGCTACGCCCACAACCCTCCACGCATCACACTCCCATTCCCCGCACTGACACAGCTGTGCGTCGACGTGCCGAGCCGCACGGAGGCCGCCTCGAGAGCGGCCGGGAATCAAACCCGTCGCCCGATCCAGCCGTATCCCCAGCCTCGATCCGAGGACCTCGTCTGGCATGGAAAGCGTGGAAGGTGGCGGACGGACACGATTTACCGCGGCGCAGCAGCTACTTACACGCGAGGGAGGGCGTGCGCTCGCATGGCGAGTTTGTCGTATTGGGATTGGTGGGGCGGCGGCGTGTAAGGCAGGCGTTGTGGCGCGAGCTGGACGGAAATAGGTAGGCGCCGGGTATTGGGGCACTGCCGCAGCGCTGAGGTGGTTACTGTAGGTTTGCGCAGAGTTATACAACGGCGATTGCGACAATTGAGTCATGATAGCCAACTTGCGCAACAACGCATTCGAAACGCGCAGCAGATGCGGGGATAGCTTGTACAGACGACATACAAAAGGCTCGTGGGAGACAAATGGGGACACACCTGCACATCTGTCCATGCGGCGGGGGGCCGGGGGCGTGCGTAGTGGATGCGAATGGCGAGACGGGTGGCATAGGATGTTCCGATTTGTGTCGCTACAGGCAGGCAGGGATACTGGATGAAAAGTGGGCAAGACAGATGAGCCGCTTGGCACGCCAAGATCGATGCAGACGAGTGCACAGAGGGTTGACAGGGAGAGGCGACCGAAAGCGGGGAGCAGGTGGAACGCACGAGGAGGACGGAAGTCGCGCGAAGCTGTGCACGAGAAGGCAGAAAGGCCGAGGTCGCCGGGGACGCATGGCCGCCAGTCGGGCGACCGGGCTTGGGGGCGGCGGCGCTGTGGGCGGCGGCGCTGTGGTCGGCGTGGGGTCGACGCGGCGGGTTTGGCGAACGAGAAGCAGGGACCGGGGAGAGGAGGATGGGGCGGACGAGGGGCGCGCTGAGAGAGCCCGTTCGGAACATGGGCGCCTGAAGACGGCCTCGGCGAAAAAAAGACATGTGACAAATACTCAAAAGTGGTGGGCATAAAGAGCGTCCCCCTGCGTCGCTCTCCTTTCGCGACCCTCGCAACAATGTCCGCATCGTCGCAGCAATCGAGCTCGCCCGCGCAGGTGGCGAGCGCGCCGTCGGGTGAGTGGGCGTTTCATTATGTTATGCGAGGATGTGATAGGCAGCCGGGGCGGTAGCCGAGCCGGAGTGGAGGCTCTTAAGGATGCGTGCCCAGATGACGCCTCTGCGTTCGCCAGGCCTCCTCGTCGAGTACCCCACCCCATGTGCCTGGCCTCCCCGCCTCTCCTCCTCCCTCCCACCGTCGCCGCCCATGTCCGACTCTGCGTCCGCCTCCGCGACCCCCCCGTCGTCCGCGCCCACCCAGACGTCCCGCGCGACGTCCACAAACTCCGTGGCGTCCACGTCCTCTGCGGCGGCCAGTAGTACAAGTACTGCATCGTCCTCCAGCTCCGCATCCTCCCCCACGTCTTTTACGAGTACTAATCTTATTGCCTCCTCTTCTCCAGGTTCATCCGGCTCGACTAATTCTTCGTCCTCCTCATCCTCATCCTCCTCATCCTCGTCCTCGTCCTCGTCCTCCTCATCCTCCAGCTCGTCGACAACCACCCCGTCCTCGAGCTCCTCGTCCACCACCCAGCCAGCTAGCGCCTCGTCGCCCAGCGCCTCCGCGTCCTCGTCCGGGTCCTCCAGCGGTGCATCGTCGTCATCAGCCAGCTCGACTTCCAGTGCCACGTCCACGTCGTTCTCAACACACACGCAGACGAGCACATCCGTCTTTGTGTAAGCACCCCTCCTCACTTCGCGCTTCGGCCTTATCTCTTACCTCGTGCCCCGCCCGCAGCACCACAAATGCTCAGGGCGCCGCCACCACCGTCACCTCCGTCCAGCTCGTGACCTCCACCGCCGCCGTCGGCTCGACCAACACCTCCACCGGCTCAAATCACACCGGCGCCATCGTCGGCGGTGTCGTCGGCGGCGTCGGCGGCCTCGCCGTCCTCCTCGCCCTGCTCTTCTTCCTCTGCAAGCGCAGGAAGCGCGACGACTTTGACGGCAACTTCGACCCCGACCGCGTCGTCGGCCTCTCCGGCCACGACGGCGCCACCCTCCCCAACCTCGACCTCGCCGGCGCCGACGAGGTCACGCCCTACACGTACAACCCCACCGGCAACGGCGCCGCAGCCGACGACAGCATGCGCCAGCACGGCAACGTCCCCGCCTTCCTCGCGGGCGGCCTCGCCGGCGCAGGAGCGGGCGCCGCCGCCGCCAAGCCGCGCCCCGGGTCCGCCTCGCCCCCCGTACCCTCCGCGCCGTCCCACTACTCCGCGTCCCAGTCGCACTACGCCCCGTCGTCCTCCGACCCGTCGCAGTACCCCGACTACAGCGCGTACAGCCAGTACAACCAGCAGCAGCCAGGCTACGGCCCACCCGGCGCAGGCCCCAGCTACGCCCCCGGCGGCTTCCGCCAGCCCTCCCCCGGCCCGAGCATGGCCTACTCTGCGCACTCCCCCACGTCCCCCACGCACTCGGGATCCGGCAGCGGCGCGCCCTTCCTCGCCGCCGGCAACATCCCGAGCTCCAAGGAGCGCGAGGCGACCGCAAGGGGCATGCAGCTCGCGAACCCGGGCGACGTCATGCAGCATGAGGACGCAGGGCGTGTCCCGCCCGAGGAGGACGAGCATGCACTGAACGAGGTGCCCCCGAGGTATGACCAGATCCATAGGGATAATTAAGCGTGTTCTGTGAGTCGCTCTCCGGCGTTGCGTGCGCAGAGGCCGCTGACAGGTGTGCAGGCAGACGATAGATGGACTGCGTGTTTCTCGTGTTCATTTTATCACAATAAGGGGACCGTCGCGGGCTGCTATCGCGTGCTCCTCCCCATACTTTCCCCCTCGCCGCTCCCGTAAAACCTAGAACCCGCAACGAGCCAGCCCGCGGCCCCCCACGCATCGACGAGACGACCTCTGTACGCTATATGTCACGACGTTCCGCACCTACGTACCCCTACCTACTTACTCGTAACGTAATTGACGGACCACGCTCGCTTGTTTCGCCGTCCTCCGGCCCTGCTGCTCGTGCACGTTGCTAGTAAATGATGCATATGCGTATCCTATAGTTGCGGCCTTTGCGTCCGAGTGTTAAGTGCGGCGACTAAGTCGCGCGCGGCCAACAAGTTCGACAGCGACAACGTCAGTATCACGGTCGAGCGTCCATGCATCATCCGACAACCAAAGTAGAGTACATCGATGGAACCGCACCACAACGACCAGCAGAAATCAGCAGCAGAAAATGAACGATGATGTCCCGGCGAGACCGTGAAATGAGCAATGTATGTAATGCATAGTGCAAGGAGAGCAATGATCGTAATCCGTCGTAAAGTATGGTACCTAGTCCGATGAGTAGCAGTTCGTATAGTAAGTCCAATGAGACCTCCGTCATCATCATAGTGCCTCGCCCATCGGCTCGCCCTCCGTAGACAATGGCTGGCGCGACGCAGACTCGCTCGACAGGTGCTTGCTCGCGCCCAGTGGCGGGCTCTGCTGCGAGTAGATCGACGGCGTCTCGGAGCCCATATTCGTGACGAACAGCGGCGTCCGCCACGTCGGTGTCTGCGGACTGGCCGGCGGCAGCAACGTCGTCTGCGACGGGCTCCGTCCGTGTGTCGCCCTCGGCGGGATGTCCGGCGCAGAGTCCAACGACGTCGTGCTCTCGTGCCCGCCCCGGAGCCGCGAGTCGGCGCGGAAGGACGAGGGCGGATACGAGCCGTCCCCCTCGCGCGGGCCCATGACGTCGTCCACAATACGCGTGAGGTCGTCCGTCGAGACCAGCGGGTCGACGAACGGCTTGCGCGGCGGCGGCCAGACTTCCTCCTGGAAAAGCGAGCCGGCCTCCGACGTCCGCATTCCCATGAGGTGCGGCGACGGCACCGGCGAGCCCGGGACATGGACGCGCGAGTAGGACGCCTGGGGGTTCATGGGCGAACCGCTGATGCTCCCAGAGGCGTTGTGGCCCGCGACAGAGGGCGATGCCGAATGCGACACCATCGAGCCGGGGTAATCCCTGTAAGCAGTCATCGGCGGGCCCATGTCAACGTCGTCCAGATCCTCGCCCGCGAGTAACATGCTCCGTGGCTTCGGTTTTTCGCGCTTGAAAAAGTCGAGCTTCTTGTGGCGGTGGCGTCGATAGAACACGACCATGGCGAGAGCGAGGATGAGCAGGGCGCATACGCCGACGACCGATCCCGCAATGATGCCTTTGTTGGCAACAGGCGAGAGCCCACTCGAGTCAGACTGACCCATCGTCGTGACAATCGGCGCAAAAGACTGCGGCTAATGTGAGAGAGTGAGAGAAGACACAATATGGGCAACGTGCGTACGGTAGTCACTTGTCCATTGATCGTCTTAACGATGGTGCTTGTGCCTATCGTAAGTTCGCGGCCCGACGCAGAGGTGGAACTTGACGGAGGAGGCGTAGCACTCGAAGAAGAGCTACTGGACGTAGAGCTTGCGCTGCTTGAAGAAGAGGAGGCATTGGACGAGGATGTAGACGAGGCGGACGCAGAACTGCTGGAAGACGAGGGTGGCTGCGAGCTCGACGACGATGGAGTGGAGGATGATGCTGGTGGGGTAGAGGATGGCGATGTGGTTGAAGAGGAAGATGGCGGCGGGGTAGAACTGGGACTACTAGCGAGATTTAACAGTGTTGTCTCGACAAAGAATCAATCACGTACGTGGTAGTCGACGCGGAGGATGGGGTACTTTGAACAGCACTGGAGCTGTCCGTTGATGATGTGGGTCCCTGGGATGCGCTCGCCCGGGAACTACCATCCGTCGACGAGCCCGATGAGCTATCGGAGGGCGCCGCCGAAGTGTCGGATGTCGCTGCACTCGCTGCCGACGCTGCTGTTCCCGAGTCTGTCGCACTGGCCGTAGAGTTGTCCTGCCGGAACACCAGTGCATTGTCCTGGTCCGCGATTAGCAAGTAAAGTGGTATGTATTTATGGACGTTATCGCACCTGCCACCGTCTCACGGGTCGCATCGCGGAGAAATGTGAGTTGGGTCAGTGTGTGTTGGCCAGATACAATCAGAGCGCAGAATTCTATGGGCGTATACAAATAGGGAAGTGAAGTCTAGGAGAAGGGACGGAGGAGGGCATGAGCAAAGTCGCGATGCCACTACGCCAGATCACGTGCACTGCCACTGTCGCACCGCGGTCATCCAGCCCACTGCCACCACAGCCTCCGCTTGGCCGTCTCCCGCCGCCCACTGTCAGTTGCTCTGAACGTGTCTGTCATTCCAGTCTGCGAATATATCTCGCGTGGACTGCCTGCGCAACCATATCCAGGCTGAGTGTTCCAACATATCTCACGCGTTACATGGCGTCCGCGTTACTGAGGACCATCTCCGGCATCGATGAGCTCGTCTTCAGCACATGCGAGGCTTTCTTCCGCCACCGTCGATACATCGATACATCGACTCGACCCACGTGTCGCAAGACTAACCCCCTTGTAGCCAACCATGACCTTCAACGTCCTCCTTGTCGGCGCGGGAGAAATCAATTTTGGTACGCACAGGACAGGCAACAACACATCTCTGCGGACTGATTCCCGCCTATTCACAGGATCAGTCGAAGGGCCGTGGAATCATGTCAGTGCGCAGCCGCTGAATCTGACGGTTTGCTCTAATCACCAACTGTATCAGTCGCGTCGTCTCGAGAGGTGCGTCGTATTTTTATCTCTAGCACATATTGGTACAAGGATCGGCGTGTCCAGCAAACTAGGAAAGTCACTCCGCGTCGTCGGTCTCGTTGACCCCGACCAGAGCCGCGCCGCTGCTGCTCTGGAAGGCAAGCTAGCGTCTGAAGTCGCCCCAGCGTATGTCTCATGCAGGGCATTCTCAACCGTCTCCGAAGCCGCCGCGGCCCTCTCGGATGACCTGCTTCCTCAGTACGTTCCTCAGTTACTATGTCCTCGAGTAGACCTTCAACGCGGGATGCGTAAGGTTGGCTGTTGTTGGGGCTCCGCCCTTTGCGCGCGGGAGCGACCTCTCAGGTAAGGATCTCGAGCTGCAGCTCACCAGTGCGTTCCCGGGCTGCGCGCTCTTCGTCGAGAAGCCTGTCAGTAGCGGGCCTGTGGATGGCTGTTGGCGGGTAGCTGCTGAGCTAGACAAGCGGCGAACGCTCGTCGGCGTCGGGTATATGCTGCGGTATTCCAAAGGTAGGTACTACTGCAGCTGTTGCCGGCCATGCGGGTGATCCTGGACTCGTGCCACAGCGGTACAAATGATGAAGTAAGTACTCAGCGGCCGTGAAAGTGAAGACTCCCTGCACATACGTTACAGGCAGATCATCAAGGAAAACAACCTAGTAGTGATGGGGACGAATGCGAGATACGTGATGGCTTAGTGCGTTCACTCATAGTGCAGGCGTCATCGTTGCGCTGATGCATCTCATTGCTGCAGCGAATGGGCCCGGAAACTTGTGAGTAGTCGCGAATCCTGTTGACCACGCCCATACCACCTCATCGTCGCAGTCATGGTGGAACAAAGATTCGTCGGGCGGCCGTAAGCAGAGGTAGCCTATTGCATCTGCGACATCGGTAACGACCTTGTCCCTCACACAGCCATCGTCGAGCAAGCCACGCACTTCTGTCTGTCAGCCCGTCCTTGCCTGCAGTCACAGCCACTCATATTCGCCCCCGCCAGGCGATCTCTCGCGTTACTTCGGCGGCGATGTCGTCTTACCCTCCGTCTCCGCTCACATCGTGTCGCACGACGAAGCCCCCGGCGCACTCTCAGCCAAGCGCTTTGACGAGACTGCTATCCCGCCCGAGAAACGGCTCCCGAGGCTGACGAGCGCGACGTGGAAGTACGCAGGCGGCGCCGTGGGCGCACTCACCCATGTCATCGCGTTGCACGGTAGGTCACCCAAACGCACGTTCGTCGTCGATGCTGAGCGGGCGATGGGTTTGCACAGGTGCAACGTACGATACGGAATTTGAAGTGTACGCGGATGGATATAGACTCAAGCTGATTGACCCGTACGGATCGACACCTGTGCTGTCCGTTCGCAGGCCGGGTGTGGCGGGCGAAGGTCTGCTAGTCCAAGCATTATTTTCATGCGTACGATGTTGACGAAAGTCGGCGCCGCTAGAAATGCACACATTTCCAGATGTACGTTTATGCAAGCATCTCTCACACTGAATAGACGTCTAACGCACCTCAGGACGACCCTTTCTACTCGGAGCTATCGACGATAATCGATGCCATACGCGAGCCGAACAGCGGCGCGCGCTCGAGCATCCTCAGCTCATACGAAGATGCAGTGAAGACGTACGAGTTGGTATGTGTTGACTCCGCAATCACCTGAGCAAGTGTTGACGCCATCCTACAGACATGGCAGATCAGGCGTGCGGGTGAGAAATAGGAGAAACGCGTCAACGGTGGGCAGGCAGCGTACTTCAAGTGGACCGAAAGAAACGATTGTATAAATTACCCGAAAGCAGACTCGGAGCAATGACTAGGCGGAAAGATCAATCAACTTTTCTGGCCCACTTCCTTCCACCAGAGGCCCTCGGCGACTGAGGAGGAACGACGACTTCAACTTTCGCGCTCGATATAGCCGGGGTTGGTGCGGACGACCACTGCCTCTGCTTCTCCTCGGCGGGCGTATTGAGCGTAGTCAGCCCAATCGATACCTTGCCGTAGTCGTCTTTCTCTTCCTGACCCCAGTATATCCACATCTGCGCGCCGAGGATGCAGTTCAACGCGAGGGCCAGGGCAAAGCCTGCGCTGACGAGAGGGTCCCCGACTTCGGTCGCGGTGGTGAACAAGCGCGCGAGGCAGCCGCCTATCTGGGCGATGACCGCGAAGGCAGAGAGCTGGCCGGTGCTCTTGGAGCGGTAGTTCTGCCGTATTTGCGGAAACTTGGAAAAGAGGGACAGAGGGAGCGTTGCGAGCTGGAGGGGAGTGAGCGCAGACTTTGGGAGGAAGACGAAGGCTGCGGCGCATAGGACCATGGCGAGTGCGGCTGAAGCCACGCGCGGTGCAGATGACGGGGCCCGCGTGAGTTGTCTCGTTGCAGGGTAATGTATGATAAGGAGGGTGATGACGGCGTTCTGGAGGGTGAGGAAGAGGTTCTCGCCGTAAGTGGAGAAGGGGAACTCGTTGCGGTAGGAGTAGGCGAGGGTGATGGCGTAGGCCAGTGTCTCGAGGACGTATGCGATGAGGGATATGCCGCGCGCAGACCGTGCGGATACGACTAGTGCACATCAGCAGTCGCAGCGGGTACGGAAGAGAGAACGTACTGAGAAGCAGCTGAGGCACTTTCATGATGGAGCCGCCGAGGACAATGCCCACTCCCAGGCCCTTGGAGAGGGAGTATTTGAGGCAGGCTACATCGCCCAGGTCTAGGTTTTCGACGAGAGACGAATAGCAATGCTGCGATTGCCGGTGAGTTGCGGGCTGCAGTTGGGCGAGCACAATACGCACCTGGCCGACAATGGCGACCCCTAGGTCCTTGACGAACCACGGCAGGTTGCGGGTGATGGCAGTCATGCTGGGAGCAGAGACGGCGTGGGCGACGGCGTGGGCGGTGTGGAGGCCGTTGTGGGCGTTGTGGAGGGCGTTGTGCGCGCGCGGAGGACGTGTCGGCGGGGCGCACGTGCTCACGCGCTCGCCCAATCGGGCAGGTCGAATTTTGAGTGTGGCCGTCCTCAAAAGCAGCCTGCTCGTCGCCGCATCCCCTCGCATCCAAAATGGCGGAATACGACCTCACGAGAACCATCATCCCCCACTGCGACAGGCATCTCGTGTTTCCCCTCCTCACACACATCGTCGAAAACGAGCTCTTCCCCGCAGAGCAGGTCCAGAAGGCCCAGTATGAGCTCGCGAAGGAGACCAACATGGTCGACTATGCAGTCAGTCTGTTCGAGCAGCTTTACCCAGACGAGGCCGTGCCAGACGGTGAGTTCCGATCATCGCCATTCGTTCGCGCCGCCGACACCCAGCAGAATTCGCGGGCAAGCGCGAGAACGCTCTCTCGACCAACGAACGCCTCCAGCAAGACGCACAGGCTGTCCTCGATGTCATCACGAACCCTGAGGTAGCGCAGTCGCTGCGCCAGGACAAGAACCAGAACTTGCAATACCTCAAGGAGCATTACAATGTACGCACGCTCATCCTATCTTTCGTATCATCTCTCCATCTCTTCAAAGGTCACCCTCGAGCAAATCAACGCCCTCTACAACTTCGGGCAATTCCAATATAGCTATGGAAACTACAGTGGCGCGGCCGACTACCTCTACCACTTCCGCGTCCTCTCCACCGACCCCGACCTCACCATGTCTGCTCACTGGGGCAAACTAGCGTCCGATATCCTCACAGGAAAATGGGACGTCGCGCTCGAGGAGCTCAACACTCTACGCGAGGCGATCGACTCGCGGTCGCCTTCTGTACCTCAGTTCGCCTCCGCGCCGTCGTCTAGCATCACCGATCCCGCGCTCACCCAGCTTCATTCGCGAACGTGGCTCCTCCACTGGTCCCTCTTCGTCTACTTCAACCACCCGGAGGGACGCACCCTCCTCCTCGAGACCTTCCTCTCCCCTACCTACCTTAACACGATCCAAACCTCCTGCCCGTGGATCCTCCGCTATCTTGCCGCCGCCGCCGTCCTCTCGCGCAAGTCGAGTACCGGAGCCCTCTCCTCGCGTGTGCGGCACTCGATTCGGGAAATCGTCAAAGTCATCCAGATGGAGGAGTACCAATACCAGGATCCGACCACGAACTTCCTCAAGGAGCTCTACGTCGAGTTCGACTTCGAGGCTGCGCAGAAGGAGCTGGGGCGCGCGGAGCACGTCGTTGGCAACGACTTCTTCCTCACCGAGTTCAGGGATGACTTCATGGACAACGCACGGTACCTCATCAGCGAGGCATACTGCCGTATCCACCAGAGGATAGACATCGCGTGAGTGCCTTTTACTCGCCTCGCCTCTAGTGCTCGTTCATCTGATGCCGGTCGGCGCATGCAGCGATCTGTCTGAGAGGCTCAATCTCTCGAAGGAGGACGGTGAGAAATGGATCGTCAACCTTATCCGCGAGACACGTATGGGTGCCGATGCTAAAATTGATCTCGAGAAGGTACGTCGACGTCGTGGTTCAGTGCAGCTGCCTAAGCCGGGTCTGACGTCTTATCCAGAATGTCATTGAGATTCACCGTCCGGCACTTCCTGTTTATCAATCCATCATTGAGAAAACTCGCGGCCTTGCATTCCGCACGCAAGCCCTCGGTGCTGCGATGACACGGGCACAACAGGCACCACCAGCAACAGAAGTGCTTCCGGCTGAAGTTGAAGCTCGGTGAAGAGGGAGTTGTTGTGTGTAGACGCTTCATATGTGCATGTGTATTGTTACTGTTTCTGTTGTATGCCAGTTTTTCTGTTGGTATGCCAGTCAACATAGCACCATTCCATTGTGCAACAGAGTGTTGTTTGTTAGATTGTTGTCTTTGAGCTGAAGTACTTCATACAGAATGAATAGAGTGGTTAGCTGGACACAGTGGTAACAGGATGAGGTGCTTTCAGTGCATTACTTGACAAATTGCCTGTGACCTTGGGCTGACTGATACAAGGTGATGTGTATGCTGCAATTGACCTGGCCACTGGACACTGTGTTGCAGTGAAGCTGGGAGTGACAGAGCTTCCTCAAGCAGCTGGATAATGAGGAGGTGTATGAGGAGTTGGAGAGTCAAACCAATTCAACAATACATTGGTTTGGACAAGAGGGAAACCACAACATCTTTACTATGAATATACTGGGGCTGTCCATGGAAGCCCTCTTCAACATGTGTGGGAGAAGATTCACTTATAAGATGACACTGCTCATGGTGTGCCAGGTTGTATGTTCTATTAACAAGTTCATGCACATGCATTGTTCACAATGGCCCAGCTTGACAGGCTTTGAACTTTCCATGTGAGATTTTTTCTGGCTGCACACTCTTGAGACTGATGCCAGGCTGCCTAGTGAACCTCAATATTGGTGGTAGTGTTGATCAAGGAGTGAAAAGAGAGTGGCAAGTGTGAAGGCGACACTCAACAGACTACAAGACTGTGACGGATAGGCATCACTATGCCTGTCCAGTACTATAGATTATGAACCATCTAGTGTAGATAAGATTAGATCGTGCATGTACTTAGCCATCTGCCTTCCTTTTTGGGAAGGAACTGATCTTAACCCTCTACTGCCACCTCGTACGCGTGCGAATCACCGCACCGTTGAGTGTGGAGTCTTGTCTCTAGTCGAGAGTGCTCCTCGCACTCTGACAAACAGTGCGAGCTCCTCGCCGCGCTGAGGAGCACGGCTCCTCGCTGTCTCCTAAACCGGGCGGCTCCTCGCCAGCTCGTTGCCCTGGGCTCCTCGCTGTGGGCTTTCCTTGCAGGCTCCTCGCCAGCATACGACTACAGCCGGCTCCTCGCCTTGCTGATGACAACAGCCGGCTCCTTGCCACGCTGACGACCCTCGACTAGGCTCCTCGCCCGTCTAGGAACGACCCTCGACAGGCTCCTCGCCCCATCTAGGACTCACCCAACAGCACTGGCAGCAGTGCACCAAGGTCGCCCCTGGCCTATAGAGCCGTGAAGCCTGTTCACACCCCTGAACAAGGCCTCCCAGATAGGCCAAGGTCTTACAAAGACCAGTTAAGGACAGCAGCCACTGGCAATGGAGGGCTTAACAAGGTCTCTGAAACCTGTGAGGGAAGACACAAGTGGTGTAAGACAAGAGCAGAGACTAGTGTTGCTGCGGCTCGGGAGCCGAAACAAGCTGGCCAAACATGTGACCTTTAAGGAGTCTGAGTTGAGCCGGCTCAATTCCAGACCAGCTCATTGGACACAGCCCTTAGCCTGCATTGCTAGACGCCAAGCTGGGCTTACCAGCTGACTCAGTTCAGCTCACATGGCTTAGTTCAGCTCAATTGGCACACCACCCATGTGACCATGCTCCCTGGGTCATTACGCCCTTGCTGTCCCACTACATGTCCCAGGAAAGCATCCAATGGTACGGGAGTAACATAGTCAATTGATGGGTACACAGAATACAACAGATTGTCCATCTTTAGTTCTACACCAGAGTCAAGTTCCAACCACATCATGTGGCATTGAACCATATGGGGCCCTATCAGTGAATATATTCAACTGTCTGACTCGTCTGACCCATGGGAGACACTTACGGAACACAGACTGCTATGAATGCTGACTCCACAGCCTGTAGTCTCCTTCTGGGAGCTCAAGGCAGAGCGTGCACAGTGAACCACAGCTTGTGATCCAGAAGACATCGTTGACAGGCGATGACGGTGAGCAAAACCCTAAGATGCCACTCATGCCAGTGCAAAGAAGAATATTGTCAGGTAGGTGCTGAAGGCGATGGCGGCTCAGGACCGGTATGCTACCATCAGAGAGGAGAGTTACACGTCTCATGAGGATTCCATGAAAGATATGACGTTGATTGCAAGTACAAGATGATATCATTGATATGAGACGGGGACATGATATATGGTGAGGGGCAATGTTACTGCCAGTGTGGGAGGGCCTACTCCACAGGCGAGACATCTGTGTGAGACGTGAAGGACAGCCTGTCTTGCTTGATCAGGTATTTGGAGACCTGCGTGGCTTCCATCAGCTTGGGCCCCATGCGGTTTTGACGAGGAGTGTCAGTCTCAGCACTTGAAGAGAACACCCTCTCGCTGGGCACAGATGTTGACTGGATGGGCAAATAATCCATGGCGATGCGGAACAGGACCGGGAAGGTAGTCTGGATGGTCTTGTTCTAGGATCTCTTCAGCTTGCAGTGCCAGCGACACATATTTAAGGTCACTTACCCTCCAGTATGCCAGGGCATCGCCGTGCTCAGGTTCAGCTCCATGAGCAGCCCATATGGAATATTCCTTGTTAACCGTGGTTGGTAATCCACTAGACTTCAATGCCGGCTGCATGTTCTTCTTTGCAGTCCTCTGCAAGGCCTCAGTAATCTTGTGCATGCCCTTGAGGCCTTGCGGGATGGGACATTTGCCGGTAGCGGGGGCTTGGGATGACGGACCAGGGGAGAAGTACAGCCCAAACTTTGCAGCATAGACCTTCATCTGAATGTACATTGTCAGCAATGTAAATGCCTTGTAAGAAGGGGATTGTACGGTGTACCTTCTTCTTGATCAATTTCTGGGCCTTCTGGAGGTAGAAGTTATCCCAGTATTCCTTGATGTGATCAAGTCTGTACTTGGGGTGGACAACTTCGTTATGGTGAGACATTGTGCTCAAATATGGTCAAGTTCACTCACACATGCACAGCACGTAGGTGTCGGTCTCATCCATAATAGTGTAGTACTTTGTTGCCACAGCTAGAGCTGCCTCTATAGCTCCATGGAAACGAGACATGTCGTCCATGGTCAGGACGGCCTGCCACTCTGACTGAAATATCTCAAACATAGGGATGACATCCGCTAGTAGCGGCAAGTCATCCCTAACCAGAGCCAGGGACACCTTCATTGGGACCTGAAACTGTGATTGCAATGTACACATTTCATAAGCAAATATTGTATTCAAGTACATGCATGATTAGCTACCTCGAGGAGCGACGCGATGGCTGCGAGATCATTCTCCTGAGATTTGGTCAGCTCTGGGAACATTGCCGCGAATTCATGGCTCTGCACACGGAACTGACGGTATGCCTGTCACACGATATCAGACAAGGGGTTCTGGAGAGTGAAGGCTAAGGCTTACCGGCTTCATCTCCAGAAAACACACAATCATGTCGTACATACTGTTTCACCGGGTATGGACATTGAGGATGAGCTGGACTTCATGGAGACGGGGGAGGAACACCCCTGAGGTGTTACCCATGCAGATGGTTTGGTCCCTAGTTATATGCTCCCTGTAAAGAGGGGGCAGTTTACAGCAGCAGCAGCAGCTGCGGAGACCTGCAGCACCCAAAAGGGTAGGCACAGACAGCTGCGGAGACGTGCAGCTCCTAAAAGGGTAAGCGCAGACACACTGCAGCAGCTGCAGTCCCCAAAAGGCATCTGAGGCCATGCAGCTGTGCACACTTTGCAGCCTGAGTGACATTGCACAACCTCTTCAGTCAGCAGTTCTGCTAACATGAAGCAAAGTCACAGAATCTGCACAAGTGAATCCTCTCGATCCACAGATTCACTGCCATGAGCACCCAATGCAATGATTGCACGCATATTGCATAGGCTGAGATGAGCCATTGTTCCCACTGCAGTGTTAATCCTCTCGTCACAAGGATTCATGATCTGGCAAACAATCTCAGGAAACATGGCTAACTCAATTATGACAGTGGCTTGATCCCAGTGAATCCTCTCAATGAACACATTAATAGGGGCCAGTTAGGAATTAATTACAAAAGAGGGTACCAGAATTTCGGGCTGAAAGTTGGTATGTAGGACATCTATATCATGTAGATGATGGGTGCAAAGTTTCAGGGAGATTGGCGGACCGGTTTTCGAGCGGAGGGCAATTCCTTTTGTTAATAGGCGCATTTTTGCTATGTGCAGAGCCACAATAACAGCACTTGGCAGGAAGCTTGTTTATAGCAAAAGGCATCATTTGTATGTGTGAACATTGGTGCCAAGCCGCTATGCCTCCTATTGGCTCGAATGAGGTAGCATCGGTACTCACCACAATGAGACACCAGCCCCATGCCAGATTGGCATAATCCCTGTGAGGAACTGTCACCACAGGTCTTGATTGGGCAGAGGTATTGACAGTCCTGCCTGCCCATGTGGATGGTCCATTGCCTGGCGGGACATTGTGTACCAAATCAGGGTACTGGGAAAGCAACGTCTGGAGGGTGCCTTGCATGTTGTTGTGCAGAGAGGGGGCTCAAGTCTCCATGCAAGAACTGCCAAATCGCTGGAAGCACTGCCAAGCTTTGGAGCAAATGAAGTTGGCGATGACTGGGATGTTGGAGGAAAGCTGACTGAGGTTGCGCGGTTCAGTCTGGCCCCCACTGAATGAGATCCCAAAGTCCACTGCAACAACATCACCTCGTTGATGCTCACTGTGCTTCTTCTCCAGTTTGAAATCTCTCTCCAAAGCCTTGAGGTCATTGATTAGGTCATCTGTGACCTTATGCCAGGTTGCATCTGCAGGATGCCCAGCAAGAAGGGCAATCACCCTCCCTTCATGGTCGAGAATGGGCACAGCAGTCCTAGCAAGCCTCAGTATAAAATGTCACAACACAGGAAAAGCACTCACATTCCATCCCACTCCATGTAATCAAATCCTTGCTCAATCAAACTTTCCAGGGTTGGCTCCTCGTGCTGTCCTATACCCGCCTTGGTCTCATTGCGCCGTGCTGAGTAGCCAGTGCTTGTGACCGGCAAGCAGTCCAGTTCAACTGTTGACTGGATAGCCTCCGCAGAGATTACATGGCACTGCCGTGACCACTTTGTACTTGCTGCGGTGGACGACCCATTCCCGCGCATCTCCTGCCACCACACCTTGGTGTGTGCCCAACTCCGCCTCACATCGCATTTGACGTGGCTCTCCTGAACTGCCTCCCATACAACTGCTGCCTGCTGCAGCTTCTTGGCCTTCTTGGCCTTCTTTTTAGCATGCGCACAAAGTTTGTCACGTGTCTGTTTGGGCTTGACGCTGGCAGCTGCCTTGTCATGTTCTGTATAACAACTGTATAAGCTAAAGTGCAAGAACATGACCATGTAGATTACATACCTTGTTCTTCTGCAGTGTTGCTGACCTCATGATCCCCTGCACTGACCCCCTCTGCCATGTCCTCCTCTGCCATGTCCTGATCCATCTCCTCCCCAGCCAACCCCTCCTCTGCATCCTGCCGGAAGCTCCTGGGGTCCCAGAAATGGTCAAAAGCTGTTTCTAGGGCCTCCTCTAGGCTGAATTGTGCTTCTGTTGCAGTGAAAACAAGCCTGCTGTAGCCTTCAACGCCGTTGTGGAAGCCCATCCTGGAACCTTAGTGATTAGTAATTTGATTTTGCCATACTTGGAGCTGCTCACTGATGCCCAGGTATGCCTGGTGAGGGTGAGGAAGAGAAGCACAGCCAGAGCTGGACTAAAGGTGCCAGGTCAGAGAGCAACTTGAAGAAAGAAAAAACTTGCTGTGGCACACCCTCAGTGTGGCATTGTCTGGTCCTTACCTAGAATGGCAATAAAGGCACTATTCCGAGAACTGAATCATCCAACATGAGGGTAAATGTGATTTATTGTGGTTGAGAGCCAAGCCCTATGTACACTAAAGCTAACTATGTACATGGTTTGGTGTTCATGTCAACCCTATGACAATTGAGAAATATGCACGGCTTTGGACTCAATCTCAACTCACCTAGGCACGGAGGAGATAGCACATCCCCGCCACAACACATCTGCTTACACACAAGCTCTATCTGCCGCCAGCGCAGATGCCGCAAGTCAACTTCGACCGCGCCCTCGGGCTCCAGCAGCTTGTCAATCTTAACACAGTCTGAATGACTCCAGCGAGAGGTCGGACCGGCTGGTAAGTCAATACGAAGCTTGCTCAACTCGCAGGCGATGACCAATCCGCTCTTCCTTTACATATACGACACAGGACGCTTCACCACCACGTATGGGGACTTGGCACTGAAGGAGACAGAGGGGAAGGATGTGACGGCGGTGACGAAGACACCGCGCACTGGAGGTCGGCGGGCAGGGACAAGGACGGGCGGGTGACGTGCAGGCGGGGTTATGGTGACGGTCGGACACTCCATTGCAGTTCATTCATCATTCTACTACTATACATTGCCCCTGAAGATTTGGCTGACGGACATGCGCCGCGAACAGATGAAGACGACCTGGCAGGGAGAGCGTAATACGGTAGTTAGTACGTCTCCATAGGGCTAGGCCCTCAGCGACGCTAAATCGAACCAACAACAACCACCACAGCCCGCGCGATGCCCCGCTTGCAGCGCGCAGCGACACATCCTTAGGTTAAGGGACTAGGTAGGGTCGGGTAGGGTCGCAGTAGGCGCCCACCCTAGCCCGTAAGCGCTGGCCCTAGCCCGTAAGCGCTGGCCCTAGCCCGTGAGCGCTGGCCCTGGCCCCTAAGCGCTGGCCCTAGGTGCGCCAACGGTGCACAGGGAGAACACTGCGCCGCCGGCGCGCTCCAATGCACACGACTTGGCCGCGCCGGGGTGCGTCATTGGCGCACTCCAGCGCATGGCCTCGGCGCTCGCCCATGTGCGCCAACGGGGCATGCCGCGGTGGGCGGCCGGTGTGCAGCCGACGAGCACGCGCGCGTGCGCCAATGACGCACATTTGCCCACAGAAAACCTTAGGTGATCGACGATCTGCGGGCTCACAAAAGGGTGGAAGCCTTCCAGTGGGCGAGCTGGGTCAATCAGCGGTACGCGCGGCGATCTGTCGCGCGTTCGATGATTGACCCAGCCGAACACGGTAGGCGGACACCCTTTGGGACAAAGCAGATGAGTGGATCATGAATGTGCTCATTGTGGCTTACGCCGTAGTGTTTGCTGTACATGAAGGTTACATGAAGGTTGAACAGACTGGGCCCCAAGTAGGGGGCTTGTGTAAGAACATGCTAGTAGAAATTGCCTTGGAACACACACGAGCCGATGCCACACGGCGGGCTGCCGTGGGAGAGGCAGTTAGGCGCATCAATGGCACGAGTAAGCGCGAGTGCGCCAATGACGCACCTGGGCGCGCGGGCACCCCGCTCGAGCGCGTTGCCGTTCTCGTGCATATGTGCACCAATGGCGCATTTTTGAACGAGTGAGTGGAACGGTCGACTGCAAGTGGGATCTGCGCACAAGTGCACCATCGGCGCACTCTTTGCGCGTCCGAGTTGGGATGAAGTAAACCAATGGGCAGCTCGTGCACGAATGCACCAAAGGCGCACTTTTTACGCGAGCGAATTGGGATTCACTAAATCAACGGGCGGCCTGTGTGCGAGTGCCCCAATGGCGCACTTTTCTTGAAAGAGGGTGAACATAGCCGTCCCAATGGAGGACGTGAGTTTTAAGTCATTCATAAACGCGGGTAATCCTAGCCTGATTGTTTGCATCTGGCAGTACAAAGGATAGTAATTCGTCATAACGATTAAGCAATCATTTCATTGACACTTAACATTGTTGCGCAGTGTCATCCTTGATTACGTTCTGTGCACCCTTGATGATCTGAGATGGATTAGATCATCACAGGAGATCGAGATTGGAAGGTTAGACCGTGAAGACGGAGCTGTGCAATGTGTCACGAAGAATGATGTGTGTACGTGATATGGACATGAGGCGATCAGTCCGCGAAAGCGGCGAGTCCATATACAGTATAGACCGGAGTCTAGAAGAGCACAGCAGCTTCTCCCGTTGATGCGACGAGCGCGGCAGTGCCGTTTATGGAGCCGATGGCTACGTTTCCATGCCATGCGTCAGAAAATTTTGGAAGAAAATTTCGCATGGCCAGGATACCGCGGGATATAAGGTCAGTATAGCCTTTAGCGTCTCCTCATTCCTTTTCCCCTCTCTTCTCAACTGCTGTGCATCATGACAGTCTGGACCATTAACGCCGCCGTCATCGACTTCTTCGTCGAAACCCCCGAAGCCTGGGAATGGACGGGCGGCGTCTTCAAGAATGAGGCGACTCGTGGGTGCCCGTGGGAGGAAGGCTCCATCGCGATCGAGTGGCAAGAGAAGCCCGACGTCGTGAACCAAGTCCGGTCCTTTTTGAAACGATACGAAGAGAAAAGCGGAGGCGACCGGCAAAAGTTCTTGCGAGGGAAGATCGCCGAGGACAGCCTCAACGCCGGCCGCACGGCCTTGAAGGAGTGGATCGCGTTCATGATGAAGACGCACTGGCGCATGCGGCAGGTGGCGCTCGAGGCGCTGGGCAACTACAAGCAGTTGCCGACCGACATCATGGCGGCCAAGAAATGGGACCAGGTATGTGCATACAAATTGGATTGGTAAGTGCTAATGGTGGCCTATAGATGAAGGGTATGAAGGAGAGCGGAGTGGCAGCGGTGTTCCCGATGGTGGCGCGTGCACTGTTTGGTGAGGATGGTGCGACGGGAGTCCCACCGTTTTACACCATGGCGGATGGTGTGGGGACGTTCGTCCCGCGGCTGATGGCGCACGTTTGGCACTCGGAGTGTCAAAGAATCAACTCGGACATGACGAAGATCAAGACCGCCTCGAGCGAGGCAGAGGCGGCGTGGTCAAGTATGACCTGCTTCATTTTGGGTATCATGTGTTAACACATTTGGACAGCATTGGTGAAACGTAAGCAGGGGATTGATGAAAATTCCGCGGAAGGTCAGGTGCAGGAATCGGACAAGAGTGTCGTAAAGTTTTACGCAGACAAGCTGGCGGCCTTGTTTAGGCTCGTCAAGAAGTACGATAACCAGCCGAAGTTGAAGGAACGGCTGGAGAAGCTCAAGAAGGATGCCGTGGAGATCAAGAAGTCGCTGGTTGATCCAGCAGTCGAGATGAAAGGTAAGAGTGCATTCTCTGTTTGACCTGTATTGACCGTTTGTTGCAGGTCTGTCGAAGCCGATGCGCGAGGCGATCAAGCTGCTCGCGTCCGAAGACGAGGTGTACGCCGTGCTCGGCAATCTCAACAAGGCAATCGGCGAGATCGACGAAGAGGAGGACTTCGAGGTCGTCATCCCCGAGGACAAGATCGATCTCGATGACTGGTCTTCGGGCGTTGAGGAGTATGCGGAGTGCGACCTCGACACGATGTGGGCCGCCCTGGGCCGTGAGAAGGAGCACACGCTCCCGTTTTTCAACACGATGGAGGATCCCAGCGGGTCAACCGACGCGTGGAGCCCGGAGGGTCAGACGGCGCTGAAGTCTGGGAGCGCGGTGAGCTTAACCCCGCGGTGGCACCAGTTGGTGGGCATTGTCAAGATGCTCGTCAACATGTTTGAGGGCAAGCCCGTCCTCTTGATGGACGAGGTTGGGGTCGGCAAGACGATGCAGGTGATTGGATTCATCTGCATGCATGCGTGGCTGCATCAGGTCTACAAGCAGACGAAGAGGTATCCCGGCATGTTCGGTAAGTAATAGGTAACATATCATTGGAATCCAAGCAACGCTAATCCTTCTTAGCTAAATATAGCAAGGAGATCGAGGATCTCCCGACTCTCATCAGTGTCCCGGTCACGCTGCACAAGCAGATGACCAACGAGATCCACCGGTATGTGCAGTGGAAGGAGTTCGATCTCCTGCCGTACACGGGGACGACAGCATCACGTGCCAAGTGGTGGGATTTGGTGTGGAAGAAGGTGAAGCACCAGCCAATTCGGCGAATTGTGCTGGCGACGATCAAGGTGAGTACTTTAAATAGGACCATGCATGGTGCTCAGAATGCGCATGACAGGCGATTACATCCGACGCGACGGATATGTTCACCCAGGCTGACGACAAGTCGGCCGACGGTACGCCGCGATACCCCGAGCCTGGCGAGTGGGCAGAAGCGAGCGCGCAGACGGTGTACGGTCAGCAGTGGGGTGCGCTGATCGTCGACGAAATCCACGAGGTCCGGACGTTGAACAAGTCGTACATGGCCATTCGCATGGCGCGGAAGCAGTCGGGGATGACCATCGGGATGTCCGCGACTCCGGGCATAACAAATGCCATGGTAAGTGACCGAGTAATGTGCCTGCTATGATCGCTAACCAAGTTGCAGGACTTCGCGGCAATTGGTTGGGTCCTCGGGATCAAGGCGTTCAGCGAGGGGGCCGCTGAGCTGCTTCAATGGAAGCGCAATCTGGCCGCGGCGAAGCGTCGAGACGCAGCCTCGATGAAGCGCGACGAGGAGGCCTCGAGCAAGCTGAAAAGCGTGCTAACGGGCAGCATGGACGCAGAGGCGGACACGATGATCAAGGGCGAGTACGTCCCTATGCTGGAGAAGACCATGGAGGTTTGCCGTCGGCTGTTTATCGGCCACATCGCCCGCCGCACTTTGCGGTCTCTGGACTTCGCGGGGCAGGCAATCAGCGGATTGCCCGACTACCACGAGATCATCTTGCCGTTGAAGATGTCGGACGCGGAGATGGACCTCTTCGAGAGGCTGGCAGAGGAGTTTGCTGAACGGTCTGAGAAGGGGAAGGGACGGGCGGGCAAGGTGAGTTCATTCTGTGTAGTGAAATTGCGTCATCGGCGCACTTGGGCGCAGGTGCGCCATTGGCGCACCCGTCACAGGAGCGCTCGCGACGCGGGTGCGACAGCGCGGCGGGCGAGTGCGCCAATGACGCACTGCTCGCAGGCACGCTCGTAACGCAGATGCGGTAGCGCGGCGGGCGAGTGCGCCAATGACGCACTCCTCAAAGGGACGCCCGCAGCGCAGATGCAGCAGCGCGACGGGCGAGTGCGCCAATGACGCACCTGCGCGAGAGCATTCAGCTCGGTCCGGTAATATGCAGTCCACGGAGCGCGGTGCGCGTGTGCGTCATTGGGGCATTATGGGACTTCTGTACGAGGCCGCGGCTAGGTTGTCAGGAGCCCACGCGCGAGTGCGCCAATGGTGCATTTTCGATCGTTGATGATCCGATGGCTGATCTTTTAACAGGACTTCTATCTGGGTTTCCGTCGCTCTCTGTCGCACCCGGCAAACTACCCGCCGTCGGGGTGGAAGATTCCGCAGACAAAGGAGGAGTTCGATGTGCAGCCGTCGACCAAGTTGAGGCTCGCCATCACCATCATCCTATATCATCTGAAGAAGGATCAACCGGTGCCCCTGCGTCGCAAATACGGAATCTGCTTCAACACCGACGAGATGGGTAAGTACCCTAAGTGCAACAAGCTTTGGCCGGACGAGGGCTACCAGTACAGATCACGAGGTGATCCCGACCACCCCGACAAGATCGTCATGTACTCCGCGTTCCCGGCGAACAACGCCGTCTTGCTGCGAGTGAGTATTGTCAACTTGACTTCCGTTTCAATGGAGCTAATAATGACTAGGTCCTCGCGTTCTATGACATCAAGTACCTGGTTCTGAACGGCGACGTCCCGGCAAACAAGCGTCCGCTGATCATCGATCAGTTCAAGAACGGCGGTCGAGATGATCCCCGCGTACTTGTGATGTCGAGTGTTGGCATCACCGGCCTCAACCTCCCCGAGGCGTCCATCCTGATTTTCCTTGTAAGTTTCTTTATTGGTATGCGGAACAAACTAAACATTATGTCTCAAGGATACCACGTGGTCGGCACTTGAGGATGCGCAGATGACTGGGCGGCTCTGGCGGCTCGGGCAGTTGAAAGACGTCTGGGTATACCGACTTCTTTGCCTGAAGACCCCCGACGTCTACCTCAACATCATGAGTTATGACAAGTGGATCATGCACTCCGCGTTTGTGAAGGCTGACCCGCGGACTCGTAAGTACTTTTTAGGACATCTGGGGCACCAATCTCATCACATATAGGCACACTGCTGGGCGAGGTCGGTGAAGGCGACGACAATGCCAACGCCGATGACGCGGAGATCGACATCGGCGACGAGGACTCCGACGAGGGCACTTCGAAGAAGACGAAGAAGCGGGCCGCGCCGAAGGCTCCGGCGACGAGGAAGCCGAAGGCAGCCGCGACAAAGATCCCGGTGGAGCCGAAGGCGACCAAGAAGTCGACGAGCAAGGCTTCATCTTCGAAGTCCGGCAAGTCGACGGCGTCTGCGGGGCTGTCCACTGAAGGCAGTAATCCTGCCGAGCCCATCGTCGTGGAGTCCACCGAGGAGACTCCCAAGCCGAAGAAGACTGCGGGCAAGCCGCGCAAGAGGCAGCCGCTGAAGCCCGTTTCGCCCGAGACGATCGAGACCTCCGGCGACGAGGACGTGCCTCCGGAGCCGCGTGCGCAGAAGAGCAAGTCTCGCTCGATGACCCCAGGCCCAACCGGAAGGCGAGCCGGCGGAACCGCAAGGCGAGCCGGGCGAACCGCAAGGCGAGCCGGCCCAACCAGAAGGCGAGCCGGCCCAACCGGAAGGCGAGCCGGGCCAACCGGAAGGCGAAGACGACGAGGACGTGCCACGCATGTCGCGCGAGGACAAGGGCAAGGGTCGCGAGGTCCAGCCGGACGAGATGGAGGTGGAAGTCGAGAAGGAATCTCCTCGCGAAATCCCGGCCGACGCAATCGAGGTCGACGAGGAGGAACCTACTCGGGACCATGCCGTCCCCAAGGGCGTGAAGGAGCGCATGCGGCCTCGAGGTGCCCCGTTGGGCCGCCCCAGCAGCGCGCTCAACGACCAAGAGAACACTCCGCGGGCGCCCGAACGCCGAAGCGCCCCGCCACCTTTTCATTGGCAGCATCACGACGGCGACGACAGCAACGACAGCGACGAGGATAGCGACGCGCGCCTGGGGGCTGCTTACCAGGCATCCCAGCGGGCTGGCCACGCGGCGGAACATAGCGGCTTGCAGGCGCCATTCACGCAGCGGCCGCGCCACAACAGTGAGGACGACGACTCGCGCGACGACAACGCCGTGGAGGCGGCTCTCCACTTCCCTCTTCGCGAAGAGCGTGCGCCGCATGCCGACCTTCTCCCGACGACCCCCCCCCGTGCCTTCCACTTCGACAACTCGCAGTTGAGGACCCCGCGCGCTGGCTCGAAGCGGTCGCCGGTGCGTGCCCCGCCGTTGGCCAACCTCGAGGAGGTCAACCACACGCTTGGTGATATTGTGCTACGCGATCAGGCCGGCGGTGAGCAGGACGTGCCGGACGTGCGGATGCTGGACGTGCCCCGGGATGGCTTTGCGATGGGGGACATCGAGATGGACGACCCCCCGCGCCAGAGATCATCCTCTCTCGGCGATTTGACGCCGTCAGAGAACGAGGGCGACGAACACGGTAAGTGTTGAGTGTCAATTTCTTCCTGCTTGATGCCATGGTCCTCCATAGAGTCCCCGAAAGGTCCGCCGAGCAAGAGGGCCCGGACCGAGCGCAAGCGTGCCCCGTCCAAGGCGTCGACATCGTCGAAGAACTCGGCGGAGTCATCGAAGAGGACCCGGAGGAAGCCAGCGTCGAAGAGCAGTACCTCCGGAAATGTCAACGTCCTCGACTACCTCAACGCGGAGGAGCGCGTGCCCGAGGGATCGGCAGCGGAGAAGTTGCGTCGCAACCCGAGTCGGCGCTCCCGCAAGTAAGTATATCCATGTCGTTTGTATCTTGCATTCCGTAGCGGACTTCGCGCGTCCTCGGTCACGCCTACTGTACAATGTATCACGCATCTCGTCGCCCTGTATATATCGCCCTGTATCTAATCGCAATGATATCGTACGCGTATTCTCGTAGAACGGTGGGCCGGCTTGCCGGAAAAGTGTGCGGAGGAGACAAAGTGCGCCATTGGCGCACTCCTACGCGCTGCGGCGCTCAGCAATACCTGAGGCCTCTTGTAGAGCGCGCCGTGGGTGCGCCGTGGATGCGCCATTGACGCATTTCCAGCGCGTCACGTATGGCCTTTGGCGGCCCTTGGCTGCCGAGCGCGCAGGAGGGTTGTGCGGGCATGCGTCATTGGCGCACTTGCGCGCGTGCACTAGCAGTGCCCCCACGTGGGTCCCATTATCCGCTGCCCCTCGTGCGAGGTGCGTCATTGGCGCACTTCACAGCGTTGCGTTACTGGCTTGGCTAGCAGTGCGGGCGATGCATGATAGGCGAGCTGGTTGGGGGTGTGTACGCCGCAATGCGCCAAAGGCGCACTTTGGGCAATCATTCCACTATAACTGCAGACGGATTGCCCTATAGTGAAGTGCCCTAAGCAGAGACCATGTAACTATAGATAACTATAACTATAACTATAGATAAGCTACTTTGTATGGTAATGATACAGTGACATGCAAATATTCTCGAGTGACATGCACATATTCTCGAGTGACATGCAAATATTCTCGAGAGACTATAGAGGGCGCGGACGACATGCGAGACGTAAACAATGCACGATGAAACGGGTCGTGACGGCGGGTAGCGTTCATGGAGAACTTCCCGCTAGATTGTATGTTTGCTTGGATCATCATACCGGCAGTGAACAAAGGAATGGACTAGGGACGTGGGATTAATAACTCGCATGGTAATGAATCTATTATCACGGTGATTTGGGAGCACTGTGCCAAATTGAATTGTAAAACATTATATTACATAATTATCTCGGATCAACATGAAGTTTGCACGTGGACTCGGCTGATGCTTTAGGAGTAACGTGTTGATGAGACAAAACCACGAGTGTAATGATTATCATATAAGAGCATGCAGTCGACGGTTAGCGCGGCCTTGTGCGGTGGGCATGGATCACACGAGGCCTGGTTAGGAATTAACTTGTTCAGCCGCTGATGGCCATGGTCCTCGTACAACAACGTGGCCCACGCTTATCCACCGCAAGCTGGAAGCGAGCGGCATGCAGGGCACGCAGTATGTACCGCGGTGGACACGCATCGCCATGCTGAAGCTACTCGAGACATAGCCGAGGTAGGATCTACTTGAAATATCCGTCGTTGGGGATGCGCTGTCCTTGCCCACTCATCCGCCCACATCGACCGTCCTTTGATCCCGTATAACCATGTCTCATCCCGATGCAGTCCTTACTCGAAGGGAATTCAACCTTCGTCATTTCAACAACCAAACTGATTATATTCTGGAGGACAAGAAGCGGGGGGTCAACAACGAATTCGACTTCGTGCGGGCCGTGCTGGCAGGTTGTTTTGACTTGGATGACGGTGTCGGAGAGCAGCGCATCTGGATCGACGCCCTGCAGGGACTAACGGAGGGATTCCGGTGCGATCACGGCGACGAGCCGGGTGACGATGAGTTCGTTCTCTCGCGGGATTACGATTCGGTGTTCGGTCACAGCGACAATCTACCGTACGCGGCCCCAATCTCGGTGTTTCCCGTCCCATCGTATCGAGATGTACTGCAGAAGCACATCCATATCAAGTACACGGTGCCGACCTCGGTGAGTGCTATTTTATTTGTGTTGGTGCTACAAACTAATGAAAGTGACGGTCCTCAGAGAGATACGACGGAGTCCGTAGACCTGGGGAGCATTCCGAACATCCCATTCGCCAAAGTCGGGGAACGTGGCCTCTGCAGTGTCATGCTACCCCAGCTTTACCGATGGAATAACGGGACGAGCCGCGTGGCTAACGAGTTTCTCGAAATGTTCTACGAGAAAGTCTTGCTGCGCAGTTTGAAGGAGATGACTTTGGAGCATGTGTCGCATTGGCCGGCGACCTACGTGTCGGCCCAGCGCCTCGCCCGCGACCACAAGGGACAGTTCCACTTCGGGGCCATCCCGCTTCCCCCCGCTCGATTGCCGGATCTAGTCGCGCAGATGAGGCTCGCAGTCGACTTGCTCGCAGAGCAGGGCACCGACTACTTTCAGGACTTCTTCTTCTACCACCAGTTGCGCGGAGTGAAGGGCGCTTACGTCCACGATCCGGAGGACGATGCTGCCGTCGCCGCCGAGATGATCTCCGTCTGCGAGGCACTCGATTGGACGAAGATGCCCCCCGCGTTGCAGGGGGATTGGTACATTGACGTTGGATTGGAGATTCGCCGGCCCTCCCATGTCCTGCAGTGGAACACGCATACGCACAAGAAGCTGGTGAAGGCACTGCTGCCGAGCCGCACTATGACGCAGGTCAGCCAACTGTTGGCCGGCCCACGATATATCCTGGACAACAACGCGCAGCTGATGGACTTTGGGGGATTCCGCTTACACCCTGAAGGCGCCGGAGCATCGGAGGAGGTGGTGTACATCAATGTCTACACGACGGACAAGACAATGCATTATCAGCTTCACCATGGAGTCTTCGACCAAATTAAGCCACGCGATCTGTTCCCTGAGACAATCGAGGCGACCAAGAAACATATCAACGAGTGGACGAAGACTTTCCGGGAGTCCATGGAGCATCAGCAGGAGGCCGCAGCACGATGCGAGGTTCGCGTCACTTTTCGGAAGTACGCCACGGTGTTGCGAACCTGGCCGGACAGGAATGTTTCTCGGTTCACGTCGGCAGTCCCTGCGAAGGCTTGGTGGTATGTTCCCATTGATGCTTGTGAAAAAGCCTGAGGTGACTCACCGTGACACAGGAAATTTAAGTACAACCGTGCCATGGCCTGCTACTTTGTGATGGCAAACTTGAAGGACTCAGGACCGGTACAGCGTGGATGGGCCGAGAGCCTGGCTCTCGGTGCGACAATCGCCTATATCTTGAATGCGCTCCTCTACACCCCGCAGGTGGAAGCGAAATGGAGCTCCCTGCTGACGAGTGTTCCGATGCAAGTGGCGGATCCGGATGACGACGAATACGACTCCGACGCCTCCTCCGGCGACCAGCCGATGATACCAGTGGGTGGTGGGCAGGGGCTGTTCTTCTGCGGCAACATTCTCCTCGACCAGGGTAGTTGGCGACTCTCGAAATGGCACATCATGCCGTTCAATGACATCTTGACGCTATACGGCGAGGTCGACAGCCTGTCCCTTCGCGCCCAATTCGGAACGACCACTATTCACATCGCTCAGAAACGCTCCAACCCCCGTCGTCGCACAAACAAGCAGACCAGGACTACGAACGTGACCGTTGTGCGGGCGGAGCCTGTTCCGACCATTGATATCGGACTCGACGAGCAGGGCATCGTCCCTTATGCTCATGCGGGCATCCGTGGGTCCGATGCGGTGGCACCAGACGAGGAGGTCGAGGGTCAAACGGCGGATGCTCAGGTGTCGACGATCTGGTATCAATGCCTGTACGACATCGTGAAGAAGGGCCCGAATCCGAAGTCAAGCGCTGACCAGTCGTACCTGACCGCCCGGGCTGAAGAGGTGTCGGAGATCAAGGAAGAGTTCTACAAGACGTGGCAGTTGCCGCTGCGTTGCGTGCGATGCAAGGTCGCAGATTTGGACGACTGGGGGGGCAAGTACTTTGACCACTTCTTCCCACAGAAGGTTAGGTTAGGTTAGGGGGAGCGAGCACGCGAGCGACCTAGGCAATGGGGGGATGGGGACTCCATCCTCCGACCCATTTCGCTCTTTTATAGAGCTCATCAGGCCTTACACTCTGGTGACTAATCACGATTATACTGCACGACTCAGCGCGGGCCGGGCCGCATGCTGAGCAAATACATCTTACACATAGGATGACTAAAGACCGATGCCATCGGTCAGCCGAGAATCCGGGCCGCTTACTGAGTCCCAATGACCTGAAGTCTAGGCCGGGTCTGGATTCTAGATTGACGCTCTTATCTTATCTCGCTAACGCTCGTGTGGCATGTGCCGCTCCTTATCTCTGATTACCGGCCGGACCGAGGGCCCGCTGATTAAGCGGACCGGTCCGGCCCTGACACGTGATTCCTCATCACGTGACCGTCCCAGTTAGGGTCCGGTTAGGTTCGGTTAGATTAGGATTAGCTTTGGTTAGCTTAGATTAGCCTATTGGGAAAGGAATTCAGTAGTAGGGGGGTGTATACCCCCCGATTTTTTTTTTGTTTTTTTGTTTTTTTTTTTTTCACCCACAGTCTGTTGCCATGGTGACACTGATCCCATCTGTGGTCACATCATCCCCCATTTCCACGTCCTCACCGCCCTGTGCCCCCATCTCTCTGTGACGCTCAGCGGCTTTCATGCGCAAGTCCACCGGCTTCCCTGTCTACCTGTGTGCACCACACTGTGTATGCAATGTCCATGGAATGCATCAACATGGCATACTCCACTGTCTCTGCACTGTGTGAAGTGAAGTAGATGCCTGCCCTGCAAGAAGGTGCGTTCGCCAGATGTTGAAGGTGACCAAAACCCAACATGAGTACTACCTAGAGACAGCGTCAGCCAAACCTAAGTGCATGTTGTGGGTAGCATATGTCAGGCGGCCAATTGGGTCAAATATAATGAAAATACATTGGAGTGAGCTGTAGGCATCATGGGGAGCTTCCAAAGCCATCATGTACTCACCCAATGGACTGCGTCAGCCAACTGTTCCAGAGACTGTAGCAACGAATTGGCCAACCCGCCGCAGGACGCGGTTAGCCTGGGATCAGGTAGGCCATCAAGCAGGTCATTCACCACCTCTGAATAGGATGCAGAAATTTTCCATACTAACTATTGGGACAGTCCAGTCCCAGGTACATCTAGTTGCTTGACCTGGCCAACATTGGGCTATTGCTGCCCTGATGAGCTCGTCAACTTCAGGTGTTCCAGATGTATGCATATGCCCAGAATCGGCTCTGCTGCACGCGTCGGCCCACCCAATTCCAGATACACCATACATGCTGGTTAGTGCAGAGCACAGGTGTTACAGATGCAGTGGAACACATCAAGAACACGTACACTACTGTCTATAAGAATACATTCAGTGGTAATCGCAAACCGCACCTCTTCTTTGTAGCACGTACTTAATTACTACTGTAATTACTTGTACGCTAAAAACTGTAATTATCTTAGGCACGCGCTCGCAGCCACTTTGCGCACGCCCAATGAATAGACACTAGCTTCTTGACCTCCTACACATTCGCCCGAGTGCAATACCCGTGCTGTCCGAATCAGGAGCAGCTGTCGTCGAGCGTGCTCCTCGCACCTCGACAAACCAAGAGGCTCCTCGCCATTTCGTCTCCCGGGCTCCTTGCCTCGGGCACATCTCTCTCATTGGCTCCTCGCCAACGCACGACCATGCTCACCACGCCGGCTCCTCGCCTAGGCTCGACTGACCGTGCCTCGCGGGCTCCTCGCCTAAGCCCGGCTACTCGCTCCTCGTGGGCTCCTCCTCACCCGCGCACGTACATAAGTGTGACTCGCCAGCTCCTCGCCCAAGCCTGCTCGCCTTGTGCCGCGCTAGCTCCTCACCAGCATACAATTATACGACTTCTAACGACCCGGTCGCGCCGCGACCACCAACTCTCGAGCCGCGTAGGCAGCCCGTTCCCTACCAGTGCGAGCTGACAAAACCTGCGTCTCTTACATTGGTGGACACTCAGGGGACCGGTCCACTGCCCTGTGAACTCCCTCGTATATTTGGATCTTTTCTATTCCCATTCCTAGCTGTTCTATATTGATTCTAGTCTAATGCCAGCTGCGACATGGCTCTCGCAGCCCCATTGGGATGCCCTGTCACCTATTTGGCAGCTCAAGCACGTGTTGTCATTGAATAGCGCGCGCGCTCGGTGCCAGCACCCTCTCCTCGACGACCATGCCTTGAGGCTACCCACCACCTCCTTCCGCCACTCCCCGCGACTCGCCAGCACCCTCCAAGCCCTCTGCACCCGTTCCAAGGCCCGTGGGAACCGCACGAGCGCCCGAGCGCGTCGAACACGTGGCCCTCAGTGCTCAACCATTGCGTCAACTCTCGCCGCCATCTCCCTCCTCCGCCTCTCCCGTGCCCCGCCGCCTGCTCGATGCGCCAACCGGACTGCAAAGACGAGCAACGGTTCCGCTCTCCTCGCAGCCGACCGGCCCCAGCTCACGACACGAGCAAAGACGCACGCGCGCGCGCCCTCAACGCAAAGACGACCGAACCGTCCGCAGCGCAACGCTGTGGGCGGTGCCCACGGGCTGAGTGTTGAACAAGGAGTGAAAAGGGAGTGGCTAGTGTGAAGGCAACACTTAACAGACTACTGTTTGTGAGAGACGGTAGTATCGTCAACTCGCTAGAGGGGAACGGGCTACCTGGCAGCCTCGAGCGTTGGTGACCGCCCTGCGGTCGAGTCTTATAGGTCGTGAGCTGGCGAGGCGCCAGAGGTGGTCGTGAGACGTGATAGGCGAGGAGCCTAGTGAGTCGTGTTAGTCGTGCGTCGGCGAGGAGCCGACGAGAGGGTCGTGCCCGAGGCGAGGAGCCTGGGAGGCGAGTCGGCGAGGAGCGCGACGCGCTAAGCCGGCGAGGAGCTCGACTTAAGGAGCTGGCGAGGAGCTGCTCCGTTGCGCGGCGAGTAGCACACGCAGTTGGTCAGCGCGCGAGGAGCGCACTTCGACCTTGGAAGGAGCTCCTGGTTCGGACGGCGCGGTTAGTCGCACACGGACGAAGTGGTTGAGGAGCAAGCAGAAGTGTATCTCTATTAGGCATGCGCGCGCGAGTCGGTCGCGAGCGCGCGTCTTAGGTAATTACATGAGGGTTAGAACACTAAATACTAATGATAATTATGTACGTGCACAGAAGACGTGCGGGTCGCGATTCTTGAATACCATTTTGTACGTAGTGGTGTACGCGGACTTGATGCGCTCCACCGCGTCCGTAACACTGGTTACGCGAAGCGTGACACCTAGAGCACTAGCTCTCAACCTAACCCTAAACGTAGGGACCTTAGGTTCTAATCGTCCTTGGATGGGGAGGATGGTTGAAGACGCTGCTAAGTCCGTCTAGCAGGTCGAGCGGGGAGTTTCTGATATCCAAGGAGCTGGTGAAGCTTCAATAGATAACCAGGTCGAACTGAGGTTCAACCGCTACTGTACATAGGTCTTATATACATGAGGGGTTCAGGGCAGGTCCAGGACGAGTCACTACTTCCTAACCAATAGGAGCGCCGGGAAGTGAGTCATAACAAGTCAGGGACCGAGTCATAAACGATGAGTCATGTATGAGTAAGCGAGGAGTCACAACGAGTCATACCGAGTCAGAGATCACGTGAACTGCCCCGGGTTGGACCGGAGCGAACAGCGAAGGAGTCCGAAGACTAGAAGTGTAGCGTCATGGGGTTGGGCCCATGCTAAGGTAGTACAACGGTCAAGCGCAAATAAAGGAAAACAAACGTTGACGTAACATAAGCCCCTTCCTAGAGTCGACGTCCTCGTCGACTTTTCTAAGCTTGATCAGGCGGGGGCAAGAATGTCGTACTCCCGTCACGATGCCTACGCAGTTGAGCAACCGCGATCCCCGAGTCGGTAGAGACGAGGTCCAATACCGTGGACTCCGGGGAAGGTTGGAAGGATGACGTGGGCGAAGTGGTCAGTTGGCGGAGAGGAATGCGGTCCATTCCTTCGACAGGTTCGTAGGCGGGGAGCGGGAGTGGGTCGGCATCGTGGGGAGGCTCGTTCTCGTCAACCTCCGAGGGGTTCGGGGTCTCGAGGTTCGATCGAGTAGAGACGGGAGAGGTAGGTACCGTCCCCAGGACTGGATGTGGATGCGGGGTATCGGGGCGCCGACTCTCGTTATTCTCCCGGCGTTCAACAGGTGGAGGGCGGGCCCCATAGAGCTGAGTCTGGTCAATGTAGGGTTCCTCCTCGTAGTGGAGCTCGGTGAGGGCGTTATGAGCTTC